TTTGCTGATGGTCATATCTCTAACCTAGGGGCTTACCTGCGCAAAGACGCTTCATGCAGTTTGCAGTCTCTTTGGCGGTAGCCGCTAATAAATTGAGGTACAATGCATGGACTGCTAAGGATCATATCAACTTTCGATTTCATCGAGAAGTCATGCTCTATGTTAAGAAAAAAAAAAAAAAAACACTGTTCCAAAAGGAACAACAATGAACCGTTTGCAAAAAATACCGATCTCGGGATTATTCTCAAGGCTGCAAGTCCACGTAATTGGATAGGTAGTTCCTGATGTATCTACTCCAATCAGTCTGGGACCCCCGTCGGCTGCTTGACCCCTGTTGGAGCATGTCGCGGAGAAGAAGCCTGGGGGCGGGACAGCATTGATTGATTGCATCATCCAGTCCAGTCAATGGTTCGACACGCGCCCGCGACTTTTGGACGAACCACAAAATAGAGCTAGGTAAAAGTGGAGAGAAAGATCACTGGCGGGCATGTGCTCACATTGCAGTTCTTATCGTCAATGCAATATTTACTATCTACAACTATATACAACTACCTACTCGGCCTTGAGCTGCCGGCATTCAAGCTGGGAATAGACTTTTCCTTCACTCATTCCCCAGCAAGCACTGCAGACTGATTAGGCGCCAAAATGTCTGCCGACGATCAACAGTTCCTAGACGTGGTAGGGCAAAACCAGAACCCCTCCGACCTGGCCTCGTGAAAGACCCTTGGAAAGCTGACTAGAATCCATTTGCAGCTCTCGTCCTTGCCCAACCAGATCCGCCGCTACTCGGGCGATGTGGCAGACTACGTTGACAAGAGCGTTGAGAAGGCCGCCGAGCAGGTCCGCGATAGTCTAGCATCTGCGCAATGGTTACCAGAATATATAAGACCGACGCCTCCATCACGGCCGGCGCCCGTGGCTATTGTGCCCTTGACGGTTTACGAGCGAGTGCATGGCTGGGTGGTGAGACACAAGATCCTGACCGGTATCGCCGTGGCCGGTGTTGGATACTTCACATATAAGGCAGTCAGAGCGAGCAAGACGATGCGCAAGTCGCGACGAGCAAAGCGAGCTCGAAACGGTGCCCGAACCGAGGTGGTGGTGATTGCTGGCTCCCCAACACTGCCACTCACCAAGTCTCTGGCGTTGGACCTGGAGAGGAGAGGCTTTATTGTTTATATTGTCTGCAGTAGCATGGATGAAGAGATGATGGTGCAAAACCTTTCGAGGCCAGACATTAAGCCGCTGAGCATCGATATCACAGATGTAAGAACCATTCCACGAGCCTTGGCATGGCCCAAAGACTGACACAAAATACAGCCACCGAGCGCAGGTTCTTCGATAGAGCGCTTTGCCTCATACTTGCAGACACCGCACGCAGCCGTACCAAAGGTGAAGCCAAACTACCTGACGCTCACCTCGGTCATCTTGATACCGTCGCTCAATTACCAGACGTCGCCCATCGCCACCATACCGCCATCGTCTTTCGCCGACCTTTTCAACACCCACCTCTTGCATCCCATCCTAACGATACAGTCGTTCTTACCGCTGCTCACATCGAGAATAACGCCGCCCGGCGAGGCACCAACGAGTCCCAAGGTCCTCGTCTTCACCCCTTCCATCATCTCGTCCATCAACCCGCCGTTCCACGCGCCCGAGGCCACCGTCTGCTCCGCTCTGTCCGCATTCACTGATGTCCTCACCGGAGAGCTCAGCCCACTAGCCATTCCCGTCACACATGTACAGCTGGGCACCTTTGACTTCGCCGGTTTCGTCCCCACCCGCCACTCCAATCTGTTGCCCGCCATGGAGACGACCAACTGGCCCGAATCAGCAAGGCACGTTTACGGAAAAAACTACGTCGCCCAGGCCACGTCGTCCATCTCCGCCGGCCGCATCCGAGGCCTGAGGGGAAGCTCGCTCCGCGGGCTGCATAATGCAGTATTCGACGTTATCGATGGATCCGACAAGAGCGGCGTGGTCCGGATCGGCCTCGGCGCCGGTCTGTACGGCTTCGTCGGGCGCTGGGCACCCCGAAGTCTCATCTCGTGGATGATGGGGATTCGCAGAGTGGACGAGCTGAGCGCGTGGTCGGATAGCTCGTACAACGGCAGCGGGAGCGAGCGGAGCCTCAGCGAGAATGGCGACGCCAGTGAGTTCATCGCTGTAGCGAGGGACGAGGAGGGAGGAGCCAATGTTTGGAAAGAGGATGTTTAGGCTGGATCTTGGAAGGATGAATGTATATATGCAGAAATGACAACCCCTATCATGATTAGAAAGGCTCACGACTCTGGCGATATCCAAATTGACAAAATATACAGTCATATACAAAATGAATTCATCAAGCAGAAAACGCATTGGTGATAGACTTGAAATCTCTTTGGGTATCATTTCCTCTAATTTTACATATTTTGGCAGATATTGGCCAGTAATGCAAGCCAACCACGCAAGAGCAGCGGCGCAAACCGCGCGCCCTCTTTTAAGCACCCTCATGCTTATTTTCCTGTACCTCATCCACATGGTTGATGATCTTAAGCTTACTTCGCCTATTGTCCTTTTCTTGTTGTATTTTACCTCCTGCCTCACGGCGCCTAGGAGTAGTTGTCACGTCCTTAGCGATGACCTCGGCCCCTACCAAAGCCTCTTCCCCTGGGTTTCCAACCGCCACGGCCCCTACCGCCACGGAAGCCTCTGCCGTCGTCCTTGTCATCCCGGTCACCTCTGCGGAACCCACCATCATCGTCCCCGCCGGCAGCAAAGGCCTGCTCCTCACGCTCCCGCCTGGCGGCCTCGTCCTCGGCCGCCTTTTCGCTTTTGGGAACAGGTCGCTCGAGGTTCTTGCTCCAGCGCGCGTGGGCGCCCTCGGTGCACTGCTTGCCGTCGGGGCAGAAGCCGGCGAGGTAGTAAGGGCAGAGGGTGCGGCGGACGTGCTTCTTGCTGCAGTTGGGGCCGAGGGGGCAGAAGCCCATGTCGTAGTGCGGGCAGGGCGGGAGCTTGCTCTGGGGGTCAATGTGCAGGTAGAGGCACTCGTCGCCGTTGGAGCAGTAACCGTTGCGCACAAAGAAGTTGCACTCGGGCATCTTGCGCAGGTTGTACTCGTGCAAGAACTCGCACGACTCGCCCTTTTTGCACAGCGCGCGCAGCCAGTGCTTGCATACGAGGCTGTTGTACGAGGCGTTGGTGCTTGACGCCGCGTTGGGCGCCTCGTGCCGGTCTGGGCAGTCGGTCCCCAGTGGGCAGGCCCCCGTCGCTGCAAAGGCTTTGCATACCGGTCTATTTGGTGCCAGGCCGTGGCCGTACGTCTTGCGTAGGAAGGGACTGAATGTGAATGTGTAGGTGGGTGCTCTGTGCTCGAGGATCTGTTGCGCCAGCTCCTTAGGCGTGGACGCCGCTGTGGTTGAGGTCGCAGTCGCCATGACGACGATGATCTAGGTTTGATGTGACAATGCCCAGTATTTATATGATAACTAGCGTCTTGATATTAAGCGATTGAGAGAGTCGTAAACTCGTGCGTGTCGTTGTCGTCGTTTTGGTTCTTTGGGATTTTATGGTTTGGAGAGAATGATGTTAAATGTATTACTTGATTACAAAATTCCACCGCTAAGTCAGTCCTGCAATGGAGCATTGATCGAAAGCTCTAGTGGGGCTGACGCATCGGCGGTCGGTAAGCTCAAGGCGCGTCTTCCGTTGGCTCGGTACTCTGTACCTGATATTATTAACCTATGAGTCAAGAAGAAGAAAAAAAATCGCAGTCTTCAGGACCACGAACGCACTTTCAATTCATCAATTTGGATTGCTCAATGATCCTCTGAATATTTCAATATAAGCAGATCATTAAAAAGGATATGCTTTACAGAGTACATAGCCTGTAGATGGATCCAATCACTGGGAAGCTAGCGTGTGCAGTACTTGATGGTACTACTGGATAGGTATTCTTTGTTCTTTGCAAGCTCTCTAATTTATTAATACTTGTAGGTAGCATATACGATACTTAATTATAATGACAGAGGGGGTGCACGCTCCGTACAGTTGAATTCCGGGGTTGAGTATGATGAAACGTATTTCGATTGCAAACCTAGGTATTTATCAAGATTAGCTAATCGAGGTATGTATGATTGACTCAATGATTCGGCATTGCGAACTCGATCAATTTTAGACTTCTGACGGGAGCTCCATCTAGGCTAGTGTAAATGGAATAGTCAGAGCGATGCCGCCAACACATTGCAACTGACCTCTACTTGGATTGTAGAGTCTGTCCCCTTACAGAAGGCCTCGTTCGGTTGAAGTTAAGCTTGATTCTAGTGCCAAAACTACCCCAAAAGCTCCCCCGCAAAAGCCACTGGAAGCGTGTGGGCCCAGATCTGCATGACGACCAGGTTCTCTATATTACCACCGCACATTTCCCCGGACGCTCCATGCCCAGTTTCTGCGAGGACAAATGCGAACAACGTGCCGGCCTCGTCACTAGGCCATGATCTGAACTAAGGAAACAGACAGACTCGAAAACTCCGACACCCATGTCTGCTGTCCCATTGGCTCGTAGGCCACCTCGGTGCGAGGTCTGGGATCTTGCACGGGGAGAGGGCCCATACTGGAGTAGGTATGTAGCCCGCTTGTTGGCAGAGTCCCGTCTGGTGCATCCCGAGAACGCCGTCAGAGGTACACAATCTCTTCAAGGCATTGGCTTTCATTCTGTCTTGTATCAGGCAGAAGACAGTGAGCAAAGTCATGCCGAAAGTCTATCTCATTGAATACTGCCCCCCTCTCATAGCTTTGGCGATACCCATGTGTATAGGAACAACGGCCCAGCCACCGCAACTTTCAACCTTGTCTTGTCTTGCCTAGCCAACTCAACTCCCTTGCTGCATTGACCATTGATACTCCCGGTTTCTTCTCACCTCTCTGCATACCTCTTGTCATCGCTGCGCAGTCTTCCCCCGCAATAAGTTCGCTTCCCCGAGGGGAACCCCTCGAATAACGCCGAAGAGCCTCCAGATTCGCTGCAAGCCACTCCGCGCCAACCTACCGGAACCAGCAAGAACCACGCCGTTGTCTGTAGCCGTCGATCCTTGACATCAGTTGCGACCCGGTCGGGTACGGCCCAAGCATCCTGGTCGACCCTTTAGTTGTAGTCGTTATTGTCGGGCGGAACTAGAGCTAGAACATATCCATTCCCGATGCCCATTGCATCTGTATCATCGTGAACATGATGCAAGAGCCATCATGGATGAGCGCGGCCATGCAGCCGGGCCAGGAGAATGGTACCATACTGTCCTCGCCCGTGACCTGCATCACATGGTTCTGGGAGCCCGTCCTTTCCTCATATCAGCTCTTCTATAAAGCATTGGATCCCACCTCTCGTTTAATCTTCTCCTCTAGCACCCTTTGTACTTTCGTGTTAGTCACTCGGCACTTCTACTTTCGGTACCAGAGAGGGCACAAGATGGCTCGCTCCATGCTCGCCCTATCGGCGGCGTATGTACTTGGATTACTTGCTCTTGTGCAGTCTCAGACCTCAACCACAACATCCCCGGGTGCCGTCTTTACAATACCTGCTTCTGCAGATGAAGGCCAGCCTCTGATACCAAACATTATAGACCCACAAGCGGTCGACCCTCAATCTGTCTGTCCTGGCTACACGGCTTCAAATGTTGTCGAAACAGCCAATGGAATCACTGCAGATTTGACCCTGGCTGGATCTGCCTGCAATGTATACGGCAACGACATTGAGGATCTCACTCTTACAGTCGAGTATCAGGATGTCGATCGCTTGCATGTGGAGATCCAGCCCAGATACATTGGTCAAGAGAATAGCACCTGGTTCATCCTGCCTGAAGAAATTCTTCCTAAGCCTGGGATTGACACCGACGGATGTGCTTCTAAGAGTGACTTGTATTTTACTTGGAGCAATGATCCAACATTCTCTTTCACTGTTACGCGCAACAGTACAGGAGATGTTCTCTTCAGCACCGAAGGGACCAAGCTGGTCTATGAGGATCAATTCATTGAGTTCAAGACTGGGCTTCCAGAAGACTACAATCTTTACGGTCTTGGAGAGGTCATGCACGGCTTGAGGCTCGGAAATAATCTCACGAGTAAGTTCGAATGACACTTGACTTTACGTTCTTTCGGATTCTAATATTATCTAGGGACTCTTTTCGCAGCAGATGTTGGCGACAACCTTGATGCCAATATCTACGGACACCACCCTGTTTATTATGACACCCGGTATTTTGAGGCAGACAACGCTGGACAACTAACCTACGCTACCAATACCAATGACACGTCCAAAACTTACAAGTCTTACACTCATGGTGTTTTCCAACGCAATGCTCACAGCCAGGAAATCCTGTTAGAGGCGCCCGGCATTACGTGGAGAGCGCTTGGTGGAGAGATTGGTAAGTAGGGCAGCCATGACTGAGACAGCTCCTGCTAACCAAAGTCACTTAGATCTCTATTTCTTCCAGGGACCTACCCAAGACGCTGTCACCAAGTCTTACCAAAACAGCATCATCGGACTGCCAGCTTTCCAACAGTGGTGGACTTTTGGCTATCACCAGTGCCGATGGGGTTACAACAACTGGACGGAGCTTCAAGAAGTCGTTGACAATTTTGCCAAATTTGAAATTCCGCTTGAAACTATATGGAGTAAGTTGTGATCTATGTATCTACTGAGTTGGCCCGATATTGACCACAAGAAATACAGATGATATTGATTACATGAACCAATACCGGGACTTTGACAACGATGCGATTCGTTACCCGTATGATGAGGGCGCTGAATTTCTCGAGAGACTTCACGCCAACAACCAGCACTACGTACCTATCGTAGATTCGGCAATCTACTCCCCCAATCCAGAGACTGAGCAAGGACAATATCCCATCTATGACCGAGGTGTTGAGCAGGATGCCTTCCTCTTGAATCCCGATGGTAAGTCAACACTCGGCCAGTCATGAAGGGACCGGAACTTTCCCAGACACTGACACGGAAATAGGTTCATTATACGTAGGAGCCGTTTGGCCTGGTTACACGGTGTTCCCTGATTGGATCGGTTCCATCTTTAATGGTACTGGCGCAAACAAGTGGTGGGCCTCGGAGTTCACAACTTGGTACGAGAAGGTCAAGTTCGACGGTATCTGGATCGACATGTCAGAAGTCTCCAGTTTCTGTGTTGGCAGCTGTGGAAGTGCCAACTTGACTCTCAACCCTGCCCATCCCCCTTTTCTGCTTCCTGGCGAGCCTGGCAACCTGGTCACCACTTACCCAGAGGGATTCAATCTGACCAACGGTACTGAGGTGACCACAACATCGACCTCTACAGTAGCCGAGGCCACCACGACATCGTCTTCTACTTCGACCTCTTATCTCCGCACAACACCTACACCTGGAGTGCGAAACATCAACTACCCGCCATACACAATCAACAACTTTCAAGGAGTTGACTTGGCCGTCCACGCTGTCAGTCCCAACGCAACGCATCATGGTGGCACCCTTGAATACGACTTCCACAACGTCTATGGCCACCAGATTCTGAACGCCACCTACCACGCTCTCCTCGAGGTATTCCCAGGCAAGCGCCCCTTCATCATTGGACGATCTCAGTTCGCCGGTTCCGGAAAATGGGCAGGTCATTGGGGAGGCGACAACAACTCTCTCTGGGCCTACATGTTCTTTTCCATTCCCCAGGCATTGTCGTATTCCCTGTTTGGATTTCCCATGTTTGGCGTTGATACCTGCGGTTTTGGCGGCAACACGGATATGGAGCTCTGCGCTCGATGGATGCAGCTCTCGGCCTTCTTCCCTTTCTACCGCAACCACAATGTCTTATCTGCCCTGCCGCAGGAGCCCTATCGATGGTCTGCCGTGGCTGATGCTTCCAAGGTGGCCATGAAGATTCGGTATGCACTATTACCTTACCTGTATACCACTTTCTATCTCAGCCACTCAACCGGCTCTACGACTTTACGCGCGCTCGCCTGGGACTTTCCCGACGAGCCTTGGTTGGCCGCCGCTGACCGCCAGTTCCTCCTCGGCGACGCCATTCTCGTCACGCCTTGCTTGGTCCAGGGTGCCGACACGGTAGACGGAGTCTTTCCTGGCGTCGGATCGGGTACGATCTGGTATGACTGGTACAACCAAACCGCCGTCACGGGTGTTGCCGCCGGCCAAAACGTTACGATTGCGGCTCCTCTGGGACACATTCCCGTTTATGTCAAGGGCGGCAAGGTCGTGCCACTACAGGAGCCGGCCCTGACTACGGCAGATGTGAGGAAGAGCCCGTACAGCCTCCTCGTTGCACTCGATGGAGAAGGCAAGGCGTCTGGTGGGTTGTACATTGATGATGGCGAAAGCCTCGAGACGGAGAGCACTTGGATCGACGTAAGTTTTTTGAATTATGCCGCCTTATCGCGGTTAACTTTGGTGAGATTTGAATCTGACATAGACTTCTTAGTTCGAGGCTACCTCTAGCAGCCTCGAGGCCAGCCCCAGCGGTAGCTTTGCCGAGACCAATGCCCTCGCCAACGTCACTGTCTTGGGTGTACAGGGCAACCCGGCGACAGTGCAGCTCAACGGTGAGGATGTCGGATCCTTGTTTGCATTCGACGCCGAATCTCAGAAACTCAGCATCACGGGCCTGGATCAGCTGACCCAGGAGGGGGCCTGGGCAAGGGAGTGGACTTTGACCTGGTCGTAGATAATAGTCATCTGAATAATTTTTGCATCTTTGAAATGTGATTCAAGTTGGCTCGAGTCGACGGATTGTTAATCGCTTGAATTTCGTTCTAAACTTTAAATTTTAAAGTACAAGCTGATATAAATTGCCTGCCGTTGCCGTGATCGGGCGCACCCTGCTGCCTGACATCGCGCTATGCTATAGAAGACGGACCCACGCAATCCAATAAGCGGCGGTGTCATCAAAGTCGTAGGACTTCCGCTTGAAACAAACTTACTGCATGCAGTATTTGGGTTCCATTCTTCTCCAGGTTGAAGAATTTCTCATCTTTTTTTCCTCCTTCTTTCTCCTTCTTCTAATAGTACGTCATTTTCTTGCGAGCTTTACACCGCCAATAACTTCCGCAACTGATCATGAAAACGATCGGGATAATTGGCGGCCTTGGATGGCCAAGTACTGCGATATACTACCAGGAAATCAATAAGCGTATCGGCGCCCATTTGGGCGGCAACCACTGTGCCAAGCTTATCGTTATACAAGCCGATCTGGAGGAGATACTCGAACTAGAAGGAGCCAACGAATGGAGCAGAATTGGACAGCTTATGGTCGATATGGCTGAGCGACTTAAAGCTGCGGGGGCCGACTTTTTCCTGCTTGCTTGCAACACCATGCACAAATCCCTGGTGCCTTTCAAGCACACTTTGCCATTGCCATTTCTTGACATAGTGGATACAGCCGCAAAGAAGGCCATTGCTTACCAGAAAGTCGCTCTGATCGGCAGCAAGCCTACCATGACGGATAACTATTTTCTTGGGCCACTTATCACGGAATATGGACTGAAAGTCCTTGTCCCGCCAGTGGCGCAGCAAGACGCGATCCAGACGGCGCTTCACGGGGAATTGGTGAAAGGGCTTGTCTTGGAATCGACCAAAATGATGTTCGCAAAAGTCGTCGCAGATTTGATTGATCGTGGTGCAGAGCTTATCATACTGGGATGTACAGAGTTTGGAATGCTTCTCCAGCAGACGGACATCTCTGTTCCAGTGCTCGAGACACTGGCTGCTCATGTTGAGGCTGCGGTAGATTTCGCAGTCAATTGATACGCGCATTAGGATAGCCGAAACTTTTGGAACAATACAATGACATGGGACCCATTACATGGTATTATTAAACAATACGAACATCCAGTACCCCTTGCATTCCGGCCACCTGGAGCAGGATAATGTTATTCCAGTCAATCCCCCTAATTTGTGTTTACTGTTGACGAGGTTTGAGACTTGAGAGTGCAGAAGGGTCGAAAACAGGTCTAGGTGAAGAGGGAAGGTATATCAATAAAGCGCCCATTGATACACTCAGAACAGCGAAGCTGTTATAGTTTACAAGCCATTCAAATGAGCCAGTGACGGTTCTCCGTAACAGTTTTGTTCCATGTTCCATTCCCTTATTCGAGGAGCTCGGCGATGTCTAAAGTGCGGGCAATGATACAACCTTGCTTGAGTCCCTCCAAGCAATGCCTCTTGGCTTACTAGCTAAGCCGGGAAGTGGACGCCATCTGCCTTTGGAAAGCTGCCCGCCTGGGTCTCTTTCAGTTAAAGAGATTTCATCTTCACCCCAACAAATATATTTGTCTGGCTGCCACATGGCGAGCCAAAACCTTTCCATTAAGAATCCTGTCTCTGGATTCACATGCTCCATAGATCCAAGGAACATGGAATTGAGCAAATCTTGATAGAAGTCCTTTGATAGGTTATGGATCAGCTCTCGTGGGACAGCAAAAACAGCCCCGGAGACATATCCAACACTCAAGGGGATTCTGCCTTTCCCAAAGAACTGAGCAAAATAAGTAGCCGGTGTCTGTGCTGCGTGTCTCATTTCCATAGAGGCCCATTTCGCGAGGCAAGGGTGTGAAGACCACTGGATCCCAGTCCATTCATCGAAACAGACGAGCTCAGACGAAACGGTGTCGGCTGAAGGAAACGTTATAATCTCCCTCTTGTTGTGATTGAGACATATATCTCGGATCTGTTCAATGGATAACGCTACATGATCTTCGATGTGCCCTTGTACGAAAAGGACAACATCTGCAAGGTCGTGGTAGCATGAAATAATATGTTGAAGGTATGTATGGCCCTCCCGGCCAATATTTGGAAGTGGTAAGAATTTGAAGGGCTTAGAGGTTGTTGGTATATCCCCCTTTGAATAGATAGTACAGTCCTCGGATACAGGATTGAGCCACTTTAGGTCCTCGTTGTAATGTGCGACCACAATTTCAAATCGTCGATTTGCCATTGCTGATGTGGAAAGCAAAGTTGTTGTGTTAGTCCCTCCATCTTGGTTATTTTCTGAGAGGGAACGGGTCTGTAATAACCTTTTTGTATTCAACGCCTCGGTGTAGCTTCTTCATATCGTATCAGTATTGATTATTAACCACGCCGCCAGAGCCTTGAAATTACCGTTAGATACCGGTATATTGATCCGTATTATCTTCAATCTATAATAAAAAAAAATGCACTTTCCTCTTCGTCCAGCCAAGATATGAAGGGGGCGATGCATGCTGAGCCTTTCGAGTCGTTACGTCCCCTGGGTCTTCACGCAGGACTAGAATGTGTTACAGAGGCATTTTTTAGAATGTAAGACAAGCTTTGGTTACCTCTTCAGCTCCTGCATGAAGCCCAATTCGGATCTCGAGCACTACTCGGCCATTCGCGTTTACAAGACCATGTGGAAGTTCACCGAAACATCACCTACAGCTCCCCGCAAATTGGTTGAGGGTAGCCACTCAGATGTCGACCCTATCTGCAACTGGTAATTCCGACAGCATTTCTTGAGCAAGTCCGAAGATCGGCTAACGCATGGAGGCGTTTTCAAAATCATTATTTCCATTTTGCTCCTTGCCTAGTGCTAACGTGGATGATTCTGAACCTATGAAGCTATAGTACTGGAGGTCTCAAAATCAAGGCAGACTGCCTTGCATCAGACTTTTCGCCCTAGTCGTCAAGGTTGTTTTGTAAGTGTATTGGATGGATTACGCAGACAACTACCGTAATGGGTAGCACCGTTCAAATGCATACAGCCTCGTGTTTTCAATATGTCATCTGAGATCAGCGGAAATGATGACAGCCTACCTAATGGTCATTAACCCGATGGTTTCCGCTTAAAGCGAATTCATTTGAACTTTCTGAATAAATGGGCCTTGGATGTCGTCGAAGGTTGATAACACCTTGGTATTTGTGTAACTCACCTTCTTAACCCTTCTCGTTTTGATATCCCAATATGCAGCACTTATAAGCAGCACGTGTATTTACAATGGTTCTTGCTGGTTCAAATTTGTATGCCGCTCATCCTTTAGATCCCACAAAGCAAAATATTCGAACACTACTGCTGTGCCCGGGAACTGATGGCCAGCAGATATTCTTGGAAATTCAAGTCACTGATCTTGATGTCCCATCTCCGGATTACATAGCGCTATCCTATGTTTGGGGAGTCAGTATTGCATTGGAAAAGGTCAGTCTTGCTGGTCAAGAAATCCCGGTCACTGAAAATTTGTTGAGCTGTCTTCGTCACTTGCGACACCGGGATGATGCTCTGAAGATCTGGGTTGATGCCATCTGCATTAACCAGAATGACCTCGAGGAGAAGTCGAATCAGGTTGCCATGATGGGCTACATATATTCGAGATGTTTAGCCGTGTACTGTTGGCTTGGAGCACCTACCGATCCCATGGCCGCTGAAGTTGATCCTTTCCAGATCCTTCGACACTTCGCGGAGGACAAACACTATCATCAGCTTCCTGGCTTCTCCGTTGATGAAGAGACTTTTGTTCGCTTCGAAGAAAACCACGAGTTCACTTCAAATTGGAGAGGTTTTCTTGCGGTCGCCGAGAGTCCTTATTGGACTCGGAGTTGGACTGTCCAGGAGCTCATACTGCCAAACGCATCTGTCGTCTGTTATGGCTACTGGAGAATATCGTTCGAAACCTTGATTCTTGCTCGAAGGCTACGAAACGCACACCTTTGGCATCGTGAAGACCATTGTTGCGACAAGAGCTACCAAGCATTTCCAGCATCCTTCAAGAAGCCTTTTGATATATTTCTAGGTCAAGTCGAATGGATAGAGAGGTTTCGACAGATTCACTTACCTGAGGATCACCCATTATCTTCGAAAGGTCAACCACGAACCTACCCCGATATTGATTATCGACCTTTCAGCGAACTTCAGGTGACCTTCTCTCACAGGCTTTGCAGTGAACCTCGAGACAAGGTTTTCTCGCTTCTTGCGATGGCTGAAACGGCCAATCTAAGGAATTATCGACCTGATTATACCAAAGATCTGAATACTACCTATCAAGAAGCCTTTCAGCTGATGCTTGAAGAACTTGAAAATGACTTCCGGTGTATGATAGGTCCGACGTTTGCTTCACAAAATCCTCGTCTTCCATCTTGGGTCCCGGACCTCTCTCACCATACTCCCATTGGAGATGTCGAATTCATCCTTCGGCGAATTTTACTGTCTTCCTTGTACAAAGCATCAGACAAACAAATCGGAACCTTTGGACAGGGTCATGCATCAGAGCTTCACGTGGCGGGATTCCAAGCAGACACGGTTGCTACTATCGGCCCCCTTTTGGAATTGGATTCAACATCTCTACCACGCGTATTGGCAGACTGGAGAGCCTTATGCGAGAATGTTATGGGTTCATCTGCGGACAACGACGCTATTCGTACTCTTATGTCTCGAGTTATGTGTGCCTCAACCGTGGACGATGGTACGCCATTGTATGGACACTACCGTGGTTGGCGGCGATATCGGGCGACCGACACCCCATCCCCTTAGCATGGCAAAAATTCATGGAAGGAGACATGTGGGCACTAAATGAAGCCTATAGAGGAACGATGGAGTCTAACTCCAGCCGCCGCCGTCTGTTTACAACAGAAATCGGGAGAGTCGGCCTTTGTTACGAGCATGTCAAGTCTGGCGATCAGGTTTGGGTGCTCAAGGGTTCCGATTTGCCCTTCATACTAAGAAACATCTCAACGAGGCATACGACTACGCAATCTCATCGCTTCATTGGAGATTGCTTTCTGGACGGCATTATGGATGGAGAGACAGTCACAGGCACCACACAGTGGACTTCATTAACTCTGGTCTAGACCTTAGACTCTCAAGCATCATCACTAAGAAAGTACAACATAAGTAGGCATCAAGCCGAGATCTTCGCCTCCCTACCGCCGTCTCAGTCTGCACACGTGTGTGTGATGATCTAGTTATCGGTACCTGGTTGCTTTATGTAGGGCTGCTGCTACATCATCCCCTGTAAACCATCCACCAAGAATTTTATTACCCAGAAATCGTTTGAGAGCCAAAGACAGTTTAATTGAATTATATAATCTGACTCGAAAGGCGCGAGACCGCAAATGCCATTATTCCAACACACGCCAATATTGCAGACCTAATTTTCAAGCGTAAAAGAAATAATTGAACTGAAATCATGTTTGCATAAACACGTACCCGTTCCAAAATTTACTGTCTGGATAGCAGCACGTTGTGGACTCTTGATACGAGTTCTAGGAATAGTCAATAGATGTACTGATTATTGTGAAAGCACAACCATACCATATGTTTTTTCCACATATAAAAATGTAGCGGAAAACTTTTTAAGGGTGACCAAAGCGGACTCCAATGCCCGAACGCATTGACCTTTCCACTCATTATGCTGCGAATGACGTGACCGACTTTGATCCAAGTGGCTGAAATAAATCATCAAGAGGGTGTATGCACACTGAACCGTAGAGCAGAAGAAGTATGGGACTAAGCGACAAAATTGTAAGCAATAAAATCCTCGATATTATGTAACATTATGATTAACTCACCATGGACATTGTCTCGCAGGGTCGCGAGATGGGTGTTGATTTCCAAGGCACAGTCTAGGCAGACCTGACGTGACTTGGATTCCGAGAACGGGAACAGTGAGGGAACGCCGCTTGAAGAACTTGTCTCATCATTGCCCGGCCAGGCAAAGGCTAAGGAGGGAATGAATGCACCAGTATCACTGTGTTCCTCGGGCAGATGCTCAAACTGTTCCAACAGGCCATGGGAACCCATAAAGGCACAGTATCTATGAACTTTGATTTTTGCACTTGAAAGTATGATCATTAGCTTTCTGAAAACGATGGCAACATGGTATCGTTTCCTTGTACACACCTTGCGAGTCTGACACTGGTGACTTTTTGCAGAGTACGCTGACTTTTAGACTCGGCATCATCTTCTCTGCTTGTTTGGGGTGCCTGTGCTGAATTTGTATCCAAGCTATAATGATATGCCATTTGCGCGTCGACGATATCATTGAGTAATGCTGCACCCTCGTGAAAGCCAGATATAGAGGACGGCTGGTCGCACCCTTTGACTAGGGCAACGAGATATAAAGTTGCAGCCAATAACGTTTCTTCTGCACGTATATAAATTTCCCAGACCTGATGTATTCGTCAGACCCAGGAGCGAGAATATATAGTAAACTGAAATGGGGATTTCTGACTTTCTGAGAGCCGCAGCTGCTAGGATATGGCGTTCTGAGTATCGAGCGATCTATGCTTTTTGGAGCCTGAACATGTTATTTTGGTGAGCCCGGGTTTCCACTCAAGTAGAATAAAGCTATACAAACCTTGCAATTCACAATGCACGCATTGCAATAGGAAAGATACTTGAAGCAGGGAAAGTCAGCCAGAGAAAATATGTGACAAATTGTGGGGACAAGTCAACATACCGACATCCACCAAGCTCGCCTTATGGCTTCAGCAGCCGGGTCTTCTCCTTCATACTGATGCAACGATAGCTGCATTGAAACGTCCAAGGCCCGCTCGGCGATCTGCAGCATTCTCGGCAGGTTTCCGTTGCACAAATAATCCTGTACACTCAGCATGCACAAGGCTAATGGGATCTCGAGCTTGTCCGGAACGCGAGGATGAAGCCATGGCTCGTTGCCATTTACACTTTCGTGTATTACAGAAGCTGACTGCATCACATGGGAATGCTTTTCGATGCTCTCCAAGGCACATCCGGCGAGGGATTGGCTCAGTTTGCAGCGCGTCTCTTGGGTTTCTTCTTCTCCCACCACGACTCCTTCATCGGATCGTGGGAAGAGAACAAGCAGAGACAATAACGCTAGTACCAATGGCGAAGTTGGTTGGTAGTCCGCGAAAAGGTTCTCAACATTTGGCGGTGAAGTTGATAATGGCGGGACTTCTTGTACAAGGCTCGTCGCCTTATGCTTCCTCTCTGGGGGTGGGAGAATCGGAAACGATGGATGTATGAAGGTGTAGTACGCCTCAATACTTTACAAGATACCGTCAGAACAGGTTTACTGGAAATGAAGTTTGAGGCTTACACATCTTCGTTTCTCTAATATGGCCGGAGAGCATACATATTCCCATTTACCGGCATGGATGAGGTAGCATCCACGTCGAGGGCATACGCTTGCGGGTATGAAGGTGTTGCGAAAAGATCGGCAAAGAATTCGTCAAGGTCTGGATTCCACGTTTCATCGAAGTGAAAGTTTGGCGGGTCACTGTCAACGTAGAGAGCAGGCAAGATGTTGACTGGCGAGGGGTCGAAATCAATGTGATCCATGACATCAGCTTCATAAGCTCCGGTGTCGTGAGCAGGAGGCCTACGCCTTGCCAGACCACGCCGACTCTGACCATAGGTACACGCCAAGCCTCTGGCATTGCACTTTATACAATCAGAATGATAATTTTAAAAGGCCGGGTAGGAAGATATGGTGGTGATTACCCGATAGCACGGTTGTGTACCGCTACATCGAACACGGGAGCCTCGGCTTATAGGATATGATCGCTGTTAGCCATCTTTTTTGTAGCTCCAACAACATGCGAAGAAATAGAAAATACATGTAAGTGTATAAAATGCAAGATAGAGGTTGTTAGAGGAATACGTACCAGGTCATGCAAGCTAGCTTGACGGGTGGCTTTGCAAATTTCTTCCGGACCGGCGATGGTGTAACCTGGTGATGTTCCGCATCTTCTCCTGCTGGCATTGGAGGCATTATTGGACTTGGTGACTTCGACGCTTTGATCAAAGAAGATGACAGGCTTAATTGGAAGCAATTATGAGATATCAGGACATGTTATGAGACCATACCCTGGGAAACCTTGGAGTGGGATGATAACTAAGCAGTGGAGCTGGAACGATCCGTGACAACCTATGTCGTAGGGTATACCAGATAAGCAGGACGGTGGGTCATTCTCAATTCACGTCGTCCGGTCACTGATGTAGGTATAGTTGATAAGTTGGCAATACGTTACCTGGTTCTGTTTAAATTTCATGTATGCTTGTTGGCGAATCGCTCTGCAACTCGCGTCCTTGATCACATGATCTAGCGGCCAACTCTTAGGCGCTCCAGTGCTTGATGGTCAATTACCTCAGGCACCCCATCGGCCCCCGGGCACAGACAGTATGCACTGGACAAGCGTTTTTCACCGCCCTAGGTCACACTAATAGCTCTGCAACGTACCACGAAATACCGCACCTGGTAGTAAATACATCCGTTGGACAGTCTCACCAGGATTGGCAGGCGATGCAGAACAGCGACTTCTCGCAGCTCGTGAGCGAACGAGAGGAAGAACAAGAACAAGATGGAGGAAGAGACGACCAGACTGTGGCATCTCTTCCTTTACCACCGGAATATTCTCAAATATGTTGGCTCACCATTGATTTCGTTTCGCAGGCAATGTGCCACCATCTCGTGGGGGCAATGGTCTAGGTTAGGAGCTAACAACATCCGTCTTCCGACTTGCAGATTCTCGATTTCGCAACAAGGCCAATGCCGATCCATTACAAGACTTTCACAGTTTTCTCCAGAGCTCGCGGCTCAAAGATGATCTTTTCCGCCCGCTGACGACAAATGGGACTTCGCAGCATGACAATGTCTCGCGATCAACCTACCAACTTGAAAGAGCGAGGGAACGTCATACTTGGTTTGGTATCACAAAGGACCACCTCACATGTCTTCAACTTCTGCTACCAGATTTCAATCTGCCACCTCAGCAGGTGCTGGACAGATATCTCGAGGCTTCCCATGGAATTCTGACCAATCGATTTCTCTTTTGCCTTGGTTCAGCTTCGACCTCTCAAGGCCGCCTGGCTACGCAGCTCTGCCTGCTCTCCCTTGGAGCAGAAGCTTTATACGAAGAAGAGGCGGCCATGAAACTCCACAACGCCAGCAGAGTTGTAGTTTTTGACATGCTGCAACGTGTTGAGAACAGGAACAACAAGATCAGCAACGTGGATAATCAACAACTAGAGTATGGACATATTCTCTTATCCTTGTCCCCCAAAACGACGATTTGATATCGTGCCCGTATTAATCCATGACAAAACCATTGCACACTTACTCAACTCGACGTTTCTGTAGGGTTTACTTAGAGGCGCTCTGCGCTCTAATTCTTATTAGTGAATTCATTTATTTGAAGCAAGGCGATAATCTTCTTCGAGATACCTTGCTGATCCGCACCCACGCGGTCTTCTGCTTAGCTCGAATATCAGACGAGTGTACAACGTCTGACCACGACACCTTTCATGAGCCCAGCAGGGCTCCGTTTTCTCATCATGAAGATGCCCGTCGAATCATAACGCCACTAGCATTCTGCAAGCTTAATCTACACACAGTCCTTCTCGGTACCGACATCGCCATTATTATGTCTCCTGAGAAAGTCCGTCTTGTTAGCTATACGGCCTCAAGATCCCAGCCAGGCTGGAAAAATGTCGAGGGCTCCCGATTTGACAGCAAACTCCCGCCAACTCTAAGCGATGCCATGCACACACTTCTTGACGGCACTGTTCAACCATTAAATCAGTACTGGCTACGCGACAGGATCAACTTATACGTCGTAGTCACGTGGATACTATACTGTATTGAAATGGCCAAGTATTCACAAAAGGCAATGATCTTGACCCGTCAAAATGGACATGCGGAGCATCTTGCTTCTTTCGTGTAAAGTGCCTCTAGAATAATTGGTGTTCTACCGGGTCTTTTATGGCTTGAGGCTAACTCACAGCCAGGCTTGCTATCGATCGATGCGATGAAGCTTGGCGTCGCCTTGAGGTACAGCCTGCGGAAGATGGTTCCTGTGCTGTGTCCGCAAATTATATGGACTCGCTGATTGCTTTGGCACGCCTCCGACTCATCTTCGACATTGATAGCCACATAATCTTGCGAGCAAAATCACAGATGGAATCTGCTCAACAATTATACCACTTGCCCAGACCGAAGCGATCCCCGCGGTCGCTGCCTGTATTAATGTACTGTGTTCACGTTTTGGAGCAGCCATCTAAGCTGGGGATCATGCTGTACGCCCGCACGAGGCTGAGTACCTGGCCACTGGAGAGAATTATTGCTGTCTTTGAACGCATTGTCTTTCTCTCCAAATGGTTGCAAGAAATATCATGTTCTCTGAAAGAAGAGCCCATGACTTGTAAGTCACCCCTCTGGATACCAGAGGTCAACTTGTCCAGCAGATGATTGCACACAAGACTGTCTCTTTGGTCATGATTTGAGCCAGCAACCTGTGATTTCATGCTGACTTGACTTTCTCCCTAGCCTCTGAATCAGATATATATGAAAAGATACTGGCGCAAATTCAACTGGTGGATCTAGGCGTAGACGCGGCAATTACAGGTACAGTGACTACAACCTCAGCAGCTTCTCTCTCTGTCGCAATTGTTCGGGTGATGGCGCTCATGTTTGGCTATCCCACAAACAAGCCCTTCATCCGCCTTACTGCGGAGATTCTCGAGTGTTATGGCCATTTGTTGAAAGGGACGAGTATCTGAAAGTTGCCCCCAACAGAGATTGGACTTGCTATCACATTGTAATGCTGTATATTATTCGAACCCCGATTGTGAAGTGGTCGTTCATAATCTATTCCATGATTCATATGTTGAGATATTGTCAACTTTGCCGGACGTTGTGCTGAGTACAGGATTGCAATCAGTGACAATCAAGAGCAAGTACACTGCGCATCATCGAGCACATCCCAAATCTACAAGATCTCTCTCGATTATTTCGACTTCTGACCCAATCTACTTTCGATCGACGGGTGCGTGGGCACGAACCTCAATCTCGACCCGCATATCATCAAAAGCCAATCGCGGAACTCCCAGGCATGTCCACGTCGGTTGGTGGTTGGGGCAGTATTGCTTCAGACATGCCACCATGGTTTCCATGGCTTCTTGGTTGCAGGGGAGATGGTGCGAGCGCAGGAAAAAGACGTCCTCCCAGCCGCGACTGCCTGCCAGCTTGAGCGCGTGGTCCACATTGTCAAAGGCTTTTCTGATTTGTACCACGACGTTGGGGTCGATCTTGTCTGTTTCGCGGTCCCATCCTCCTACAGACGAGGCACATTAGAAGTGTCAGTGAGGAAAAAAGAGAAGAAGAAAAGAGATGCAAACACGGAACGGGGCTTCGAGATGGGTTATTGAGATGGTATTTACCTTGACCGGCGCACTCAATTATGTCTCCAACGCGCACAGCTTGGCTATACCAAAGGGTCTTTTGGGATCTTTGGCCGTAGCCCTCGTACGAGGTGTAAGTGAGATGAGACATGGTTCTTAGTCTGAAGAAGAGCAAATAAAAGAAAGGACTCGATAATAAAAAGTGTGTGTGTAGGTTGGGGATAACAAGTAGTATTATATAGATTAGAATATGGTACCACTGCTTAGGTAGGTGCAGTATAAAGAGACTACGGTAGCCCACTTCAACAAGAGCCCGAAGTCAGGGTAAACTACAAACGGTTTGTATGTGCGAAAGTCTTCGGGTTCAAAACAATACTCGACAAAGGCACCATGGCTTGCAGAAAATTCATGTACCTAAATTTGACAAACATCAGAGTATTGCGTTGAATCATGCTGTCGCTTGGGTAACACCAGCATCGGGATCTCCTGGACTGGATCCACCTTCGGGATCTTACTAACTGGACCCGTCGTCACCGACTAAACAAGACTTCGGGATTCGTGTGGATCCAGCCTACCATATTCCCATGCCGATGGGGATGTCCCTTTCGACCTTGGTGAGGCGAGGAAATGTCCGGCATTTCTGTGTTGTATGTAACCTTATTGCAATAGCCCCATGCTATTTCGCGGGTAATTTATCTTCAAGAAAAGAGAACCATTTCAATCGCACGCGCACACTGCAAACCAATTTTGTCAATCAATTCAGCTTGTTGATTTGTTTTCTCTACCAACTGAATCATATCTCTCTGCCTTCGAATAATCACCAAACCGCCAGCTCTCAACAGTAGAAAGGTCTAGCAAAGAATATAACCGGGTAGAAGTGGTGCTCTGTGGCAACAAGCACCACGGAACGGTGTAAGAATAAAAGGGTTATGTGCCGAGGGAATGTATACAGGTCAGGGTGTTCATTTTTCGTCGTCGCAAAGCCAGAAACTTTAGGGAATGTTTTCGGAAGAGCAGATGAACAAATGAATCGGAATCAATCGCCGCTTTTTCTTTTGCTCGCTTGCCCCAATCATCCGTCAGTCATTATACCATGTCATTCATGACGAGCCCATTTTTTCTTTTGTTTTTTCCGGTATCGGCCGATAAGTCGGGAGCTGCAGTCCTGATGGCCGTAATTTTCGTTTCTTCAAATAGAGGGAAAATCATCTGGACAAGATTCTCCTTGCCGTCAACTCAGGTTTGTTTGCATTTACTGCTTTCTGTAACCTGTGGGGTAGGTTCCCGAGGTGATTGTGATGGTGCTAGGAGGCGGGCAAGTTGCGTATCTATTTCAAATAAAGAGTCAGTAAAGATTTGATCCTCCAAGAGATGCAATATATATCTCTAGGAAATAGGGTATAGGAACTAACTTACCCTCCCTTCGCAGTCGTCGTAACAGTGGTGGGTACAGTCACCGTGGTAGGCACTGTCACGGTAGAAACCACAGGCTGGAGTTGGATCAAGTCAGCATAGATTCAAATAGTCGCAAGAGATGACCAGACTTTTTTTTTTTTTTTTTTTTTTTAAAAAAAAAAAGAGATAAAACTGCCGAGGCTATATATACTCACATAAGCACTGCTGGTGATTGTCACAGTCTTGGTCTCGGTGACCGGCTATGATTAATAGAGTTAGCATACTTGTTTAAAGTATACACCAAGGAGGTGTGAAGCTTGATGGCAAAATCCATCAGAGGAGGGACTTACGTAGCCAGCAGAGGTCACAGTGACAGTCTTGGTCTCAGTAACGGGCTATTTATGGCATTGTCAGCGGATCTCTGGAAACTGATGTAACTGATGCATATGAACATATCCGAATGACTTCGAATAGAGTCTGGGCAGCAAAATTATCGAGGGGGTTGCTTACATAACCGGCAGAAGTAATAGTCACGGTCTTGGTTTCAGTGACAGGCTGCAAATTAATTCGTTAGCATTCATCGGATTCCCAACCAAGCCTATCCCCAGGCCGCGCGCATGGTACAAAATCACTCACCTTGCCCGAGACAGTGACTGTGGTGGGAACTGTGACGGGAACTGTAATGGTCTTGTCATTCTCCTTGGTGACAGTGCTGGTGACATATCCTGTCTCTGTAACTGTCTTTCCAGGGCCAGTGACAGTCACGATGGACGTGACGGGCTGCAAGATCAACATTAGCGTCTCTGCACAGTCATGAGCGAACATGATTCTTGCAGCTGCATTGCAAGAGGACATTGGGAGGAGAACAACCAAGCATTACTTACAGCTCCAGTCTTGGTGACTGTGACGGTGTCGGTCTTGGTGACGGGCTGTATCTGTATTAGTTCAATGTGCTCTTGCCAACCATGATTTCCGATTACACTTAAAAGGACTGGCTTACGTAGCAATCGGCTGTCTTGGTAATGACTTGGGTCGTTCCAGGACCAGTGACAGTAACGGGATAGGTAATGGTAGTATCTTTTCCTGGCAGTGTAACAGTCTGCGTGGTACCTTTTCCAGTCACAGTTGAGACGACGGTTGAGAAGCTCGTCACAGTAATGGTCTGCGGAAGAGTCAGTCATTTGGACATGTTTCTGAAAAAGCATGGCAGTATGCCAAGGCATACCTTGGCAGTTCCGTATTGTTGGCTAGTGACGGTGACCGTCTTGGGGGCGCAAGTTCCGTAGCCATCATCACCAGGAACGGGACTGGCAGCAACAAGAGCGCTGTGTTCCACAAGTCAGTTGTATATCATGGTCATATCATGAAACGGCGGACATACCTCAAGGCGAGAATGAGAGATTGAGTCTTGAACATCATTTTGAAAATAAATTGGAAGGCTTGTCAATCACGATGACTGTCAAAAAGCGAAAGTTTTGCTGGTAGCGAAGGACGTAAAGGCTCTTGCTGAGTTGGCTTGAGATACTTGAATGGTCTTCGTTTTCGAGAGGATCTCAGCAGGACTTTATAGAAAATGCACCTGCCTCGATGTAGAGGAGTGGTCCATAGAGTCATTGTAAGGATTCTTCCACTTTGTCGCTACACTGACCACGAAAACGACCATACTCTGCTATGTCCACGATAATAGGCTGCATCATGCATCTCCGACCTTTCCGGCTCGGCGATCAACACTGAATTGAGAATGACATTACATGATGATCTGGTCGGAGTAGTTGTGGCCCGAGGTCTGCTAAGGAGGAATACTCAGCCAAGAGTACCAATACTGAACCAAGGGGATCTCGAATAACCGATCATCCAACCTCATCTCTACGGGTTCGGTGTCCAGGCATGACTGGGCCATTCAAGTCGCGTTACGCCAAAGTATGGTACCTCGTTTATACAGCTGCAGATCCCTGCATGCAACGTGGTCGTGCTACATCCGTTACAGGATTCAGGAAATGCTGCCTGGCCTGCGAGGACCGATCGGGCTACAGACAGACATGAATGAGCAAGGTTCAATAAGTTTATTCTGACCACATCAGATGCCTCCTGCTTCTCGAAACGTTCGGTGCAATTGCCTGCAGCCAGCAGCACCCGTTTGTTGCGGTTCCCATCGAGCACATGGTTCTAGCACGCCTGACCGTTGGAATGTTGATTTAAAGTTGTGGATTGCATACTTCATCTTTTGAAGAATGATGGATATGCTGACATCAGATTCTCACGTCTCCGGGGTAATGATGAGAGGTATTCAAGGTCCTGTAAGATACACGACGTCGAAATACTCGATTCCATTCAGCATTTCATAGCCCCAAAGTGTGGAGAAGGCCCGGGACGTGAGCCGTGTATACAGGCTATGCGAAAACTGGTCTGCAAAGCCCAAAAGCTGGAAGAGGTGGTAAACAAGCTCTGGTATGGAGGTACAACGCCCTTGGCCGGGCTGACCCTCTCTTGGGGCCACCGAGGCTGGGTGATTCTAAGATGTCAGTGGCTGGAGAGGACAAGTTTCGATGAAGCTCGGTTCTCTGGGGTACATGGTTCTCCTTGTTGTCCCCGAAGGAGCAGCTGGGTGGCAATTTGTTGGCGACGGCCCGTATATGCGAGGTCAGCTCACTTTCGGGTCCGCCCTTATGCGGTGAGCTGTGTGACCGGTCTAGGGGTTGGATGGAGCTAGAGGACAGGCAGCGATACAGGACTAGAAGAAGATTCCGAAATGGTTTAAACGTCTTGTGCAGAAGCTGAAAGATCTTGCGAGAGAATGATGATTGTTACCAATGATGAGAGCCGATGATGTGTTCTCTGCGCATCCTACCACGACATATTCAGGCTCGGACACAACGGCAGTAAGGTCAAGATATTGTCTGCCGTGTCAACATGCTCAAGATGAGATGTCGACTGGAGATCGTTCTCATTGCAGAATTTGGATGAGCTGCGTGATCTGGAAAGCCGTGCCGACGAGCATGTATTGGCTCACGATTCAGAGATGGGCCTGGCTGTCGATGAATGCTAGCTTGGGCGTTACATAGCAGCTTGCACGACTCCCGCTTCTCCAAAAATAACCTACAAATGGCCCCAAAAGCTGAACGAAAGAACCCGAACAGCGAATTTGCCTAATACTCCTTCAGCCTCGAGCCTCGCTAACGGAAGATGCAAAGTGTCGATCCAGAGTGCATTATGAAGTCGAGTGTCTCGCGAAGCCATCATGCCTGTCCAGGCAAGTAACATGTGTTGCTTGCCTTGAGGGGCTTTGGGCTGTACAGACCGACCAGTCGGAGCTTTTCTAAGCCTCCAAAGCCAAGCCTCACCTGCAGCCTCTGATCGGATCGATATTGTCGTTTGTTTGACCAATGAGTTATAGCATTGGCTGGGGATTATGGTGTGGCCCGGATAGTGTTGCAAGACCCGTTGGGCGCCATCGCCGCCATCGCCGCCAGTATTCTACCTGAGATTCCAATTGGAGAAATGAAACAGATTTTTTGAATAGTTGGGACTCACCCTCGGGCATCGGTTTCCTTCGCTACCCCAAAAGCAGCTGCCGCGCCATAAGCCAATGGAAGAATGAATTGGACTCGGGAGAGGCTTGCTGGCTTTTTGTGGCGCATTTATGCTCGCACAGGACGCCCGAAAAAGGCACAGAGAGCAAAACAAACCTATAGGCTATGTGCCTGACTATGCTGAGTCCGCACTATTGAGCTTGGCTACAGCCGGCAGTAAGCCTCAGGGTCGCATTGCCGGGATCAGCTATATTCATGCTCGACCATGGGGTTGTCACTATTGACAGTTACCTGTCTTAATAGATGAACTAACGGTTGAAGTTGAAATATGCTCATGCCAAGGACATGGAGGCGCGATAAGTCCACCAATCGCTATGACTGCCGAATAATACTACGACTCTGCATTGATCGCCAGCAGCAATGATGGCGCGAAGAGCAGGGGCAAAAGTTAAATGTAGTAATATCTGTGTTCCTACCGGGAAGGAAGGTCATATCCCTAGGTACCGAGCTGGACTTGGGCGCAGTCAATCGTTTGCGTAATGGATTGCCTTGACCATTCTTACGCATAAACAATGCCTGTCATGCAGGTTTGGTGTAGCTCGCGCTGATTCCTTCCAGCTGACCAGCTACATTGTGGGGGAATGCTTATGATCGACAGGCCTGCGGACGATGAGCTTCTTGGAATATGCGCCGTCACTCGCTTAGAGTAGTGTTTTGTTTTGTTTTCTTCTCAATGGCCACACAGTCCACAACCGGGCGGTCGATGAACTGATTCCAGCTGTCAGCCTGCAGCGCAGCGGCGACCGGTAACAGCTTCAGTTGCATGTCGGTCAACTCACCTCGAGAATAGAATTCCAGCGTGGACACGGTCATCGAATGTTCCATGTTTGATGGATTGCACCAGTGTATTCTCTGTACACATGAATAAAATATGTTGCGCTAGTAACAATCAAACTCGTAAACCGTAGAGATCGATCGATCTCTTGATAATACATTTGGCTCCCAACCAGTATCCCTTATTCGTGAATACCACTGGTTCTTGGCTAAATATACCCAGGAAGCCTCAACCGTGACATGAGAAATGTATGACGTATAACGCTGCGGGTATGATCCCAAGACTCTGCATTTATGGGCACATTCATACATTTCAAACACAAGATCAAAATACACGAATTCGAGTGCATTTCAGGCGCCCTTGGATTCAAAGAGACTGATCGTTGAGATGCAGCCATCAGCCACTGCACGTCATGTTGTACAAAAGGAGTCTTGTTGCTCATTTTTCACGGAATTTGTAGACAGAAAGACGCCCACAAGGTTGAATCCCCGTCATTGCTCTCAAGTCACCCAACCTCTCTGGCTAAATCCAATACTAGCCTGCCTGTATTAGTCCACCTCCGCCTCGGCTATCATCATTCAGCCCGAAACATATTTCGACATTCGCCTTGTCAATGAGTTCCACGAAAGAATTTCGTGTCTCCCGACAGCAGGCAGACTCAGCTCGTGGATCCTATGACGGAAATGGTTTCCGACTTCGCGAACAATATCAAACGCCACCACTTCCTACCTACATAAACAGAACCAGGCCACAAGAGGGCTTCGGAAGGAGGGTTCGAGACTTTAGCCCCGAGAGACGATGATACCCAAACATCAAGCCAAGACTCTTCGACAGCTCTTGGAGATGAGGAAAACTAAAAATAGCCATGGCTTTCTATACATTGACATCAAGAATACTGGAGTGGCATGCCCGCACAATTCGCAAGCAGCAGGCGGCATCTGTTGTTGGAGGTACTGAGAGCGACGACAGTATCCCACTAATCGGGCTGCTTCTTCAATGCGACCTGAAGTGCTTCTCCAAAGCACCAATCATGACTCTTACATTCCATATCATTGGCATCGCGCATCTATGCTTTATACTTTTCTCGCAAGAACCCGCAGCCTAAAGTAACCAAAATTAAACCCGCCGGAAGGGTTTCGGCACACATGTTCCAAGACCTCGACCACCTCCTTGACACACTCCTCTCGCTCCTGGGCATCATTGATGGCATCAAAGAACTGCTTGCCCATCAACCTGATCCAACCATCGACGCCGCCGGCATCGGCAGGCGTCGGTCTAGACTCGAGCTCGACCCTTTCCACCTTCCACCCGCCAACAGCCTCCTCCATGATCTGCACGACCCAGCTCTCGTCGGGGAAGAACCACGGGTCGGCGGCCAGGGCCCGCTCCAGCCCGACGCGGCGGGCCACGCCCATGAGCAGGCCGGCGCGCATCTCCGCGACGTTGCCCCGGCCGCCCATTTCAAAGGCAAAGGTGCCGCCGGGCTTGAGCGACTCGCGCGCGCCGCGGAAAAAGGTCTCTTGCTTCTCGCGCGAGCAGCGCAGGATCCAGTGCATGGCGGCGTTGGAAAAGACCTTGCTGTAGGACGACTGCTGCAGCGAGGGGGTATTGACTATCTCGAGTGCGTCGATGACTTGATGGAGCGAATAGGTGAGCTTGATGTACACAGATTTTGGCTGATATGAGACTCGAGCCGAGTTACTAGAGATTGAACAACGTACCCTCGAAACTGCATCGATCATTCTGCGCTTCGGCTGCCGCCTTCTTGGACGACTCGATCATGGAGGGCGAGGAATCCGTGCCGTGAATCCTACCACTACCCTTGGACAGAACGTCGGCGATCTGAAAGTCGACAATACCATCTTGTCCCTTGTCAGTGCCTGCTGTCATGTACAGTGTAGGTGTTGGTGACAAGATGAGTGTGTTCCATTTCTTCACTCGTCGACTTACCGCCGCAACCAATATCCAAGATTACATCGTCAGGTTGAGGGTCCAACCATTGGACAATCTTGGTCGCCAATTTCGGCACAAACGAGGCGGATTTCTGGTAGGCCTGATGATTGTTTTGTTAGAGTCTCGGGCGTTGCACCATCATTTATTGGCAATAATTCCTCTCCTACCTCGGAAGACCAGTGATCAGGCGTTTGTGACATTTTCTGTTGTAAGCTTTGTCGCTATCCAAGAACCAATTACAAGATTCCTGCTAAATGTTGAACGAGTCCAAATGTTGGAAACTCCCGGTTTATATAGTAGGTCGGTGCGATATAGTGTTGCCGATTAACGCTTGGCAGTAGCCGATGTGTGGAGATGGGCATCTAGATGGACAGGCACCGATCTCGGAGCCATTTCACCAAGCACTGATCAGACAACCGCACAAGGGCTTATACCGGGCATCGTTAGTAGAACCACTGACTTTCATGTCTGCCTGGTTGGAAATCATGGCAGGTTGCACTCGGACATGTATTTTGAGAATGACTTGAAGGACATGGGCATGTTTGACGTGGAGCGCTTTTAGACTACGGCCAATAAAACTACTTGTACACTATGCCTATCAGGATTGCCAATAACCATGTGATAGAATGATCTAGTCTAAGTCCAAGTGCTTGTACTGGTTATCACCGAGAGAGTCCTCGACCCGCTTCATAATGGCAAGCACCTTTTCCTCTTCCAAGCGTCTACCAACAATCTGCACACCGACGGGCAAGCCGTGCATGGCGTCGGCATTGTAGAGCTTGTAAGCTCCCTGGGCAACACCGTTGAGCTTCTTGATCTTGAAGTCCTTGGGCAGCTGATCCAGACTCTTGTCGACGTGCGTGACTGGAAGAATGCCAGCCGTGTAGTCCAGGATGTTGAACAAGAAGGTGTAGCCGCAGCTGCTCACAGCGTCCTTCATGCCGTCGTGGGGAACAGCCGGGGTTGCGTTTGGAGGTGTCAGGAGAAAGTCGACATTTGCAGAGTTCCACCACTCGAACCACTTGACGCGATAGGCCTCCCGCTTTGCTACCAGTTGCCAGTTCTCAAATGCGCTCTTGGGGTGCCAGTCTCGTACCAGTCCGGCCCAGATGTCGTCCCGTCGAATGTACTTGACCCACAGGTAGTATAGGTATTTAAACGGGCGCGGCAAATTCATCATCCACTCCATTTGAGCCGAGCCGGGATCATTCCATTCTCCTGTTCTGAAGAAGGATCTGAACATCTGGCAACCATCGGCATTGAGCAATTGCGAACCAATTTGCAGGCCCTCATATGGAGAAGGGGGGTCGATTTCCACAATCTCATGACCCTCTGCCTTGAGAGCAACTTCGACCATCTTCATTGCCCGTGCGCATGCAGGGCTGGGATCCACCACGCCGTCTGTTCTCAAGACTCCCACACGGAGTTTGGATTTGGCTGCGTACTCCTTTCCAATGTCGGATCTCCATGGTAGAGTATGGACAGAGGGGTCGTACTTCCACGGTTGCATCTCAATGATGGAACGCGAGAAATATGTCAGATCATTCAGGGTCCTTGCCATTGGCGAGAAGACGCTCGGGACGCCTTCTTGGCCCGGCATACTTGTGAGCACTCCCAGCTTTGGCCAGCGCCCTGTCGCGCATCGCAGACTGTAGATACCAGAGAAATGAGCAGGTGCACGAACACTGCCAGCCACATCACTACCGATGCCAATCCTTCCACCCAGAGCGAGGAGTGCCGCCTCACCGCCGGTGGAGCCGCCAGGAGAGTACTTGTTGTTGTGAGGGTTCTTGGCCCGGCCCCAGACGTCATTGGTGGACTCGAAACTGAGAAGGGTGATGGGGACATTTGTCTTGACATAGGGCACAGCACCGGCGTCCTTGAATAGCCTCACCATGGCTCCGTCCTGGGTCCCTTTGGTCCCTACGAAACTGCTGAAGCCGACAGTCGTGTCGAAGCCGCCAACTACGACAGTGTCCTTCAGACTGATTGGGATACCCGCCAACGGTCCCTTTAGGTTGATTGATCCGTTCTTGATCCATTCCTCGGCCTCTGGAACCATGATCTCTGTGACACAGTTTGTTTTTTCCTGCGCCTTGACGGCAACTCTACCGTAGGTGCGCAAGATGTCGACGGGCTTGAGCACGCCATTCTTGACATCCTGGACCAATCCTTCAATGGGCCTGTCAATGACTTCCTTGTCAAAACTTGTGAAAGGTCCCTGGCAATGAGTAAGGCCAAGTAGTCGGCGCTGTCTTTCTTCTTGTTTGAAGCGGCTTCATGTTGAATATCATTAGTCTTAAAGTCTGTGGGGTTGCCGGTATGAGATGTACATGTTTCTACGTACCAATCCCGCTTGTGCTGGAAGTAAGATGTCATGTTGGCGATGGGGATCTGCTCTCCTCCTGAGCAGACTACTCAACTCTCTCCACTGCAAGTCTGGGTTAAAAAAAGAAAGATTCAAGAGAAAACTGACAATAATCTACAGTCTTACAAAAGAGAGGGCGGGAAGTAGTAGATAAGTGGATGGGTTGGGGTAAAGGTGCTGCTACCAAAGTAGTGATCGGTCTATGAACTGGAAATCTCCCCCCCCCCCCCACAGTCCTATCTCCAACGAACCAACCCCCCTGGCTTAGCTGACTTAGCTGCAGGCACCGCTGATAGCCGTCGGACGCTGGGACTTTCCCGGCACTGAAGCATCACGAGACACGCAGCTCCGTTGCAGCAGAGGACATCGGCTTATTCTTAGAGAGATGTCTCATTTGCCAGGACGACACATACATCAAACCTAATATTACCATGTTCCTAGCGTCGCTCTAGATTCGCTTCTACATGAAGCAACATTACCTCTGGACTCAATTCGACCGAGCTCTTATCCTCGTAAATAAATAAATGATGAATGGCACGATGTATAGGAAACTACATGGCTGATGACTACCAACTACCTATTAATGATGCCCCAAAGCCCATGATTCTCGCTGACCATGGTTCACATTCGATAGCTGTTGTATATCCCGGTGCGCTTTGATCAATGAATACTATCTGCACGGCCTCTTACTATGCTTGTGAATCTTGAGAAACCGCGGCCAAAATGATTTGCTCATTACGTACGCATTTTCCAAAATTGTCCAGATCGGAGGTTTGGCACGATGCCTATCCTTGATGGCAACTCAGTATACTCAACCCCACTCCTCTCCTGCTTTACCCCACTGTTCGGACAGTACCGAGCACCGGAGACGTCAAGTAAGTGGACACCCGTCCGCTGTGGAATCAAGTGTTATCATACATCCGCCGTTACACTTACACACATATTTAGCCCATCGGCGGCCAAATTTCCATCGGACCGTACATGTTCTTGATAGCAGGAGGAGGCACCGGTGCATAACCACTCATGTGAAAATTCCACATCTTCCCAGAAAAGCTACAGCTATCTAGATCACGGAGCACCCGAGGACTCCATCCCGGACTTTGCCATTTCGTTGAACAGCTTGCAAGCAGTAGGGAAGTAGGAGTACACACAATGTCCGCCGCCGCCGCTGCCGACAAACCCGAATATGACCCCGAACAGTCGGGCGTCTACCTCGTCTGCTCCATGTGCGGAACCCAATTTCCGACTACGGACCGGGATGCCCTTAAGACGTGTTATATATGCGATGATCCGCGTCAGTACACGCCGGGGGCGGGACAGTCCTTTACGACGCTGGACGAGATCCGCAGCGGCGGAAAGTACCAGAACAAATTTCAGCCTCTGTTCTCTGCCAAAGATGGAGAAACAGGAGACCAGTCCGCCTTCATCTCCATTGTCACGGAGCCCAAACTCGCCATTGGGCAGCGCGCCATCTTGATCCGCACGCCCGCCGGCAACGTGCTCTGGGACTGCGTGACGCTGCTGGACGCGGCGACCGAGGCCAAGATCCGCGAGCTCGGCGGCCTGGCCGCCATTGTCATTTCGCACCCGCACTACTACTCGACGCACGCGGCGTGGGCTCGCGCCTTTGGAGACTGCCCCGTCTACCTGGCGTCCGAGGACCGGCGGTGGACGACGCTCGCGTGCCCGCAGCAGGTCTTTTTGGCAGAGGACCAGACCGACTTTGACGTGCCGCTTCCCGGCTCGACGTCGTCCCCCGGGATCAAGATCCTGAAGCTCGGAGGTCATTTCCCCGGCTCGCTGGTCCTGCTGTATCAGTCCCGGCTGCTTATTGCCGATACTCTGTACACCACGCCGGCGGGGCTCGGTAACTGGGATATTGATGCCTTGGGCGCGGCGCGCGAAGGCGGGCGGCCGCCTGGTCTGAATAGCTACAGCTTCATGTGGAGCATCCCCAATATGATTCCACTGGCTCCAGACGAGATTGAAAGGATGTGGAGTGTGCTCAAGAAGCATGGATACATCAGCACGCATGGAGCCTTTGTGGGCATGGACATAATAGGAAAGGATACGGCTGAAATGAGAAAGAGGATCTTGGATAGTATGCACATTCAAATTCGCTATATGGGTTATGGAAACCATACTCTCTTGGCGGAAAAGTGAATCCAAGATAGCTCTTATGGTTCTCGCCGCACCTCTCAACTATGAGAAATCCGAACAAGACGCATTTGGGCCAATGATTCCCCCACGTCCTGTCGGTAGTAACTCCCAGTCGCATAATTTGCACAGCATTTCCGTCTCGGGATCTCTATTGTGGAACTCGACACAGTGACGAGTCAATTTGTCAGGTAGGCATAACACAAAAGCACAAAGGGTATATGTTGGCTGAAATCGTAGTTTTGGTTTGTCAAGCGCTGATGTATAAAGCTGCAAATTGACCTAATCCCCATCATCAAAGACTTAGGCTGCTCTCCTCAGAGGGACTTTTTGCCATTATTATATCTATTCATGGTTGGCAACGATGGTCGCCTTGCTCATTGACGCTACAACTAAATGCCATGGCCACTACCCATCAAATTGCATCGAAAAGGCTGTCATAAGGTTTCTGCAAAGTATGCACAATATGCACCACCACCATCATCACCATAAAATGTTGCCTTTAAACTTGTCCAAGTGTTAATCTGCGCTCTCAGTCTCCTCCTATGAGCTGAGCAAGTGCTCGATAGCACCTTGTACGCTTCCACCACTGCGCCTCAGTGCGGCAACATTTCTGTCGAAGTCAAAGAAACCCATGTCGTTTAGTTGTCGAAGCTGCTCGGCGTACCGTTCTTCGGGTGGTCTGTTGTCAGCAGGGGCGGGTGATGCACCGCCAGGCGAGCCCATGCCCATGAGCTGCATCACCTGCTGCAGAGCCTCCGGAGACATGGGGGGTAGGCCAAAGGGATTGGCAGCGGCAGCGCCAGCATTTGGCTGAGCGCCGCCGAAAAGGGCAGCAAAAGGATTCGGCGGGGGGCTGGTTGAGTTTGCCGCATTGCCACTGTCACCAGAAGCAGTGGTGCGTTGCGCCTCGGTGCTGCCGGCCGTAGCCTGAGAGTCGGCACCGGTTTGAGCTCCAGCTCCAGCTCCAGCTGCAGGAGGAGCGCCAAAAGCACCCATACCAAAGGGGTTCAACAAGCCCGCAAAGGGGTTTGCATTGTTACCACCTCCGCCAGGAAGCTGGAGACCTGCCCACGCGGAAGGGTCGAACGGGTTTGCCTGAGCAGCGCCGTTACTGTTACCAGCCGTGCCGGTTGCATTCGGATCCTGAGGAGTCGTGTCGGTGACACCAGGGGCCGGGAATGCTCCCTGACCACCAGGACCGCCACCGCCTCGCATCATACGCCCGAAGCGCTGAGCACTGCGGAGAGCCTCGGGGTTTGTCATCATGTGACGGAACATGGGGGATCGCAGAATTTCGCGGGCGTTGGGTTGGTCGCGCAGCATGGGGTTCTGCTGAATCATCATGTCAATAAACTGATCATTGTTCAGCATTTCGTTCATTTGCTGCAGCACGTTGGGATCCTGCATCATGCGGCTGAGGCCCTCTTCATCCATCATGGAGCCAGACATGCCTCCGTCGGGACCAAACAGGTCGGCGGATGGAAGACCAGTAAGACCAGCATATCGCGCACCCGTGAGACCGGCAAGAGGGTTGTTGGCTGTACCGGCAGCCATGTTGGTTGGCACTTGAGGTCGCGGTGGTGCTTGCTGAGAGGACGTCGAGGCTGGTGCTGGTGTTGGATTGCTTGCAGCGCTCTTGACGAGGTGAACTGTGTTACCCGCCTTGATCTTGTATGTGCTCAAGGGCTCCTCGTTCTTCATGACGCGACCGGAGTAGATCAACCGTTGGCGCTCGACGGGAATGTTCTCGAAGTCGGCTGTAGACAGCTTGGTCTTGAGGTCGAGTACTGTTGCGCTCTCGGCCATGGTGATGGTGTGGTTGCCCTCGCCCGAGGTCTTGACCTTGAAGGTGACCTGGGAATCGGCGGAGGCCTCAGTAGCGTCGGCCATGGCGGCAGTGTGGTGTCGTGATGCTGATTGACGGTGTATTGGAGATGCTTGCTGGAAACGGGGGACTCGCAACGGACAACTCGGCAAGCCGTCACCTGGAGTCGGTCGAAGTTATGAGTACAGGCTTGCGAGCGCGCAACAGAGACAGGGGTCTTAGAATGGCTGATGCGGTGCGATGCGATGCACGGGAAGAGTGTCTGCGGCTGTACGAGATAAGCTGTGGTGCCTCCTGCCCTTGCTTTTCTCTTTGCGTAGTGCACCTAGTAGGCTGCAAGTAATAAAATGAAGAAGAAAATACGGCGACGTGACTGATAATTGATAATGGACTGACCAGGTACCTTTAACGCTGTGGTCGAGTGCGGCTGTTTGTCACCACGGCGAGTCGCTGTCCTCACTCAAGTGGGCTGAGGTGATAGATAGTAGTAACCCAGTGGTGGGGCAAAGTGCAGCAGGGCGGATGACGACGGTAACTGCTTTTTGATGGATGCGCTGGACGCGATTTCTTTTTGGACTGATTTGCTGGGAAGGAGGCGCCTACCTTACACCCATTATTACATACATTTACGATCTACATGACATTGGTTGGTTACCTAGGTATTTATTTGTTCCTTGATTCTTTGCCACCAAGAGACGCCCCAGGTCTGCCTGGAAAGGACCAAATACCCTCACAGTTACATGATGGATTGGCCGCACATCCGTTGGAACCGACAAAGCGAGCCGTCTTGATCGGCTTCAGACCCTTAGCAATATTTGTACACTTATTTTTGTTTTTTTTGTTTTTTTTCCCTACATCAAACTGACTGGTCACTTTAGGCAGCCTGGGATTCATATCGCTCGCATGCCTCAAGCACTGATTTGGATGTGACTGCTGCTCATCAGCGGACATGCACTGGTCATCCGCTTCTCTTGGCATCTACTGCATTCTGGACCGTCAATATGTGGGGGTTAGGAAACCACCCTGATGCTCTCTAAGCTCACACAGCCAACAACGGGCTGCGCAACAACAAGCAAGCGAGAGCTGATGTCACCCCAAAGACCCTAGCGGAATCCCTTCCAGACCCGACCCAGGCAGACCCTGAATAGGGATGGAGGCCCGGGGCTCGGGACACATATCGCCGTCGCCCCCAGACCAGACCAGATACCCCCGACTGCGTCAATGCTTTAGCGCTTGCGGCCCCAAAACCCGCCCGGGGTCCAACTACACTGTGGTATACCGGAACGAGACGCGGTGTACATCTGCAGTAGGTTAGGGCGCTTTGAATGCGATACGCTTGTAATAGTCTACCTCGGCATCTCATACGCCTTCTCCAACGTTTCTTCATCATCGGCATTTTGCTTTGTAGAGGTCTTCATCTTTTCAATTCTACTCACGAATTCGTGCTCTAGACGGCCGTAGCATCTCATTCTTGATACATCTCGCCTCAAGGTCATCCCCATCGCAGATTTCTATTCTGATCAGTGATAGCTTTGTTGCAATCAAAACAATCCCGTCCATCTTACTCCCGTCACTTATACCGGCAATATGCGGGGCATTCAACTTGCGAAATATGTCAAGGTAAGCCTTCTTGCTGATATCGGTAGTGATGAGCGTGACCTAAGTAATACAAATAGGGCCCTCAAGAGCTCAAGGTCACCGACCTTCCAGATCCTAAGCCAAGTCCCGAACAATACGTGATACAAGTGCACGCTGCCGCAACCAATTTCTTTGACATCCTGCAAGTCCAAGGCAAATATCAACATCAGCCACGTAAGTCGACTCCATCCATGTTGGAAAAGCATGCAATAGACTAAGTGGCATGGTAGCTTTCCCCTGGGTCGGCGGTGCCGAATTCGCTGGAGTTGTTCTGTCGACACCTGCTTCATCAAAGTCACCCAAGTTCCCAGTTGGATCTCGCGTCTTTGGTGCATCGCAGGGCTCTTACGCCACCAAGGTCTGCGCAACCGAGGTACAGCTACTGCCTGTGCCAGAGGGCTGGTCCTTCCGGGACGCATCGGGCCTCTTTGTCACAGCTCCCACCTCTTACGGTGCCCTGGTTCTGCGTGCTGGCGTCAAGGCTGGTGACTATGTGCTGGTTCACGCCGCAGCCGGTGGTGTTGGCCTGGCCGCCGTGCAAATCGCAAAGGCCTTTGGCGCTACAGTCATTGCTACTGCAGGCACGGAGCGCAAGCGTGAAGTCGCCCGGGACTATGGCGCCGACCATGTTGTCGACTACCGCGATGAGAAGTGGCCTGAGATTGTCAAGAAGTTAACCCCCAAGGGCAGGGGCGTTGATATCGTCTATGATCCTGTAGGTCTTGTTGACAAGAGTACCAAGTGTATAGCTTGGAATGGGCGGATCCTGGTTATCGGCTTCGCTGCTGGAACCATTGAAAAGGTTGCCATGAACAAGGTTCTCTTGAAGAATATTAGTCTTGTAGGTATTCACTGGGGCCAGTATGCTGTTCATGAGAAGGAGAGCATCCCTCTTGTATGGAAAGGCATCATGAAGCTCGTGGAGCAGGGCAAGTTCAGGGGCACTGTCTTTACGGACAAGGAGTTTGTGGGACTAGAGAGTATCCCTGATGCCCTGGTTGCGCTTGGAGGTAGAGATAGTTGGGGCAAGGTCGTGGTTCAAGTGCCACAAGGAACGGAAAGTAAGCTGTAATTCACAGCCATAAGCCGGCAGAGTGAGTGAATTTGCATGTGTTGATGGAGTCTCTGAGGATATCTGCCATAGTTGAATACATGAAGCCACCTCGACAATGGAACTGTGTCTGAGCCCTACCATCACTATTGTCCCTCAGCTGCTGGGCAGCCTCCTTTTCTCTCATTCCATAACTTGTAGATTATGTACAAAATGGGACATCATATGATGTTCTGACTGGAACTTTGTTTGAGCTCTACAAGCTATTATTGATCCATTTCGATGGCGAGCAATTGAGCTCTGCGGTTTCGGGCCGGCCCTTCCGTCAGTCGTTGCAATCCCCCGCCCTCGACAAGAATCTCTATGACTCTCGGAGCCTTGGTCTATGCACGCGGTATTGCGCCCTTGGTGATGCAATGAGTCGGAACTCGGCGACCGATGCAGGCTGAACCAGCTTGAACAACCTGGGAAGCTGTGTCCAATGTTTCCGGTGGCGGGCATGACCAGGTCACTCGGAATGTAACAAGCGCGTGGCTTCGTCAGTCATCGATGCACGGAGTAGCGAAGAGCACTGGCGCCATCTTTGATGACTTTGCCAGATCGCTCTCGGTGATTGGGCTTTCTCTGGGGCCGCAGCTGGACCGTTCAGTGATTTAGGGCGCAATCACTGCATCTGGGAGACGAGCAGCCTTTGAACTCTGGTACTGAGCTCGTGCCTTTCCATGTCAAGCCGGCGCAAATATCGTAGATACCTACGCGCAAAGTTGGTACGGGCGGATCGAGCCGGTGTTGAACTATCCGCAAATATATGGGGAGACCACAATAGAGCTTTCAAACAACGTCTTTTGCGGGGGTCTCCGTCTCCTTGTGCAAGCTCTTTGCTTCATGACCAAGCGCCAGCCGGTCAAAGAGCACGTAGGAAGTGACGAGCAGGATGGGCATCGCGACCATGAATCCAATGTACTTTCTCGAGGCAGCCTTGTACGCGGGGCTCGAGGGGTCGATGCGCTTCGGGATGGGCGCGCGAAGACTTTCTGGGAGCTCTGGGGCCGAAGGACCAGGAGCCTTTGCGCCTGGCGACGTTGCAGAGACTGGGACTTTGGCTTGGTACGGCAGAGGAGGCGTCCGGGGTGCTGAAGATTTCGTCGACGTTCGCGACGCGTTTGCCGGTTTGGGGTTTGCCATTCTGGGCTTTGATACTGGGCCGGGTACCTTCAATGGGCGTCGATCGCTCTCGTGTTCCTTACTGCAGATCTGCTTCTAGATTCTGAGAAGCTCTGTAGAAGTAGGGCTGTTGCGCATAAAAAAAAAAAGTGTATGGAGGTCTGCAAAGTATGGAGCTCTGGGAAGACGACAGAGCTTAGTGAAGTTAGTACTAGACTCAGCTGCCGGCCGGACCGCCAAGAACAGCTAAAAGAGCCTACTATAATTCCATCCCTTACATGTAGCATCCATTTCACTATAATCAGTGACCGCCTTGGTGCAGACATTAATTGTTCTGTATCATGCGGATATTCACGAGTAGTTCAAAAACTTGTGTGTAATCGAACCAAACAATTACAGATATTTTTATCTTCTCGTCCTTTCTCTGAAAGCTTGGTGCTTGATTATCTCGTTGAACAACACAAAGTTTGCCCAACGTCCATGACTGGCTGGCTCATCTCATATATCTCAATCCTTGCATCTGTTGACCTGGAGTCTAGTGAGCTTGAGTGACCAACTGCATCTCTGCCCCCGTGACCAACGACGACGGGCTGTGCCGCACATTTTTGTCTTAGGCTCGAGCAAGCTCCCTTCCACCTCAGCTTCAGTTTTGTGGCGGGCTGGTCATAACCCTTTAGTAGACTACATAATTTTGCACATGGTGCTCTAGGGGCGGTCTACGGGAGCGCTTATATGATGAGCCTGCGCGAGACTTGGAAATTGACAGTCATTCAAAGCGTCTACAGTTCTTCCGGTCAAACGCCAATATGATTGAAATTATACTTGCTGCGGCTGCCACCTTACTAATCTCGCATCTCTATATAAGGCTGACATTTGCAAGACATGAGCAATATGCCCATCTTCCACAGCTACCAAATCACACCCTTTGGGGTCACCTCAAGACCTTTGGAGAATTCACAGCTCGTGGGGTCCAGGATCGTCATCCAGGTATGCCTTCAGATGACCCAAGACCGAACTTGGAAGCTATTGATCCCGTATTTCAACACCACATTGTTAGCAAGCTGACAGGCAGGTAGACGAGATGTTTGAAGAGATGTGGACCACTCTTGGCCGCCCCTCTGTGATGCTTGTAGATCTTCGCCCCGTCAGCCCTCCTATGCTTCTTGTTACAAGTCACAGCATTGCAGAACAAATATCCAGGCCATCTCAACAACTGCCTTTCAGCACGCCCAAGTCCTCGACCTGGACCCATATGATTCCAATCATTGGGAAAACTTCGATCTTGGGTAAAGAGGTAAGAGCATGTGCTCTACAACTGGCTCTCTCTGTCGCTGAACTTTTGTTCTCAGGGCCAAGAGTGGAAAGATCTCCGCAAAAAGTATAACCCAGGTTTCATGCCTCAGCATCTGTTGAGCCTCATGCCTCTCATTCTCGCGAAGATGGAACCGTTCTGGAATCACTTGAATCGATCGGCCGCAGCCAATGCAGAATTCTCTTTGGAGGAACTGATTGCAAACTTGACTTTTGATGTTATAGGCGTAACTGTACTTGAAGTACAACTCAATGCACAGCATTTGAATCCTTCAGAGCAAGACCAGCTCGTACATCTCTTTCGGCCCCTTCTTCAAACGTACAAGGACGATAAGAATAACTTTCCATGGTGGATGGTTCCCTTAACCACGTTCAAGCGGCATCGACTAGCCAAGAAAATCGATGTGCTGGTCAAGGATAAAATCAAGCACAAGTACAGCGACTTGAAGAATGAGGCAGAAGAAAACGGATCGAAGAGTATACTCGCCCTCAGCCTCCGCGACACCGAAGCTCTGACACCACAGCTCCTCTCGGAAATGTCAGATCAAGTCCGTACTTTTCTATTCGCCGGATATGACACGACGAGTAGTATGCTGCAGTGGTTGCTCTATGAACTCAGTCGTACGCCCCGAGCCCTCAAGGCTGTTCGCGACGAACTTGACGAGGTCCTGGGGCCGCAGACTGACCCCGAGAGGATATGCGCTTCTCTGTTAGAGAATGGCCATCAACTCATGACGCGCATGCATTACATCAATGCCGCCATCAAGGAGACGTTGCGACTTTACCCTCCTGCCAGCACCGCTCGCATGACGGGACCGCGAAGCGGGTTCACGATCAGCACTGCGGCCGGCGAGGATTACAATGTCGACGGGCTCGTCATGTACTCGTGCCAAAAGATTATTCATCGTGACCCTGCCGTCTTTGGAGATACTGCGGACGACTGGGAACCAGAGCGGTGGCTTGGAGACGCAGCCAAAAGTATTCCCGCGGGGGCCTGGAGGCCGTTTGAGAGGGGTCCGCGCGCCTGTATTGGCACGGAGCTTGCCAATCTTGAAGCCCGTCTCATTGTCGCCATTGTTGCTCGAAAATACGACTTTATCAAGACGGGTCTCGGTGCCAGCGCTCTGGACAAGGAGGGCCAACCCATGTTGGATGAAAAGGGGCAGTACCAAGTAAAGTCAAAATTATACAATGTAAGTGATGGACCTTTGTGTACAACAAACCTTGCCAAGAATTCCTCAACTGATTCACTGGTCCCATGATTTTACAGACTCGTAGAATGACAGCACAGCCAGTAGACGGTACAATGATGAAGGTCAAAGCGGTTGTTTGGCCAAAAGACTAGATTTATCGCCGTAAGACCAGTTCAACTATGCCAACATTCATTTTGAAAATAAAAACGAGCGATATTTTTTGCGGATTTTTCATTTTTGGGAAAGATGTTCTCTCGAAAAAGACCAAGAATAATACTTTCCTAATAATTGTTTTTCTCTCTTTTCCTCGAGGAAATCAAAAGCAACCCATAGTGCACCGAGACATAAATGCATCAGTCTCGCATATTTATTGAACTACGGACAAAGCGTCGAGGAGGATCAGTCGAGGATCACTCCACTAGGACGGCGCGTCTACTTGAGTCTGTTCTGATCCTCGACAGAAACACTGCGGGACTCCCAGCTCGTGTTCTTGAGCGTGGCCCAGCAGTAGTAGTCCTGGACTATGTAGAAGTAGTCCTGGGCGACTGCGGCCCACCAGAAGCGCCGCATGTAGGGGTACTTGGCAAAGAATGCCTTGTAGCTCGGATAGGCCTCCAAGATGTACCAAGCGACAAACAAGAGTCTATGTTATGATCCCAAGTTAGCCATCGCTAATTTAGAAATATCTCTCGAGTTTAAGAGAGAAAAACGAGTAGGATGAGATACTTACGCCAGGAACGGGTTGCAGCGGAAGGCGACGATCCAGGCGACGATGTGCGCGGTAGTGAAGCCAGGACGCATCAAGCGACCCCAGGTCTTGCGGGCGACGAAGAAGCTCCGGTAGACCTGCGGGAGCTGGGTCTGGCGGAGATGGGACTGAATAGTGCTTCGCTCCCAACGAAACATCTGAGAAAAGTAGTCGGATGTAGTCTTGACCGTGCGGAAGACGTCGGTCTCGGGTCCGACGCTCTGGTAGGAGATGACCCAGTCGCGGGTTTGCATCCAGCGAGAGATAAAGGTGTCCTCGCCGACATCGAGCTTCTTGCCACGCCAGTTGTCCTCGATGAATTCCTTGATAAAGTCGGGATCCTATATTTGTGTCTCTTTGTTAGCGATATGTGTCCAGGAGTGTGAACCTGGTCATTACAATGATTGTTGCGCCGAATCATGTGTCATGCATGAAATCATCTTGAATCAAAAGAAACCAAGGAATACGAATTATAAATACCTTGAAGATCTCTGCTCGAATCAGATACGAAGCACCAGTAACACCCCAAGACCAGCGACCAGCAGACCAGGCCACCTTGTGCTTGGGGTTGCGGTCCCAAATTAGACGCATGGCGGCGACCTCGTAGGGAGTGATGACCTTCTCATTGCGACGATCGTCGGGTATGACGCCCTCAATTGCGGGACCGACAGCGCCCATGAATTCATCCTCAAAGCAGGGCAGCATGTTCTCCAATAGACGAGGGTGCCAGGTAATGTGATCGTCAACATTGGCTATAATGTCGCCACGAGCGTGCTGAATTCCAGCAACCATCTGGGCTCTCTTACCCTTGACAGCCGAGGCGATGATAATGACCTTGGCCAGATCCGAATCCGAAAGCTCGGCGTTCTCGACGACGCTGCGAATCTGCTCGTGGTGTTCGGCGATGGTGACGATAATGACCTCCAGGGGCTTATTGTCCAACCAAGTTCGGAGGCAGCGAGCCAGAAGGGTGTTGACAGTGCAGACGAGGATGCTGACCTTGGCGGTAGTGTAGGGAGAGTCCGAGGAGATGGGAACAGGCTTGTAAGCGGCCAGAGCACGTCGGAAGAGAGCCTTCTCGGCCTGGCCCCAGGCCCTGAAAGAGAAATCATTGTAAGTCGTGCCATTGTAGATAGGGTAAAGAAATAAAAGAACAGAATCTCAGTCACTTACCAGAATCCGGCGAGAGGCAAGAGTGCAGACATTGTGCGACACGCGTGAAGAACGGATTGATGCTTTGTGAAAGTTGCACTTTGTCTTATTCCTGCTGGTTGCCCGAATGTGATGTTTTTCTCCAGGCTGAGTGGGATGGGAGGGTGTTGTAATTTGCACTTGTGCAAACGAGACTTCACAAAATTTTTATAGAGCTTGTGGTTGCCGTGACAAATTCACTCTCGGTTGCTGGGCTGATTGTTCGCACCTGTTGACTGGCAATACAAACGATTGTTATGCGATTCTTGGTGGCCGAGTTGGCTATTTCATCATTCACAAGTCGTGGCCAGGCAACAAGTTGAACAAACTGGCATTCTTTGTGAATCGAATTATCATAAACAGAAGAACTGCGACTGTTACCACAAGGTCTTTTGTCATTACTTTTGAACCTGGTGATGATACCATCATATACACATTTACGCTTGGGGGCTAGGCAACCCGACTTGACATTATAGACACCTTGGAATCTACAGGAACATGCAAATGGAGATAGTTCTTTGCGCGTCTTTTGAAGTGCATTGACAAATCAATTATGCAAGACCGTATGTGAAAAAAGAGACGTAGGAATGATGACGCGATAATCTAATTGTCGTTACCTTGTATTTCAATTGTTCACTTGCAAATACCCATAGACAATCACCATAATCGCTGCGCTTTTTATATTTATAGAGATTACGGTGATGATGATCGCACGAGACACTCTATCAAAAGTACGTGAATAGTAGTCGATTGTCGATTGTACAGACAGCCAGGCTCACCAAACGTCTCGAGAGGCCTTTCAAACGATCGCGGCCTATGCCAGTATTTAATAGAAAATAAATGATCAATGGATAATCGAAGCCAGTTATTAATGCCTACAATGGACACATTGATACAGGGCACACTTGGCCAAACATGGCTTCCGTATTTGCTTATACCACAGGTCAACCATTGAATTGCAGATAGTATGGAAAAAATAATAGATCAGGTAATTTGATTACAGTATCACCCAGCTGCAGCGGAAGGTTTCTGCAAAATTCGGATCATAAAGATTACTGCACAGTTGGACTAGCCCTCCAGGTGGCAGCCGACTTGCCTTTTCAAGATGACCGTCCCTTGTAAATGAAGTAGATATGAGTATTTGGTATTTAGCAGCAAAATCTGAAAAATATAAGCCTCGTACATTATGAGCCTAGCCCCTTGAATTTTTCTTGTATTGCTTATTATACTGATCTGCAGCAGGGCCTGGGGAGGGGGAAGGAAATCCGCGCTATTACGAATGTGAGGTTGGTGTGGCAACAAGTGTGGGTAAAGGTTTCGGAGGCGTTATTACCATTCATTAGGGCGCGATGTATAGGTAAAAATGGTACAGCTGTGATACGACTAGCTAGTCTCCAAAGTAAAGAGTAAATTAAAACATGGTCTACATGTACGAAATTGATGTATGATAAACAAACAGACTTGATAAAAACCTTGCAGTTGTGTTTTACCCAAAGTGTGCCAGCCACACTACACACACAGCCACGTCGGCTGTGGCGCATCAAGTTGAGAGTCTACTCCGACGGTTCAGATAATACCAAGCGCAAAGCTCAACCCTTCAATTCCTTTCCTCCAATATATACACGTCCACCCACTCGCCAAGTAAAGATCAGCGAGGCATTGGAATATCCCATTACTGTAAACTCGTCCAAATCCTCCCCACTCAACCTTTTTTCTCGGGTCAAAGCAGAATTCCCGTGTCGAATGGCGCTCCGCGTTCGTTTGTCAAGAGCAGCAGCAGTCTCAAGCCCGCTCGGAACTTCCTTGTTAGCATCATCTACTTTTCAGACGGCTATAGCTCACCGAGCCTACACTACCGGGCGCGATGATGACCGTGCCCAGCCTGCGCAGATACCTTTGTTCTGGGAGAAGCCCCGCACGCCAGGAAAGGAGGAGGCTGATGCTCTGCTTTCGTCGCTGCGCAGCAAAGGCGGCGCTGAACCTTGGGCTTCCGAGGAAGATGAGATCTTGATTGCGCAATTGGTCTTGTGGCCAACAACTGGCGAAGAACAGCTGAAGAATCTCGCAATGAAACTGCAGCGCCCCCCTGAGAGCGTGACTGAACGTCTGAAGACGTTGGCTAGCGACCCCAAGTTGGATGGGAAGCTTGCATTCACAGACGAGTTTCTACGAAGCGACCTCAGCGCCAAAGAGGAGCAGATCCTCCTTGAACGAATGGAATACATCATCGAAACTCTTCTCAACAACACTATTGGTGTTGATTACCTCTGGAAATTCAACTTAGTGTACCAATCAGATAATTCGTTCACGGATTGGGCACATTTGATTCTTGACTTGATTCCGTTGCAAGTCAAGCATATCTTGGCGGCAAGCAGACCACCAACAGCCAGGGAATTGTTGACGTTGCCTTGGAGTCACACACAGTCCATGGGAGTTTATGGAAGGATTTTTATACCCAGAAACGCTGAAGCATATCAATCAGGACACTTTCTCTACGTGGGCACAGCCATCTTGGATCAACTTGGACTGCAGGGAAGGAGAATTCGAGATAAGAAAGTGGATCGTGATTGGACGAGTGATGGCGAGAAAGGACAAAATATGAACGGCAAGGTGAGGTTTTTCGATTTAATCGTTATTGATCCTGCGGGAAAGGACTTCGACGGTATTAGGGAGGCAAGCCATTTGATTTTGCTTGCCGAGGCGGCTCTTAGTATCTGGCTTGGAGCATTGCCGTTCGAAAAGCCTGGATATGAATCCTGGAAAAATATCTTTCCTTGGACCAGTGAGGGCGGCTATGGATATGCAGGCACCTTCTCGGACAATCCCTTGATAGAAGGTACGTTGAAGCATTCGGCAAGGAGGCGAGCGAAGGCTGCAGAAGCCGATTCAGTTGACATTAGCTCAGTATAAAAAAAAAGCTAGAAAAGATGAAAACATGATTAAAAGGAACATGACTCAGAATTGTTATGTGTGTGTCACTTGCTACCTGTGCAAGACTGTATGGCGTCCTGCGCCGCTGATACTGGTTCCCACGCGCGGCCCCCTCCGTGATGGGCCGTTTAAGAGTGTCTTGATGAGCTTGAGATCACCCTTTTTTGAGGCCAAATCGAGCGCAACACGGTACGTCTCCGTGTCAAAGTCGGCCTCGGCTTCGAGAAGTCGAGCGACTACCTCGAGGTGCCCCCCGGTCAAGGCCAACTGGAGCGCCGTCTCTTCCACCCGCGAGGTCAAATTCACATGGGCCTGGGCGACGAGAAGTCTGTCAACGACTGCCAAATGGCCCCTGCTGGCGGCCATCTGCAACGCCGTCTGCCCCAGGTCATGTGCGGCGTCGACATTGGCCCCGGCCTGGAGGAGTCGATCAACCACTTCTAGATGGCCCCTTTTGGCCGCCAATTGGAGCGCTGCTTGGCCATAAGACGCTGCATTGACGTCTGCCTTGGCTTTGAGAAGGCTATCTACTATTTCCGAATGGCCATTTACCGAAGCAAGTTGCAGTGCAGTCTGCCCGGGAGATCCCGCATTGACATCTGCACCAGCAGCCAGAAGTCTATCGACAATGGCTCGGGAGCCTCTTTCGGCGGCGAGTTGCAGCGCACTGGTTCTGTGGAATTGGGCATTGACACCGGCGTGGATCGCCAGGAGTCTATCGATTTTCTCCCCATGGCCATACTCTGCAGCAAGTTGTAGTGCACTTCTACCATCGCTATTAATCGTGTTGACCTCGACCTTGGCTGCGAGGAGCTGCCCGACCACTACCAGATGGCCACCACTGACGGCAAGTTGTAGTGCAGTCCGTCCGTCGATGTTGTTGACCTCATTCCCGGTTTTCAGGAGCTTTTCGACTACCAGCGAGTAGCCCCTTTCTGCAGCGAGCTGCAATGTAGTCCCGCCGGGTTCCCAAGCCTGGCGAGCTTTGGCTGCTGCCATGGCGGCAACGATACTTGAAACCACCAGTATATGGCCCTTGGCGGCGGCAGCTTGGAGAGCTACCCATGTATTACATTCTGCAGGCTCTGTCTTCAAGTTGGCTCGGCGTGCTGATAATTCGTCAACTACTTGAAGGTGGCCATTCTTCACAGCAGCCTGTAAAGCAACCACAGCTACCTCTCCAAGCTCCGGGATGCCTGCCAACATTCGAAAAAATTCGAGATCATTTTCCTCGGCTGCCTTTTCAAAGGCGGTCTTTGCTTCTGGCACAGGTTCAAAACGTGAAAGCAAAAGATGCATCATTGCATAATGCCGATGCTCGAATGACCATTTCCAGATCTCATACTTGGAGGTGGGGAGGTCGCCTTGCCATGGTGTTTGTGCGCGCCCAAGGCTCTGCACGCCCATTACAAAATTGGCCCAAATCCCCCAGGTCTCTGATTTCTCTTTCTTGAATTGTGTGGTGTGGTAAATCCAGTGAATTGATGCATATTTAAGAAAAGGGTGCTCATCATCTATAATCGAAACGGACGTAGAAACATGCGGCGATATCGCGGTGGATGTTCTTAGATCGTGTTTTGACGCACTGGATTTGGGCCTCCACTGTGACAGCATCGCAGCACGTCTTGATCCCGGTTTCAAAACCTGCTGTACTATCTGGACTGGGTCGAGCACAAGAGGTTTCGGCCGTACGGCCAATGTGGTCTTGAAGTCGTTGAAATTGAGGTATGTCACGCATATCTCGCCAAGTCTGTGGTCAACCTCTTCCACTTTTAAGTGGTAGTCTTCGAGTGTAGACGTAGTGGATGTCCCCATCAGGAACTGCTTGATGGCAGAATGCGCAAACTGGACAATATGGCTTTCTTCATCGACCTGAATCAGATTCTGGCACCATGATACTATGCTGTCCATGTCGTTGTATAGACGATCTGGTCTCGAATATTGCTGACCAATATCAATTGCGATGGCCTCGCGAAGTTCGAGAAGAGATAACGGTCGTTTGGATCCAGCAATCCATGGGAAAACCTTTCGTGCCGCTTTGCCATGATGACCGTTCTCTATTCTACCAAGCGCTCGTCGAAACGTCTCTGCCAGACCTTCTGGGAGATCGCACAAGACTTGCCGAATATCCTCATCACAGTGCTGGGAACATACGGTCTCGAGCTGGAAATAAGCCCAGAGAAACCTGCTTGATTAGCAAATCCTGCGGGAGAGAACCATGGATACTTATGTGGAGGTAGCTTACATTCCCTGGGCACCTTGAACCAGTGCATTCTTGATATCCTCGATCAAGGACTGATCTCCGACCTTGAAGTCCCCATCCTCATGTTTCTCATTGAGTATTCCTTCGACGTAGGTGGAAATATCCTCATTTGTTGCTGCACAGTCCAATGTGAGATACTCCATTGACCTGAAATACTTTTGAATCTCTTCTCGAAGACTCGGGCGGCTCGCCAGAAACACGCGTATGTTGGCATTAGCAGAACATAATTTTGCCAATTTACTCAGTAGCTCTTTGCGATCCATTTTGCTACATTCGTCGAGCCCATCAACCAAAATGAATGACCTTTGTGGCACTGACATGTATCTTTCAAGAGGCTTCGAAAGGTCATGCCAATCCGCTGCTGACGTTTCGTATAACTCTTCTGGAATATCCATGGCCTCTAGCCTTTGGCGCAGGATTGACTTGAGGGCAATTTCGGCGCGCAGAGACTCGCTGTCATCAAACTGCGCAAAAAAGAACGAAACCGGTCCCAGAGAACTATTCCCGTCCTCCTTGATTTGGAGAATATGTTGAATCACACTTGCGCTATGTGCCATTTATTATTGTCAGTAGAGTAATTCGTATTGCAAAAAAAAATGACAAGCACCTACGTGATAATAGTCTTTCCGGACCCAACTTTCAACAATCAGAAATAGCTCGATACTTAAAAAAAGACTTGGGATAATCTTACTTTTACCTGAGCACCAAAGTAGAGAACTTTCTCCCTCGAGCCACTGTTGGAATTGTGGGGTTTCAAAGACCCAATTTGCTGTGCTGCTGTATCGTTTCTGACTACTTTGCTTGAGAGCCCTCATGTAGTCATGGGTTGAAAGCGAATCCAAGAGCTGTTGTCTCTTTTTCCCTGTACTAAATGTCAGCGCCAGTCTGGCAAGTGAGTAGAGTGTGAAAATGCGCACGCATGTTTTGTTTATCGTTTTGTAATTGTCTGTCTTCCATTTTATGCAGGCTGCGATCCGTACGTGAGAAGAATCGGTTCATCTTGGACCTGCCCTTTGCTGCTTCGCGCTGTGCTATTACTTGTTGTTTCTGGTGACGCTGAATAGCTTGTGCTTGAGCAAATATCATCTCTTCTTTGATGTTGTTACTGCATCTTTCAATGTCCTCCAGATCTGGCTTGAATTCCTTGTCGAATGACATTCGAAGCGCTTGGGCGACTTGCATTTGCCCTTTTGTTTACATTAGCCAAAGCCTTGTTGCAAAGAATTCGGTACAAACAAGGACGCTTTATTGCCTCCAACACATGCTTGCAGCAATAGACTATCGACGCATAGAATTTGTTGATTGATTTTTGCAATCTGGTCGATTCAGGATATAGTGACTGGTACTCGGATACGAGTGGACATAGGCTGCCGAGCTTCAGGAACAAATTGGAAGTAGCATCGTAATACGATGTGAAGTTTGTAACGACCTACACCGTGCTTTTAGCACAAGCCTGCTCATTGAAAGTGAGAGCGGCTCTTCAGCTTCAACATACTTACTATCATGGTCAACTTGACGCTGCCCCACAACAGCGCGGCAACCTCTGGACGTGCAGATACGTACGTGTCCATGATATTGCAGAAGCTTCCAATTGACGATAGCAAGGAGTATAAACGGCTAGAAAAACTTCTGCCCTTTCGTTGTCTGTTCATCAAGTCTAGTTTGGCGGTAAATTCCATGACCGTGGCCGTGTTGGGGTTCCCGCCCATTGACTTGAGTTCTCGGCGCTGGTCATCGCTCAAGACGCTTTGGAATGTGGCAATGGCAATCTGAAGATCTTCTGGTGCCACTGGTTGACTGAGAAGAGAAGATGAGGTCTCTGCCATTGCGATAGTATGCCCCAGCTGACAAGTCGCTGAGAACGATGGCGAACAGATGGGAGGCTGGGGAAAATATGCGTCGCATCGCAGTGACCCGCACGCGCTAAAGAAGGAAGAATGTGAGGATGCCAAAAGTCGAAGCATTTTCAGCGACATGATCAGTTCTCTTGACCAGGGTGCGGGCGCCGTTTCCCAATGGAATCGAGGTGGGGTGAAGGATCCTGCAGCATGTACGGACTAGACATCTATCTCATCCACGGGATGGGCCATGCTGGGATTGCGTTTGATACATACACGATAAGTGCGGCAACAACCAACGTGATTTGACTGTGTCTGTAAATGCCGTATCAAGTCCAGGATCTCAACGCTGCCAAAGTTGACCTTCGTAGATAACCAATATATGTACTTTTTCCCCTCTAGTCGACTTCGTGGTGCTTTTTCATATTTATATTTGGGTCATTACGCATGGTATTCGCTGCCAAGAGGCACATGACCCACAAAACAAGTCTTCTATACACCAAACTTGTGTGTGACTCCAGTTTTTCTTTCCATGCCAATGATCCACTACTCTGACCTGAATCTTGATGAGCGTCTTCACTGGACAGCATTTCTACGGTAGAATGAGACTCTATGAGGTTTAGGCAATGCTGCCACGGTGGCGGACACGCTGAGGTCTATGCGACTATTGCGTGGGAAAAGAAAATGGTCAGCTCACTTCACGAAACAAATCGAAGAGGGACCACTTGCCATAGGGGACATGTCACATTGAACTCTGCCAGCCACTCGTCGATACAGCGAGGATGGAATAGATGGCCGCAGGGCAGTTTGCGGAGGTCCGTACCGTCGAAAAAGTCTTCAGCACAGATGGCGCAAGACGTTTCCTCCTGGCGAGACAGTCGCTCGGGCTGGGATTTTTGCAAGCGCGGAGTCGGTCTTTTTGGAATTAGAGCCTTCCACTCCTTCAACTTGTCGCATACGCGATGAGGGACGCTTGGCCTTGGCGTGGCTTCATTGCTGTCCCGACCCGCGACGCCGCCCTCGGGTATTGTATCCAAGCGACCGCGCTCAAACTCATGGCTGCTTCGTCGGTTGCGCCTATTGGTGCTTGTGTATTGGACGATCGGGATGGAATTGATGGTGCTGCTGTCCAGCCCGCGTCCTCTAAGTGTTGATCTTGTGCGCGTTGCGACTTCTCGCACCGCCGCGAGGGTGTTTGTCTTCCTCGCTATGCAAACTCCAATCAGGATGACAATGGCTAATACGATGCAGAGAGTTGTCGTAATGGTTGGCGCATTGCCCTTGACTTTTGAAGGATCGGGGGCGGCGCCAGCCATTTGAACTTTTCGGTCGTCTTCTCACATGTGGAAATACTAGAGCGACGACGGTAATGGCGGGACGGCAGGTTGCCAGCAAATTTCGCCGGACGGGGCAATGAGAGAATCGAAGCTGGCAGCATTCAAAGCAAACCCCGCTACGTATGTTATAACAATGCCATTGTTAATATTGAATTGGAAGATTGAAGGGGGGAGTGATAGTCAAGACGGTGCCGAGTGTCGCAGCGGAAAGGTATATGTATATCCCTCGCGCGATTGACCTTAGATGTTTTTGAACTGTTTCAATGTACGTGGGACCGTTCAGACGGTTAAAACAGTCAAGCTTTCGAAAATTGGTGGCATGATTTCATTTCTTTCCCAAGAATATCATTTTGTAAGACGACACAGGGGGTTGGATACAAACATGTACACACATACTCAGTCCCTGGCCTATGCAGCATTCCCGACTTACTCGCGCATCTCCTCGGACATTGACCCCGTGCCACATCAAAAGTCGATGGTGGAATTTCGCCTATTGCTTGGGCGCTTGCAAATTTAGATAAATTTTGCGTAAAAGATCGCCAAAAGTAGATCCGAACTCGTCTAATCTAGAGTCTCGAAAAGCCTCATAGGACCTCGGGAGTTTGTGGACGCGGGATGGGCGGCCTCAGTTCTCTCTCCCCCTGAGTCTTTCTCCTACTTCCCCCGCACACGCCAATGCATAGGTACCTGCTTTTCTGCATACCGCCAGACGGATGTAAAATATCTCAGGTTTCTAGACGTAGGTATTGATTGTGATTAATCCCCTGCGTAGATCATGGGGTTTTCTTCGATTCCGAGAACGTACCTGTCCATGCCTACCTTGTAGAGTCTGCAGGGACTCAGGTCTCGGTAAGTATCCCCGGATTGCCCGTTCCAGCAGTAACTAGGCACTAGCACCACAAACAAGCTTTGGGACTGGAGCGGCTAGGTACCTAAGACTTAGCTCCATCTCCCCCGGATAATGCTGGCACACCCCCGGACCACACGTTGAAGACGTGCAAATCAGATCGGCTGGTATAAAATAATGAGAGTAGCCGATCCAGGAGAATGATTCGGACTTGATATACTGTCCAATTGTGTATGACTGCTTCATTTCTATTGGTTTTATAAGACGCCCTGCCAATATGAAAGGGTGGCCATGTAATAGTAACCAGGCATGGCGGAGTCTTGCTCTACTTGGCTGAAGGCTTGATCCCCATTTTGACCACTGGCGAATTGAGAAAGTTCTCATAGTCATGAAAAGCCTTTGTTTGCTCTTTGGAGATTGCAACTTCCTGTCCTCTCTCCACCACGCCTCGATCATATTCGGCGACCGCTTCGTTCAGGGTCTTGGTGCCGTTTCTGACTGCAATCATGCAATTGACAAACTCGTCGGCATCTCGAATCGCCAAGTTACCTCCCTGCCCACGGTGGAACGTCATGCTATCAACTCTCATGTCAGATGATTGAGGGTTTTGTGCAGATATCAAAAGAGTTCATAATCATTGGCTTACCTGTGTGCTGCATCGCCAGCGAGTGTGACTCTGGCCCCATGGTTATCCCATGGCCGCGTATGCCATATCCTCAACTGGTTCTTTGCAATTTCCACGTCATCTGGCAACAACTTGACAATAGTCTTGTACGGGTCCGCCCAGCCTTCCATTTGCCTTCTAAGCCGTCTGAGACGGTCAGCCGAGGTCTCATCCTGCTCTAGACTATTGTCATCTGGCCAAGTAGTCAAGATGTAAAAGACCCAAGTCTCGGGCTTCTCCAGGTCCGGCTTGTCGAGCAAAAAGATGCCCATGTACATGCTCTTTGGATGCGGCGCCACGTCAACGTTGGGGTTCATCTCGTGGTCCAACCAGAGCGCCTTGTCAGCGGGGAGGGTAAAGGAAAAGTTCATAAAGGTATACGGCAAAATCTCCTGTGCCGCGAGCTCCTCGCCAAGGAGCCATCGCCGTACATTGGAGACGCCGCCGTCGGCACCGACGATGACCGAGGCCGCGATGCTGGTGCCGTCCTCGAATTTCGCGAGCACGCGGTGGTCATTATCGTTTTCGTCTTCCAAGGTCTCAATGTCCACCAGTTTCTTGCCGTACTGGATATCGAGACCCCTGGCCCAGTTCTTCTTGGTCTTCTGAATCTGCAACCTCCTGATTCCAGGAAATGGGGCGGCATTGAGAGTCTCGCCCGTTGCACCATCACGGACGAGAATGCACTGCTTCTCCGAAGTCTTGACATTCAAAGACGAGTCTGGTTGGCATTGTTGCAGGTTGGCCCATAGGTCTTTTGGCAAGAGCTTCTCGAGCTGGGCATGGCCCCAAGATAGTGTGACGCCCCAGTTCCTGCCTCGAGGTGAGGTCTCCCTATCAACTATTGTGAAGGGTATATCATTCTATGGAATCTCATTAGTATGTCTTTGTGCACCTAGGTGATTTCGAGGTGAATGTGGCTTTTGCCCGGTGCAAGGATGGAATACCGTACCTTCTTTAGGCCGTGAGCGAGTGATAATCCGGCAAGGCCTTGTATAAGATATCAGTATACGGGTACGAAAAGAGGGCGACGATGAATCATTCATATAAGACATACCACCGCCAATGATCAACACATGAGGCGAATTAGAAGTGCGTGCAATCATTTTTGAAGACTGATTTAGGCAAATTTGTCCATTCAAGAAGAAAAGCTTCCTCCGTCTTGCAGCACTTCCATCATATACGTTGTACAGCTAGCTGACCCAGCTACGCTTGAGTTTCGTGCTGCCGCGCTACGACGTTCTCCCGGAACTCTATGGGGAATCCCGTAAGTGTAAGACCTAACCGGCGGGCACCGAGACAGGACGCTCAATGAAGGTCCCGCGAGATCTCTGCACAAGTTGGAACCAAAATATAAACTTCATATGTCACGTTTTGTGATACCACTAGTAGTCGCTCCTGCATGGCAGTGTATGCATCCCGGCACACACGGGTTGGGCCAACTCACATGTGACATACCGCCTGACCTATATACGCAGATGGGTATGTAGGTATGTAGGCACTCCAACTTTGGCGTTACATCATCACCAATGTTGCTGAAGCAACTCTCCCAACTCCTTCACCATGCACCAACACACACCAATTGCTGCCTTTGCTAGATCTCGAGCGTTTACTCTTCTTGTCCTGATTCTATTAGTCCTTCCGACCATGGATTGGTATTCTCATCCCAAAGCAAAAGTTCGAGCTGCCGACTGGGGAAAACAAGATGTCGCCGAGGTATGTAATAACCATTTCGCCCAGCCTCAATGTGTGTGCAGAGAGGCTCGATCTAACCGACAGTTACGGCCTCTTAGCTCAAGCGTAAACTTATCACTGCGAACCACATATTGCACAACCAGGACGTTGTTGATGCATATGGCCACATCTCCGTACGACATCCCCAGAACCGAGATGTCTACATCATGTCTGGGTACATGGCGCCCGCACTTGTCAAGAGCTCTGATGACCTCATTGAATACTATGTCAACGACTCGAGCACTGTTGACCCAAACGCCAAGAAAGGGTGTAAGTTGGGAAAACGGCTCTTCTTCTCAGCCATGCATGCGCTATTGATTTTGGGTTTTTTCCCTTCACATTTACTGAATATTTCTCGTTCCCTATATCAGATGCAGAGCGCTTCATCCATGGAGAAATGTTTAGGGTATATCCCGAGGTCAACTGCGTGGTTCACAGTCACGCAGAAGCGGTTCTGCCCTACGTGGCTGCAGACGTGCGCATGATGGCGGTATTCCACATGGCAGGCTTTCTCGGTAAGAAGTCTCCTAGCATCAACGATTCGAATCTTCAATATTCTTCCTTCTTTGCTCATATACGTTGGATAAAAAGGCTCCGAAGTTCCCGTCTTCGATGTAGGCCAGATATATCAGCCGGGGGATCAGCAGGACATGCTCATCCGCAACACACGTCTGGGCACGGCGCTCGCCAAGTACTTTTCCCGGAATCCGCACCAAGAGGCGCCCTCGCTGGACCACACAGTCGTGCTGATGAAACGCCATGGATACACGACGCACGGCGTGGATATCGAGACGGCCGTCTATCGTGCCATCTATACCAAGATTAATGCCGGCGTGCAGTCGAATGCGCTGCTCATTGGCAACGTTCGAAACAGCGAGCACCCAGGTTCGTCTCCCAGCGCTCTGCCCAAGCCCATGTCCCAGAAGATGCTGGAGGACTGCGAAACCATGAATGAGGGCACTCAGGACAAGCCATGGGCGCTCTGGGTGGCCGAGGTAGAGAACAATAGCCTCTATGTCAATAAGGGCTAGAGGTGTTTACATTCTTTTTTCTCGTGGATAAGTAGATTTAATACGTTCAAACTTGAAACAACAATTTTAAACCTTGACCCCGGTGAGATATTGCACAGCAGCCTTTAGTATACTCTCCACAACCTCGACTTCTTCCATATTTCGAGGAGCATAGACCATGACCCATCCTCGATTCACAAACGGCAAACAGAATCTCTGACCCCAGCCCTTCTCCACCACCTCAATGGCATCGCGATCGCTCAGCCACACATGCAAGCTGTCGTCGGACGGGTGCGCGTGTCCAATCTCGTGGTCCAGGATCTTGTCCCGGGCTACGGGGTTGAGCGACGACACGTCGCGCTTGGCGTAGAGCCCGTCGGTGGTCTTGCCCTCGGTGTGCGAGGGCTTGACCTCCAAGAGGTCGGGATGCTCTGCCGCCAGCACCGTGACCATGTCGTGCAGTCGGGCCCGCGACGCCGTCGAGAGCACCCTGTCGGGGACCTGGCGCTGCGGCAGGATGCGCGGCATCAGCTTGGGCCGTGGCACCCCGCGCGTTGGCAGCTCAGTCAGGTGCAGTGGCCCGGACGACCGGTCATAGACTGATGTGTCCAAGAGGTCGTCGTTGGCCAAGAGGGCTTTAACCCTCAGCTTGGTCATCCTCCAGTAGCCTCTGTGGCAGATTCGTTAGTCAAGCCTCTCTCCCTCCCATTTTTGAGTAACTGGACCCCGGCTTCCCAGGGTACTCACGCCCATGTTGGAGGTGTGCCGCCGGTTCCAAACGATTTCCAGTCGGAAAAGTCCTTGACTGTCCTGCATGAGAATGAGCCTAGACCTCTAGAATGGTGTGACCTGGGTAAGACCGACCACGCGATGCTGATAGCTGCCGTCGTGATGAGACCCGTCGCCAGCGGGTTCGTTCTCACCACCGAAACTGCCTGTTCAAATGCCCCACTCGCCATGATTTCTTGAGTGATCACTGAACTGATCGCTACTGGTGAATTGTCATGAATGCAGAAGTTCGTCCCAGTTTTCAAAGACGAAAAGTAAATATCGTCGATGGCTTGGGGCTGGACTCTGTTGTGTGACGCGGAAAGTTGGAGCTGGGTCTGAAGTAGCGGGGAGGCCCCAGCCGTCACCGGACGTCCGTCGTCATAGTCTGTGTATCTACAGCCAATGGCCTCAAATCATGAATGCTTCATTATCAAGTTGTGAAATACGGGGACTCTCATTGTGTAAGTCATAATATGACACAGTCGAGGTATTAAGAAGCTTGGATTCAAGACAGTAAAGCCGCATTCGGAATGGCGCCACTATATACACGTCTTTCTGGGAGACTTGTGCCGATCCGGTTTACAACCAGCCAGCGGACACCCAATGTGCAAACAGTGACCTGAACATGCCAACGAGACATTGGTCTTCACTGCTGTTTCCATGCCGATTGTGAAGATTCGGATTTATGATTCATTCTACTGTGGAAACAGCAAAAGGATTTTCCCAGCAGCCATCTCTCGTGCGATAAGAGATTTGATGCGGCCGTAGCTCGTACATCCCAACAATATGCAGTATGCAATCGACCGCTGGTTGCACATGCTTGTGAGTTGTTGGCTCCCAGGCCCTCTTATTCGACGAGAAAATCGTGGACGAGTCCGTACCACGCAAAAGAGACCCTGACTGGTGGGTTGCTCTATCACGCCTAGCTGTTGGGGTGTACAGCATTTGAAGCTTCGCGATGGCTTTTCCAAACGAACTCGCCAGGACTGGGGCCAGGTGAAGAACATTGTTGTGATGAGCTTTAGAACGGTACTTCGCATCCCGAAATTCTGCAAGGTCTGTACCTGGGTATGGTGATCACATCAACACCTTCTTGAAAGCATCACCGAGGCCCCTTTGCTCAAGCCACGCTTCCACAGCCTTCATGTCATTGCGGTTGGCCCTCTCGCCCCTGCGCTCGCCAAGCAGGTCTGTGATCTCTTGCATGCCGTCAAAAACGCGCTGGAGCTGGCCCGTCTCCCGGTGGCGCTCGCTGACCTTTTTGTGGTGCGCGGGAATGTCGCCCCAGCTGTCGGTCTTGATGAACTTCATGTAGTCGTCGATGCTCTTGGAGCCGCCCTCTAGACACAGGATGCCCGGCTTGCCCGCCAGTAGAAACCCGCTTAGTCCGTATGAGGGTCCATGATTGATGAGATCATCTCTCTTGGAGCGCGTGCTGATGGACGGAAAGTAGAACCATACTCGGACTAGAGGCTCACTTGTTGATTCTGTATTCACTGTCATGGCAGCAGCGTCGCGATTGGATTTGATGTGTTGGACACAAGCCTCCCGTACGTATTCGATGCCGCCCAGGAGGTCCTCATCTGGTATGTCGGTCTGGACGTTTGTCACCTCGGCCTTGCTCATCCATCCCGGTTGTATGATCCTAATACGCACAGGGGAAGGCTCAGCAGGTGGCTCCGTCTCTTCATATTTGATTGGCACGATGAGTTCCAAAACTATCGATCGCGACCCCACGGGCTCGTCTATCTCGCTGGATAGATCAAGATTGAGCGATATTGATAGTGTTGATGAAACACGCGTAGGCATTTCTGATGCGCCTTCAATCCATTCAATAAGACTCGTTCGAGAAGCATCAGAGTTCGAGTCCAATTGCGCGTCCTCCGGGTACATGGCCAGAAGAAGGTCAATTTGGCTGAGCTGCAGCTCCAACAAATCCTGCGGCAAGATTTTAGCCATTTTGCAAATCTCTTCTCTGAAGACTCTGCAATATGCTCAGCTGTATCGCGCTGGGCTTATTATGTCGCGTTGACCATATGTAAAAATGTGTATACTCGACAGAGAATTGCCCGGTATCGCAATAGACCATGTTCTGTGATTTTGTACTGGCAGCTGACGGCGGCTGCAGAAACATCGTCATTGAGGCCATAGACTCTGGTCATCATACTGTTCCCGGCTTGATAGCAACGACTTGACTTGCAAGATTATTCAGTCTCCATCATTGACAAAAAGATACTGAATCGAGAGAGCGTCTGCATTTGCCATGTTTCCTGGAAAAGTATTGCTATGAGCCTTCTCTATTTCTTTTGAAGCATCTCTGTTGACAACCACTATACTACAGAACTCAGGGTCCACTTTCATTCCTCCCCAGTACACCTTACCCACAAGTACTTGACCGCATACTCTGCTATTATAACTTTTTGGATTGTGGTGAGAGCAAGTATATGACCGACTGACGTTTTCGCCAATCTCATGTGTTGAAGTAAGTTATGACCCTGCAGTGGCCGCCGCCTTGATGAACCAACTCAATCGAGCTCCATGGAGATATTTCATATTGAGGCAGGGCCAGTATTACAATTCCAAGACCGCCTGCGTCGCTATGCATACTGTCTGCTACATTGGTGTACACAGCCTAGTGTCCCATAGGAATTTCGATGTCAAAATATAGAATAAGAATATACTGTAAGATGGGATTTGTTTATGCTGTTATACAGTTCTATGACGCTATTTCCCATTTCTACATATTCATGATACATCGTAGAGTCTTAAGACATTCATTCATTGCCCAGTCCGAGCATAAATCCCGTCATAAACCTTTCCTAGCCACCCATCTGCAGCTCCGGCTCTGGCGACGATTCCGAGTCCACCAGCAGCCCAGGCGACTCCCACCAGCGCCGCAATACTATTGATGGACCACCAGGCCCGGCTCCTCCTCTTTCGAAGCTTCTTGTCAACTGTAGTCCTCCTCCAGCCCACCGGAGGAGCGACACCCAACCACTTCGCCCACCCCCAGGCCATGTGACCTACGCCGACTGCCAGGAGAAGTGTGTAAGCGATCCATGGCTGGATGCCATGCCTCGCAAATCCGTGTGCCACATACTCCAGACCAATATTTGAGCTGTCACCTTCCACCATCAGAGGCAGGACTCTGTTCATAAAAATGTGCGCCAACAGAGGCGGGAGGAGAATATAACCAGATATCGACACGTTGGACAGTTGCGGCCAGATCCGGAGACCATTCTTTGACCTGTCGGAAGAACTGGTTGATGATGTCTTGGATCGGTGCAAGGCATACATGCCGGGCGTCGCACCGCCATATCTCTTGAGGTTTTGTGACCGTCGGACGAGGCGCAGAGAGAGGCCGGCTAGCACGTGTGCTGCGATCGGGAGGCCGACGAGGAGAGGTTCGGAAACGCTTGTCTGATAGATTTCGCGGGCCATGAGGAGGAATGGCTCCGAGTACGGTACATTTTGGTAGATCAGGGGTATCAAGGATGTGTTCACCATGTGTAGCCCAGCGAAGGCGGTGAATGTGTAGAAAGAGTAGCGCTGGATTCTCGTTACTACAAGCTGGTTAGTTTTTGATAGAGATAGTGTTTAAAACATGAGGTAAACGAACAGTAGTATACTGCCCCATGATTGCTACCGCTCAGACCCAGAGCCGAAGAGTGTAGGCTTGACGATCCAAAAGTGGACTGTGAGTTGAGCGAGCCTGTAGACTCGTCCAAGTTTTCCTCGGGCAGAGGCGGCAGTGGTTTTTCCTGAGATGGGCTCTCTGCAATGGGTTGGGGATCTAGCTGCAGGAGTGATATCATAGTCTCCTGGGAAGCTTTATGTGTTAAGGCCGGAGTTCGCGACTCCATCTTGTCCTGGTGGTTGCACAAGCAATGCTTGAGCTGGTGATGATGTACGACAAACAAACCGAAAATTGAAGCTGTCGCGAGCGCCTCTGCTTGGTACCTCCAGCGGTCAGCGCGCTGGAAATCACCTACGTAATGGCCCTGAGCGGCGATCTGCAGGGATCTTGTTAGCGCTGTTTCGACTTGGATCCAATGGCAACTCGCCAATTTCAGAGCTGCCATCCAGCGCCAACTCCGCTGCAAGCCGATCTTAGCGACATCGCAGTCAGGAAACCTCGTCTTCAGCACCACACACACCAACCAGCATACAACTCATTTACACGCGCGCAAAGCTACCAACCACGTGGTTGATACCGTGCTATTCGACTGTCATCGTTCCTTTTGACTGATTGTATTATTTGCAGCTAAACGCGACATCCACAATGCCGCCACGACATCAGACTCTCCCGAGTGCGCAGACGGCCTCAGCCCGCGCAGCTAGGCAGTCGTTCTACTGCGAACTGTGCTCCAAAGGCTACAGCCGCATGAACGACTATGAAGCACACCTCTCATCCTACGATCACTCGCATCGGCAGCGCATGAGGGACATGAAGCAAATGGTCAAGGACCCCACGGCCGCCGCGAGAGCAAGAAAGGCAGAGCAAAAATCCGACGGTCTCATAAGCATCAAGCTGGGTGAAGGCGGCAGTGGCAGCGCGTCTGGAGCGGGCGGAGGCTTCAAGAAAGGCGGCTTTAAAAAGAGTGGCTTCAAGAGTGCTTTTGCTCCCTCTGGTGGCGAAGACGAAAAGAGCGTTAGTGATGCGGTTGCGAAAGACGGAATCAAGGAGAAGAGGATCGTTAGCCTCCAGGACGAAAGCGACACCGAAGATGAAGGATACGAGGTCTATGATCCGAGGAAGCCGACAGACTGAATTCCGACCCTATGAACAGCGTTTAGGCATTTATATCGAGGGCACAGCAGCTTTGGACCTTGTCCGCTGCGTTCATTTGAATTCTTCTTGGAAGATCACGGCAGGGAAAGCAGCAGCGGTGATCGCTTGCCCCATTGAGGAATCTCAAAGAAAATAGTCAAGTGCAGCTTGAGGACTCCCTTGAGGCCTCTTCGCAAGACCCCTGGCCATGGCGTTGGGTCGTGCTACCCAAGAGCAAAGATCTTGCAGCTGGCACAAGTTAGATCGACACTCATCATTACGAAATAGCACCAGCCAGTAATCATGGTGCTATCTACTCCGAGCGACCTTCGGCGATACAGCTCATTGTTTTTGACTAGCGGTCAAAGCAGTGCAAATTTAGGAGATTGGATTACGACACCAGTCATACGCACAGCCCAGTCTGTAAGCAAGCTTGGAGGTTCATAGTCGATCAGATATCACGGCCAGCATTACGAGCACGTGGCTTTATCAGAATGACTCCAAGTATGATCATCGTTGAAAAACTTCAAGATGAAAGGTCATCATGGACTACTCAGGCTGCATGCCTGTAGAATCCAGGTCACGAGAAAAGGGAATGTCATCGTCTCTATTCGATCTTGTACTATGCCCGGGTATTGAATGCGGTTGTAGTCTATAGCTTCCCTTTCGTCTTGTTCTCTGGCCATGGTCGCATGATGGACTGCTGTGTCATGGACGCGACAAGGTGGCCCTTCTCGTCCCAGAGCCTAGCCTCTGTATATGTCCTGCCTAGACCTCCTGCTGTAGTTCTCCGTTCTCTCAGATGCCAGGAACTCAAATCTATGTCGGATGAAAAGAGGCGCAAAGCAAAGTCCAATGAACTACAGGCCGCCGAGTCGTCGAGCCACTTATGGCTGTGTCCCAACGGTAGGAAAGCGAGGCCACCATCAAGCAGGAAGGCGACCGCAGCTGCCCTCTCATCTCGTGACTCTAGCGGCGCACGTGTCCTGCTCCAGTCTCCAGACGTCTTGTCGGTAATGGGGAGGTGTTCTTGTGTCGTTTGTTTTTGCTTATTGGCGCCCCCAACGTTCTGCCCCGAGACACCCTCTGGACAAAGCCTTGTGTCAAAGAAAGAATCACCCAAAGCAAACGACTCGATGACTTTGGCGGCATCCTTTTCGTCCATTTGGCCTGAAGCGACGGCCTCTCGCGCCAACTCCCCAAAGGATCGACTCTTTTCCGGTCCAGAGTACTGTAATACTGGCGGGGTCGAGTACGTGAGCATTGCCGGCTCTTCTATTTGGAAGTCGGCCAGAAGCTCAAGACACACGCGCTTCTTTCCATCGGGCCGGATTTGGCTGACCTCAACCCGTCGTGTGGCAAAGGTCTTTGTATTCCGTGACGAGTGCACCGTACAGTAGAGCTTCTCCGTGGTTGATGCCGGTCCCAGAAAATGTCCGACAAGCGAGTAAAGCCTATGTGTCGGGGGAACCGTCTTGCATGCAGCGTGGACGGCTATTCCCAAAGTACAGCCTCCATAGGCGATAGGCAGCGCGTTGCCCATGCGTTCAGGAGGGATGCGCGATGCATATTCACCGGGTCCGATTTCGTCGATGCTTAGCTGCTCTGCTAAGGAGGCAACCATTTTTACTCAATAGCGACCTTTGCTCACTTCTGGTTTCCGTAGTACTGTGCGTCTCTAGTAGTAGAATAGAACACGATGGTTTTTTTCGATTGTAAAACATGAAGCGTACCTAGGTAGTCAGACACTGGGAATATGGTGATTTATTATTAATCCATCTTGAAGCATGCCTGACCAGAGCTGTGGATGCTTTACCGAGGCTCCTCGGAGTAGCCAGAGACCCACTATCTTAGCTGGTCCCCAGTGAACGTCTCGTTCACCTAAAAGCCGCCTCTGGACCTGAATTATACCATTTAGAGCCTGGTTCTATCTGATCGGAGATTCACACAAACCATAAGTCGATTACGAGATTGTAAAATCTACAAAGCAAGAATATGTGACTGAGAACAGTACCTAGTTGACGACCCAATTACCATGACCAAACTACATTATACGATACATGCCTAGTACCTAGGTACAAATGGCACATACTCAGCACGGTTTACATGCTAAACTTTGAAGTCGACCCTGCAGTGTGCACTTGGCTTAGGTACCTACCTACACAAGATGACCCGCTGACTGGCTCGCCAATTATCGCCTGATTAGAAGAAGCAGGCATTGCAATTCTTCCTCGACGAATAGAAACCTCCTTTGCTTATTTGTTTCTGCATCAACGTTCATGCTGACACTGTCGGCTCGTTGCCAAGGATACGCTTGCTCTGGTCGCTAAATTAACCCATGAGCAAGATGGACATGGCAATAGATGATTATTCGACGGGAAAACACATTTTACTCCTGAGAAAATGGCTTGAGCAATGCGACAGACACCATGACGACAGGTGCAAGGCTGTATCGATAGCAGATCGGCCATCATGGCAAGTGCCAGACTGGGTGATTGATACCAACCAAGGCTGCATCGTTCCAGGCTCCTCGATCAAGCAATACGCAGCCCTGAGCTACGTGTGGGAGTCACCCTCGCCAGAGGGCAGCCGAGTAACTTCAGAAAGGCTGATGCTCTGCCACGACAATATTGAGGAGTTCCAAAGGCCGGGCTTCCTCTCCGCTGACGTAAAAAAGAGCCTTCCGGCGGCAGTGCAAGATTCGATTGTCCTGGTCCTGCAATCCGGCGTACGGTATCTCTGGGTCGATTGCCTGTGCATTGTCCAGCACACAGAAACGACTGGAGACAGGGTCAAGGCGATGAGCGAGATATACTATGGAGCTTATTTCACCATTGTTGCAGCCACAACAGGAGGAGGACTATTCGATCGAAAGCCTGGCGATAATGTAGCTGCGAAAGCTCGTCGTGCCCTCCTATGGCGCAGGGGTGCCCTTTGGTTTACCGCAAATGCGCAACGTCTCTATAGCTCGCTCCTCGCATCACACTGGGCCACTCGTGGGTGGACATTCCAGGAGCAGCTGCTTTCCAAACGATCTATCAACTTTATTGACGAAATAGTCTTCTGGGACTGTGAATGTTCCGTGTGGTGGCCTAGTTTAGCAGAGCTTGAAAACGGTAGCGGCGACACGAGCAATCCCAAGCCTGGGCCAGAATTTGACTGCAATAGTATGAAATACGACACTTTCGGTATTGCGAATGAGAAATATATAGAGGCGCAAAAGCACAAGGAACTGTCCCAGTCGCTCAAGTCAACCTCGGTTCCCAATTTCAGGCTCTATATGGAGCTGATATGCCGCTACAATCACCGGAATCTCACATACCCCCAGGATGCGCTGCCCGCCTTCTCTGGAGTGCTGAGATGCGTTGCAGAAGCATCTTCGAGCCGATTTATATGTGGATTGCCGGTCCTCTTTCTTGATGCCGCTCTTCTGTGGCAGCCGCTCTGGAAAGCAAAGAGGAGACTCGCAACGGACAGGGGCAGAAATATTGCCCCGTCAGCACCACTCCCTTCCTGGTCCTGGGTAGGGTGGCAATGTCTGATTGACCCAGAGAGCATGGTCAGTGGCCTTGACTATGAAGTAGGAGATGTCATGGACGGCATTTCAGACCCGCCTCACAGGTCTTGGAAAACATCAAAGCTGGTCGACTGGTACATTCTACCAAATAAGGATGTCCAAACTGGAGAACTATTGAAAGAGCATCAATGGATGGAGTCATGTAAATTGTTCCAGAGCAGTCCCTACGCTGAAGACTTGCCGAAAGGATGGTCCCGCAAGTTGGGTTCCGAATTCGTATCTTGGGAGGAAGCAGGCGATGCCGCCATACTTCAGCTTTGGAAGACTCATGTTGGGGAAACTCCGATGTCAGAAGACTCTCCGGGGCCAGCGTCCAAGCCGGTTGAGTGGTATTTTCATGGTGTCCAAGACGACATCTTGTACTACTATCCAATTCCTACGAGCAATGCCTCCTCACCGACTGCCGCAAGTTTAAGCGATGCACCCTTTCTATCCTGCGTCACTACGGTGGCACATTTCAAGGTCCGGAGGATGCTTGTCTGCTGACACGTGGCTGAATATGATACAGATTCGGGGATGAGGTATTCTTTGGCCTCTTGTGCCTTTCCTATAAAACAAACCATCATCTATAGAAACAAGCCCAGAGTCGAGGACTGCAACTCGGTTATGACACTCGAGGATGACCAAGGGAGATGGTCTGGTTTGCTCCGGGTCATGGATGATGATGCGGTCATTGAAAGTGGGCAGACGATTCAACTCGTTGCCATATCAAAGGGCAGTACTAGTCGCCGTGAAGCCGCCCAGACTTATGAAGTCTACGTCGACAACTGTGGGTACTACAATGCCGGAAATGTCCAATACCAATTCGAGTCCGTTGCCAGCACTTGGAGAATATCCGAAGAGTCCATTGATGATGCAATAGGCTCGGCAGTGCCCTCTCAAAAAGAGAGGTCTCACACCACCTGTGTGGGAAGCGAAAATGAAAAGACCACACCGGATCTGGGGAAGCTCAACTCTAAAAATGTCGAGTCTCGCAAACTTTCGGGATGGGGGGATGAGATCTACTTCTTTTACAATGTTCTCTGGGTAGAGACCATTGACGGTGTCATGTATAGGAAAGCGGCCGGACGTATCCCCGAGGACATCTGGGAGCAGACTTGTGGTATCCCACAGAGAATAGTACTTGGATAAGGTGGGAGTGGGAGAGGGAGTATCTGGAATGAACGGCCGTATAAGGCGTCAGCATCATGCATGCTGTATGCTGAGTCGACAATGGTGATTTGTCGATTCTATCCCATATACAAGGATCCTAGCGAGTCAATTCATTATATCAACATGAAGGCAGTACAAAAGCCGTTCCAACAAATCGTCATCAAGTTACTAGACTATACACATTACATTTAAATCAAGGAGGAGGGAATTGAGACCTTTCTGAAAGACCGTGAAAATCAACTGCTTCCGCCCAACTCTCAGGTTTCAAACCAAAAGTCCAGACCCAGGCAGCTTCAGGCAGCTGCGAGTAGATGGACCTTACCTTTCAACACGATGACACCGATTACCTGTGATGGGCAAGGCCCTAGTCGGCAACATGAATACTACCTAGTAGGTCAGGTAAGTGCATGGAGGTCTGAAATGTTTACCCATTTCCAGCACCAATGCGCTTTCTCTTGGCAGGGGTAATAACTAAGTAGTAGGTATTCAATTAGTAGCAGCTTCCCTTCCAAGCATCATGATTAGACCCTTGGGCAGACGGCCAATTTCGAACCATTCAAACTTCCCCTCTCCATTGTTTTGATTCCATCTTGACAAGCATTTTTCTCAAAGTCGCTTTTTGGTCATCTCTTACCCAACCATGAGCAGCAACCAATATGGCTACTTTGAACACTTTCCACTGCTTTCTTCAACTTCCAAACGAGCTCCAGAATGGAATATGGACAGCCTACAGTGACTACAGATCTGGCATGCGACACTGTTTTTCTTATCATGGGGATACTGTTTTGTATGCAGCACTATCCAGCAATAACTATTCGCTGCTTGGCAACCTTGTCGCCGACTTTGAAGGTCTCGATGCCTGGACTCACCTACGGCGCAAGGGGCCGCCTTTCAAGATGGTGAAGCCGCTCAATAGGGTTTCGGTCCTGGCGGAACTGACACATCAGAGAGCAATCTTTGCAGACTGGTGAGAAGCTTTTACATATCAACATATCTCTAGGGGGAGCATAAAGATATGACTTTGCCTATTCCCCCTACTTGTGTCATTTTGCTCTTGATCTGGCTCCCCGACGACCGAGAGGAAGCAATCACTAACACACTCTGGTTCTTGAATAGGAAACCATCCAAGAAGTTCTGGCCCAGTCACCTGCGGTCTTTGCCGGTCCGCAAGCCCCCACTTCCCCATATCTGGGTGAACTTTGAACAGGATATCTTCTACTTTGATATACCCGATACGCCGGCGGAGCAATCGTGGTTTCGGACCTTTTTTCCAGATACCTTCATCAAACCCCCCGAGGATGATTACTGGCTATTCAAGGTGCGAAAAATGGCTCTCCAAGTGCCCACCCTGATGTATCTATATGAACGTGGACCGAACTTTCGTATTCCTCGCCAACTGGATGCTCTTATCTTGCGGCGAATGAAGAACCTCCAGGTACTGCAGCTCATTGTTTCTATACACGATGAGCCATTCATGATAGAATGGAAGGAGTCTCATTGGGCCGACGATGTCTTCATTCCTGAGCACTACCTTGACAATTTAAGCATTAGGTCCATGGGCAATAGTGACAATGCAAGCTTTGATGGAGAGCTAACTCACCGCTACTCACGCCAAAGGAGATGGCAGAGAGGGCAAGAGTCGGCGCGAGACATTGCAAAGGCACTGAGGAGGCTGGGCATCACTATTGCAATTGAGATCATGTTTCATATATGCTAGCAAGAGGGACGAAAACCACAAGCTGCAATACTACAATTCAATAAGAAAGTACTAATTTCTATTCTACTTACGCGAGTTGTCCCATCGATCAAGACGGAGCGATACCTTATTATAGACTGCAACGGTGGTATCGCAGAGTCCTCCGAGCTCCTTGGCCACGATAAAGATGTCTTCTACCTGCGAGAATCGTTCAACCTGCCCGTTCTTCTTTCTGAGATCCGCAACGATGTGATTCGCCGTTGAAAACATGGGTGTGTCTTTGGGCTCGAAAATGTCCCAGACATTTTCTTGTACACACGCCGCCCGGGCGAGGGTCTGGAGTATCAGCTTGTCCATGCCGGCCCCGTATCGACTTCGGAGGGTCCCGCAGACGTGTTTAAGCTCCGCGATAGGCACATAAAGGTAACACAGAGTAGCCCACAACATGGAGATCTCGTCCCAATCGTCCTTGAGCACGCTTCGTCGACGGTCGGCGAGGCGCTCAAAGAGGGATTCGGCCAGCTTACGCCTTGTGGCCGCGTCCACGTCCTTCATAACCTCTTCCTTGCACAGTACGGCAAGGAGCCGGATTGCACCAACCGGCGTCGCCGTCTGACAGTCGGGGCACTTTTTTGTCTTCATATCCAGCGGTATGCCAGATACCACCGAGTTGAGGCGGCTATTCATAGATTCATGCTTACAGATGTAGGCCGTCGTCGACTTGGACTTTCCGCCGGCACGTACCGACCTTGTGGAGGCATTGGAGCTGGATCTAGAGAGCATCTTGGGGATGTTTTGTGGGGAAGGGGACGTTGCAAGAGTTTATGATTAAGTTTTCGTCGTGTATGGATGCGTACCAAAACCTACCTGGGTTTGTATTCTTGATCGTGTCTTGTTCCGAAAATGTTCCACGAGAGTCCGCGTGGTGACTTCTTATATCCCCTGCATCAAAGGACACCAGCTATTGTCTTCGACTGCAACAAGAGCTAAAGCGACTAAACAAAGAACATTTAGAGCAAAATGCGCATTGTCATTTGGAGACTAGGATGACTTTATCTCGGACAATGCCGCAAAAGTTCCATCAAAGGCAGTTGACGATTCACTCATGCTCCAAAATTTTCAACAGAAAAAGCCCGTGACGAGTTGACCGTATGACCATGCCAATCATATTTACTCATTCACGCAAAGCACCCAAAGTGCCAATGGAAGCATTCGACGCTCAAGATCGTCGAGACGGAGGAACCATTGGCTTTTCCCCCAGATCCTCACCAAACTCCTTGCCACCAACGTACAGAGGCTTGATATCCTGCAGCACAAACATCATGCGCGCCCACTCGGTCTCGGACGTATTGATCCACTGGTGCTGGGTCGCCCGCTGGACGGCCACGTCGCCCCTCTTCATGAGGTGGCGCTCGCCCGAGTCGAGGACCATTTCCACGCTGCCCTCGAGGATGATGCCGTAGTCGAGGCTCTGGGTGCGGTGCATGTCGCACTTGAAGCCGGGGGCAAAGTCGACGCACCGCAGCACCGAGCCGTTGGGGTTGACCAGCCCGAGCGTGCCCGCCGCCATGGTCGACTTGTGCTGCGCAATGTCCTTGTCCCCGTTCAGGTCCGGCGGCGACTGCGACGTCGTGTACACGACGCTAAAGCCCATGTCGCCGTCGGCGTAGCGCGTCCACTTGAAGTCTTGGTGCTCGGCCACGATGGCCTTGCCCTCGTCGTTGTGGCCCGTGTAGAATTGGTGTAGCTGGGGCAGCTTGGAGACGGGGCCCTGGGTGCCGTTCATGATGACGTTGAAAGGGGAAAATGTAATGTAATGTATCAGATTATAGTAAAAGGACTAGCGATTTGGTAAAACCGGGTTACTGGTAATAAGGGTGGTCAGAGAATGCATCCCCAAGAGAGGGACTCCAACATTGCTACCTCGAGCGATATCTCTCGAGATTACCCCACACCTCACCGCCGAACGTCGCTCCTCTTCTTGCAGGATCATCGTTTCACATTGCATGTAGATTGGGCGAATGAGGTAATGTTGTTGAACCGCCATGCATTATTAGCGCTGCTGTGAGTATCCGGAAGGTTCGGAGTATATGCTGCAACCGAGGGATTTGGGGCACCCGCGTTGGTTGTTACGGCCGATCGTCTTGCACAATTCGTCTTTTTGACTGTAGTAATGTAAAGGCATTTGACAATACTCCTGAGAAATATTATCATATTAGGGTAGTACAGAGTATTAAGTCTCCTAAATGTGGCTGGTGGTTTTTTTCCCCTGAAAAAAATGCCAGCATCTTACAACAACTTTGAGTATCCCCATGACATTCCCTTCAAGTGTGAAAGGACACGGCATACATACATGATGTACAGTCACTTGTGTATTTCCTGCAGGGCGTGACATCTTGCCAAGATATCACTGCCTAGGAAAAGACTGAGCCGCCCTCGTCCAAGCGCTTGGCCTCTTGTCTCAAGTAGTCCGCCTTGAACTTTCGGTACGCAGTTTCAATTCTCTTCTTCCTCTGCGGATCACTGGCAATAGTCCGGGCGGCCGACCAGGTACCCAGCAGGAAGCCCAGCTCGCCGCCAACAATGGTTCCACCCAGACCAAAGAAGATGTAAGTCGCCCAGTCTCCCAGCCGTGTAGGCCTGAGATATGGCGTAATGTCCGGAACAGATTCTGCAAAGGGAAGTTTAGCAAAGACTTTTTTCGAGGGACGAAATCCGAGCTCGCGGTCACACGCTTCGGATTGGAGGGGGTTTTGTTTCTGGGTGCAGACATACCTGTTCTACCGCCTGCAAAGACAACGTGCGTCGGCTTCTCGGTAGCCCGGAACGCGTTGAACATGGAAACTCGAGCCTTTCTCAGCCTGAACGCCGCGTAGATGCCCAATCCCAAGCCAACAAGGGTGCCAATGGTGGCCGGAACCGAGACCTTTCCGGCGGCCTTTTGCAGGACCTCGCGGTCCGACGGCTCGAGGTCATGCTTCATGTGCTCCTCGGCCAATTTGGCCAGGTCCTCACTGTAACATCCCCGGGTTAGCATCTGTGTCCGTCACTGGGCGGTGCTCTGCACGCAGACTTACTGTTCGGGTGACTTGCGGAAAGCAGCGATAGACATTTTGAACGTGCTGTATCAGACGCTGTGTGAATTAGACTAATTTGATGTTGAGCAATGGGATGACAAGGAAAGACGTGATTGTTTACGCCCTTGAGACAGAAACAGAGTGTAGCTCGACTTGGCTGATGACGTCATTGGCACGACATGGAGCTATAGTCGCATGGCTCGGATACGTAACGCAAACCGAGGTTCGTCTTCTTGACCACTACAATGAGATGCGTTAGAACCAAAGTTTCAAACAATGGCATTTGGAATTGGCCAATTCAGAATCATGTGTTTATTCAAGGCAGCAAAAAGCTTGTCTGGTAGGGAACACAGCGCTTTGACACGTGGAGTGATGCAAGTAAGCCTGCAGGACCCAAAGTGACGGGGAAGCTGTAAGCATCATCTTGCACTCATCATATGCACAATTCCAGTCAAGCATACCTAGTGGGCTTGTAGATACTTTTCAACATTATTGTTTTCAAGATTGCTAGTAAAGAGAACGAAAACATCATATCCAATTCGGATGCCTCTTCTTTGGTCGTTCAGCTACGACACTGGACTCGACCTTTCCTTCATCGCTCAATGGGTCGACCTGAGCGATGACATAGCTGTCCTTGTAATGTTCATTCTTGTAGTTTGCCTTGACCTCTTTCAGCTCCAGAAACTCCCGTCTGTGCTCTGCGCAAAATGCCCCCCATTCGGTGAGCACACTGGGTGGCCGGCCAGCCTCGGAATCACCGAGCGAATAAAATCGATGGATCCTCTCTAGGGAGGAGGACCTGTGGTTTTCGTCTATGGAGGAGAACCTGTGATTCCTTTCGATCTTAATCTCCCGAGTAATAAAGATGCGGTCCAGGCTGGATGTCAATACGGGCCAAAATACAGGCACCGATGCACAGATGGTGGCTAAATCAACCTCGCAACTCGCGAGCAGAATGCTGATCGGGCCGTACCACGTCGGGTCAAGCGTAGGATAAGTCGCGGCCTTGTGTTCGACAATGGTGGCGACACGCCAGATGGCGAGACCATTGGTGAGTCCGCCCATTGTGAGGACACCCAAAAGACCTAGCTTGGACCTGGTATCTGTGCCCGGCTTGAAGTATAGATGAATCGGAATGGCGAGAATGATGATATCGAGAAACATATTACTATACGAGGCGCTAGAATATGTCGCGTAGAATTCGTCGGGAGTGAGCGCACCATATCCATAGCAAAGTCCTTCCTTGTCGAAACTGAGGTCCCAGTAGGCACTAGGCGGAAAGCATGGGAAGAATGCCATCTGAGGGTTCCAAGTTATGTTAGTGGTTATTTCTAAGAAGAGTTGTCTCAAATGTCAAAGCCTTTCACGTAACTCGAGTTTTCTGCTGACGACCCAGGCAATACACTTATTCTGAGTAATAGGTCTACAATTGGTGGTGAAAACTTACAAAACTGTATGCAGTCCCCCAAAGCCCTGTAATGACCATGATAAAGATACAAAATGGTCTCACGGGCTTCTCTTTAAATATTCTCAAATATTGAAACAGTAAAGCTAGCTTCACCAAAGTTGTCGATAACGCATAAGAGGCATTAGCAGCATAGAATAGCTAATTCAACAATGAGTCAGCGAATACCAAGTGTTTTGGGGAAATGATTCGTCGTCATACCACCATATAATGTCCCATTTCCGTGATTGTGAGTGTTATAAAGTGCTTCCCAAGCCCAGTTTGTGTGGCTGACATGACATTAGACTATGATGTCTTGATACTCGTGCGCAGGTGATTTATCATACCGACGCATATGCATGATGAACCGACAGTGCCGGACAACTAGCTCATAGTCAGTCAAGAACAAACAGCAACGATTTGCCTGATGACATACCAGTGTGAAGAAAACAAACAGATCATCCCATCCTGGGGAGTTGACCACTCTGAATCGGCAATAAAGGCGAAAGAAAACACATAGAACAGCAAGGCCCTACACTTTTAGATCAATACCCTGTCATGTGCTTCGAAAACATGGAATGTGCTGTGCCGTACATGCGATGCACTTATCGTGGCGATAAGTATATCAGCCTTGTTCCAAGCCGGAGTTGGCTCATCAAGGTTGTTGGATTTGCCCAGCAGATCGAGCAAGCTTTGCTCAGCCGCCCCCATGGTGATATTCCGGAGCTGATACCTCAGCGCTGCTTGGCCATCATCCTCGCCGTCTCGCGGAGGTGAGAGAGATGGAGTCTGGGGGGTTTGGTCACCACCCCCTTCCAGCGAGGTGTGCAGATTTTATCAACTTCATACATGACAAGGGGCGTCTAGTGACCAGTAGCGTTTGTTTCATGGGGGGCTTTGTTGGGGCAAGATCCCCAGAAACATCAACTATCCTGACCCAGAACAACGGCAAGTGGGTTAGAGCTCAGGAGCCGGCAACAACGGCGTTGGCGTGCTGCCACCGACGATTGCCTGGGTTAGAGATTTGGGTCGATCCCTGATCGAATATCCCCTTTGCTCCAGAACTCATGCCAAAAGCACTCCGGTGTAAAGCCATAGGGGGTAGATCTTGGCACTAGGGTATAATCAGGCATGGCTCAGCCCTGAAGACTGATCCGTCCTGGCACTAGACAGAAGTTAGATTGACAAGACCAATTGTTCCCGCACTTGGCGCCTACCACCGTCGCTCAGGTTGGAAAGCTCACTGTGGAGTTTGTGTTTGTCCATGGCATCTTGTTTTCTCCGCAGACAGTCATTGTGTCCACTGGAGACCGGGAGGGTCTTTTTCAATCAACGTCAGAATCAGTCGGAGACGCCCCGATCTGCGGTAGACTCGATTACAAAGTTCCATAAAACGCGGTAAGCCGAAGAAATTGAATAGAATTCGCGCCGGAGATGAAAAGGATCAACTTCATTGTGCCTGTCGGCGCTAACGGTTGCAATCTCCGTTGGATTTACAGCCAAATACAGTTCAACTTGAAAGACCATTTTGGTTGGCGTCTCTGTCGGAATATAACGAGCGACTCTGCATCATCTACCATGATTATCCGCTTATCCTCTGGGGTCTATCTGGGTGTTATATATATATATTTCCCGAAGGCCATTGCGCCTGGTTAGATAGATCGGTTCAGTCAAAGAAGCCCATTGTCCCCATAGTCGGATCGTGATATTGACAACCGCCGAACGCTAGATTAGATTGTGCCCATTCTCGAAACTCTTGGAAAGCACAGTTCTTTGGATGCTCCAAACCCCGCTGAAGGTCTTATTTGCTTTCTTCATGCTTTCCATTGATCCATCACGGCCCCACGACAATCAACGGCAAGCTAGCTATGCGTGAAGCAACCAATGAGCTTGGGCTCGTGAGACAAGGGATACGGAGAATATATCCTTGCCAAATGATCTCTAAATGATTTGGCTTCTACATATATGACACGACGAGTCCGGCAAGTGCCGTAGCAAGCATGGCCTCCATGTTTAGGTGTCTCTAAGTATCGAGACAATGACTCGAGCGTTATAACAAGACTTGTACATCCAATATTTCAGAGTGCCTAATCACAACTATCGATCAACCAGTCTCAGATGTTAATGTGGTTGACACAATTTCGTTCTGATATATCTATTGCGATTGGCGGCATGATAGACATTGACCCTAACTACCTGAGTAGTCAACCGAAACTTTGGCATCAACGCCATATAGCATCAATATGCGAAAGACATTCCAGGGCCTTCGAATCCGGTGCTATCTTGTATGTCCATTCAAGTCACCACTTCGGGCTATGAGGATCTAGATTCGCCTGATTCAAATCGGGTATACTTCCATTATTAGTCAATTGTGGAGATCGGATTGGGCTCATGCCTTCTCGAAACATGTCACCAATGTGGATAAAAGTAGTACTCGATAAATGGAGCAGTATAAATGGATGATAGTTCTATCCATAAGGTCTCCAATTACGGCATATTAGCAAAGAAGAAGAAAAGAGCCCTCAGTGGCACGGTGGGAGGTCAACAGAAGCAGGGCGATATGATGCTAGCGACTTAAATCACCGGCACAAGAAGTTTCCGATGACTAAACACTTAGTAACCTTTACGATTACGAACCGGCAATAGTACCCATATCAGCTGGGCGGAACGGCTCGAGTTAGCTCCCAACCTGCGACGACAAACCAACAAAAAACCGGTCTTGCGCCATCTTGATTCTACGCTAGCCTTTCCCCCTGTATTGGGATAGAACAATGGTAGGCCTGAGTTAGTATGGCATCAACTTTTTGATCGGCGAGAAGAATTTTCCCAAAGAAAGTAATAATATGACAACTCGAAAAGTCTAGAGTCCTAGATCGTCAGTCTCGTTCGTACATTGGCTCAGGCGTCCCGAGCCTCCACGGTGAGGTCATGTTTCGGGATGAGAAATCCTTTGCACTACGGTTGCTTGATCATATATGAAAGGCTACAAGCATCACCCTTTATCTATCCAAAGACCAAAAGGCTGTGATATTAGCCGTCCCTCGATATATGCCCCATGAAAAATAATGGCTCTTTTTGGAGAGGGGCCTCTGGAAGTGCCATCAGGTACGACCTGACCGACACGGCTCACCGAGTTGCATGTCTCCCGTTCAAGGTCTTATTTATTGAGTTAGAACTACTAGTGACTATCAACTCTGTTGGTTTTCTGTGAAATAATACCATGTTTTGCGACAAAAGTTGTTTCGAAATCACTGAGAAAACTGGCGATTGATGTAAGCCTGTTCGAATTAGGCGAAATTAATCTTCAATCTGCTAACAATGTGATTTGCTATCTACCACACTTCTAATCATCATTTGTTTACAAGATACGTCATACTACAAGAAAATCCTCGCTTCACGGTCTTGGTTTGACGTCTAGTTCCTTAATCAATATTGATCGGAGGAGACTCGTCATAGAGGTTACAGGAGGACTCAACAGGAATTTGATACTGTTGAGTTAAATCTTTTGACCATGTGCCGTTGCCAGAAAGGTTCCGTGTTGAGATGGGGGATCATCCACGAGGTATGGTGAATCTGACTAGTCGTAGATCATGTTCTCTAGCTTCGAGCAGCCCTTGACATCAATATACTCAAGTATGGACAGGGCAATCAGTGATCGTTTCAACAAACGGGTACCTGGCGATCATCTCTTGCATCGTGAAAAAAAGAGGCGTAAGACTAGTCACAATACGGGTGTCCGGATTGCAGAACTTCTTCCGACACACGTGCCATGCAGGAGGTCTCGTCAACTTGCACCGATTTTAGAGTGAGATGAGAAAAAATAAAAGAAGAAGAAATTGTTTTGAGCGACTTGTCTAGGCAAGATAAAACAAACTAGTGCTTCATTGAGTTCCAAAGATTGTTCTTCAAATATGACACAGTTAGTACAATCTACAAATACTCCAGCGCTGCCTACCCAGTCTACCTGTAAAGCACTATTATAGTAACGTCTTCCTCTACTCATAGTAGGGACGATCAATCTATACGACCGAGTGTGCATTATTTTGGTAGGACTCTGGTGACATTCTGCTCTTGTTCCCACGTGGACTCTCCAGCCAGCCAAAGGGGTCGTACAGTTTCATCCACATGGTTCTCGAGCCATCAGGCCGGCGCTTGCCACGCGGGCCGTTGAGCAGCCCAAAGGGATCGCAGAGGGTCATCAGCCACGAACGCTTGTCGTCGACGCCGTCGCCCAGAACCTCTGTCACGCCGTCCTTGTCAAGGTAGAGGTTCTTGTCGACGGGCAGGTACCGGCCCGGGTGAAAGACGTTCCAGAGACACGAGTTGATGAGCATGATCGCGGCCTCAAAGACCCAAAAGTACCACTCATTTCGGAGCAGCGGGTTGAGCTCGTCCACGTTGGTTACGGACGCGGTGCTGGCGTCGGAAAGATCAAAGTACTCGACCGTACGATAAATCGTGCGCACGAGTATGAGGCCCATGCTCACGTACAGGATCTGCAGGGGCGTCTTGACGCGGCGGTTGAGCACCCCGGCGTGCTGGCATCGCCGGTAAAAGACGGTAGCTAGCAGGGCAAAGCAGGCAATCACCACGATTTGCAGTATGAGCGACGCCCGCATCAAGTCGTGGCCGGCGGTGATATACCCCTGCGGTAGATAGCTGTTGGCGCTGTACGAGACGCCAATACCATTGAGCATTTCAACCAGGGTAGAGAGGAAACCAAAGGTCGTGAGCACTCGACCGGGATGTAGAGGTGAGAGGTAATGCACGTAGTATAATGTGCGTCCGAGCACATGATAGTTTGCAAGCTCGAGTAATGGCCTGAAAGCACAAACTGTAAGTATACAGAGAGAGAAGACATGGTCAGGAGCGATCGTCTTACGGTGCAAAATAGATAAAGCAGGTGCTTGTAATATAAATGTTGATGTTGGGTCTGGTAACCTCATAGTTGAAAGCTCCAACTTCTCGCACGGCAAACCCGACTGCAAACATGAGAGCACATAGCGGGTGGAGGACAGTCCATTTCCAGGCCTTGTAGCGACTATCACCTGGTGAGCTCTTTCATAATCTGTGAGTTCCGCGATATTAGAGTCTCCTTACGTGCTTTGCCAGGCATGCACAACTGCCACTATCAGAAAAGCTACTGCGAATGCGACTGGTGCCCCTTTGTTAGGGATGTAAATATAGATGCTTTCTGTCAAAGTATACTGTCAGTCGTGTCTGTAGAGCCTTCACCAAGTCGTATCCTTGAGTGATAGGAGTCATACCTAATGCTATGCTTGACATCTTGGTGCTGCTTCTAAACAAAGAATATAATTGATCTCCTCAAACTCCATTTCCCTCTTGGCTGGGTGCTCACTTCTTTTTTATCACTATCGTCACATTCCAGTGGCGTTGAGAATATGCCCGTTTTGGGGTAACACAAGTACCAAAGTATACAATGAGCGATCCTGAGCGATCGTGGCGCAGTGCTAGCATGGCGACAAGGCTGAAAGTGCCCTTGCTGACATAGCATACATCATCTTTTTTACTGCCATCAAGTTTAAGAGTTACTTTTACTTTTTCATATGCAAGTGAGATATGCAATATCGTTGGGCAGCGTACGGGCGAGCCAATCAGATAGGGTTGGAAGGTAGACCGATGTAAGTGACATCCTTCTGGGAGAAAGATGTAAGACACCAACGTCGATGGCTCCAAACTAAGCCTCTTTAGGAGAAATTCGTGGCCAAGACTTTTCGATCTGCGGCGCAGTTTATTTTTGGTTGGCTGTGCACAGGTTAGATTCCCGCTTTTTCTTTTCAGCTGCATATACTTGGCCAAGTAATATCACACCGACGTTAACGATGAGAAGGGAAATATAAAGTCACATATACTTTTTGAAAGGGTGTCTTCTCGAAAACCACACACGTCATGCCTACACCCGTTGTAGGTAATAGTGCAACATCTGCGGGACCATCATGGAGCCCGGGTTGAAACCCAATGTTGTTGTTGCCCAGAACATGGAGACGTTGGCGATGGCATCCCCCAACTTGGACCGGCCGACAATGATTACGCCCGGGGCGGCTGGGCCGAAAACAGACTTTCCGCTCAGGGAGAAGCGACACTGCTGGGAATGCATGCGTCGTAGGTTGGTGTGTGACTCTGCACCTGGTGCTTGCAACAAGTGCAAAACAAGGGGAGTCGTGTGCCCTGGATACGACGACAAGAAGCCCTTGCGGTGGCTCACGCCTGGCAAGGTCAAGTCAAAGCCTCGCCGCCCCAAGAATGCTCCTGAACCAAAGCCGGTATCGAAAAAGTCGTCGAAAGAAAAGGCACAAACCAATGATGAGTCCACGATCCCCGTTGTAGACATGGCGCAGGGTGCCGTTGAACGGTACAAGTGGCAGAACGATGTCTCCGATATCGTGCAGGCGGTTGCGTTCTGTACGTCGAGCCCAATCTTGCTGTTTTTCCAAGTCTCACAGACACTCCATAATAAAAAGAAAGTACCTCTTGGTTTATTGACCCGTGCATACAACTAGACAATAACTGGATATATCCGGCTTGGGACTCTACCCGCGAGATAGCCTCGACGAGCTGGATAACGCCTCTGCCCTTGGGCGTTTTGAATGGGGTCGAGCCAGCCATCTCGCACAGTCTGACCTTTTGTACACTATCATATCGATTCACGCAATTGTCTTCTCCAACTTCTATCGGTCGCATGGAAGATGATCAACTTGCTATAGCGACTAAAATGTACTATCACAGGTGGGTAACCCTAGTACTATCCTTACTCTTGTACCCCATATTGCATGGATCGACTGCAAGCAAGGCACGTGGCCGAGCGGCATACATGCGTCCGTTTGATGTAACCAGGATCGGACGAGGACACCCTCCTCAGGTACATTCTAGAGAGGCTGTCTCGGCTGTCACTAACTTGATCTTGGCGTTTACTAGGGATATTGCCGTTCGGGCCCTGAGTGAAGCCCTTAGCGACCCCAAGCGAAAGACGAATAACGTGACGCTCCTCGCTGTTTTTATATTTCTAATGGTGGATGTAAGTGGTCCTTGACCGAAAAGTCTTTGAAATCCAAAGTTTCTTGTTCTTCAATAACATTTATTCTGCCGGAATCTTTAAACTAAAACCATCATGGACAGATTGCACAAGCCAGGATGAACTGGCGTCACCATTATGATGGTCTCGCAACATTGATTCGAATAAGGGGCGGCCTGACGAAAAACTTATTGCCGGATCCGTACCATACCATCGTTATGGCGTACTACTTTGTGTGAGTCAGCTACTGTCAAGCTCATCTAGCCCTTGTATATCGAAGACTCTCCTAACATTCTCGGGGTCATCCAGGACTGGAGTGATTGGCAACACCACCAGTCCAGCCCACGATCTAGCCGAGCCATTCATGTTCATCGACAACATGGACATGATAGCAGAATACTACGGCGACGGCCGTTTTCCCACGCTCATGTGTCCTCCTGACATGTTCCTCAGCATCGCCCGAGTCAACCACCTGCGCGCCCAGGCCGCCCAGCCCATTGCGTCCCAGGTGCAGACACTCAAGCCGCGCGCAGAGGCGCTCGTCAAGCATATTGACGACTTCCAGCCCGAGGACTGGGCCTACTCGCTCGGCAGCAGCGAGCAGGAGAATCTGCTACTGCTCGCGCGCATCTACCAGTCCGCCACCATGGTCTTTTGCCTCTCGTCGCTCCAGAGCGTCCGCGTGCTGCCGCGCTCCGCGGCCGTGCAGACCTGCAAGGCCAGACACCACCAGCGACTCCTGCAAGACCTCCGCGAGGGCTTGTGTAAGAGATCCCTCAGGTTCCGAGATGTCCTAATCAAGTGCATTATGTGGCCGCTAATGATTGCCGGGACCGAGCTGCGCAACGGCAGCCTCGCTGATCGGAACTTTATCGAACGGGAACTCGAGAACATGTCCCCAACCATTGGCTCGTACTTGCCCGTCTATGCCCTGTCGCTAATCAAGCGGTTCTGGCAGTCGGATGAAGTGGAATGGGATGAGTGCTTTGACGAACCACGAGCGTTTGTCACTTGAGTGGACAGTTTGGCCCTAGTTCTTGCGGAATGTATAGATATCAGTACTGCTACAACCTTCTTTCCACTCACCCAAGTGTTTGATAATGAATATACATACGCCCATCCATACCGTTGTTTCGATTCCATCAGCATGAAAATTGCGTCTGTACGAGTGACCTTTGCGACAACATGAGCGACGTTTACCTCGTAACTAGTGCAAGCAGTACGCATATCGCGGGTGTTAAATAAATATGGAAACAAAAACACAGCTGCTTGTATCCTCTCGTCACCCGGCTCTAATTAAATATGTCAAGTATGACACAATACATATGGGACATATTTCACGCTGGTCATTGCCAATAGTCAAGAGATAGTAGTTCAAAAGTGTGATGTCATAATCTTCAATTCATCGCGTAATCCTACATGTCCGCAAACGGGACCTAATGTAGATGCAACCCGTGACGCCACGCCGCCCATAGATTTTGATTTTAAAGCACAAAGAGCCTAGTAGTGAAGCCTTAGTCGCTTACTACTACTGGCGGTCATGTCTCCCTTTCTTTTCAAAGATGAGACTAGTGATACATTTGTCTGGTTGGTTTCTTCTTGAGGAACGATTGATCCGGTTTTGTCGGGGGCCGGCTGAGAGTCTATAGTCGCCTCTCTAGCTTTCATATTCCGTTCTTCCATTCTGATTGCCCACAGTAATGTGAGCAATACCTCTCGAGACGGTAAGCTGGCGCCGTCTGGCCACAATAGCGGGCCACGGCCTTGATCTCCCTTGATACCCAGGAGTCTATCTTCCAGCCCCTCGACCCGGTCATCGTGTCCCTCAGATACCAACCGCAATAGGTCCAGCGTCGCATCCTTTAGAGGACGCGCCAGCATGGGACTGCAGGTTAAGATTTTCTGAAGAGACTTGAGTCTCAGAGTCAAAGAGGTTGAGAGTAGGCTCGGGTTCGTAGGAGACCGAGGCGTGTCCCGCGATCGCGCCTTGAGCTGCGCCGCTGAGATCGTCGTCAAGGTATTGTGAGAAGATGTCGAATTCCGGAAGTTCTGCGGAAGCGTGACCATCCAAATGATTGTACTCAAAATTGAAGGGGTCGCTCGAAGGGCTAAACTGTGCTTCAGTGCACCAGCTATCAGCAGGATTGGGTTCTGACAAGCTGAAAGCATCGCCGAAGAGGCCATCAAAAGCATCTGAAGCGCCGGTTGCGGGCTCTGCCGAGCTACCAATGACTCTGGCACCTCCGTTGACGGACACTGCAGGTCGCACAACACCGCTGCTGGATGTTGTGTCACGTCAGGGGAGGTGGTCGGAGCCTTGGTAGCCGGGGCCGTTGTCTGGGTTGCCGGCTTGGAAATGGCTTCATCGGAAACAGGGGTGAGCTCAGGGGAGAGAGAAGCGGGGTCGACGGTAGCCTCATTGTCAGGCATCAAGATGAAGTCGTTCATCATGCTGGGCTTTGTCTCGGTGACCTCCGAAGCCGGGAAGAGGGGTTGCGACAAGGTGCCTTCGAGGTCAAGCAGTGGTGATGTGCTGCTAGTAACACCTGAGCGTCGCATCTTGTTGATCTCTTCCATTAGCATCGCTGACTGCTTCCTGTGCTGGTCGAGAAGAGCCTCAAGCTCCTTGTTGCGCTTCTCCAAGGCCTCAACCTCTTGTCGCTTACGCTCGCGGGAAGACTGGGCTGCACGGCGGTTGCGAAGAACACGTTCCACTCGTCGTTGCTCCTTTTCATCTTCCGTCTTGGCTCGTTTCCTGTCGCGCTGGGTAAGCCACAGGTGCGAACGCGGGTTACAAAAATGAATGTTGCTTACCTTGGAGGGAGGTTTGTCTTGGGCTCTGGGAGAACCTGTCCCCATGACTTTCTCTTCTTGGTAGTCTTCTTCTCTGCCTCGTCATCAGGGGTCTCAGCGACCTCATCTTTCACGTCGGCGTCATCGATGGACTCTGGGGTCATGACATCCTCCACGGGGGCCATGGAAGTCGGGGCCGGTGTGCTGAAAAGAGAGTACATGTCGGCACAGGGAGTAGAGATGAAGGACTCGGCCGGGGAGTTCTCGAACTTCACCTGCGGCGTCGAGGCCGGGGTGTGTTCTGACCAGGAGCCCATCATTTTGGCAATGTCTTCTGGTGGTGGTAGTCTAGGAGGACTTGGGGTGGTGTGTGTTGCAAACTTGCTGCAGCAAAAAGTCCGAGCTAAAGAGATGATTCGGGAATCGAACCAACAGTCTCTTTGCTCAAAGTGTTTGGTGGAGTAGTTGATTGCAGCAGAAGAATAATACTGGGTATCTGCTGAAGTAGAGAGGTGCCGTCCTAGTTCCTCAATACAAATACCGCTGGTGGGTTTTACCTATAGCAGTGCATCCTTCCCATATGGAAGTGAGTGAGTCACCTGATGAGTCAAGGATTAGGTGCTATGATGGCAGACTGGCAGGCAGCGGCGATTCTGGGGCTCGAGGACAAGTGTCCTTTGTCTGCTTGGCGGGTTGGGTGGTGGCTCTCGTGCTTCAAGCCTCGTCGATTCGAGGGCGAACAGGCCGTCTTTATCTAGAGGACACGTTGTTGGAGGGCAGCAGCAGGAAACTGGTTGCCTCAGGCAGAAAGGGGGGCACAAGAGACAATAGAAACCTAGATTGGGAAGAGGCAAGGGTGGGAAGGGGTCGCAAAGGGTGTCGAGCCACACAAGAGGAGAGACAGGGAAAAGGGAGAGAGACACGACCCAACGTCGTATGTACCCACCGGCCCAGGTACGTATCGTATTGCGCCAAGATGGGCATGTCTCTTGGCTTTTGCTTGGTGCTCTTGGTACTGTGTAGGATGGGAGACTCGCACAAAGAAGGAATGTCCAGGGGGGGGCCCGGGTCGTATTGATTGGCGGGATCTGACGGGAGGACGGACCCCAAGGAGGAACGCACAACGCTCCAACGGACCGCGAAGAGGCAAGTGGAGTCGAAAGTCAGCGCAACCAGCCCCTGGGCCCCCTCCCCTGCCAACTCTGATGTCGCTTGGACGTAACTTGTGGACGACGACGACGCCCGCAAAAAAAGCCCCTCGCTCACGCATCGACATTGCGTGCCGGTCGGTCTCTCTACTCTAGACGAAGCCCATGATGAATGAATGATGAACCCACACAATTGCACTGCCCACCGCAAAACCCGCCGGAGCCGTAGTTTGGGAGTTTAAGCACTGTGGTCGTCGAGTCAATAATAACGAGTGCCTGCCAGGCCTAGCAATCGGATAGCAGTTGGCCGCTGCATGGCTCAACTCTCCGAGAGTCCGTCTGCCGTGAGCAGCGCTGAAATGCAGCATGTTCCAGCTCTAGGTAAGCCGGAGCTGCTACTGTCAGTATCTTGGCAATTTAGGTGCCCCCGCCGGGAGTCTCGAATAGCCTTCAGACTTTCAGCCGTCGTTGGGGCGGCACAAACACTAAAAGCACGCATTTCGAGACACAACGTGCGAGCCTCTTTGCCTCTCTATTGGGGCTGGCAAGATTTGAACTGCATCTCCAGAGACATGGCGAGATCCCTTCTCGCCCTCCTCCCAACAATCAACAAGGTTCAGGCACATCATTATTTTTTGAGTTCAGTCATAAAATGTCACAGGCAGTTGGATGTTTCTGAGGCTGTCCTTTCCTGATCATGATACAATCATGCTGTCAGTTGGAAATAATAATCTGAATCCCATTAACTTGGCAGCCTAAATAGAGGGAAAACCAAATGTGGATTGCATAACTGGTTCGTTGGTCAATTTTGGCGCACCTCCCGGAATACATACGCGTTCCTGCGGCGCTGCTGTGCTTTCTAATACACACTAACCAGAAGCCGGACTCTGTCACTAAACATAGTATCAGGACCTTGGCCAATGTACAGACGAGCATAAGATCTCATCATCCACAATTATTGTCAGATCAGCTCTCATCAGCCCCCGTCAGCGACGCTTCTCATAATGTCATCATTGCATTAAGGTCAGGTCAGGTCAGGTCAGGTTGTGAGAGCCAACCAAAAAACAATGGTATCATCCTCAATAAATCCATGTTGGGTTGTAATACTCGAGGTAGAGACATTTCGAGCGACACAAGGTGTAAAACCTCTCTATCTCTGCCCGTATGTACAGTGCCTACTGTATTTAGGCACTCATTGGTCTTGGTGTGTCCCCCCCTGCGTTATCTATCTGCCAAGTGCTGTATCTATTGCCAACACTCCGTTTCTGAGAGTTGCCTACAGGGCTAGGATTGGGTTTGTCAATATGGAAGTCAGCACTCCGGAGATTGACTAAGCTCAGTGAATGTATCAACCACTACCTGTCTGGTGGCAATAATTGGGAGCTCGCATCCCAATAATTGAACTGGGCACGCTACAAAGTATGTGTGTTGCGTATGCAGTCGCGCCCGATACGGCAATACGGATCAATATAATACTCTTTGTATTCGCAATCAAAATTTCATGTGTACCCCAAACATAGCCAGATAGCCGAGTCGGCTGGTGCTGCAATGTCACCTCCATCCCCGGCTGGGCCTCCCGAGCCCGCTGTCGAAAAAAGAATTGTCATGTGCCTGAATAGGGCCTGCGAGAACGCTGGAAAAAATAATTATGATTTCATGCATCCAATGCACTTTATTCATGCCCAGGAGTAAAGGAGCTGATAGACCAAGGTTGGTAAAAAGGAATAATACATCCTGCAGGCGTCGCCTAGTGGTTCAGTGGCTGTAGGAAGGATCATTATAGTGGTAAAGGCTTGGGTCAAGGTAGGGCGGAGTGGCGCCGATCACATCGAGTCCAGTATATGGGGGAACAAGATTGGCAAGGTTCTGTCTGGGCCAACAACATGGAATGCTGGATTGACTTCACGTCAGAGCTCCTGTCATAAAATGCTTGCATGAACCTCAGACATCTATATCGAGAGGCAGAAGGATTTTCATGAACTCAATTGTGCCTCAATTTTGATGTCATTCAGTTTTTTTTTTTCTTATTCTAAATTTTGTTGCCTTGGATTTCAGATTTTGGAGAGACGGGACAGAGACCTGATTCACACAAGGTTCGGCTCAGTCGGCCGCTTATGCGAAATAGGGGTGTCCAAGACATATTGGGTGTGCGCCATCAATTGTCAGCCACCTCAGGGTTAATTATGTGAGACCGATTCGCCATTCTCGTCTCGTTTGGGGCAGCCTTCCGGTTTGATAGGCTGTTTATGGCCGCCTCTTGTCCGTCTTCCCCAAATTGGTCTCAGTATCGGTCCTGATTAGTGGGAGGTAATTGTACCTGGCATTTACAGTGCCATTGCAACACTCGCCGCCAGCCCCAATCACGGGAATGGCAAAACTCGGTCTCTGTAACTGCCAGTCTGGGAAGCTCGATTTCGCACGTGTTACTGGCGTCACCTTGCCCAAGATCCACCGTGGGTCACGTCAATTGATATGATTTTCCAGAACAATATCAAGATGATATAATCTGTAATAACGGAAATATACTTCGTACAATACTCTATTTTGGGGGAGGGTCCCAGCATATGATTATCAGACGAGAGCGATTGCCAGCCAGAACCCCTATGTCGATCATGGTCGGCTCTGACGAATGGCTATCGGCTGTGCCTGTTACAGATGATTGCTTACGCCAGCCGTTCCGAGTCGCAGTGCGGATAGACTCTCGTCTCGGTCAACTTTCAATTTGCCCCGTGCCTCTGTGCATCCAATTCCGTGTAACCAATACGAATACACCAACTTGGCAATCAACATTGTCTACATACCAGTGAATTGCTTGCTATGCATGCTTGTCCGGGCTCAGAACCCGCCTTTACATGATGTGTGCAATCGTCACTCGTCCAAATGTTAAAAAGCCGCATCAAACAGTGCAACAGCAGTGTTCCGCCCCGGATCACGACCCAAACAAGCCTCGCCTCGACTGCAAAGAGGACTGAGCTTCTTCTGGAGCGCCTCACGTACCACCTCATACGCAGTAGCAGACCGCTACGACAGTCCTAGCGGCGCCAGCGGGAGGTCTTTGCCATCGATCGTCTTCCCAAGCTTCCCCGCGGCGCGTACAAACCTCAAACATGCTTCCATCACATCTTGGAAATGGTTTCCGATATGTGAACAGAGGCAATCAATCTCCCAATTTGACAGCCGAAACACTCATTAATTTTCCCATGAGCCGTTGTCAAGCTTCTTGTCTTTTTCGCCATTCCGGAATAAATTGCGAGTTTCGAAAGATTCGCACCATTGCCCAGGCGAGCCAGTCAGTCTCGCCCCCAGTTCCTGACAATCCCTGGCGTTCTGGAATATTCATTCATCATCTTGGAGAGAGGAGACCCCTTCTGAGGTGGGCCGCGTGGGGATTGCTACGCTGCGGTTCCAGAATGATACGAATTGACGATTTTACCGAGCTCGGCATGGCCAAAACGGGTTCCACCAGCCGCACTCTAGACTTCTTTCTTTCACAGATAGGCAAAATAGGGGAACTCCCTCATTTGGCCCCGAGATTGGAGTGCATACACACACACAGTACACTACGCCCCCAGCACGTGCTGCTGCTGCTTGCTCATTGAAGGGTAATTGCTATCTTTGAACCATCTCTCGACATGCCATGAACCGCATAGCGTCGTGGCAAAACATTAATCAAAAGCCCACGACAAACATGGGAAATGCCGTAATCTATCAATCCATCCCTGTTGATAGTCCGTGTGTGTCTAGCAGAGTTTCCTGCTGAGATATCTTTGGGAGGCTGGATCAACCCCAATTACGCAAGGTACGAAACTGTGTGTTTCATCAACAGCCTCAGCTCAGGGGAGACGAACGGGGGGGAGAAACCCAACGGGAATGCTCCACCCTCGTTCTGATTCATCAGATGCCGCGATGATCCTTGGCACGGACGCGCTCCTTGGCATTCCGGAACAACAGGCCGGGGGAGCGGCTTCGGTTTCGATCCGTTTGTTCCTCTGTCCGTCCGCTCGCTGGTGCGGTGTTTTTTCGCTGGCGTGTGCTGTGCGCTCCCGCTCGTCTGCTTGCGTGCTTCCCCCCCTTCAACCCTCTTAAAGCTCAGGAATGCGAAGAGTCCGTTCACACCTCTGCATAGGGAGCGGCGGCGGATCCGTGCCCTCGGCCCAAGCCCTCTCGATCGCGATCATTTACTGTTACACAAATTGAATACATAGCAGTCCGAGCTGATAAGCGAGGGAAACCCATGTCGCGAGGCATTCGGCATGTTAGAGTCAACATTCAAAAAGTTTGACAGTTGATCAATCAGCATAGCAGTTGTGGGTTTGACAGGCCGCCTGAGCAGGTACGTGTAAACCGTCGCTACAGGGCGGTTGGGCTATTCCGTGACAGCACACACACACAGTATTGCTTTGTACGATATGGTTCCATTTCCTATACCCGTTGCCCAAAGACAACGTATTGCTGCATGCAGAAAGAGAAACCCTTGAAGCAGTCCCCGCGGGTCGAGGCCGGGCTCTTGGGGGCCCCTGGCCGTGATGCAAACAGCCATGAACTAGTGTTGTATAGTGGTGATTGTTGATCCGCTCATACAGCATATACACTTACACCGCTCTCATCCCGGTCCATCTAGATTGTTCACCGACTCCCATGTCTAATTGTGCATCAACCGCTCTCGTCGTCCAGTGAATCACAGTACCACTACCAAAATATCATTGACTTTCAAGACGTCGTTTCAACATGTTTAATGGAGTAATTCAGATTCTCGCTCGTGGCAAACGGTTCATGATCGACATGGTCGTGCTGTCAGGTGGAACGAAGTGCAACCTTGATGGACTCCACACCTTTTGAACCAAGTGCATTAATCTACATGGGACAGGATAGTTGAGTGTAGTACTGTGTAGTGGTCAGCAAGTCAACCCGGAAGTCTTCCGGATGCTATCGAAATTTTGGTCCCTGAGTTGCCAACGAGTATAACCCCTGATCGTGGCCCAGCTAAGACACGACCACGATATGTGAAAACAAATGGCTAGGAAAGGACACAAGCCCCTACCCCTGCGGCGAAAGAAGAGGTTTCTGGCAGATTACTGGTGGTCGAACACTCCGAGCCACAATGGCGACATGAAGTTCATATACGTGCGTGGGCGTCTTGGTCGAGTGGCTGAATTTGGATCAGCTAATAACATATGCGGTCCCTTGATGCTGGCGTCATTGATAGTCGCTGATCGTGACACTGGCCAAGTGAGCAGCAAAATGATAGGAATATCATAATAGTAGCAGACAGAGGAAAAGGGCAAGTTCACACACCTCCCTACAATGTTTCAGGGCCAATCGATTGAACCAAAGACGCTTCGTGGCTGTCCGTGAATCAGGACACTTGATGACCATACCGGCTTGTATCATTCGATAATGATATCCGTCATAATCCTGAATTCTTGAGGTCCTTGTTGTCATCCTCCTACCTCTTCTCGAGTGCTGTAAACTACATTTGTATAAAGTGCTTGTATCTAGTAGTAAGTCTAAACAAGTACGGCAGCAATGGCCATTACTAATCATTCACGTCTAACTGAAAACCTACTCACTTGGAACAAGGAATATCGTATGACCACTAACATTTAGTCGAATCGTCGCTAGTATTGATGCGAGTGATGATGAATGCTTGGACAGAACAATTCAATATGTAGTCACAGGCTGAATTTAACACTTCTTCAAACCCAATTATCATGAAATTCAACTGTCCATCTTGTTACTTCTATGTCACTTGAATTTTCTTACGTTAAGTGCACCTTGAAAGTTCTGTTGATAATCAAAGATGCCACGAAGTAGCTCACCCTCAACCACTTCGACAGAATCTTCATCCTCGTCAGAGGAGGACTCTTCGACAGAGGATTCTTCTTCTTCAGAAGAGGACTCGTCATCAGAAGAAGATTCTTCGTCAGAGGAGGACAGCGATCAGGACCAAAGTTCAGTAGATACAAATGTGCCCGGAGGAGGGGGATACGCAGACAATTGGGGATCAAACACTCCAACAACTGCACGGGTAGTACGATTCTCCCACGGGATTCATGATATCGGCAGCCTTGTCGCTGATCATCAGCCAAGAATTATCCAAATCGCCCGACCATCCAGTAGGCGCCGCCATTTCCGAACCGTGAGGAGACTGTACCGAACAGCAAGACGAGTTTGGCGAGGCTCCTCCATTCCTACGGAAAGATACTATATTGTTTATCCACCAACTAGGAGGCTATCCGGCAGTCACATGACGCCTCTGTCCGGATCTCGAACCACAACTGCAGTGCCTCATCAAGACCGAGGATTTATCAACCACATGGTCCCCCCAGGTGGTGATGTTATACGTACCGCAACACCTCCGCCGCCGTGGTCCGTCTCCGGGTCTGTCGCGTCGAGCGGATATGGCTCTGACAAAGATCAATGAACCTAGGTTGCCCGAATATCTACTGCGCCTAGTGAGTATAAACTATTCTCCTCAGGTGCACGACTGAAAGGTCAAAAGCAAGCAAGTAGTAATTAGCTTGTAGCTGGAACGGGACCCAATAAATCGAGTCTCCAGTGTGAATTTAAGCACGAGTAGTTTAGAAAATGAAAACAGTATTCTTGGTATTCTGCGCCAAAAGTTTAATTCCAATCGCACATGGTTGGTGATATAGTACCCCAATACCGTAACGCCTTGAACTCCAATTCCCGTCATAACTATCATGAGTGTCGTACCTCGATATTTCATATCTCTAGCATTTGCTTGAGACTAGTCTCTGCAGCGCGGTACCACCGACCTCTCTCTTCCAAGTCGTCTTCAACGCCACCAAGCGCGGCCTCTTTCCTTCTCTTGGCCTCCTTGGCTGCCGCTGTGCTGTTTGTTCTCTTTGTCTCCAGTGGTGCCAGTTCAGCCTGCAGTCGTTCCAGCTCCTTCTTTTTTCTGGGTACCTGACTCTTCAGCTGTTCCAATTGCCGGTCTAGCTCTTCCCTTTGCCTCTTTTTCTGATTCACAAGATCAACCGTTCTTGCTAGCGGCAAGTTGAGTTCTGGGGTCTCCGAATTCAACCGCCCCTCGTTCTCTTTCCTCAACTCGGCAACTCTCTCCTCCAATCCCTTGATCTTGTCCGGTAGTTCCTCAAGCCGAGCCGTCTCCAGCTTGACGCCCTCGTACCGCCTCGCGAGCTCAGCACCACGCCTCTCCAGCTCCTTGACGGTATCCGCGACCTCAATCTTGAGGGCCTTGAGTACAGCCTTGGCCTCGGCGTTGAGGTTCTCGAGCTCGACATTCTCTTGCGGGCTCACAATGAGCGGCGGGTCGCCGACAATGGCGCGGATGAACTTTTCCTTGGTGACCTGCTCGACGTAGCTGAAGCGCAGCTTGGCAAACAGTTCGCGGTAGTGCGTCAGGTCCGCCTCGAGACTCGCGGGCGTCGGCGCGTTGAGCGAGCTGTTGGACACGTCCGAGGTGCGCGGCTGGTTGCCAGCTGGGATCGCGGCCGGGTCGGAGGCAGTGATGGGCTCCGAGAGCCTGATAATGCTGAGTTCGTGCGATTCTTGCAGGATTTGGAGAGTGGAGAGGATGTCGGCTGGCGATTTTGAGGCTGCTGCGCCGGTGGATTTCTTTGCGCGGGGCATGTTGGATTTGTCGCGTCACTAGCGAATGTGCGGGGATGATTGCCGCCTGTTTTGTAGTGCTATTTGGAGTTTTCCAGAATGAGACTCGGAAGCTTTGGTGTCCTTGAAACGTGGGATGTGGATTGGATCTTTGTCTTTGCAAATGCTTGCCCATGGGTGTTTGCGACAGCTAAGTGGCCATTTAAACAGCAACCAAAGGCACCAAGAATGGCAACCACATGCAACTATTTACTTTTACACAAATTAGGACTAGCGGGGGCTCTGATTTTAGTGGGCTGCATTGAGGCGGCTTATCGCGTAGAAGTGGGTCGAATGGCACCCATGTACTACGTACCTCGATTGTGACGCAGCGCAGCGCATTTGATCTTCCTCAGGGTCTATTTCCGCAGCTACAACTACATTCAAGGTTGGCAGGGTCTTTCTTGTGTTGTCGAGCTTGACGCAGGAAGCCGGCGGACTCTTATTAAACATCCATCGTGCCGCCTCTGTCTATTGCATTCTCTTTGGACTATTCCCTATCTCATCCGAATTTTTCATCCATTTGACTTCTGCTCTGTACGATCTGCATTCAACGATTCCCTAGCGAAACAGAGTTGGCGAAAAGGCCTGAACGGAGACATGAGCCTCGCTGTCCCATCGGCATCCTGATCAAGAACCCTCACATCTTCCATCAAGCCAAAATATGTCTTCTACAAACTCTCACTCAGATGAATGGGTTGCCGACCTTCTTTCGCAGGAGGCGGCTGACTGCGCCCTCAAATATTCAACCATGGGCATGGACGCCTACACCAAGTCGGCCAAGTGAGTACCTCTCATTGTCTACAACATTCTTCTCAGTCGTTCTTGCCGAATCCTGTTGTCGCATTATGCACTCGAGGGGCGATGTACTTTTCCAACAACCCGATCCGCTCGCAAGACATTTAGGTTGTTAATTGCGCAACTATTGCTAGGCGCCCGGCAAATCATCCCAAACCAAACACACGTTTCTTGAACAACATTGTGAAAGCTACCAACAGTCACAATCAGAGCCTTTTAGAACAAGAACGCGCCGACTCGCGAGCTCGATTGAAGGACTTGGAACGCACAAAGCGGGCGGCCGATGAGCGTGAACAGAGGCGGCGGCCTGGTGCTGCCGACACACGGAATCGAATGCTAGGGGATATCAAGGCCATACTCGGTGGTTCGTCTAAGAAGCGCAAGACCGAAGATACTGGTCGTGACTCGGACCTGATTTCAGAATCCAAACGCTCTAGAAAAGACGACAGTGAAATCAAGATTCGCGGAAGAGGACACACGAGCAGAAGAGATTCGGATCGTGAGGACTCGAAGACCAGCAACACCAGGAACTCCGAAAAAGAATTGTTCGCAGACCATGGGCCAAAGCGAGGCTTGCCCCGGGAAGAACGAAGAGATGAAAGAAGGGAGTTGCGAGAACAGAGGCATCGCCAAGACAGACACACCTCTCGCGCAGATAGGAAAAGTAGGGACCGTGTTCCCCGAGAGACTCGGAAAGAGCATCGTGGTCATGAAACCGACTCAAAGGGAAGACTAGAAGAATCGGATTCGGACCCTCTCGAGGACATTATTGGACCTAAACCGCCGTCACCTGTTCGCAAGCGTGGCCGAGGAACGACTTCTGGGTCTTCAGCAATGGACACTCGTTTCGCATCAAACTACGACCCCAAAGCTGATGTTTCCCTCGAGCAAGACGAAGAGGATGACGACTGGGGTTCGGCGTTGGAAGCCCTTCGCGACCGCGAGCGATGGAAACAGCAAGGTGCCGACAGGCTCCGCGCTGCTGGTTTCACCGACGATCAGGTGAAGAAATGGGAGAAGGGGGATCAGAAGAACGAAGAAGACGTCAAATGGTCCAAGAAGGGCGATGAGCGGGAATGGGATCGAGGCAAGGTTCTTAAGGGCGACTTTTAGAAGAAGGATCCCCAAACGGAGTAGAGCTTGGTAACACGGGATCCTAGACCTTCCTGTTGGTCGCCTCAGCGTCGTCGGTCTGGGGGCTGCACCAGGATATGATGAGCAGGGGTACCGAACATTGCTTTGGCGTTGGGAGCATTGCATTCAAGGCGTTTCCACGAGGCATCATCGAAGCTTGCATTAGATGGCGTTTGGACATGGCAATTGTACTGAAGGGAGCGGATGGATTCTATGACCTAGGCATGCATTTAGTCATGTCAGTTACGATTGATTTTATGCAAAGCAAAGTTTATTCAAGAACATCGCTTCCATAGCCAAGTTGGAACTTGATAATAACTGCGGAGCTGAATATACAGTAGTTGACGTCATCTATAGCCACGCTCAACGATTGAGGGAAATAGTCTCCAGAACTTTTAATGAATTGTGTATGAAATCTTTATATTAATAGTTGAATACCCGTGTAATGAGAACCTGATTAGGACTATACCATCACTTGATCTTTTAGAAAGGATCGGTTGGGTTTCAAAGACACCTCAAGAATAGAACTATCGCCCCTTTTCTCTACACAGATAATGCACCAACAAGGTCTCCAAAGGAGAAGAGAAGCCATGCCGACTCATCCATTCCCCATTTAGTAAGTGGTGATCTCGAGGGAAGCCCAGGGGCCAATGTTGCTGTGCAGACAGTTGCCAACCTCGGAGACGGTGGTGCCGCGGGTGACGTTGGCACAGTCGTAGTCGGTGTAAAAGGAGACGAGGTAGGGGCCCTGGTGCAGGGCGGCGAGCTGGATGCTCTCCACGACGTAGGGCAGCTGGACGCAGCCGGCGACGGAGGAGTTGGTGATGTAAAAGGACAAGTCGGGGGCGTTGGCGTCGTCGGCGCAGCTGCTGATGGCCTTCCAGGCCGTGATCTCGGCCAGGATGCCCGTCTCCTGGCGCGGCTGCTGCACCACGGCCGCTGCCGAGGCGGCGGCGGCACAGGTGAGGACGGTGGTCAAGGTGGCGTGCATTTTGAATTGAGGTTTGGATACAGCAGTTGGCAACGAGTGTTGGATTGTTTATATGTATAATCAATGTTTTTGATGCTTGAGAATAGAGCGAGTGGATGCTGAATGATGATCTGATATTGTCAAAAATCTCTGGACATGTTTGGCCGTTATATAGTCATGAATAAGTCCTGAGACTATACTCCGGCTGGCCCCAATAGAGACTATAGTGATCTCATTCTCCTGCTTGTATTCGTCGTTATACGAAGAGATCAACGAACACCCCGCTGAAGGATTCGTTCTTTTGAGAATTGCTCAAGCTCTGATCCACTGGCACTGCCGTACATTGAATCCTTCGGTACATGGAAAATAATGAGGTTCTACAGTTCTGAAACCGACGAGGCGGAGAGAAATTGCCGTTGTCGAAGGATTCGAACAATTTCATCGTCGAGTGGAGTATATTCAGGAGTACCATACATTGTCAGGTTGGCCTTGCCAGGTGCCATGGGATGGGAGGAGAATGGTGGCTGTGCACCGGGCAGGCAACCGTATTTCTTTGAGACCCTCCGTTGGAGAAAGGATCCCGTCTTGTCCGGAAACAAGCCGAGGAGTCGCAAAACCCCCCAGACCGACTACCGTCGGCTCCGTCCTCCGCTCTATAAGGCTACCTTTTTTCTCCACTCAAGCATTCACCCAGCTTCTCTCTGTTTATTTCAATGGCTGAGTGGAAACAGTCTGCGAGATATGTGGACCATTTTCGTCGTCTTCATGATCCCCTATATCGTGGCTCAGCCCCAGAGTTAGTATTGAACAGGTTTGGTGGGAAAGAGGGATCTACATGATACTCCATAATGCCCCAGACTTGGAAGTTGTGGAGTCGGTTGATTGCCCGCCGTTCGGTCCCGAAGCCATATTTAGACAATGAGATCTCTATAGAATGCTTTGACATCGCTCTATGTATAGGCCTGGTCTTGGATCGATTTGTTCACTGATCGACGGAGAGTATGCATAGTGATACTATACAAAAGACGAGGTGCAAATCAAGATGATCTCGGGATGTGGGTCCCTCAAGTGTTGCATCGGGACTTTGTTCCGGTCCATGAGGCTACAACTGAAGTATCTAGTAGACTGACAAGGAGTAATTGCGATTTTTCTTGTGCTAATGTGGACGGAACTTGAGTTGGCTGTTGGTAGTTGAGGGCTAACAACATGACCAACAAAGGTGTTGTTACGGTGTGCCCTACGCAACTATTATAATCACTTGTTTTAATTCCATTGTAAACTAGATATTGTTTTGTATTTCTCTGACAATTTTGGTAAACTAACAAGACTTGTAGAGACAACACTCAACTTGGTGTATGAGAGATACAGACTTGACCGAGAATACGAGGAACCTCTTGATGGATGACTAGCACCCACGTTGTACAATTGACGAATGTCTTCCATTTTCTTGATCCCAAGCCATTCTGATGTGTCATTGATGCATTGCCAAGGGCCATCCTGGACGACTGAATGACCGTCCCTAGCATTGAATCTTTGATGATCAACCAATCAAGCGTGTTCCATGGGGTGTAACTTGGAGTATACTCCACTGTCTGTTGGCAGCTAATCAAACGTGAGCCATAGTAGTGATGGTCCGCTTCTCCAGGCAGACGAATTTCCCATTTTACAACGCGGCAGTGCTTTTCCAGCATCGGGATTCGTGCCGTGTCTGACACGAAGTTCTCGCCGGGGTTTGTGTTGGCGTGAATCGTTGGGCTTGACACGATAGCCTGGTTACATCGTGTTTCTTGCTCGAGAATGCGTCAGCCTAGATCAGATGTGGGGAGTCATTGCCTCTGGCGACGGTGAGAAAAAGGGGTATCTCTGTACCTTGAAGCAAGTTTCTAAGTATATTGTGGACAATCGTACTTGTCAATGTCAAAGTACTGGCATGTTCGGCAGGCTTCGAAATTGTCAGGGCTCGCAACTCGAATCGTGAACGAACCACACTTCTTCTTGCACGGAACACTAAAGTAGTGACCGCAAGCACGAAGATATTTGGTGCACATTCTGCCCTTGATCGATATGAATTTGGGTAGTCGGCTTGAGGTTATTGCTGTTGTACACAATAGGATCTCTTGGAATCTATGTTAGTCGATTTGAGTGCCAGTGGGTATCGACACGAGTCGTTCTAGTCCTTGGGAGGAAGTTGACGGCATTGTTGTGTGCTCCCAACAGAAAAGAACACCAGATGAATGGGCTGTTTTCCAACAATAAGAATTGTGTGGCGCCATAAAGTTGTTTGAGTGGCCTCATGATAGTTTGACGCGGTACCGGACTCGAAGAGTGCTTAATTCCTTCCCGCGTACACTGACTTTGCCTAATATTGAACAAAAAGTCAAGTACATAATGCCGACACTTTCCTTGCCGGTTGCCTCAATAGTCAAGAAATCTTCAAACGGATATTGGTCATCAGACAGTCTTGTTTTCTTATTGGACCCTCCGATTTCGGCAGAAGTATAAAGAGTGAATATACACGCATTCGTCCCTTCTCGTAGTTCATGGTCCTTGTCCCCTTCGTGCCTGCTGTTGATGCAGCACCGTTCGGACATTTGGACCTTGAGCCGCATACATACTGACCTCAAGCTTGGTGCCTGCATTAGGCACGTCGGTCTTGTTCTTTGGGGCCGAATTCCCGAAATGATGAATTGGTCCAACGAATCTAGAATTATGCCAAGGGAAAAAAACCACTGATAGGTTCACAAATCTAAAGCCGGGCCCCGATCTCCATATACAGGGTCCCTGGTGAACCAAGGCAAATTCTCAATGCTCTTCACCTGGGACTCCTCGCCCCTTTGACCATAACACATGTCCCAGTTGTACCCCGGTGGATAGCTGCCAACCATCTCAAAGCCTCCGTCGGAGCCTTCAGCTTGTCTCAGCAGTCTGTGTCCCACGCCCGCAGGAACAATGAGCATGTCGCCCCTCTGGGCCTCGAGCTCGACTTTCCCAGGGTTGTCCTCGCCACCAAAGCACAATGTAGCCTTGCCGCGCGAGATGCAGAGTACCTCATGCGATGTGCTATGGAAATGGGTTGTGCTGTACATGGTGTATCTCCATTGCGGGCTGACTACGCCGAGAGAGCCGAGATGGGATTCAATTGCTGATGCGCCGATAGTGGGCGGAAATACGCCGTGGTAGTGCATCAGAGGTTTGTTTTGGATAGAAGTATTAGGTATGAGGTTGTGCGCTGGAATCTGGTGTTTGGAGACCCGGAGTGATGCGATTGGCATCAAATTCGAGGTCATGATGACTTTGGTTCCAAGGTTCTGAAGTAGCTGATTGAGTTGGGTATCTCCGGCCTATTCACTGATGTTTCTTCCACACACAAAGAAACCGTCAGTTGGGAAGTCAGTCAGTGCTTAATTCCCATGGCTCTTGTTGGCCACCGGCCGTGGCAGCCCCCCACTGCCGGGAAGTCAGTGTGCATTTCATCAACCCGACGTCATTGGTCGGCTGATCAAACATGCTCGATCATGGCGCTATACAGGAAACAAGTCATTCCAGTCCTCGCTCCAATGTTCATATAAATTCATTCTTTGCAAGATTCAAACACATAAAAGCAAATAGAAGCCTTGAGAGAAATCAAGGCGTCGGAGTATTTATTGCCCACCAAATAGATGTATCTAGATACCGCAGCCCCCCAGTCTGTTGCACCGGCCAAAGAGATCATGGTTGGCGCTCCAGCGGGCCCCTTATTAGTCCGAGACGATTGACCTTGATGCAACTACCATTGTCTTCTCTGATTCACAGATCGCCAGATTTTATGCAAATCATTGTATCAATTAACCAGGCAAGACCTCGGGCTACTATCTAATCACTTGTAGGACAAGATGATCGATCACCCTTCAGCCGCTGACAAAAGGTCTAGTCTAATTCGAGGTGGCCGCAAAGGTGCTCAATTGACCAACCCAATGAGATGCCGCCAATTACACAAGCTACTATACAAACTCCCCACAACGCAGGAAATGGCGTCCAACGTCACGCAATATGGTTTCGTACCAGTAGCCATCAGGGTCCTTGTCGACATGTTGGTATGGCCGGCAAGGTATAAGACGAGAGGAAGGGGGCCTGTTGAGATGCAACAATACGTCTCGCCTCGTGTCTTTCTACAAGCTCTCCCCAACTTTATTCTTCAAAGTCAAAACCACCAGATCATACTCAGCAAGAGACTATAACGAGACGTTACAGTCAAGATGGCACCCGGAAGACTCCTCGACTCGCCTCCTGCCTCCTTCTCTACCCCAGTCAGCACTCGAGCCGATGCCCGGCTGCCAGTGACACTCTTGTCTGGTTTCCTAGGCGCTGGAAAGACGACTCTACTAGAGCACATCCTGACATCTCCAGATCATGGTCTGCGAATAGGCGTCATTGTGAATGATGTCGGCGCTCTGAATATTGATGCTGCGCTCCTGTCGACTCACGACGTGACGCGAAAGGAGGAGCAGGTTGTCGCCATGCAGGTCAGTATCTTGTCCAAAGCCTCATACGCAAAGCATCGGGATCAAGGATTTGCCTTGCATCCAGGAGTTTGTAAAAAAAAATTACTGACTTGTCTTGTCCTACAGAACGGCTGCATCTGCTGCACCCTTCGTGGTGATCTGCTTGAAGAGGTCGCCCGACTAGCCGAGGACAAGATGGTTGACTACCTTGTCATTGAAAGCTCAGGCGTCAGTGAGCCCATGCAAGTGGCGGAGACATTTTCAGAGGAGTGGGTTTTGTTCTCTTTTTTTTTCTTTTTTTTTCTTTGTGGTCACACAATCTGAATTATTACCAAAAGAACATTCACTAACAGGTATCAAACAGATTTGCTGAAATGCACATCCAAGCCGGTCACGACCTCGAGGCCGAGGCAGCACAGACTCAGGACGATGACTCGAAAGGCAACAAGCGCCTGGCTGAGATCCTCAAGTCAGGCGGCCTGTCCAAGGTGGCACGGCTGGATACATGCGTGACGGTAGTCGATGCTGTTAATTTCATGAAGGATTTTCAAACGGCCGATTTTCTCGTCGACCGCCAGACCGACGTCCCCGAAGAGGACGACCGCAATATCTCCGACCTTCAGGTTGACCAGGTCGAGTTCGCCGATGTACTCGTCGTGAACAAGTGCGACCTCGTGTCAAAGGATGAGGTCAACCGCATCCGCGGTGTCATTGGCAAGTTGAACCCTGATGCTCATATCCTCACCACCACCAAGTCCAGACTGGATCTGAAGGAGATCATCGACACCAAGAGGTTCTCATATGAAAAGGCTGCTCTTGGTGCCGGCTGGCTGAAGAGCCTCAATGAGGAGATTAACCCTGAGACGGAAGAGTACGGCATCGGTACTTTCATCTACCGCGCCCGCCGACCTTTCCATCCCGAGCGTCTCTGGCATACCATAAAAGACGTTTTTGTCGTAATCCAGACCGAATACCAGACTGAAGAGGATGGCCCGGAGGAAGACGAAGAGATGGACGACGATGATGAATCTGATGTTGACATGGATGATGAAGACCAACCCCAGCTCAATCCACAGGCTCGTTTGGAAAGCAAGATCCGAGACGAGACCTTTGGTCCGCTCCTACGCTCAAAGGGCTTTCTCTGGTTGGCCACGCGACCCAAGATGGTAAGTGTCGAAGGCGCTCTGTTGTTTGTGAGTACAAGTGCTGACCAAGATTCCCAGTTCGGTGAATGGTCACAGGCAGGCGTCATGTTGACTATCCAGGGCGGCGACCTATGGCGCTGCGAGGTGCCCGAGGCCGAGTGGCCCAAGGACGCAATGTCCCGCGCCGCCATCATGAAGGACTACCAGGGCGAGTGGCAGGACCGCCGACAGGAGATTGTCTTTATCGGACAAAAGATGCGCTCCGGTGGCGAGGAACGCCTTCGCGCTGCCTTGGATGCCTGTCTGTTGAACGACAAGGAGTTCCGGGCATGGGAAAAGGCCATGCGTTCCAAGCGACTGCAGGAGAGGTTGGACAAGCTCTTTGAAGACGGCTTCGAGGAGTGGCCCGAGGAGGTCCACGGCGGTCATGATCACGATCATGCCGCCGGGGAAAGCTGTCCAATGTAGACCCACCTTGCGTAGGTGGTATCGAGCGGTTGGTGATTGGCGTTTGAAAAGCGTTCTGTCGATGAGAAGTGACAGAAATTGTTTCTTGTCTTTCGTGTTGCTTTGAAAAGAAGGAAGGAAATCCATGTCAGCTTCGCGTCTCAAGTTGGTGCTTGACCATGTCCAGCAATATAGGTCCATGTTATTCGAGGCGTGCTCGTAGATAGTTCCAGCTAAAAGACTTCCTTCCAAATTTTGTGTTGGCGTCTCAAAGATATGCACCACCATTTTATTGACTGGCAATCGCGAGCCTCAATGAACACACTGACACAATAATGACTACCTGACGAGGTCGATATCTTGGTGTTTCTACCCGAATCGCTATTGCAAAGGTTTACCGAGCCGTACCTCGAGGACGCTCATGACAATTTGATCGGCCTTGTAATGCTCCCGGCCTTGGCCAAATCAAATACTGCATATATAATGATGCAGCCCATCAAAGAAACTGAAATTACTTGAGTAAAGCATTTGTCTTCATAAATTCAGATATCACGTGTCCGGGGCGGAATTCTGCACGCCTAAAATGTGTGTTAAGCAAAGTCTAGAAAAGGCCAACACGTCCTCAATTCTTCAAAATTGTCACGATGTTCAAATGTCGGCTTATAAAGTTGAATTATTTGGCAGTGCCAGTAACATTGGGTGGGTATGAAGCTAAATGTAAAGTAATATGACTATTCGAATACAAAATGAATCCAGGGACTATATCCAATCAGTCTTGGATATATGCAATGCAAAATTCCTGCTTCTCTATAAATCTGTTTTATGAAAACGTGGTAGTGCCAAACGAGCTGCATTCCCGGAAAAGCTCAATGAATCACGAGTCTCTGTTTACATGTCTAGTCGAAATCGCCAAACTCGCCCGCGCCGTATGGGTTCCATTCTTGGCCAGGATAAGAAGTTGCACTCATCATGGGCATTCCATCATCGTCATCATTGACGGCAGCCAGTTCAACAGGCTGGTCCACGAGGATCTTTTCCTCGGGCTCCATAGGCGCTGCCTGTGCGGGCGCGACCAACTGGGATGGTTCAGCTTGAATGCTGCTTGTTCTTGATATCGTGCTAGACGTGACATCCCCGGCAAATACCCCGGCCACAGCACCGCCTGCCATGGCAGCACCATACCCATCATGCCGTGCTGGCTCGTCAGGATGCTGTAGCACAGGTTCTTGCATGGGCACTTGTTGCGGCTGTGACGGATGGGAGTTCCGAGGGGTGGCATCGTACAGATCATCACGATCAGAGCTGTGACTGTTTGCTTTATTCACATTGACAATGAGATTGGGGTTCGACAGCTGTTGAGCCGGGACAGAGAAGGACCTTGGAGGTTCAGGGCTGACGTTGAAGTGTCTGTGCGGATCCACGTCTCGACCGTAAGATTGATGGCGAGCGTCTTCTGCTACCGATTGACTACTGGTCATGTGATGAAGACCAAAACGTCCTGCACTCTGGGCGCCCATTGGGGGCGATGGGGTGTGGCTGGCATTGTGTACAGATTGTTGGTCCCCATTATAAATCGAAGTGACTGGTGGTAATGGCGGATCAGAGAGTCTTCCAGTCGCTGCATTGACAGGTGAGAAGGTGGTCGCTGAGTCAGGAAGCGGCTGATTCTGAGGTGAGGCATTACGCGGCATCTCGAGCTGTCCCATACTGGTGAGTATCTGTTGAGGCTGGGTTCGTGGTGCTTGTGCATCATCATTTCTGGTTACCGGTGCCACAATTTGATCCTGAGCAGAGGGCCTCTGTTGGAGGTTTTCATGGCTTGGAGGAGACAGAAAAGCATCGCCACCCGGGGCAGGTTGTGGGGAGTTTCTTGCGGAAGATTCCTGAGCAGCGGGAACTTGCTGGTGAGAGTCGGGACTGCCACCTTGTCGAGTCATGAACTGTTGAGGCGGTGCATGGTCATCCACACGAAGCAATTGGTTGCCCTGTTCAGAATTTGCTGCAACGCCCGAATGCGGTGGAATCTGGTTCTGTGGCTGGCCAGGCGCCGATTGGGTTTGCTGGGATGGTGTTGGCGAAGGCCGTTGGGGGTCAGCTGGATTATTACCCGTAGGTTGAGGCACCATTTGCTGAACATGCTGCGAAGAACCAGTGTGCTGGGGCATCACTGGTTGGAACTGCTGAGAAGCACCAGAGTACTGGGGCACTAAAGGCTGGAATTGTGTCCCAAAATGCTGCGGTGGAGAGCCCCGTCCTACGAAATATGGACTATGAGCAAGCATATTTGGCACGCCGTAACCATGGACTGCCTCGTAGCCACGCGGTATTGGCACGGCAGCATACTGCGGTTCTGATCTTGGAGCTTGAGCCTGGCTCCGGTTTGATTGCATCATGGGTAACACCGCGGGCGAGATTTGTCCGTGTCCAACTCGTGTTGTTTGCGACGGAAGTTGGCCGCGATCGCCCGGCATTGGCGGCGATGCCTGACCGCGGTTGAACTGTGCAGGCTGAGCAAGACCTGGGGACGCTCGTGGTGGCTGTCCAGATGCACCAAGAGAGCCTTGAGGCATTGGTCCAGGAGCTGGCGACTGCCCGCGCCTAGCTGGAGTCATGTAAAGAGGCATTGCTTGGCTGGATTGATCAGGCTGGCCGGAGTGTTGTCCAGGTTGACCTATTTGGTTGGCTTGAACGGGTTGAGCGGGTTGAATCGGCTGATCTGGTGCTTCCGCTCGCCCCGAGATCCGTTGCGCCTGAGGCAGGACAGGCTGCTGCATTTTACTCGAATCCTGTTGCTTGGAAGAACGTTTGAAGGCACCAAGTAGTTTTGAGGATGTGCTCTCTTTTTCTTTGGTTTGCATGGGGAAACCACCAATTGGTGGCTGAGGCGAAGTCGAATTACGTTTCCTACCAGCTCCAAATAATTTCGACATGGTCCCCTTCTGCTCTTGTACAGATCCAGCCGCCCCGCCTGCTTGACCTGGATACATTTGCTGATGCTGACCAGATGATGCCGGTCCCATTGGCGGCTGGGTTGCTGTGCGGGTGAAGCCCCACGGCTGCGTAGGCTGAGGGGAGAGTCTTCCGGGGCCTTGCAACGGAGGCTGCTGGCCCGGACCTGCATGACCTGGCGGGCCCTGCATTCCTGGTACTTGCTGCCCAGGGAAAGGTTGGAAAGGCATCGACCCTCCATTTGTTCCACTAACTGTTTTGGGTTGGCCTATCTGTGCTGCATCATTGAAACCTTGCTGTTGAACATATGGGCTCAAGCTTGATTGTCCAGATTGGGCCGAGATCCTGTTTGCTCCAGGGCTGCCGGGTGGCGGGGCGGGGGACTGCGACGGTGTCGGCAGAGACGGCTGCCGTATATGCCCGGCCTGGGTAGAGGCCCCCAGATGAGAGCTCTGGTGGCTCTGATATATCTCTGAAGGCCTCTGGCCATCACCGCCAAACTCATTCGAAGGTTCTGGAGTTCGAGAGGGTTCGACCTCTGACTTGGATGGAGGCTGAGAGCTTGTGGCTGCAGGAGGTGCAATCATGCTTCCAGAAGCTAGTCTGGACGAACCAGAGCCGACGGGCTTCCTATTCACCCTGAGGAACTCTTGAGAGGACCGTGGGGAGTCGTCATTGGCAGGAGCAGCCAGAATGCGTTGATGTTCTCCCGTCGGAGTTATCCGGTTGGGATCGAGAGCTCCCCGGGCATCATGATTCAGGGCCCGCGTTTGATCTTGCAATTTCTGTTGAGGAGGGCCAGAAGGTTGCCCTGGGGAGAGGTGCTGTTGTGGTACGCCGGGATTGGACATCTGCCGCATGCGGTTATTGAGAGCTTGAAGCTGGCCTGGAGGATAGTTAGGTTGTCCGTGTGGGCCCATTTGTTGAGGATGCTGATAACTCGATGGAGCAAACTGCCCTCGTTGAGGTTGCTGACCTCCCATTGACATTGGGCCGTATCCTGGCTGTCCCATTTGCGAAATTTGCGGATTTGTAGGATCTTTGGCACTGGATCCTGGCTTATTGCCAAGAAGATTTCCCAAGAAACCGCCAGCTGATGCTAGAGCGCCGTTTGGTGCCCGTTTCTCTGGACCATCTCCCGTGTGCTGAGGTCTCAGTTGCCCCATGTTTGGAGGCAATCCCATTGGAGTGCCTTGAACAGAACCCTGGGTACTGCTACGTCCGCGATTGATAGGTGGAGGGGCCATCATACCCAGCTGCGCATTTGGTTGGGTTTGGCCGGTGTGAAACCCTTGGTCTTCAGTAGAAGGTCGGATCGAGCTTTGCATTGACGGTCTACCAGACGTCGGCCTTTCTGTCTTGTTGGGTTGAGCATCGTCCTTGGGACCGCTCTTGAAGATGCTTCTAAATTCAGACAGGCGCTTTTTCGCACCACTTCCTGGATTTGAATTGGTATCGCTGCCGCCGGAAGCGTTGTCAGTCTTGCCGCCGCCCATACCGGTCATCTGCTTCGCCAGGCCGCTCGCTCCAAAAAACGTCTTCTTCTTTTCACCAGGACCAGAATTTTGAAACTGCTGCGGTGCAGTGTCTACATGGCCTGGTTGTGACTGCGCACCAGTGTTGCCTGAGTTACCCATCCCAAAGAATGACGCTCGCTTGTGTTTCCTTTCTGGCTCGTCTTCAGTGATGATGCTCGTCTCGGAGACTGAGACCTCGTCTGCCTGAAAGCCATCTTTGGAAATACTGTCAGGTCTTGCTCGGGTTGGCATAATCTTTCCACCAATCTGAGTTAGCAGAGACTGCTGGCGCTTATTGTCATCCTCCAAGTCTCGGGTGGGCGACCTTGAAACGCCCATACTATCACGCCTGTGTTGCTGCGCTTGTTGTGCGGCCGGTGCCATTTGTATATGATCCTGATGAACTGGTGACTGATTTGAACTTCCTGCCGGAAATAAGCCAGGAAAGCGTTGCGCGGCGACGGGGGGTTGAGAATTATTGCGCGGATTGCGTTGCGGGAGCTGCGAGGGACCTCCTACAGGCACGAGAGACTCGGTCTCTTTATCTCCGGCATAGTATCCAGTCTGTTGCGCTGGCGGTGTCTGCGTCTTCCTGGATGTGTTCAAAGGCTCGGACAGTTGTGACTCCTCGAGTTTCCATTGGCCTTGTGGAGGAAATCGATGAATAGGATTCCCACCAGCCGAAGGCGGAGATGCTGCACCAGGCCGCACGGCTGGTTGCGCACTTGATGATTGCATGCCCGTTTGTATGCCTGGCAGTCCAGTCGGCGACGGGAATCCATTCCGGCCTTGCATATTCATGTTGTACTGCGAAAACTGCGAGACCGGAATTCCAGGAAACTGTACTGGTGCGCCGTTCCGGCCTGGCGCAGGAGGATATGCGCCGTTAGGCAAGTGATATCCCTTTTGCCCATTGACCAAATGACCCTCGTGCGGATTATACTGAGCAGCGGGGCCTTGCGACTGTTGGTGAGACACTTGGCTATACTGGGCTGAGTCATGTTGACCTTTGGCAGACTGCATCATGCCGGACGGGATCGCAGGCACCGGTGGTATTACGTCCTGCACGCCTGCACGGTATGAGTCGGCGTCGGCAGATTCGCCGTCATCGCTTTGGCCATTCTTGTCACCAAGCGGGCCAAAAGTCGAGGTTCGACGGATCGGTGGGAGGCCAACGAAAGAATCAGTGCGAGGAACTTCTGTTGCCGGAAGGTCTTCATGCGCCGAGTATTGCACCGGCGATGCGAATGGCCTCGAGTCTGTCAACGGCGCAGCCATATTTCGTGAGGTATCGCCTAGAGGCTGGAAAGGTTTTGCAGTATTATAAGAAAGCTCGACCTAGACGTCTGATCCGTATTCTTCAACAATCAGAGGCGTGGCATCACGGGCGTTGCGCAAGTTGGCAGAAGATGTAAGCGGGTGATATTCTCGTGGGGCGCGGCTGATGTCTCGAAATTGAAGCTCCCCTCTTCAGCCAGCGGAGATGGTCGTGAATAGTTTCCAGGTCGATTGTTTTCTTGCTGATGAGCGCTGCCTTTGGCAATTGAAGTTCCCTTCGTTTTGACACTCTTCACTTTCCCCCCCGAGATTTGGAAAAAAGCTGCGATTGTCGGGCAGACGGGCGACTGAAATTCAATACGCGGCGCAGTGTTGCACGAGCGGTGTCGTATTGTAGTGCCGCGTCTTGAGATATGCCTAATAGACAATGTCGATGCTTAGCTGGCGGTGGCCGAGTAGAGAGACGGCTGCGGGGAAAATGGAGAAGAAAGGACTGGCAAATGGATCGCGAGAAACCATTTGAACATGTAGACAAATTCAAGGATCGGAACCGCGTCGTTCGCAATGACACGGATACAGGAGGAGAAATTAGAACAGAGAAATTGAGGCACAGGCGGCGTCCAGGTAGGATGTAGCTCGAGCTCAACATGAGCTTTTGAGATGGGCTGACGGGCCACGGAGCCCTGTCCTTGGAGTCTTTTCTTTCTGTTTGCTGGGAGAGTCGGCGCTGCGGCTGGACGACGGCGCGGGTCCCCAAGAGGCCAGGATCAAGGTCGGGCTACCTGTAGCCTGCTGCAATTGGCGAGATTGGGTTGATTGAGATTCTGATGGGCAGGGTGGTGCTGAGGGTAGCGAGCTTTTGGTAACACTTGGTGAGCATGCTTATTTGGGTGAGCTGCACTTGCAGATCCCTGCCCAGTGGTTTGAGCGTATCGCATCCAAGCCAAGACCCCCAAGGAGCGTCGTTCATTTCTCGACCTAGCCTTTTGTGACGTAGTCTTGGGGGTGAGAAAGGGCAGTCCGACAGTGGCTCCACGATGTCCTTTGCCTAGTTGCAGAAGGTTTTCTATTAATATCTCCAATTGAGCCAGGGCTTTTGTTCACTACAGCACACTAGTATTTTTGTTGGAGACATTGACGGGACTGTGGGGATGATGGCATGGATAGATGGGTATGTACTGCTTAACAGTCGAAAGTCAATGGGTGCGGCAACATTAGACCTAGTATCTCGACAAACGAATATCTATCTCGGTATCGCAGGCCGACAGAAAGCTAATCGATCGACCGGAAAAGTATCATGAATGTCATTCGAGTGACCTAGAAAAGGGAGCAGACAGCACCCGGGTCTCAAGATTGTTGGTGTTCCTCTGTTGGTGGCATAACGCAACAAGTAAGCTTGAGCCAGCCTCTTGGGGCCTTTTCGGTTTGGACATCTGGAAATTTATTACCAACGCCCCTCAAGCCACCATCATATGTCGGTCAGCAATTTATACAACAACGCAGGACTGCCACATGTTAGGACGGGTTGCCCCTTCACGTATCCGAGCGAATGCACGTGGGATTGAATGTTCCATTGATCGTTCGGTCCATCCATGTTCAGCCCCTGGCCCGGTGTACGCCGCACATGTCGTACAACGTTTAGCTCTCACTTGCGCTTTGCTGCAAAAGTATAAACGACACGCAGTCGCTGGCTCACGAAAAAGCCAGAATAGAAGTGGAAAAGAGAAATTGAAACAGAATGGCATGTCACCTTCTCCTCGGCATACAAGCAAACCCAGCATGCATACTCATGCCCGCAAAATGAGTAAAGCGATTGATCATACTGATTATCCAGGGAAATATCTCCACATCGGAGGATGCGCCAGGCCAAAATCAAAGCGCAGCACCCTCGCAATCAAACAAAAGTCAAATAGATACTGTACTGTCTCTCTGTGTGTAATCAAGACAGAGAAATAAGAAGGACATTATTGAAATGATTTGTCGCCAGATCCACGAAGCTTGTCTTTACCCCTGTTGAATAGTTTCATTCCTGATTTCATGCCCGCCTTGGTGGCCTTGTTTCCAAAAGCTCCTGCTGCGTGCAGGAACTCCTTGCTCTTGACAGCTGCTTGGTTTTTGGAAGTTCCAAACCCGCTTGCTTGTTGCTGCTGAGACATTGACCGCTGCCGCGCGGGTCCTGGAGCTCCCGCCATGACGTTGGGGTTGCTTGCATTCAGATACTGCTGATAATATGGTTGCTGAGAAGCGGCTGGTGGGCCCGTTGGAGACGTCTGTGCAGACCCAGGGCCCTGATGGGTAGGGCTTGTACTCGAAGGCTGAAGTGCTGGATCTTCTGATGAAGCCTTCATGTGCTCCATCCAGTTTGACAGACCCGAGTCCATTGCCAAGTATTGCGACCTGGCTTCTTCGAACCTCTCGATTCGGAGAGCTGGTGTCGGAAGACTAAGTATCTCACGCCAACTGGTGATGTTGACGGGTTTGGGAGGCGGTGCCACCAACGTGTCATTCTCTGGGGCTGGTGATTCTGGAGGCGTCCGTGAGAGTGCTGGATGCTCGGAATCGAGATTGGGGGAGACTGGATGTGATGATGCTTGCAAGAGTACCTTTTCATCGGCAAGTGACAAACGACTGCCAGTGCTTTCTACAGGTCTGGGACTCGACAGGACAGAAATGGGTGACGGCGGTTCAATGCCTGATACCCCAAGCCCGCCTGGGGCGTTGTTGCTTATCATGGAGACAGTGTGGGAGATTTCGCCGTCCTTTTGTGGCTCAAGTTGTAGGGTTGGAGATGCAGTATCTTCTCGCAGATCGGGACTGGTGGTAATCTGCGGCTCGGTGGCATCAGAGGTTGGTCCATCGGGCACATGTACATTCGCATCCGTCTGAATCTGCGGCTGCTCGTTCGGCGTGACATTTTCCGATAACTCTTCCCATGAGAACCGACGACTGAGACGCGGACCACGCTCAGATGTGCGGGTCAGGTTGTTCTCAGCTGCGTCCGCAGCTGGCTCGCTGGGCACAACAGTGCGCGCAGGGCTGCTGCTTTGTAATGGTGCTGGGCTAACGACCGTCATCTCGTCTTTCTCCTGGTTGAAGCCTTGAAGAGATTTGTCCTCGGGGAATCCCATGTATTCGTCGTACACCCCTGAAAGGTATCTACTTTCTCTCGCAATGTCTGATGCTGGCGTTGTAAGACTTCTGTCGGCCGTCGGGGGCATGGGAGGGAAGCTTGGCGTGTCAATTGGTAGCGGACTCAACGATTTGATGATATCTTCCCGTAGCTTGTCGCTTTCGTGCGGAGAGGCATTGTCCATAGAGCTCATTGTCAAGTTGCGAGCAAGAGGGCCCGGCGCTATGAAGTCCGAGTCTGATGCGCCTCCCCGCTGGGGGTTCAATGGCGCCGTAGGAGAAAACCCTGATGAAGTGGTTGCCGTAAGTGGATGCGTAGATGTCGAGTACTTCGATGGCGATTCACCATAAGATGGAGAACCAGATCCAGGAGCTTGCGGCTGCTGATCAACAGTCTCCGTTTGGCTTGAAGCTGTCAGTGGGTCGGGCGTTTGCAGTGGAGGAAGCGCTTTTGATGTCGCCAGGGCAGCCGGTGCAGTCGTCAATACCTCATCCGCAATGGCTTGGTCGTGTTGACCTACTGTGGTTCCAAAATTATCATTATCTTGCTGAACATCCTTTGAGTCTATTACAGCCGGTGCATCATTTTCAAGTGGTTGAGCTTGCTTGATCACAGTCGTAGGCTCAATATCGTCTGCCTCTCCGCCAATGGTGGCGGGTTCTTCTGCAGTGTCCTTTACAGTCGCAAGTTGCGATATGGTTGGTTCTGGTCGCTCCATGGGTGTCGGCACTTCGGAGGCAATGTTTGTACTTTCCGATACCCAGCCGCCAGGGATTGACGGTCTCGATGGGCGCGGTTGAGCTTTGATGGTTGCCTCATCCGACGCGGCTGGTTGTGGTTCAAGCAGGGACGTGTCTGGGTTTGAACTTTCCTCCTTTTGCTCGGCGAGCACCGGACCTTCAATGAGACTTGGTGCTGCCTTTTCGTCGCTGTCCTCGGTTATCGTTTCAGACGGCCCTGTAACAGCGCTGCTCAGTCCTAGACCTGTAACGGTCTGCATATGTTCATCGTTTGGGGTGGCAAGCTTATGCTCCGGCGGTGTTGCTTGTGCCGATCGGTCACCGTCAGAAAAGCCGCCGGATGAGCCCGAGAAGAAGTCCGGGCCAAAGCCTGACATACGTGCCAAGTCCGGAAGCCGTGGGCTGATCGACTTGCGTCGCGGATCGCCGAGAAGCTGTGAGCCGCCAGATTGGGGTGCAGCGCCAGCCAAAGGACCAGAAGTAGTCGCTTGTTGTGGAATTGAGGACTCTGCGTTCGCAGATGTTTGAGTTGGTGCAGGTGCCTTGTGTTCATTGATCAAGTGGTCCAGGCCATATTCGCTCCTCCGCTCTGCAACCGGAGGAAGTGTGGTCTTCAAGCCACGAACGGAATCTAGATTCTCATCACCGTCCCTATCAAAGCTGAGCCGCCTCCGCTGTTCGACCGGAGAGCGCAATGCATAGGCTGGAGAAGTTGACCTCTCGCTGCCGGGACTTTGTATGCCGTCCAGACTAGGTCTTCCGGCAGATTCCATGGATCTACGTTCCTTCTCCTTCTCCTCCTCCATGCGTCGGTATATTTCAGCCGGACGTATAAAGGGCAATGGCTTGTTTGGTGCTCCTGTTGCAGCTGACGGGGCTTGTTGACCTGGGGAGTCAGATCTCTGCTCTGGCCATGGTCGTCCACTCGACCCGGGTCGAGACCCCGACCTGTTTCTCGAAGTATCACGGTAGGTAGGTGCATCTTGATGGCCCATGCTGCTCTTCCGAGGAGGGAAGCGCGACGATAGCCCCGTAGCGCTTGCCGGAGACGTGATTCCGCGGTCTTGCGTCGCTGGAGAATACTCCTGGCGACCTGGGTATCCAGCCCCCGCAGCCCCAAAAGGTCGCGGCCTTCCAGATTGCGGTGAAGTCACATTTTCCGAGTTTCTATAGTCGGGTGCACCATCAAATGATGACTGATCAACAGCTGGAAACGGCTCGACTGGCTCGAAGCGTTGTGCAGGCGCGGACGATTGCTGGGTCTGGACATGTAAAGCCGGAGGCCCGCTGGGATTTCTGCCGAACGATTGGCCTCTAAAGTGACCAAAAGCCGCAGTTGGTTGCGAAAAGGCTCGATTGCCCGACATCTGAGAGCCAGGAAGCTGCGCGCCCTGGCCCAACGGTCGGAATGTAGCGGGCTGTTGCGCCGGCCCCGGCGGGTCGTCTTCAGGTTCCTCGTCATCGTCGAATTCATTCCCCCAGTCATCGCCGGCATAGTTCTGCTTCTTGGCCTCGACCCATTTCCTTGTTTTAGTACGGTTCACATTGGTCTGAAAGGTATTATTGCTCGGCGTGCTCGGCGTCCTAGAAGGAGATCACGAATGTTAGAGACGTTTGAATGCTCACATTGCGCTGGGGCTAGGGCCAGCCGCGGGACCCCGTCGTTGAAACTCACATTGGCGAGGCGTTCCGGTAGATATTATTGTACGTGGACTGGTCCATGACGGCGTACGGAGATCAATCAAGCTCTCCGTGAAACAAGCTAGGGCAACATCGCTGAACGCTAGTCGGATGGAGGAGAAGAACAGAGTCGCAAAGCTGGGTATAGCTGGTAGTAAATACTACGCAGGCGACGTCTTGTCGAAGTTTTGGGTAATTACGAGGTATGCTGAGGCTGTGCTAGAGATCCGCACAGAGTCGATTGGATTGGGGGTCGTACGCTTATCACGTTTGGCTGGCAGCGCCGGCACTGGGGCAAAGGGATGACGTGGAGCCTGAAAAGGGACCACAGAGAGCAGCGGTTGTTAAACTAATACTAGTAGGTAATAGAGGGTGTTATTATGATATATGACAATGTCCGCCGATAATTCTGTCCGCTGTAGGAATAAACGTCATGTAGTCTTACAATGGAATGCTGCTCAAAGACTTGTGTAATTAAGTGGAAAAGGAATGAAGTGACGCCTCTGTAACACTTTGTTTCCCGAATTCCTGGGCGGGCAGGCGGAACATTCGTAGATGATGATGATGATGATGCCGGGGGGGCAGAGTATGGAGCATGACATGGGTGACGATGCTAACTAACCGCCAGGTCCCAGTTGAGCCGGTAAATGTAGCGGCGTTATTTTTATTTTCGGGCCATGTGGACGTTCAATATGGACCTATGATTGGACGCAAGCAAGTTGGCAATAGCGGTATGGGTTGATCTTGAAGTGCACAAGGTTTTCGAAGTGTTCCATTGGCTATTGCACTTCAGCTCCGTTAATAAGATAGAGAAACTCGAGCTGCCGAGACACGTGTAATTGCAACGTGAATACTCAAACTAGTTCTGCTTCCAATCGACAGCATAAGAGAACAAGAGTTATTTGGAGTAGTGCCATCGTGCCCTTGGACGTGTAATCCCACAGCACGGAAGACTGGCAGTGTAGATCATTGTAATGTGTTTGTTTCAACCATGATTAGGCGGACCTCATCTCTGTGCTGGATTATGTTTCAAGATTTTCTTATTCCAACGGCGCCTCAGATGTCATGCTTATCGGGTAGTGAAGTTAAGCTTTTTTCGACAAAGTAGAAGAAAAAGAAACCGAGCTGAAAAGGTTATGACATGTGACCTGATGCTGACTGTAGACCTCGTTCTCACCATAGATTTGGAACCAATAGGCAACTCTGCAGAGCGCCGTGTTATGCCGGTCTCCCTTTCACGACTACTAAGGTACGTGAGTATATGGATTCGCACCAACTGGCGGCTGATAGTTGATGATGTATCATCTAGACCTCGGCTCGCAAGGCAACGGATTATGTGTTAATTACGGCCAAACTGGTGATGATTATCTTTCCAATTTCTTCTTTTTCAGGGGCTCCCTTGAAGAAGTAAAAATGTTTCAACCGTGAAAGATGTCTCAGCCTGCAATGCGGCAAATCAAAGTCTAATAAACACATTACCTCTAATACTAACACAGTGACACATCAGACTTCCCGGTGGAAAGTTGAGTACGTACCTAAAATTCTTGCTATTCCAAACTTGAGTTGCACACATACATATACCAGGGTTAGGTGCAATGAGCCACACGCAGCGCAGCCGCCACAATGGAACATAGTGGGCAAAACTCTCCCCTGGAAAGAAAAGTCGGGGGCCTTAGTTCGGCAGCCTAGCACCTGGAGAGCCACAGTCTGCTGGTCAGATTTAGCACTACTACCTTGCAATGTAGGCTTGGCCTTTCTCTACTGCTACGGAGGTACCTTGGTGTGATGCAGGTTGGCAGGCACACGGACACGTCGCCCTGAACTCGGCCAGGACTGCCTTAGTCGCTCAACGGAACCTTTGCGCTCCAGACCAACAACAATTTCCCAGTCCACCATTTCTATCATCACCAACTCGGCAACCGAAAGCAACCAAACCACGACCTTTTCGTCTCAATCAAACAACAAGAATCGGCAAAAGCAACACTGCGTGCTACTACAGCGACAGCGGTCGTGACTTTTGACGTTCCGTGTGCGCCGCGAGACATTCTTTGGCCTACGGCGTCGCAGTTTCAGAAATAATCCCCAAGGAAAGTCATCGAATTTGCATCTTGCGCCCTCGTCGTCATCTCAATCCGACACCGTCAACGATAGATCGGACACCTATCCGCGGTCGACATGGCTGTCGCATCGATTCAAGATCGGACTGCCGAGTTCCGGACAGTCCTCAATCAAGTTCAGAAAAGACAGGCATCGTCAAAGGTTGGCGCACAAAGGCGGTCACTTCTTACCGATCAGCAGAAGGCAGAGGCAGACGGCGATGCTCGCCCCAGAAGATCTGACTTTGCCAGGAGGGCGGCCGAGATTGGCAGGGGCATCTCGGGTACGATGGGCAAATTGGAGAAGCTGGCACAGCTCGCCAAGAGGAAAACACTCTTTGACGATAGGCCAGTCGAAATCAATGAGCTCACATTCATCATCAAGCAAGATCTGTCAACTCTCAACCAGCAAATCTCCGGCCTGCAGAGCCTCACGCGGCAGCAGCACCCCAAGGCTGACCAAGTAGGGGAGCACAACAAGAACGTGGTCGTTATGCTGCAGGGAAAGCTTGCGGATGTGTCTGCCAACTTCAAGGACGTGCTGGAATTGAGGACAAAGAACATCCAGGCATCTAGGGCGCGAACCGACAACTTTATTTCTACCGTATCACAGCATGCGCAACCCGCAATACAACAGTCAGCATCGCCCCTGTACGGAACGCCTAGTCGAGGAACACCTTCACCAGGTGGTGACACCTTATCGCTGAATCCGGTCATGGGCGACCAACAAGTGCTCATGATGGAGGAGGCGCAACCGCAGAATACCTACATACAGCAACGAGGCGAAGCTATTGAGAATATAGAAAAGACCATTGCAGAGCTGGGCTCCATCTTTGGCCAGTTGGCAACCATGGTTTCGGAACAGGCAGAACAGATCCAACGGATAGATGCCAACACTGAAGATGTCGTGGACAATGTCCAAGGTGCGCAGAAAGAGCTGCTGAAATACTGGTCTAGAGTGTCCAGCAATCGATGGCTCATTGCCAAAATGTTTGGCGTGCTCATGATTTTCTTCTTGTAAGTGAAACTCCCCGGCATTGTCATGGCCACAGTTGAAGTTTACGGGCAATAAACTAATCATCACTTGCAGATTATGGGTGCTTATCGCTGGTTAGAAGACATCTGCCTGGTGCCACTGTATCAATATCTTCCTGTACAATACTTGATCACACACATGACTGGGTCATCACTAGAATTGTGATAAGTACCACCAAAACTTTTAATAGATTTCGGAAACCATTATGGTTACTCTTTGAACTATATTTGTTCTTCATGGCCTTGGGTACAGCTTTTACCTCCTTGCTATGGGGCCACTCTTACATGGTGGCCCATCTAGGTCAGACACGGGTAGCAAGGATATATGAACATTTCAGCAGCACTGAAGTGATAGTCTCTTTTGTTATTAAACGGCTGCGTACAAGCTCTGGTTCTATAGAGGCACAGCCTATTTTGGTTTCCACTGGGAGTGAAGCCAATCGAGTGCCAAAGGTCTGAAGCAATATTCTCAACAGCAGTTAGGGGTATTCGCCTAATGAGACATGCTGTAATTAGTTCTGTCATTGATTCGATGATAATGTTAATAAAACAATGTAAGCAATACAGAGATGGAGGGGACAATGTCGTATCGCCAGGGCAGGTTATCAATCTTTTTTTGGTCTTATTCTATATGCTCTAGGTTCAAACTTTATTCATCCCCGGCCCCTTTTAGCAGATCGAAGCGGTCGCGATTGTTTTTTCATTATCGTGGTATCATAAGACTCGCCGGAAATTAACACACTACAGTCGAGAATCGATTCATGCAGACACTCCGTTCTTCAGAGCCTTTCCTTCCTGCTTGTCCGGGAAGCCAAAGTTGATGCCAAATGGAGGGTATACATATCGCACGGGGGCCTTTTCCTTGGTCAGTTGAGCCAGGACGTCGAGGTCTTTCGAGTCGAGGTCGACAATCTTGAGGTTCTCCTTGATGCGCGACTCGGTCACCGACTTGGCCAGCACTGTGCTTCCTCTGGCGACTATTTTTTGAGAGGAACAAGACATGTCAGTAAAAGCATGATTCGCAATTGTGATGATCATAAGACAAAGAAGGGGGTAAAGTAGAGCCTTACCGTGGTAGCTGAGCAAGATGGCACCCGGGCTGACGCCCTTTGCGCTGGCCAGCGACTTGACCTGCTCGCTTTCCAGCAAGGGACCGCCAGTGCTGCCAAGCGGGCTGTAGGCCATGATGTGGATGCCATTCTTCTTGGACAGGTCGACGACCTCCTGCTGGGGCAGGAGCGGGGAGTTCTCAATCTGGTTGACGGCGGGCACGATCTTGGCGTGCTTGAGCAGGTTGGTCAGGTAGGTCTCGCTGTAGTTGCAGACGCCAATGGCGCGGGCCTTGGTCTGGGGCAGCGCCTCCATGAGCTTCCACGTCTCGACGTGGTCGTGGTCCCAGAGAATGTCGCGCTCGCCGTTGGGCAGCAGGGGGAAGCGGTCGGCGTCGCCGCCGTCGGGCCGCGTGCCGTTGGGGTTCATGCCGACGGCCCAGTGCACCAGGTAGAGGTCGACGTAGTCGAGGCCCAGGGCCTTGAGGGACTTGTCCAAGCAGAGCTCGACGCGGGTCGAGTACGTGTTCCAGAGCTTGGTGACGACAAAGATGTCCTCGCGCTTGATTCCCGAGTCAAAGGCCGCCTTGAGGCCCTGGCCGACCTCGTCCTCGTTGGCGTAGCAGTAGGCTGCGTCGATGAGCTTGTATCCGGACTTGAGGGCGATCTCGACGGCCTTTGCGACCTGGCCGGGCGGGGCTTGCCATGTTCCTGATAGGCGTGTAAGCACTCGGTCTACAGGATTCAAAAGATTTGGATATCTCGTGTGTTCCCATTCCCGTTGAACAGCAGTCTGACCGGCCAAGTATAGCGAATCAAGTTTTGGGCAGAGGAAGGAGGTCGCGGGGAAAACATACCGAAACCCACGGCGAGGATCTCAGCGCCAGTGTTGAGCTTGAACGAGGAGGGTGCCATGATTGTGATGTGGTTGCTGTAATATACGTGTAGGTAGGTAGAGGTCGTATCTGCGCAATTGGGTATATATCAAGAGAAAAATCACGACAAAATAGCAAATGTACTTTTTTGGAAAATGAACTAGACTTATACTGAGCACCACCGTATACCATGTGGCAGGAAAAGGGACTATTTATGCGTGTCAGGCAAGTGTCAGGCAAAATGCCGCGAGAGAGACGAGATCCCGGTACTCATTGGCCCATCACGTCACCGAGACGAGGAGCTTCGTCTTGCGGATAAATCAAAGGCTCTTTCTTTCTGGATCGGAAAAGACGACCGGGTTCCACTGCACAGCGGAGATCAGGGCCACATGGATACATTAGGTGAGGGAATGTATAGTCTACTTGCATACATAGCTCCAAAGGAAGCCTCCAAAGTGTTGCTTGGCTCCCGCCTCAGCGATATGAACGCCGAGCCCATCTTCGGGTTGGCGGGGCAAGTCGCGGGGTGAGTCGCGGGGTTTCGCCATGATGCCATGGGTGGGCTATAGTATACACACTATCTGCGCCCCAAGTAAATAAAAGTCTAGGCAACTTCTCGAGTCTACTTAGTCAGGGGATCCAGAAATGGCATTTCGTTCATTCTTTTCAAAGCAAGCAAGTCAAATTCTGGGGAAATAATGGGACTGGCCCAGTGCTAGGGCCTCAAACAACAGGAAGTCGGTCGCCTTCAGCCAGGATTGGCCTTTGTGAATTTCACTACATCTTCCATCTGGGGCAGTTCTGCGCGAAAGGGCCCAGCTCAATTGTACGTACTGGAATGACTCGGGGGGACGCCGCCCATAGAGCGCTGCCATTTGTGGAAATTCTGGACGAAGGGCGCTAACTCGGTAGTCATAGTGGGGCAAAATATCTGGCTGGTCATGCACCAGCTGGGCGCTGCGGGATGATCTTGAGCCGAGTATCATCAATCCATTGGAAAGCGTCGTGGTTGGCAATGTGCGGTAACATGTCGATAATGATTGGGTATGCCAGCCCAGGTAAGGCTTCGAGTAGGCGTCTTGTGCTTGTTGACTGGCAATTTGCCATATACTGCTCTGATATATGACCTTTGTCTCGGCTGGTATGCTACAAGACAGTCCCTTCAGTCTACAGGCTCAGACTATGTCACAATATCACGGCGGTGTTCACTGTGGAAGATCACTCTTCTTCGTATGAATGAAGTATTTTCAGTTTTTGCCATTCATGGTTTTACTCCTTTTTTTTCCGGTGGTATATGAACATTTTGACGTTACAAGACAAAATAAAAATACTAATCAAGCCAACTTGTGTTATCAAATGCTTGTCGTGATGGGGTTGCTGACTGAGCGATACACGGATTCACTTTCATCTTTTCTTCGCATCAAATGCGACCAATGCGTCGTGGGGTTCTCGGCCAACGCCGCCAACTCATAGTGGTCGTCGTTGTTGGGACCAGCAACGACAAAGCTATGCTGTATGGCGAGCCTTGCGTACTTGATGGCCTCCCAGACCTTGCCTACAGCGTTAAATTCAATGGCGGCATATGTGTACGCCTCGTACAGTCTCGAATAGAGGCGTTCCTGCTCGTAGAGCGACACGAGCGTCTCGGCCATCTCGGGCGTGGCGTACGAGTCGCCGGTGTAGTCGGTCAAATGGCCCTGAAGGTCGAGGATCTGCGCAATACGGTCGTCCGAGGCCTTGACTATGCGGTCGACTTGTGTGCAGGCTGTGCAGGCACAGGGAAAGTGCCACGTCTCATCAAGGCGCGCGAGACGATCGTCACGAGGGAGCAGCAACCTACAGGCACATGTTAGCCAGTATATTAGATAATCAAGGATCCGAAAATATGCTTACTCGACATAGGTGATGGTTATCTCCTCTCCAGCAAGAATATCTCTCGTGGCAAAAACATTCTGAGTAAATGTGTCGGGGTCCCAATAATAGTGGGCGTTGGGTCGACAATCATGGTTCATACGAGATACTATAAAGAGGTTGCCGTGTGTTAGCCACCAACCTCGCTGTGGGTCTCATAAACCATCGATTTCTAATAGTGACTTACCTTCAGGAAATACTGTAAAGAAATTCACAATTTTTGCGCCTTTGGGGCGTGTAATGATCTCTTCGTCGGAAATGTCAAAGGCATTGGTGAGAATAATCTTGTAAATCTGTTCCTCATGGCTGTCGGCGCCATCATGAGTGGACAGGTTCATAAATATATCCCTGTGATGCTTGGGCAGGTGACTGATGCCCTCGGTTTGCATCCGACGAACTTGATCCACTGAGACGTGATCCCATATATCAAAGTCGGTCATGATGGCCGCCGAGACACTCATTATGTGGTCGCCCATGGCCAGGTTGCGGCTCGCCACCAGACCCATGCCCTTGTTCGGGACCTCTTCGACATGCCACTTGTCGCTCGCTGCCGCGTTAAAGTCCTTGACGCTCTTGTACAGGTCCCGCTCCGTGAATGCTGGACTCTTTGCAATGGTTACCGCCTCAGCGGGCGTGGTCAAGATCGTAATGCCTCTCCCGCCAGCAAAGTTTGGGTTCGAAAAGATGCAGAATTCCTCGGTTTCGTTGTGATGACCGGCACATGTTGAGGAGATGGGCCATAACTCATTTGCGATGAGCTTATCGTTTTTGATCTTCAGTGCTTCTGCTTTGCGTGGCTTTGGATCCGCTGCTCCCTCTTCCTCCTTTGCCTCCTTCTCCTTCCCCTTCTCCTCCTTGACTTTGTTCTTCTCAACAACTGGTTCGGCTGGTTTCTGCGCTGCCACCTTGACTGGCTGTGCATCCGAAGAAATGAATGGGGTTTCGACTGCATGCGCTGTCCTTTCGCTCTTTGGTTCTGCGACGCTCACCTGCGCAAACGCTGAAGGATCATCATATTCGCAGAAGGGATTCTCAAAGTTGCCTAGGAAATTCTCCCATTGGCATCGCCCGTAATCCACCATGTAGCCCAGCGAGTTCTTGGCCGCCACGCCGCCCGTGGCACAGGCGAGTAGGATCTGCTGCGACTTCATCTTGGGGGAAGAACAATGTCAATTGACGTCAAGCGACAACGCTTGTCAGAACAACAACAATATTCAACATTGCAGACAAACTTCAAAAGAAAATCAAAAAGAACAGGCTGTTCATCGCAGCCCGGATGCGCACACCCCCCCCCCCCCCCCCCCCCGCGGGATCGAGTATATCAGCCGCCATGTGACGGTGGTGCCACCACTGGCTAAAACGAGCTTGGCAGCTCTCGATGCGACGCAACATTCCCTTTGAAGAATTAATCATGCGCGGCCTATCGATAGAGAGCAAACAGCCTGGCTATAACGCAAGTGTGAATATGTCCCAAAGAGGCAGGCAGATACAAATTGCCGGCTGCTCAATGGACGGGGAAGCAAATTTCAGTGGGGCTTGAAGCTATTCTGCGACAGGGATTACAAGCTATTCACCTTGTCGGGCAGCTCTATGTGTAATAGCTGAGGATGTCCCAGGAATTGCGACTTCGGCACGTGAAATCATGAGCTCCGGTTTGAAATAAACAGTTCATATCATTAAATTTGCATACATGAGACCAGAGTAAATAGAAAATCGTCATAGCGGAATCAATAACTGGGATTGTAAGCCCAAGAGTTTCTTCTTCTTCTTCTTTTTCGTGCAGTCATCCAATACGTAACTCATAAACACGGCAATTCCTGTCCAGGCACGCAAGAGCACTTATAGTCGGGCTTTCATTGAATGGCTGCGGTGGGAATCTTGAGCGGATAACTGGACGACCGCCTGTGTGTCAAATTCTATTCTAGGGTCAACTAATATATACTCCATAGACGCTTTGGCTTGGAACATTTCTTTTTCTTCTTTTACATACCAACCATGACTTTCAATACCAGGTTGCCCTTTTCGTCCTTTACTTGGCCAGCCATCTTGAAAGCTTCGGGGATTTCGTCAAAGCCGCTGTAGCGTTGCGTAATGAGCTTGCCCACGTCAGGCAGCGCCGCATTTTTACTTGCCAGCATGTTGATGACATCGGGATAGTTGTTGGCATATCTAAAGACGCCGACGAGATCGACTTCTCGCAGTGCTGCGGCCGAAAGCGGCAGGGTTTGGATGGGGTTACCCATGCCGATGATCATGACTTTTCCACCAGCTTGTGTGGACTGGGAGTATGGTCAGTAGGTAGAAAAGGCACTCGAGGGACTCGTTGGATCAACTCACGTATATGGCAGTCTGCATACACGACTCAACACCAGTGCACTCAAATGTTACGGTGACTTCACCAACGGCCTCGCCCTTGACCTGAGTTGATGTAATCTTTTCTGCCAAGTCTTTTGCATACGCCAGCTTCTCTTCAATCGTCTGCGGTCTGCCTAGTGGGACCGCAATTGATGCGTCTGCGAAGCCATTTTGCACGGCAAAGTTTATGCGATCCTCTTGAATGTCGGCAATTAGGACTGTCTTTGCTCCAGAGACCTTGGCAGCAGCCGCGCACAGCAGACCTACAGCGCCGGCACCGAGGATAAGCACAGTCGAGCCAGGTTTCAGGTTCGCTCGGTCTCGGGCGTGGAAGGCGACAGACAGCGGCTCGACGAGCGCGCCATATTCGAGGGAGACGGTCTCGGGTAGCCTGGGAGAAATCACAAGCGGTTAGATTCGATCCCACCAGAGGTAGTTGTTCCAAGGTTGCCTGTCAGTCACTTACTTGTGCACCCACTTTGCGGGGTGGTTGATTCGGTCTTGTAGCGTGCCCTGGAAATGCGGGAATGCCTTTGCTGAGCTGCGGAAGCGCATTCCCTTGCAGATGTTATATCTGCCCTCTTTACACAGGTCGCACTGCTCGCATGGCAGGCCAACCTCGAGAGCTACGCGGTCGCCGACCTTGAGTGTGCTCACTTCCGAGCCAACTGCCGTGACAACACCGGCGGACTCGTGGCCCAGGGCCATGGGTTCTTTTACAATGATATCGCCATTTCGGTAGTGGTTGAAGTAGTGCAAATCAGAGCCGCAAAGACCAGTGGCCTTGACTTCGACTTGAACCTCGGCGGCTTCTGGTGCGGTGAGTTCTCGCGATTCCTGTGTATGTAGTGGTAAGCTCTCAATGTCTCTCGGCTTTTATTGTCGCTGTGTGTCGCAACTTACCACGCGCAGATCTTTTGCGCCGTGCAGGACAGAGGCTCTAATATCACCACCGCACATGTTGAAGATTGTTGACTGAGTATTGGACTGGGAAATGGTATTGTGTGGTTTGAACACTTCCACTAGAGAGTTCTAGGAATGCTTTACAAATAAAGTTTTGGTCTCTAGCGAGGCACTTAAACTTGAGGGTATCACGAGAGTCTGGGGATGAAGAAGCAAGAATGAAGAGCGAGAGTGAGATCTGGAAGACGCATTCAAACCCCTTTGATTTTGTTTGATTCACTGCTATCAATCATCGGGCAAAAGTTCCAACACTGCCCTCGGAAATTTTGACCTACCTTTCTCGTCAATTCGGAAATCTGAACCGTGCTCCGATATCGACGCCCAACTTTCTCAGTCGGACATGTCCAGATGACGATGTTGTACCTGCTACTGAGCACTAACTGAGGAGCTCCTCCCCTGCGGCAATGTGGAGTCCCCGTCCCAGTCCCACGTCTCTAGGTCAGTCGCCCGCCCTGGGGGAGGGTTTATTAGTGGCTTCCCAGCGGGCGGCCAGAAGCGACTTTTCCTGGCGACTTACCCTAAATTCCTCCGATTTCACCCCGCGTTCGGCAAGTTGTAAATGGCAGCGAGACTCTGTCATTGATTGTCACGAGTCGTAGAATTGGCAAGTGAAGAAGCCTAAATAGTTTTCGTATCCCAACAATCACAAGCAAGTAATGAGACTTTAATATTTATTGTCTTGTTTGCAATATTCGGACAACCATCTATGTCTTGTTACGGGCAATAATTCACCCCAGTGCTGGTGATAGGAAATACGTAATGGGATTTGAGGTCCACTATAATACGAGGTTCCAGTGAGTAGTAAGTACGTATAGTATTGTAAAGAAAGAACTTATGCGATTGTTCAAAATAGCTTCCCTCCTTCTCCTTCTGCAACTGCCATTCCTAGAGAGAACCGGCGTTTCTTTTCCAAAGCATTGATACTTCACAAACCAATTGATCCTGCAAATCAGAACCAAGTAATTCCACGAGACGCGACTCGTAGTCATCTGTGACTTTCTGAATTCGTCCCCCACGCGCAGGATACCATCCGGCCAAATGCCGCATCTTCCGGCGATAATTGCCGTTTTGTGAGGAGCTCCCAACCGGAGCAGCCCACGATAGCGGGGGAGGGGTTCGCTCGTGCCGTGGGGTAGTAGCTAACTAGCGCCTGAAGCCGCCAAAAACGCCCAGAGCCCGTCATAGTGCGTCCCGAAACTGACTGACGACCTGTAATTCGGTGTCATCTGAGAGGCCCAAAGGTTTGCGATACAATAGGAAAACAGGAGCTCGTGTACTCGCTACTTGTTGAACCATTCTCGAGGCTGGCAAGAAAGTGGAACCCTTGTAGTAAACCTGAAATATATCCCTCCCGAATGCCGGATCATGTCCAGCTCTGGCATCGTGAGGCGGGACCTTTTTAAATGTTTATGACTTCTTGACCAAAGCTTGGGCAAAACTTTCTTCCAGTGACAATTCTTCTATGAGAAACGAAGCTGTTAACAATTCTTGACCCGTGATACCACATTTCACTACTTTGCTCAAGAACTTTCAATTGTTGTATACCTACCTATCTATAACCTGCAATGTCGAACTTATTTTCTCTCGAGGGCGAGACAGCGCTCGTCACTGGCGGCACCCGCGGTATTGGTGCTGCTGTGGCCATTGCCCTCGCCGAAGCTGGCGCCGATATCCTGCTTGTTCAAGTACGAATCGCCCTGCCAAATTTACTTGTCTCAAGTCGCATAGATTAGCTAACTCGTTCCTGGTGCAGAGAAACACAAACGTAACAGACACGCAAAAGACCATTGAATCACTAGGCAGAAAGGTGTCGGTATACACAGCGGACCTGTCTTCGCCAGAGGATGTGAGAAAGGTGGTGCCCGCAGTATTAGCCGACGGCCATAAGATCCGAATCTTGATCAACTGTGCCGGCATCCAGATCAGACATGCTTGTGAGGTGTTCCCCGACGATGATTTTAACAAGGTGAGCAAACTCCCATTCTCTCTTTTTCGTTCTTCCTGTGCCCTACACCACTGCGCAAAGAGAAATGGCGAAGGAGAAAAAGACTAACAGAGCGTTAATAGGTCCTGCAAGTGAATCTCAACTCTGTTTTCTCGCTCTGCCGTGACGTCGGCGCACATATGCTCACCCTGGAGCCCTCGCCCGTGACGGGCCGCCGCGGCAGCATCATCAACTTTGCCTCGCTGCTGACCTTTCAGGGCGGGCTCAACGTGCCGGCCTACGCGGCATCCAAGGGCGCTGTCGGCCAGCTTGCCAAGAGCATGGCCAACCAGTGGTCCGACAAGGGCATCACCGTCAACTGCATCGCCCCCGGCTACATTGCAACCGACATGAACGAGGCCCTGCTCAACGATCCCAAGCGCCTCGCCAGTATCAGCGAGCGCATCCCCGCCGGCCGGTGGGGAAGCCCCGACGATTTCAAGGGCAGTGTCATTTTCCTGGCAAGCAAATCTAGCGCCTACGTGACGGGACATACTCTTGTTGTTGACGGTGGCTGGATGGGACGGTAGAAAGAAAAATGTGGTTGTCTGGCTCAAGCTGGGAGTTGTGTGGACATTGCAATTGCGATATATTTGCGCCTAGAGTAATATTCAAGCTTTTGTATTAGAAAGGCAAAGCAAAATATAGTAGAAGGGGTATTCAGCCTTTTCCAGAGACTGTTGCAATCCAAGACTTTGACAATTTTAGACATTCAGGGTATGGTGCATGCCCGATCAACGAGCGTGTTTCTCTCCGACATAGCCAGTACCGCCTTGACAGGCTCTTGGGCGCACTCCAAAGGCTCCCTAATCTCGACCTTTTGACACTGCCGCAGCAGCCGTCAACCAAATTCGATCGGCTTAGGAAATATCCTTATCGTCCTGGTGTAGGCGGGTATATATAGGGCTGTTGACCAGATGCAAGAGTATCGCTAGCACTCAACCAAGACGTAGTCCTCGATTAGATCGGAAGGGTTGCGACTCTGGGCGTTGGAGGCGCCCTGTCGCGACAGTATGACTTTTCCTGAGCGCTTTCGTATCGCAACGCGGGGAGTATTATACCAGTTGCTTTGTTCGCGGATCCTAATCACATGTCAGTCACATCCCCCAGATTGGGTCTGGATAGTCGCGTAAAGCACAAGAACGTGCCGCGCCATTTTACAGCTCATAGCTGATGCAGTGATAATATCTTGACCAAAATATTCAAGACTTACTCTCGTTGAATCAATGCGATATTGGTCCGTATCAGTAGATTACGGGTTTGTTTGTCGGTTCGGGTACCCATAGCGGCGGTGATTAGCAGAGATAAGGTTGCCAAAAAAGCTGGGATTGTAGGTGCGACAGAATGCGATTTGGCGATGGCGATTTGAAAATCAGTTACCACGTTGGATTCACGTAAGCCGTACGTGCAGGGGATGGGTCTCTAAATATGCGACACACAGCACAAAAAGAGCAAGATTCAATAAGAGTTACCTTTCGCTGCCAGTCTGGCCCATGACTTCATGTTAGAGTTGCATGGTGTCCAAGTCGAAAGCATGTGAAAGTAGCAATGGTGGCTGGTAATCTGGCGCGGTTGCGGCCATGTATGTCTTGCAATGTGACGCCGGAAGTGTCCGCACCCAAGACATACTTTTCCTGGCTCGTGTGCTTCTAGCGAACCTGTCACCTGTCTGCACGGAAACGAGCGTTCTACAATCCCAAGGAAATTGAATTTCCATGTGGCCCTAAAAAAAAACTTGGTGATATATTGATATGTGCGAACTTGCTAGTGGAAGATTGTTCGCATCGCGAACCGTCTTTTAGCCTTCTAGATGTATTCTAGTGCTCTATGCTCTTTCGTTATTCATGACGTCGGGTTGGGACGCCGGGAAAACTGCTCCGCGAAGCCGTCGAGACCCCTATCAGATTGGTTGTCCAGGGTTCCTACCTACAGCTTCGATATCGTCGCACCTTGCCGCGCGAGATCAGCTGGAGTTCTTCTATCGCTGCGCTTGTCCGCGTGGATCAATCGCTACAAGCAGAAGAAAGAAAGAGAACCTCAGTGGGTCTTACTCTTTTCTTCGTAGTAGTGAGCCATCTGCAGGCCGGCTCTCCTAAAGCCACACTTGACGTAGAAGCCCTCGTTGGCCTCGCTGCAGTCGAGAATCGTCTTGTAGCAGCCGACCTTCTCGGCGATGAAGTCGAGCGCCTGGATCAAGCGCAGACCCAGCTTCTTGCCCTGCTGGTTCTTGGCCACTGCAATGTCTTCAATATGGCCGACCTTTGCGAGTGCATGGATACTGTAGAGAAGACGAATTGGTTAGCGCAAATGATCTCTAGAGACAGTAATCACTGCTTTCGAGTACACCCGCCAGTGTAGAGCCAACCTAAGCGGATACACAAGTAAAATGCGGTCGTATGGTATTTCCTTACAATTTCTGCTCAATAACGACGGCGCCAGTTCCCACGACCACAGGCTTGCCGCTGCTAGAGTCCTCAATGACTAGAATGTAGTACACATCGCTCTTCTTCTTTAGCGACTCATATTGCTGGTCGAATGCCTCCTTGCTGATGTCACCGACGGTCGTCAGCACCCTCAAGCAGTCGAGGAAACCGGCATCGTAATCGCTACGCTCGAGCGCTCGAATCTTGTAGCCATCGGGCAGGGCTGCGGCGACATCGGGGCAGATGAGATCTGAGGAGAAGAGACCCTGTTCCGCCATTGTGAATTGAGTTTGGTGTCAGGAGAATGCGTCTAGCTGGTGTCGAGGGAACAGTTCAGCGGGGAGAGGACGGGGCGCTTGGAAATGATCAGTCTATAAAGACGCCAACAAACAACAAAGGTTCTTTTCGAAATGCGTGCAACGAGAAGCGAGTGTGAAGAGAGACAAAGAGGACGGTGATGTCGCTTTCGAGAAATGTTTTCGTCTATGTTAATGTATTTTAGGCCCGTCTGCCCGTCCGTCCGTGTTTTTGGGCGACCTGTTTTCTGACGCTACACGGGTACTAGGCGCATTGCATTTACGAGATAAAAATACGACCCTGAACGGGGGCCAGCTTGCTGCTCGTCAGGCCCCTGGCTAGCGCTGGCTCAGCCTCATATAGGTGCTTTTCTGGAGCGCCCTACGGTGAGCACCAGGCGCTAGAAAACTGGCCCAGAATCTTGGTTTGGAATCCTAGCTGATGGCAGCTGATGCTCTTATGATACAAACAAGGGCATCGTGCAAAGCCACTGATGAGATCCATCAAGGACTTGTATAACTGTCGTGCCCTGTAAATCAACAAGAAGTCTGCAGATGTTAACCGTTTTATTCGTGGCATATTGACACCACCAGCGACCTCGACCTGTTATAGGACGTTTAGGTTATAAAGCTCCTGTTGAACAAAGCACAATCGATGGACACACCGCATTTTCAGTCCTTGGAACCGCAGGTACCTATTGTAGTAGCCCATGCATAGCGAGTGCTCTACTTTGGGGGGGAGATGTTGAGACTGATGCCCGCCTAGCGTGAGCTCGCCATGAAGACCCTAGGCTCGTAGTCGATTTTCAAGTAGCTGAAGCCAATACGAAGCCAAATTTTGTCTTCGTTGGGAAGAATTAGTGGACCAGTATAGAGCAATAAGCAAGAATGATTGAGATACTATATGTCTTGTACCGGTAAGGCTGTTGAACAGAAATCACGAACTGTCAGGGGCCGCTACATTGCCTATCAGCCGAGAAGATGGCCCATTTTTCCAGGGGCAGTCACCGATAAATGCGACAAGGTGTCCGCTGTGCCCCGCCGTCTTCACATGCAATTCAAATGACGTTGAGAGCCAACCATCTTCTCTCATACACCCGCTTTTGCCACACCATAGCCAAGCTGTATTGGATGTTACCAGTCGCGTGAACCCCAGGGCGCGACCGAGTAATGGCCTTGTTGGACATCTTGCCATCATGACTTGGTTGAGTCGCACATTGCCGCCAGACGATCGCTTCAACCTTGACTGAGAAACTCTTATTGGCGATGGACCTTGGCGACGACGATTTCGATATCGATGCCATGGAGGTTGACATGGCAGAAAACGCCTGGAACCGACAGGATGACACCGAACCACCCCGGGACGCCACGGCGTCGACGGGTCGAACTCTCCTTCCGAAGCCGATAGCAAGTATGGTCAGCTTGGCGACGCGCTCGACGTCCTTTGCCCTCCGCTTGGGCACCGTGATCGGCGGTTATGGCCTCGGGGCCGCAAAGTTCACGACCCTTTCCAGCCTTGAGCTTGGCCGCGGCATGCTCGAGGGGATTCTGAGCAGAGCAGGAAAAGATGCTTTGACAAGGTCAAACTCGGACTTGGGTAAAGAGAGTGCCGAGACGATCTTGGAAAAGAGCCTGGAAAGCCTTCATCACACAATGATGCATATGATCTTCTGGACAACGGCCGGATATCACATCACCGAGACCACAGTCTCCTCTGCGTCACAGATATCTCAGCTGTTGCTCTCCACTCTGGATCAATTCTTTGGTTCCACCGACTCTTCCAGAGCGATCGCCTCTATTATTACATTGGTCCGCCACGAGTTCCGCAACCCAGCTACTGGTGTAAACGGCGAAAGAGTTGGAGTCGTGGATCTCATCCTCGGCTTATGTGGGCTAGCATATTTGCAAAATTCTGTAAGCAGATTTCAGTATCATTGGTCTTGAACTAAAGTAGCCAAGAAAACATGACATGTTACACACCATGTTCTGATTCGGCAAACTACCAAGGCAAATAAGATATTCATGGCCTTCTCTGAGAACTTAGAAAGTATTCGCTAATTTCATTGCTCTAGTGCAGTAGAATCATTAGAGAGGAGTCGCAACGACTTGGTCACGAGGAAGTCATTTGGGATGTTGTCGTCCTCAATAATGGCACTCGTGCCGATGTGCACCAAGATGGGCTGAATGGCGCCAGACGTGACCTTCATCCGACTGAGGGCAGTAATGGACAACTTCTAGAGGCACTGGAGAAGCGGGGTGCCTATGACAGCAGCTCGGACGAAGATCTAGCTGAAGTACAACTCAGAAAACAAATCACGGAGACACTACCAAAGGATGCAAGAGTGTCAATATCAACGTCAACTACAACAACGAAAATCATCACGGTAGAAGTGCAAGGCGGTGGCCAATTCCCACTATTGGCTCCACCCGGCGCTGATCTGATTGAACGTGAGATTACTACTCCCGACAGCCATCTACTTCAATCAGAAGAACAGTCGCCGGCATACCGACTTGTATACCGCATCAGCCGAGAAAGGCAACGCAACTCCATTGTACAACCTACAGAAGTCGATGAGTCACGGCCATTTATCGAGCTGAATGAAGGAGGCGACAGCGAAGCCGGATATGACTCTGACCATGCTGAGAAGCCCCCGCCAGTCCCTCCAAAATCCCCCAAGACAGTCCCAAAATCTATACAGACACGACACCAGCGATCATCATCATCCACTAGCACTTCATCTTTAAAGAGTCCCCAATCCCCCAAAGACCGAACTTCGCAAATTCCCGTACCAAAGCGCTCGCCTGAGAATGCTGCGAACCAGAAGAAAACTCGACAACCCCTAACTTCCTCTAAACAGGACAGTCATGCAGCTATCGGCGTCAAGACTCAACCAGGAAATCAGTCATCAGGAAATGCACCAGCCTCGCTTGAGAAAAAGACCAGTTTCAAGAATGTTCTCAAGAAAAGCGCCGTCACAGGACTGGCTGGTCGTTGGGGCAAGGATTCGGGAAGTGAAGAATCATCGAATAAATCCAAACCAAATGCCCGAACTGCAACGAAAGGCAGTAAACCCGCTGAGGTACGGTCACAGGGTGGAAAGATACATTCGTCCACACCGGAACGATCAATTGGCTCTAGACGTGATGTGCCTCGACAGCCGCAACGAGGCAATCCAAACTTTTTTTCCTCCCGAGATTTGGGTGTAATAGGGGCGGACGCTGATTTTCACAAAAGCCAGTCGAGAAATGATGTGAGCAGCCGACAGCATCGGCGCCGAAATTCCATTATATCCCAAACAGATACGATCTCAGTTCATTCTATTGAAAGTCGTCCAGGCTCACCATCGCTTTTTCGATCTGGTTACATGTCTAAATCAAAACCAGGGGATGATTTTCTCGAGCCAACAGCAAATTCCCCACAAAGACATAAAAGAGCGAGGTCCCAGCTTGGACTGTACTCACCAAGCATTTACACTTTACCCGCCAACACTTCTCAAACATCTCTTGTTCTATCGTCGTACCACCAGAAAAGTGCGTATAGTGATTCTGAAGCAGTTGATACGCTACGGAAAACTGGTATGGTTGATGGAATGTTTCCAGAATTCCACATTCTGAGGAACATTACTCGTTACAGTCGATATGCTTCGGCAGCTTATGGCTCACATTTCCTCAACCTTATGGGCATTGCAAAAGATCAGCAAGGGCGCACAGCGCGAGATGAAACTCACCACGATATCCGTTCTTTCGCACAGCATACACAACTTCCGCCGAATAGTGTTTTGTTGTCGTCATTTGTAGACCCTCAAGGAGGATCTGACTCGAGCGGCTCAACCGAAACCGGCGTGCCCTTGGTTCACACTATTGCTGTCGATAGAGAATCCAAAGCCATAGTATTGGCGTGCCGTGGAACTTTGGGGTTTGAAGATGTTCTCTCCGACATGATGTGCGAATATGACGATCTCTCATGGCATGGAAGGGCTTATAAGGTACATAAAGGCATACACGCCTCGGCGCGAAGACTCTTGTACGGAGGGGATGGACGGGTGCTGTTCACTCTCAAAGAAGCACTTGAAGAATTCCCCGATTTTGGTCTGGTTCTCTGTGGCCACTCTCTTGGCGGAGCTGTAGCGGCCTTGCTCGGTGCCATGCTCGCAGAGCCGGCCACCACCGGCACCGCTTTTGTCACTTCTGCACAGAAGCACAGACGACTTCTCGCCGGCGATGTTGTGGCTAGTGATGTCCACATACCAGTTAATCTCCCCGCTGGAAGACCGATTCATGTGTTTGCGTACGGGCCACCTGCAACAATGTCTCCTGCACTGCGGCTGGCTACACGGGGGTTGATCACGAGTGTTGTCCACGGCAATGACCTTGTGCCCTATCTCTCTTTGGGCGTACTACACGATCTGCAGGCACTTGCCTTGGCGTTCAAGACGGACAACAATGAGGCCAAAGCCGAAGTCCGACGGCGAATTTGGCAGAGTTTCCAGACCGGGCTCTCTGACAAGTGGTATAATAATGCCCCAAAGCTGTCTACTGACGATGATGCGCAGTGGTCATATGCAGCATTAAAGACTCTCAGAGCGAGCATGATGAGCAACAAACTACTTCCGCCCGGAGAAGTCTTTGCAGTAGAGAGCTCACCTGCGCTACGGAGAGATGCCTTTGTCCATACTGGCGGAGAGTTTATTGGTCGGACAGCGACGCGTATTGTACTCAAGTATATCAGGGATGTCGAAACTCAATTTAGGGAGATCAAGTTTGGCGCCAGCATGTTGACTGATCATAGTCCTGGTCGCTACGAAGATGCACTTAGGCGGCTGGCTCTAGGTGTGATGTAATGCTAGTGTTCAAATGTCCAGCAAATCTAATCTTGAGATATGATGGTCAGAGACACTCCAAAGCGATATATATGGACGAAGTTGTGTTCCAAGATGATGCAAATCTCGGGAGCAACACCGCATAGTATGGAAGCAATATCAATTATCTCTACTCTGGCTTCTCTGTTGTAATTTTGCCCTCTTGATTGTAGAAGATTTCCTTGACCTTGACGCTTCGCAAATGGTCTACTCCCTTGCTGAGCTCACAATCATGATGAAACAACCACCATCGTCCCTGAAACTCGACAATCGAGTGATGTGTAGTCCAGCCCAGAACAGGCTCCAGGATGCGTCCCGCATACGTGAACGGTCCCAGCGGACTCTTGGATGTGGCGTAGACAATGTAATGCGTGTCGCCGGTCGAGTAGCTAAAGTAGTAGGTATCGTCCTTCTTGTGCATCCAGGCTGCCTCAAAGAAGCGCCGATCGTGGTCATCGGCGGCAATCGGCTCCCCCGTCTCGGGCGCGAGGATGACCAGGTCCCGCACCTCGTCGTCGACGAGGCTGCGCATGTCGGCGCTCAGCCGCGCCACCTTGGGAAACAGGGCCTTCTTGTCCGCGCCCGACGGCTCCTGGGGCCCGAGCCACGCGGTGTCAAACTTGTCGTGTCCGCCCTGGTAACACTGCAGCTGGCCGCCCCAGAGCCCGCCAAAGTACAAGTACGCGGCGCCGTCTGTGTCGTCAACAAAGGACGCCGGGTCAATGCTAAAAGTGCCGCGAATAGGCTCCGGGTCGGGCACAAAGGGACCTTCGGGCCGCTCGCCGACGGCGACGCCGATGCGAAAGACGCCGGCCTTGTCCCGGGCCGGGAAGTAGAGGTAGGACTTGCCGTCCTTTTCGGCGGCGTCGGGGGCCCAGAGCTGCTTGCCGACCCAGGGCACGTCCTCGGTGCGCAGCACCACGCCGTGGTCCACCACGTCCGCGTACGGCGGCTCCAGCGTCGACGTCGAGTAGACGTGGTAGTCGGCCATGTCGTACTGGTCCCCGTTGTCGTTGAAGGCAATGTCCGTCTCCCGGTCGTGCGACGGGTATATGTACACGCGCCCGTTGAAGACATGGGCGGACGGATCCGCAGTGTATAGGTTGGTTATCAGTGGTGGTGTCATTTTGTAGTTTGTTTGTAGTAATCGTCGTCAGTGATCAAGGTGTTTTGGGGTGGCACGTATAAATGCTGCTACTATGGTAATAATAATGGTGTTGCGGGGTCTTGAGTGGTGGTGGTGGTATAGGAGGTCTCAGAAGACTGTCTACAAATGGTGTCCAAGTGAGACAGATTTGCAATCAGACTTTTCAAAGTGTTTGATTAATTTTCCCAACCATGTCTATTCTCACAGCCATTTGCGTAATGTGCACTTATATACAGTACGCCTCGGTTCATGGAGTATCTAGCACCGGAGTAATGGACCACGGGCGTCCCAATTTATCCCAATTTACCCGGTTTACCCAGCAGGCGATCATGGTGCCAGATCCGCCCGCTTGCAGACTGACCATGTATTGGCGGTTTGAAAGCCCCTGCGTCTACCCGCGAGCCGCATTGTGATAGTCTAGAAGCGCTCAGTTATGAGTGGAGGGGCATAAGATCCTAAAATGAGCGGTTTTGGTAAAATTCTAGGATCATCGGGGTGCTATAGTACTGATGCAGCACTATGTGGAGTCGTCATGTGCTTCAACTCAAGGTATACTGGCATCACCACAAAGAAGTCAGGTCTGAGTCTGATGTGAGTATTAGAATGGCAAAATCAGAATGGATCGAGTATACATGTATCATGTGCAAAAATAAATCCTACATGAATTCCTGTTCCTTTGGATATGATTCTGCTCCGACAGTGAAAAAGGACGCAGTGGGATAAAATCCCCCATTCACTTCATCACACTATTGCCAATCGCATCAATTGACACAGGTTTTCACTCCATGCTTTCCAGTTGCCTCACTTTCACATTGCTGCAACAGCACCTATGAATCCGGCCATAGCTGCAGCTGCAACGACAAAACCAGTCTCACGTGGCGCCTGCGCCTGAGAAACCGAGCTGCTTGACGAGCTCTCCGTCGCAGTCTCGGTAGCCGAGGCGCTCCCAGAAGACGTCGTGTCGCTCTCCGTAGTCGCAGATGCAGTAGGCTCCGTAATGGAGAGAGTCGAGTCGCTAATGACCGTGTCCGTCTCAATGGAAAAGGTCTCCGTGTCGGTCTGGATGGACAGGGCGTCGGAGCCAGACGACGACAGGTCGCCGGGGGACGTGATGCTGGCCGGGAGCTGGGCGCCGCCCGTCACCTGGCTGCAGGCTCCGTACGCCTCGACCGTCTGCACCAGGGGGCTGGCGGACGGGCAGCCCGACACTATGCTCGCGACCTGCGACGAGTGCTCGTCGTACCAGCTGTAGACCTCGGGCAGGAACGAGGTGAACTTTGGCCCGTCTGAGCCGGTGATGGAGAACTGACACACGTCTGAAAGAGCGAGCGTGGTCTGGCTCAGGGCCTGAGAAAAGAGGTCATTGTTGAGGAGGCCCGAGGGTATGGTGGGCAGCTCCGCGGCCAGCGGGAGAGCTTGGGGGATGCAGGCCGTCAGGCCCAGGTCGTTGGCAAAGTCCAGAAGCTGGGACAGAGTGCTGTCCGTCTGCCGCGGTGCAATGTCTCGAACTGCGTCGGCGGGCCTCGGAGGCAGATGCGCAGCTGCGGCGGAGGCAACACCGAAAAGAACTACATGTGTATTCCGCCAAAACATATTGACCATGTCACTCGTTGCACGTCTAGTTGAATGAAAATACCAATGTGAATAGGTGCCGTGTAGTGAGTTGGTTGGTATTTTTTTGTGCTTCCTTTACACTTAGCCAGCGAGTGATGATACTGTTGTAGTTGATTGTTGCCAAGTCATACCCAATTCTCCCTCTGCCATTATCAATTGAGCGGGTCTGTGATCAATAAATACGCTCGAGCTCATTGTGAGCCCCCAATGCAGATCTTTGCTCTGGCTTCCTGTTCTGGCAGTGTGACGTTGGAGTCTTTGCTGTCGTTCTTGGCTGTGCTGCGGGGGTGCATTCGGTCCCTCTCGAGGTCGATTGGCCACCAAATGAGCAAGCCGAGATCCAATCGGCTCGCATTCGAGCCAGAATCATGGCAGCCTCGGTACGTCACTCGAACTCTCAGGTCCCTCGCCAGGCGGGGAGGGCCTGATTCAGCAATACGGAAATATATCGATTGGAGTTATAGTTACTATTCAAGGTGTATTTTTCCAGTGGGGAATAGGACGTGATGTTTGTTACTGACAGACGGCATTTTGACAAACCTGTCACATCTACGGTGCCCAAAACTCATTCGTTCCATCTATTCTTCATCAATTCTCAAAAATGTCGCTCACCTGTAATAAATTGTCAATTTTTACGAGAAAGTGATTGTGAGGTCAACGTCGCACAAGCACATCTTCCGTAATCATGCAGAATTGTCTATACTTGGGCTAGATCAGGTGCAAGTCCCTGTGAACCTCAGCAAGGCTTGGCATTGCAATGTGTCCCTAAAACATTCACTGCTGAAACTTGTGTAACTCTAAGAGCCTTGCTAATTAGCGCGGTCAGTGTCCATAAAAGACCGAGAACGGACATGAAACGCTGCGAACATAGAGAAGACTTCGGTGAGAAATCACGAGTCTCTTTGGTAAATGCTCCAAGTCATCAAGACTATATGCAGTCTATTGATTGAACCTTGAGCATTGTACCAAGGTATAATCAGTCTCTAGTGTACAGAAGGTGCTCGGACTCTGGAAGAAATATGGAACAAGCCGATGGGGAGAAAAACACATTGTTTTGTACCGTTGCAGTTATGTGCCTGCAATATACATTGAGACGTCAATACTTTGTCGCCACCGCCAACACCCTTACTTGACTCGAACATGACCCTTCACAGGATCTGGTCATTCTGAGTTTTGACTTGGAATTTGCTTCTAGACAAGCTGCACTCGAGATGTACTCAGGTCAAGTTCCTTTTGAGAGAAAAAGGTTTCCGGCGCGTCAAAGCGTATGTCATGTCGGTGAAAGCTCTATCGTGGGAAAATCATGCAACATGATGAGGCCACTCTCCTAACACCAGTGATTCTGAAATAAGAGGTACATTATAGTTATGAAAACAAGTATATAAGCCCGGATAACCACTGCGAATATATTAGTAAGAGAAAGGACCCCGACTTACAATCGCCGTCTGCACATTCTCCCCGTCTCATAAAGACATGAGTCATAAGTCATAGACTGAAATATATACTATCCCAGAGCCAAAAACCGCTTTCGCGACCACTGTCCGCTTGACAGGTCGCCGTAAAACATTTCGTATAGATGAGCTAGACCCCTCGGGAGGGGTTCCAGCAGTAACGTAGACTTTTCTCCTGTGGAGCAAGCTTCATGCAGACGAGCTCCCCGATGAGGTCCAGTGCCCTCTTCGCGAAGAGCGTCTGTGATTCCTCCGCGTCCTCGGCGGCGGCGGCGGCGATTGATAGCGCGGATCGACGGCTACATATTCGGGGTGGAGCGGGGGCCGGACACGATGATACTGTGTCCAGGCGGCGACTTCTGGCTGCGTGACATCGGATATGTAAGAGAATGACCAGTTGTCGAATCCAGTGGTTCCAACTACAGGGACTGGAGGTTTTTCCTTTTCGCGCAGCTTCCTTCGGCGTGCCAAGTCTAGACAGAACCAAGCCAAGAACAGGAGCACGGCCACGCCGACACAGCACCCTACGATGATGCCAATCTGCTGCTGGGTCAAACCGCCAGATGATGCAGGCGACGAGCTGTTTTCTGAGGGCGGTGCAGCCGTGGCCTGTGGTTGTGAGGCTTCACCTGGGGCTTCTGTCGCTGTCGAGCCGTCGCCGTGACCCAGAGTCACGATGGTTGTGTATACCGAGTCGCCGCTGGTGATGGTTTGAGTGATCAGGACCTGTCGCTCGGCGAGATATGGTTGGGCCGTAGCAACGGCGGCAGCGGTTGCGGCCCGACGGGGTACGGGCGGCAGGGTTGGAGCGATCATTGCCAGTGCAAGTCAACGGTCTTTTTCGGGCCCATGCTGATGTAGTCGGACAGGATAAAGAAAGATCACATATCAGCAGGGCGATCTCCCAGCGTTTCTATTCATATATTCTGTCCGATTTGTGTTTCTGTTCCCTGTCGACCCCCCGCTTCTGCGTGCCGCGAAGGAGAAAAACAAAAGACAGTTCATCCCAGTGTGGTATAGCAATCTGGCATCCCGGCCATCGCGACGAGGACCACACCATCCCGCCTGCACAAATGTTTCGGAGCAGTCAATCAGATGACGAGCAGATACGGGCCGCTGACCCCCCTTGGGACTGATTGGGGTTGCCAAAAGGTCGGCAGCAGACCGATGTAGGCATGCATCCAAGACTCGCATCAGACCTACATATTTGGACTTCGTTGACACCTGACGGGTGATACGACATGGGTCGCTAATGCAGGAAATTGTTGTTGACTGCGCCATGCGTCCGGAATGGAACTCTAGACCTCACTCTGCTGAAGAGACTAGTGACAGGGCTGCTTTGGGGTGTACTATAGCATGGTGAAGTTGGGGGCCAAAATGTCGAAATGGGTGCAAATTTTCCAAGTAATGCCGCCACATTTTTCGCTTTTTTTTGGCCAAAAGTCCTCATGTTGTGTCGCCAACGGCGGAGCATGACCGACGAGTCAAGTGACATACTTTTTATTTGTTATCAAAAGTGATAATGCCGTCGAGCAGAAACAGGATTTGCGCAGATTAGTCATGCATGTAAGTATATGCAGTCTGGGCTGTATAGTCAGTCGGCTGCAGCCGATCGCATTAATGAGTGATCGAGGTATAGCCCAGCCAGTTAGGCTAGGCAGGTAGCTGCAGAATTCGGCAATGTCAACCCAATGCTGACTACCTACCTGTAAAATCATTAGAATGCGTATTTGAAAGCAGCATAGCCGCCGGATCCGAGGTGCCAGTTTACGACTCTAATCAGGCTGCGTTTCCTACTTTTTATGGTCGCACAACATTGTCGGGGTAATCGACTGCCCGGATCTTGCATTGTCAAGATGTCATTATTACCTCGATCTGACTAAGAGCGGCTGGAAATTCGAGTGTGCTCAAGAGTTCGCCTCGTACACTGAGCTCGCAAATGTAGATATATGTTGAAGCAGGCTGTATTCTTGGTATTACACAGCATTGCCTCGTCTCGAAGCCAAAGGCGGTCAGGACGGAATTGTCGGATGAATGAAACTGGCATCAAAAACGACCAATCCCAAGGGAATCGAATATGTGGCATTCCAACTTGAACTTTACCGAGTCTCGATACAAGCCAAGCCAGAGTCTGATAGTATCCTTGGCTGGGCTCAGTATGACTCGCAGTCCAATAAATCTTTCCGAATATATTCGCCGCAGCAGTCGTGACACCAGGCTGCTTACTGTCGCCGAGAAATATATGCTTGGATATCAAGAGGTTGTCTGTCCTTGAAACCCTAGAAGAGAAGGAGCACGCTCAAGTAGAAGCGTATTTGCCTGCTTGCTTCGAAATTCGACTTGGATGGACTTACGGCTTCTGTCATAGTAAATCAATCAAGTGCGGCATTTTGATAAAGAGTTCTCGACTCTCCCATAGCAAGTCGACCCAAGAGCAAGGATACTAACAAGAAACGTGTTGTCCGTGCCTTCCTGGGATTCAGTCGGCAGGACCACGGGTGGAGAGAAACTATCTGTTCAGTCTCTCGATAGTCCTAGTCTTGGCTTTGGGGGCGGTCCGTGATGTAGATGTAGATCTGCCATTGGAAGCTTGGACAGTACGGAGCAGCGGTGGATGGTGTATAGACAGAGATGTTGGCTAGACAAGTCTATTGCCAGGTGATCACAGGTTAGGTAGGTAGTGGTGTGCGTCCTTTTGCCATAGACTAGCACATGATCATTTACACATGTACCCAAACGAACTGGTGGGTGTGCGAGATTGCGATTGCAATCATAATAGACGTATCCGCCTCTCCGTTATGCTTTTTATGCTTGAATCAGTGTACGCAGTGGTTATTTGCCTCTCACTGAGATATGGCTGACTTGCAATAACAGATAAATGACCAGCAAGTACGGAATATGGGCACGTATGACGAATCCAAACGAAACAATTTTTTGATATGATGTTTCAAACATTTTTCAGCCGACGAGTGTTGGTGGCTATGAATAGTCCTGATACAAGCCAGGGGGGGATGACGTTTCTCTTAATATGTAATAGTAGGCTCGAGGCAAAAGGAGCCTCCTGTCCTGTCAAGAGGTGCGGGTGCGGCTCTTTCCAGACGTTTCTGCCCTTGCTAAACAAAGCCAAAAAGAAACATAGCGGGATCGGTCGGTTACCCGGGACTTGGCCGCGGACTTTCCCCAGGATCACGATGATATAAAGTTAAAAGGAGAGATTCGTAGACAGTGGACAAGGTGAACAAGGGAGGCGTTGAGGTTGAAGACAAAAAGATGGAGAAGAGCTGACGACTCTCAGACTCCACTCACTGAGTGGCAGGGAGCAGTATTTGGTAGTCCGTCTGATCTTTGGCTAGTTGCGATTGGCAGATTTGGCATAGCATTGGAAATGAAGGGACAACGATTGGGCATTGCATGCAAGGCTGAGTCGTCAGGATCTCCGCCGGTCCCTCAGAGTCTAGGGAATGTGACGACAAGTGCAAAAAAGAGAAGAGAAAGAAACCAGAAAGAGACTGAAGCTTTGGTCTGTAGGTACGGGTGAGGCGCCGCCCACATTCGGGAGCTTACGACGCCTGGGGGGACAGCTTAGCCTCATTCAGACGAGCCGGTGGATCCCTTAAGGCTACCTATGAACATGGCTGTGAAGTTCATGCAACCGCCCTGATTGGTGCCCATTAGGGGCTCTGCTCAGGTACCTTAATTTTTTTACAGTGCTTTTACTAGTGTACCTTTTGGGAACTCCATTTCTTTTTGTCAATTCATGACCCACATCGGCGCACGGCATTTGTGCCTTTTCTCAGATCGAAGTTCAATTTGACGTCCTTCATCTACCAATAACCTGCTAGAGTCTCACCAGCCTCCTTGGCAGTTCTCTCTAGCTGGTGCCCTTCGCTGTCATTGTCCATGTCCCCAGTCAACTTGTTTGTGCATAGATCCAGAAGCTGACGAATGTTTCGAACACGGAAACAAGGTTGAGCCACGCCAATGTGGGTTCCGACACCTCGACTCAGAGAAGAGTCCCGAGGTCTAGACGAAAGAGAGGAGCGTCATTTCCAATCCATACTACACGGCCCTCTCCCATTGCCGGCACTATCCAGAAAAGAAGCTTGTCTCTGTTGCATGACTGACGGCGGTCCCCCGGGATCCACCCTTGGCCACTGGAGTCAGTCGTCTGCGCCGTTCTGATTGTGAGAGTCGTCCTTCATCTGCCACCATGTTGGTGTACGCGTAAACATGACCATCACCTGCCAATGGACCCTTTTGTGGCCCTGGAATGCCAAGAGACCGTAGGTAGAGACAGCCCCGTATGTATGCATTTGTTGCGAGTAGTAATACTAAATACCATGGACGGGGTGACGACGACAATGACATGAATTCTTGAATATAAATCATTGACATCTTCCTCTCGAAACAACGAAATATACTCTCTCCATCATCATCTCATCAGTCCAACAGTCTTTTTCGATACCCGGCAGTGCCTCGACTTTCTTTTCAATTTTCAGTTTAAACACATTCTCTTCTTCAACAAAAAAGTCGTCTCTCGAATTCTTTCGTGCTCGCAAATATGCGTTTCGCCCAGACTGTCGCCTCGGGCTTGGCCCTGCTGTCCTCCGGTGTCATTGCCCACCCCGGCCATGACCTGACCCAAGAGATCGCCGAGCGCCGTGCGTTCCTCGGCTCCGTCAAGCGTGCCGATCTGAGCCACTGCGCTTCCAAGCTCAAGGCCCGCGGCCTCACCCAGCGCAACGTTGAGCGCCGTACTGCCGCCCTCAACCGTGCCCGTGCCAAGCGTGGCCTCAAGAAGCGTGACTTTGACACCATCTTGGCCACTTCCCACAACGCTACCAGCCAGGGCTACACCTTGAACACCGATGCCGCTACCCTCTTCGCTGGTAACGCCTCGTGTGTCCTTACTCCCGAGGTTACCCAGGGTCCTTACTGTAAGTCAAATATACAAACACTTGTAATGACAAAGATCTCTGAGCTAATATAAAATTCTAGACGTCGGTGGCGAGTACATCAGACGTGATCTCCGCGAGGACCAGGAGGGTGTCGACACCGTCATTGACTACCAGGTCATTGACGTTGACACCTGCGAGCCCGTCCCCAACGTCTACCTGGAGATGTGGCACTGCAACTCCACCGGTGTCTACTCTGGTATCGTTGCCTCGGGTAACGGTGATTCCTCGGACGAGACCAACATTGACAAGACCTGGCTCCGTGGTATCCAGAAGACCGACACCGACGGTGTCGCTCAGTTCGAGACCATCTTCCCCGGCCACTACACCTCCCGCGCCACCCACATCCACTTGATGGTCCACCAGAACGCCACCCAGTACTGCAACGGTACCCTGGGCAACGACGTCGTCGCCAGCCACGTCGGCCAGGCCTTCTTCGACCAGGACCTCATCTCTGCCGTCGAGCTGACCGCTCCCTACAGCACCAACACCCAGGAGCTGACTACCAACGCCGATGACTCCATTGCTTCCGAGGAGGCCGCTACCGAGGGCGTTGACCCCTTCCACGAGTACACCCTGCTCGGTGACAGTGTCAGCGACGGTGTCTTTGCCTGGTTGGCCTTTGGCATCAACACCACCGAGTCCCAGTCCGTCACCCCTGCTGCCTTCTACTACGAGAGCGGTGGTGTCGAGAATGAGAGCAGCGGTTCCGGCATGGGCGGTGGCAGCGGTGGCTCTCCCCCCGATGCCAGCGGTACCGGTAGCGCCCCTGCCGCTACCAGCACTGCTTAAAATGGTGTTTGTTTGAGTGAGCGAGCGAAAATAGTGCTGTTGCGTTTTTCCTCTTTTTGTAAATAGATTTCTCCACGTATAAAAACTGGACTGCAATGTTTTGAGTTTTTCTCATTGCTTGGAGTCTCATCAATAGATCGTCATTTAGAACGACCTCATAAATACTCTTGCCCCATCTTATGAGTGAATGTGAATAAATATGAGCCTTCTCTCAGGTATAAAATAAAGTAATCATGGTCTCCCAAGATCAGACGATTCCAAATGTTCAAATGTCTACATAGCGATGAGATTGAATCTTGAAAGGTGGGGAACGCCTTTCCCAAAGCACCTAGGCAGCGAGGAATTACTCATTGATGAAAGTGTCGACGTTATATCCGATGCCCTCCTAAATCAAAAGAAGTATGTATGGATTTCTTTCTGAGGAAACATGTAGCCTGGATGACTTGAAAGACAAATTCATCATGATACCGAGAAAACGCCCACCGAGCAAAACAAGTCAAGGTTCAAAAGTAAATACAATGTTTCATTTCACAAAACAAGTAACAATGATTATTTTGATTTTTTATTCAAGTATCAAAGACCCGATGCCTTGCTTGTAAAACATGGGTAAGCATATTTTGAGTGTATTTCCGCCTTCCCCTAAGTGGCACTGTCAAACCATTTCCAGCCGTGTCGCCTTCTCCAAGCTCCTCCGAGTTTGTACACGCCAAAGTTACATTGTCTCTGACCTCTTAGTGTGGTCATGAAGCTACCCTGTCCGTAATTTACGAACGCGGGGGAGGAGGAGGTGGTCTATTGGCATTGTTGTTGTTGTTGTTGTTGCCTCCAGTGGCTGGGCGAGCAGGTGGAGGACGGTTCTGGCGATCTTGGAGATCACGAATATCCAGTTCCTCGTCGTCGACGGATCGACGGTTTTGTGGAGGCGGCGGCGGTCTGTCGCCGTTGCCGTTACCCCCAGTGGCGGGGCGAGCTGGCGGCGGGCGGTTCTGCTGCTGAGGTGCACGGGCGACCATCTCTATTATATGATCCCGTCTGTTCGAGGGCGGTGGAGGAGGCGGAGCCTGGGCTTGCTGGGTCTGCGCGGGCGGCGGCGGAGCAGGGTCTGCCGCATTAACATTTCCATTATTGTTACCACCGCGTTGCGCTACCGGAGTCGCAGTCACGACGGTGGCCACTAGGGTCGTAAAGACAATGGAAAATCTCATTTTGGATTTGGTTTTTGATAAATGGAATAGGTGGATACTATCATCAAGTAGATCTTCGAGATCAAGATAAAATAATAAGTTATAAGCAGGCCGGCCGCTGATAGGTAAGTAAGAAGAGAAGCGAAGAGAAGGAAATGACTGAAGTGTTGATGCTGATAATTACCAATGCCATGTCTGTCGCGGACCATGAATTATATACGTCGTGGAGGTTGAATGGTCTTTTTGCCTCCATCACCAAAGTGAGCGTGAGCAAGTTTCCCCTCCACTAAACTCCGTGTTACAACATGATACTGTACTCGTCATTGTGGCAGACCCAGGCTCTCCAAAAATTCAAGCTTAACATTTGAGCCAGAAAAGAAAAAAAAGCTTGACTTGAGGCAGATGGAGACGTAATGAAACCTGCCTCGAGCTTGTCTATGCTCTCACGAACGTTGGCACTGCCTAGCGTGATCACCTCAAGGTCGGCGTCACCGCCAGTTCCAACTTTCTTCGCAATGAAGCTTGGATGAACCAGAACTAATCTTCTGTCTGCCTTTGCAAAGCAATTCTTATCGTGAGCCGCCATATAATCTGAAAACCTTACAGTCGGATCGCGTATCTGCCCCGATCTGCAATACTAAGCTGTTCACGGCAATATTTCCTGCACGTCCGATCTCTGCTATAGACTAGGCGGCATGCGCAAAGATCGAATGTTGCAATGCTCACTACGATTTTGGAGTCGGCCATGCGAGATGTGCCGACCTTGTGTGTTTCATGTAGTCCAAGAATGTCACCGAGGCCCACAAGTTCTTCTAGAAGATCTATTGTTGGTGCTCTCGTGGCCCAGAGGGTCAGGGGTCAATGAAGCACCGCTCGGACATTTGACGCGTCTACCCGTCTCAAGGGTCCAAAACACCAAAAGATGCCTGGGGGAATTCGGCATTCCATTTTCTCCCCCAAGGTCATGAGCATGCATTGAGTGCAAAGTGTATGGGAGATCCCAAATGGACAAAAGATTACGAATTACGAGATTGTTATTGGGATAACTATAGCAAGTATTCTAGCATGATCTTCAATTATTGATTTCTCTTCTATTATTAGCCATTTACTTACCTTTTTTACAGAGACGATTACAGCATCACCGTATCGCATCACTCGGCCATCCGATATTTACCAGCCAGCTCCGCCTAGCATGAATGTCGGTACAGCCGAGCAAGTTACACCTCAGCCTCAACTGACGAGTTTTCTTTGAAACTGGTGTCAGTCATGTCTTTGAGCGGACCAATTTGATCAATTTGCACTTCTATATGCCGGTTTAGAAGTATTCATGTTGTCAACCTACCTAACCCTCATCTTCGAGAAGTCTTTCGCTGGCACCCATCACAAAAATTGGCACCCGCTTTTCCGAGAGCAATACTACCACAACCATTCATACACTCGCTCCAGTACTTGCACTCGCCGCAGCGTAGATGTTGGCACGTCTTGCATCGCCACGTGACCTGATTAGAATCGTCGCTGCACTGATGGCACTGGAAGGGTCTGGTCAAGCATGTTGACGAGCACGGCGACTCCAGGTCGGCCAAGACCTTTTTAGTCTCAATCGTCCTACATGGCACAAAGTTCTTGGTCAGCTTGATCACCGAAGCAGTCTTGGCCTTGCCACAATATGTCCACTTGACGGTATCGTGCCCGCACGGATACGGTCCGCTGATGGTTTGCCGACACATTGTGATGGCCCAGAGAATGCGCTCCTCGGTTAGTAGTGGCTGGTGTTGCTTGCACTGGCGAAAAGCTGTCGGATGAAGGTCAGTAAGTAGGTTTCCTGGTCTGAATCAAAGCTTTTGAATGTTCACCCCGGTCCAACCATTTTATAAGTCTCGGGAAGGTCCTAGAAGATTGCAGAATAAAGCAACGCCTGTCATTCTGTTTTGACAATACCCTTCAAAGATTTCTTTGTCACGACCCATTATGCAAAAGAACAATATCACTGTCTCGGATGATCCAAACTCATTTTTACAAGGTAAGTAATGAAATAAGGCGGTTACTAGTCATAAATATTCATTCTCATTGTAAGACATATTGCTTGGCATTCTTCTTTCTCAATTCACGAAATCCTTGGCCAAAGCCTCCCTCCGAGTCGAGCTCTGGGGATCGAAATACGGTTTCTCCCCCAAGCTGACAGCGCGGCTTCCGCTTCGCTCGCCCAGGTTCAAATGACCATAGTCAGAAGTGGCTGAGTGGTACACGCTCCGATTGTCCCAGATCGCCACATCATTGGGGTTCTGCCAGCGCAGCCGGACCTGGAGGTCGTGATTCTCGACAATGAGGCGGACGAACCAGTCAAGAAAGTGCCGGGACTCTTCCTCGCTCAGGCCATTGATGCGCTGCACGTGGTGGCCGACGGCAAAGACGGACCGCCAGCCCGTCACCGGGTTCGTTCGGATCACGGGGTGTATAGCCTCGAGGATCTCGCCCACGTTCTCGGGGGCACCGCGCTCCGCCGTGTACAAGGGGAAGCCGTTGGCGTCGGCCGCGTTTTTGAACCCTGGTTGTGCGTAGTATGCCGTCAGGGTGTCCAAGAAGCCCCGGAGCGGCTTGGAGATTCGGTCATATACCTCGTAGCCAGAAGCCCAAAGTGTGTCTAGTAGTAAATGTTAGCATAATGCACTTTCTACGACCACTACTCCCGTGGCCAATATGCTGAATATCGAACTCACCTCCTCCTGTTTTGGGCAGCTCTGTCAGCCGTAGCAGCGCATAATCACTGGGAACAGGCTCAAACGTAATATCAGAGTGCCACAAGCCCTTTTGGCTTTGGTTCTTGCCATAGTTGAGGAACTTGTCGGCAGAAATCTTCTTGGCCAGACGGGATGATATCACGCTAATCTCGTTGTCTTTTTCTTGGTCACGGCCAGCATTATGGACAGGATGGATATGGAGCTTGGAAGTCGCCGGCTTGCCTGAAAGCTCGCCTAGTCGTTGTACAAGTTCCTTTTGCAGGTCATTTGTGATATTATCCTGTTTTCGAAAGAATACCACTCCACGCTGGGAAACTAGAAGTGGTGGATCAATCAGCATCCAATATGTCATGTATAGGTGACTTTTGGATCTCATTGTTTTATGACTTATGTAGAGAAATACATTTGAACTTACCAGTGATAGCCAGATCACGCAAGAGCTCATCAGAGTTTGGCGCACGAAGCCATTCTGCAAGGTCTACATTGGCGTATTCCCTTCCTATTATGGGAGTGACATCGAACTGTTCAAACGGATCGAGGGCGCCGCTGAGCTTGAGGGGCTCCTGGTGACCAGTGAGTAGCTCCGGAAGCTCATCGGTATCCTTGGCAGCATCTGCTTGCGTACTTGTATCCGTATTGCCTTTCTTCTCAGGCAGAGCCTTTTCTTTCAAGTGCGTTGCAACTTTGGTGACTTCTTCAATAGCTGATGGTGACATGTTGAGCCTCAATCTTCGATAGATATCTACCTGGTAAAAAGTCAAAACACATTTGTTATGCCAAAGTAATTGTAAAATATAACAAGAATACTCCTGTGTATATATACCTATCCAAGTACGAATATCATGAGCAATCAAAAATTACATACTGCAGTCCTCAATGATTCGACTAATGGTTGCGCGAGATCAGCACAAATTCCATCATACTTCGCCATCGACGGGTTTGCCAAGTAGAAGCCCCTCACGGCAGTAAGTCTCCCTTCGAGAGTAGTTATCGTAGCCAGACATCCAGAGAAGAAACATTACGTGGTGTCTGAGTATCATTGGCCAAGTGGTCATACACCAGCACACGGTTGCCGGCACGTTATTGGAGCATGCATTCACTATTTCATTGCGCTTCTGGTGATTGGACCTTGGTGCTGCCCCCGCCTCTGATCGCGCCATCGCAATACTTTATCGCGAATGCCGCGACGGTTCCGAACAGCGAATGAAAAGGGGCATGGGCCGACTGCCACTCCTCCTCGGTCTGATCGTTCCGTGATTTGCTTGTAGCAACTTGTGGCAAGGGAACGTCTCTTCTCCCTGCTATCTGCAGCACCGCGCGGCCTCGGAAAAGACTCAGACTAAATCCCATCTACATAGGAGCGTTCATCACTCGCGCATTGCATGACAAGTTGAATATCGAATGAAACTGGCTTTGACCATGTGCTTCCTATTCTGTGACTATTTGTCCTTGTACGCTACAGAAAGACCAATGTTGACTGAGCGGAACCTATCGACATGCAGTCTCTTCCAACAAGCCTGAGCCAGCAAAGGAGCACGCGGATTTCACGTTGATATGACATGTAGTGATTGATTTGCGGATACATAAGACAATTTGCTTTCAATGTTTTCTTTTTTCGTTCTCCTTGACTACAATAGCAGTCTTGTCGGCAGATTAGAACACCACAAACTCCAATGATGCTATTCCATGCACGCCCAAGAGAGTATAAACGAAAGCGAGTATACATTAGTACAGTCTTCGAATCTGGTGAAGAAAAGCACCGGAGATACCGATAGATGAAATGACAATTGACGAAAGAAAAATCGTTGGCAGTCGTAAAGGGCCATGGTGGGTGCCAGAGCGCTAATGGGCTTTCAAAATTGCAGATAACGAGTGACACGAAGGGTGGAAAAAGACCAGCCGGCTTGACGGTTTCAAGATCAACTATTTAAACTTATGATCTAGCTTTGATAGTGCTCATAGGTGTCGGCGTGGTAGATTGCTCAGGGTGTGAGTGTGAGTGCGAGTGTGAGTGCGAATGATTGTGGCTGTGACCATGGGCCGAGCGGTTTCGCTTGGAGCTGCGAGATAGTGTTCCTACGTCGTGTTTGCCTGTAACATAAGAAGATTAGAATCATATCCAGTAACGCGAATTCAGTAGTGTTGCTTACCATCGCAACATGCTCGAACATTCTCGAGTCTGTCAGACTCCCTCTCCTGTTGTTCGATTATTTGCCGCAGTTCTTCAGCACTATCATTGACCTCGCTCGCCTCGTAGATTGCGCTGCCATGAGCAGCTGGAGGGCCGTGGCTCCTGCTTCTCAGAGTGCTGAAGATACTGCCCGACGTGCTTGTCCTGTTCAAGTAGCCGCTGAGTCTGCCGAGTGTGCCCGGACGGACAGCCGAATCCCTCTCACGCGTGGGTGTCAAGGTCGGAATGGTCATGGAGGCTTCAAGATTGGGAGACTCATTTCGCGTAGTCCTGGAGTTGTACGACGAGAGAGACGGTGGCGCACGTCGGTTACCATTGACTGCACTCGCTCCGTACGGAGGGTTGAACTCATCCACATCTTCTTGAGTAATGTTGCCAGCCAAGTCTTCAGCGTCGGCATGGCTCTCATCGCCAGTGCGCAGCAATAAGTACGATAGTGCGTTGAACCAGGTCTCGTGGCGCTGACCTGTTGTACAGGTGAACTTGACTGTACGTCCCGGGGAGACGATGACCAGACTCTTGCGGTGCAATCCAGGTGGCATGGGGTTGTCATCAGCAACCACTCGGACAGCCTCGATAGGTATGCTCTTGGCTCGGAGCTCGGAGCGGCCAGCGACTGCTGGGTCGCGGTCACTCCAGTACAGTGTGCGGGTGTAGGGGTGAACCCAGAAGTATCTTCGATGTCGGTTCTCTGACATCTCACCACGGCCCGCTTTGCGAGTATACTTCCACAAATATTCACCAATCATGGTTTGTGTGATGGCCTGGATCATGCGAGGATCTGTGTTGGGGCCAGCAAAGCTGGAAGCTCCGATACCCATCTCATTCCTGATATTAAATCTGGACTCGATCTCTGAAGCAAATGATGACACGGAAGACTGTCGGCTGCGGACGCTCAACTTGGCAGAAGATTGTACGTCAGCCAAACCTTGTGTCGAGCCGGTTCTAGTGGCCCGAGGAGTGGGAGTGCCACGCCCAGACAGAGGTGACTGCGGTCGATCGCGGGGGTTCTTGTAGGCAGATGCTGGCAGCAAGGGCGGTCCCATAGCGGTCTTGGTCCCATGCGATGATCCAGTTCGCGCAGCTTCAATGGCCTCTCTGTGATTTGCTGGAAGTGGTGGCGCGGTTTGCTGGGAACCTCGAGCACTGCTTGAACTGCCAGGTCGTCGTGCAGGTACAGAGTTGGCAGCCCCAGCGATATTCTTGCCCTTGTCTTGTGGCTGGTCATTGTATATTCCCAAGTAGGACCTTTCGTCAGAGGGAGTGATGATAATCTCGGCGGCTGTTGCACCAAGTGTCATTGAGTCTTGCGAACCCCGACGTTGTGTCTTTGAGAGCAGCTTGTCGATGCCATCTGACGTAAGTGCCGTCTGAGCGCCGTGATCCGCCGTGGGGAGCACGGTTCTTCGAGCTGGGCGGACGTCGGTGTTTGTGGACATCTCCTTAAAGGGCCTTTGAGATTCGGGCGTCTCTGGGCTGTTGTTGGTGGCGGTTGGGGATTGGCGCGTCTCGTCTTCAGCAATAATTGGCGTATCAGTACCCTTGCTCTTCTTGCCCATGACCCCAGTGGTCGAGTACGGTGGCGTTTGTGGGTGGGTTAGGTCTCGTGGGAGAATGAAGGCATCCCGCTTAGGGCTGCGAAGAGATTCTGGCTCCGCAATAGGTTCTGTTTCGATGCTGCTCATCGCCGAATAGCCCAGTGTTGGTGGTATCAAGGTTAGTGCTTTTCGGAGGTCCTCAAGCTCCTGTGCATGGCTAGCGAGGAGCCTATCACGCTCTGCCAAACTCTGCGCTTGTTGTGCCTCCAAAGCATGCGCATGTTCAGTATTGGCCTTCTCCAATGCATCCACAAGGGCAGCATCACTAGCAGACTTGAGACTTGCTAGCTCAGTCGCATGGGAGAATTGAATGGCAGACAAAGCTTCTTGGAGGGATGTGGCATGGCCGTCCTTGAGAGAAGCAACGGCCTTGGCGTGACTTGTTTGAAGGTCCTCGATGGCGGCGTCCATTGAGGATTGATGATCTGTGCGTACAGTGGCAAGGAATGCAGAGTGTTCCGATTTGAGCTGGTCCAGTGCTTGGTTGCGAGATACTTCATGGTCGCGACGAAGATCATCTAGAGCCTGAATGTGCTTTGCGTCTAGTTCTCCCAAGTCGGCGCTTCTTGAAGTTTCATGTTCGGAACGGAGAGTTTCCAGTGCTAGAGCATGACTTGCGGCGAGCTCGGCAGCGAGTTTGGCAACTGCATCTTCATGCTCAGCCTTGAGTGACTTGATCGTCTCGGTATGGGTCGCCTTCAAGCTCTCCATATCTTGGGCTTTCAACGTGGCAGCCTCGGCCTTGATAGCGGCAATGTCTTCCTCGTGCCGGGACGAGAGCGCTTTAAGGTCCACATCTCGCGACGCAGACGCCGTAGCTTGAAGAGACTCCATCTCCTGTTGATGACTGAAGACGAGCTCTTGGAATGCCTTGTCCTTGGAAGACGCGCCTTCGGCACGCAGAAGTTCAATTTCTTGTTGATGGCTTGAGGTCAGGGCTGCCAATTCCTTCGTCTTTGTGGCAGCAGCTTCGGCCTTGGCTGATTCAAGTTCCTTCTCATGGCGTTCAGTCAGCTTGCTGAGTTCGGCTGCCTTGGCCTTGACATGTTCATCTTCAACAGAAGCTACATGCTGGTCATGTTGAGAAGAAAGAGCTTGAAGCTCCGTGGCCTTAGCAGCAACCAACGCGGCTTCCAAAGCGGCCAATTCACCAGCATGCTTGGAGCTCAATTCGTCTGTATGCCTTGACTGGGTAGCCATGTGTTCACTGCGGAGGTTCTCGAGTTCTCGGTCATGGCTGGCTCTGGCAGACTCCAGTGCCTTTTCCAGAGCTTGTTGACTGTCACGCTTGTGCGCATCAACGATCTCAGCATTAGCCGCCTTCAACGCCTGGATTTGCTCGTTGTGTGCTGCATTGCCTTCAGACTTGGTCGACTCGAGCTGCTTAGCGAGAGCCGCTTCAAAGGTCTCCAATTCTTTGGCGTGCGTTGCAGCATGCTCACTTCGGATGGTTTCGAGCTCACTGGCATGGGAGCCCTTGAGAGATGCAAGCTCACGGGCCAATGTGGCCTCCGCCTCCGAACGAGCCACTGCCAGCTGTTTGTCGTGTGTGCTGGCCAGCGCCGCGAGTTCAGCAGAGTGAGCAGCATCTCGCTTGGCTAGAGACTGCTCGAGTTGTGCCGCATGAGTCTTGTTTAGTGCTGCCAACTCAGATGCATGCGCCTTGTCTTTCTCCTTCTCGAGCTCTTCAAGATTCCTAGCATGAGCAGCCCGAAGGGATTCGGTCTCGAGGGCCAGGCGGGCAGCCTCCTCTGACTTGACATTTTCTAATTGTCTCGCGTGTTCGCCTTGGAGAGTGCGAATCTCTTGTGCCAATTTGTTCTCAGCTTCTGCTTGTGAAGATTCCAACGCATTGCTGTGCGCCAACTTGAGCGCTGACAGCTCAGCGACCAACTTAGCATCACTCTCTGTTCGCAGAGCACTCAGCTCATCAGCATGTGCAGCCTTGATATCACCGAGCTGCTTGGTGAGTTGGGCATCGGCTTCTGTTCTGGAAGTTTCCAGCTGTTCGCGGTGAGAAGTAGCCAATACATCCAATTCTTTAGCAAGTCTAGCTTCATTATCAGCATTAGACGTATCCAATTGCTTGGCATGCAAAGCGGCGAGAGCTGCCAGCTCAGCAGCATGAGCTGCGTCGTTGTCCTTCTTGAGCTGCTCAACCTGGCTAGTATGGGTGGCCTTGAGAGCTTCGAGCTCTTGCGCATGGCTAGCGCTTACGTCGCCCCTGACTTGCTCGAGCTGTGCAAGATGTGAAGTCCTCAAATGCTCAATGTCGGCATTCATGGCATCTCTGACTTGTTTGATCTGATCGAGGTGCGAAGCCTTGAGGCGCTCTAGATCAGCCGCGTGGGCGGCGTCGCTGCTCTGCATGGCGAGCTCGACTTGTGCGTTGTGGCCAGCTTTAAGGGATTCCACAGCCTGTGCATGACTATCGCTGACTTCTTTTCTGGCGCGCTCAATTTGGGCAGCATGTGCTGCAGCGAGAGACTCCAACTCGGCAGCATGGGATTCTTTGCTGGCATTGGTTGCGACCTCGAGCTGTTGAGCGTGACTAGCCTTGAGGGCTTCCAATTCACGATCATGAGCTGCCTGGTAGTCGGACTCTGCCTGAGCAATCTTTGCATTGTGCGTGGACTGCAGCTTTTCCAGCTCATGCAGATGCGCTGCCTTGGCCGCTGCGATGGCAGTGGTCTTGTCGTCTGCATGACTTGATCTGAGTGTCTCGAGCTCTCGAGCATGAGCCTCATGGGCAGCCGCGAGGGCACCACTCTTGTCATTGCTATGGTCAGATTTGAGGATCTCTAGCTCCCGTTCATGAGACGATCGTGCTTCAGCTATGGCGCGGTCAATCAAGTCTGCATGCTGTGCTTCAAGAGCTGCCAAAGCGGACACGTGAGCTGCGTTCCTCTCAGAATGCAACTCTTCAATCTGTTTGGCGTGTGCCTCCCTGAGCTGCTCTAGTTCAGCAATGTGCATGTCAGTCTCCTCGATAGGAGCCAGGTCATTAGCGTGGACATTGGATACTGCAAAGTCCCGTTTTCCAGATGAAGGAGAAGATGGAAACTTGGCATGGCTCTCATCCAAATACGCAGTTCCAGTATCGCTGATATCTGAGACACGGCTGACGACTGTATGCGCGGATGCAGGTCGTGCAGAGGTAGCGGCGTTGAAGGAAAAGCTCGGGGCAAACTCTATAAAGGGCTCTGTCATCGTGCCACTTTCAACCATGGTATTTCTGCGTTGATAGGGCATTGGCGGAGGAGGCGAAGCAGTGGGACCCCTCATCGAACCAGGCCTAGACAGGCGAATGCTTCGTTTGCTAGGTGTCGCTGACAAGTTGGAGTCATTGTCGCTACCATCGAAATCACCCAGCTCAGCTGCGAGACTCTGATTCGGTTGAGGAGTTCGGTTTGATTCATTGGCAAAGGCTGAAGAGCTACCCCGGAAGATCGTATCCTCGCTACCTTGTCTTGACCGGCGACGAGCTCCACGACCAAGACGGAGTGGGAACTTGGTTTGCAGTGGAGGAAAGTGGGATGACGAGGGACGACTGTCATCGAATCCATATTCATCCTCGGTGGAAGCAGTGCTGTGTATTGAGTTGTTGCGCCCGTGGCCTAAGGGTTGAAGTGGAGGTCTTGCTCTCAAGGTAGCACGCTTGCTGGGGCTCTCAGTCTCAGTCTGGGTATCATCGCTAGAGAACTCCTCTGCGACAGTGTGGAAATCGTCAGTCTCGACATCTCGCTCATTAGCAGTCTCAAACGCTTGATCGCTAGTCTCGTTGGCTGTTTCGAAGTTATCGGTCTCGACACTTTCAATGACAGGCGAGACTTGGCTTGGCCGGCGTTTTATGGCAGCTGTCTGATCGGGGCTGGAACCGGGAGTTTGGTCTTCCCATTCGGGGTCCTCGGCTGGTGCAAAGATTTCGCTGCGAGCACTTCGCAAGGCACCAAGTAATCGCGGCGGTTTTTTGAAATCGCGAGATGTAGCTTTGCTGGGACGTTCTCGTTTGCTGCTTGGCATAGGGTCGGCCCGAACCTTTTCGAGCTCGTCACGCGCATCTTGGAGCATGCGTCTAAGCTCGAGCTTCTCGGTCTTCTCGCGATGAACATTGGTCCTCAAGCTCTGAATAGTGCGTTGAGCATGAGACAGCGAGGTCTTGAGCGTTTCTGATTCAAGCAATGAGTGGCGAGGCGTGCCCTTGATCGGCGAAGGCGGAGGAGAGTGTTCGGGGGTATCATTGTCATTGGCGGTTTGGAAATCCTCATCACTGGTTCCATGAGCTTCGGGTCGATCAAGTGCCCTGCCCCTCTGAGCCGAGACTGCCTTGGCCAGTTCCTGGTTTTGCCCTGTCAAATCTTCGACCTTCCGCAATAGCGCTGTCCGCTCGGACTCGGCGATAACAATGTTCCTCTTTGCGGCGCCAAGCTCGGTATCGTGATGCTTCACGGCTGCGGCATGCTCCTCTGCCAACTTGGAGTGGTTGAGCTTAACCTCATCTAGTTCTCGTTGGGTAGTGTTCTTCTCTGCTTGCAGAATGCTGACGGTTTGCTGTAGCTTCTTCTCGCGGTCTGCTGATTCTCTTTGTGCTGCAGACAGCTCGTGAATCTGTGTCTCGAGACTCCAATTTTCATCCTTGTATCGATTTTGGCTTTCGTCCAAAGACTTGAGGCGTTGCTGAAACGATTCCGCATCGTATTCGAGTTTGGATTTCTCAATCTTGACATCTTTGAGTTCCTCCTCTTTCTCTGAGAGCAAGGCTTGCAGATTCCTGACTTGCACAATGAGAGATTGACTGATTTCGGCAGCAAACTCAATGTCGTGGACCCGATTAGCTGGCTGGTTCCGGAGCTTTCGATTTGGCAAAGTAAGTTTGGTCGGTGAGCCGCCTTGTGCTTCAAATTTGGAGGGACTAACTGAGCGCTGCATTTGACGTGGCATTAGTACTTATTAGTGCAGTCAGAGACGTTACAGACAGTACTCACCCTTTCCCCTGATGCAGCAGCGGCCTCATTGCTAGGAACTCTGGGCTTGGGAAGAAACGCTTTCGCACTCTCTCTTGCAACATCATTGTAATCTCGTTCTATCTCGGCCAGTTTCTCTCTCAAGTCTTGAGACAGCTCGGCCTCGGCATGGAGCTTTTCAATCTCCTCTATCCGCTGCGTGAGCTGCTTGCGCTGTTGCACCAAAGCGGTACCTAGTTTTCCAGCTTCCTCCATCCGCCGATCTGTTTCTGCAAGATGTGCTTCCAAGGCTCGTTTTGCTTGGGCTGGTGAGGCATTGCTTCCGAGAGCAAAGAGCTGAGTGTCGAAAGTCGAGTATCGATGCCGGGGTTCTCTGTCATCCGGCGAGTAATCATCCGTACCGAAGGGGTCGTTGTGATCCATGGCTACACTACGAGCCGCTGACGAACCGCCGCCAGCTGGACTGGAAGTTGCCATGATAGGCAGACTGAGAAGAAGGGGAGGCACTTCCTTGAAAGGAGTGCGATTTCCCCTTGCGACTTAGGACTGTAGCATACAACCTGGCCGAAGAACACCACGTGAAGCTGAAACAAAATGGGAAAATGAACCGTCCCGGTGGAAATGTCGAGAAACCCCTTTCCCTTAATTCCCTTGAGAAGCGCCCATAAAAGAGAAGATGGCTAGGCGGGAAAACGAAGCAAAATACGGCAGGGACACCGGACCCTGCAGTAACAGCTTGTGACTGTCCACAAAAACGCGAGATCGAATTGCTAGGCTTGGAATGGAACGACGACGCTGTTGAGAACGAGTATCGAAAGACCGTATCGAGAGGTTCACTAGTATGCGGACTAGCGAAGGGGTTGGAATGCACAGGTAGACTACGAATGATTTTCAATTGCTTTCGTCGGGGCGCCAAGTAGCCGAATAAGCAGTCGCCGATGAGGTTGGGCCCGTATTGTGCACCGTCGGGCGCTGCAGGTCGGAGCTCTATACAGACAGTAATGGCCCTTGAAATCCGTCGGGCCTCGGAAATGGGCACCTAAGCAGTGAGTGCGTCGCGTACTGCTGTGATTAAAGTCAAAAAATAGCGACAGCAGGGAGACGACCGAGGGCGATTGATGCGCGACCGTCGCACCGTTGAAAGCTTGAAGCTGAGTCGTGCAAGGGGGGCGGGTCGCTATCTGGTGTGTATCCCAAGAGGCTGGTCGTGCCAAATTGAATCGTCGTCCAGATGAATTAAAATTGAAAAAGCCCAACGGCGGGACACGTAAAGAGCTGGCAGTAGGCAAAGTCAAATGCTGGCTGCAACGTCGCAAAAAGAAGAGGCCGATATGAGACCGCTGAAGCTGTACACGAAGAGGAAGACGGAAAAAAAAAGGAGTCGCACGACAAGATGGAGATTTGCCGACAGAAGGAACAGTTACAATTAGTAAAAAGCCCCCCAGAATGGAGTCCCCAGAGACGAAAAGGCTCCTGTTGTCGAGAGTACCGATGTGAGCCCAATCAGAACTAGAAATACGGGCAATGTCATTCGGCGCGGCGGGCGAACGACTTGGAGGAGGGGTGGTGTCCGTCTGAGACGCGTCTTGTTCAAAACAATGGCCAGCGGGAATCCAGGCCTAGAGGATATGCAACCTTTTTGGGCACCTGCACACACGAGGGTTTTCTCTCAACTTCCTCGTGGTGAGGGGAATAATACAATAATAGTAATAGAAATAATAATAGAAAATAAAACAAAAAAAGTATATAGTATATATGAAAATACGGAGAAACAAAGAGAGCGGGGGAGAGAGGGACAAGAGGTGAGAGCGTTGAAGAGAGGATACCTCTTCTAAGTAAACAAAAAAAAGAGTGTCGGGATGGAGAGCCTCATGTTAGAAGAGAGGGAAGAAATGCCATGAGTTCGACATGTTCGTCTGGTGTTCTTCAGGCTCGTCGATGCCGGATCCTCAGCAAGGACCATCCCTAGCACAAATGAGATGGGATACAAGGATCTCGAGGACAGGAGTTCCCCATTTCCAAGGTCAGCAGCTTGTCAGTGCTCCTCACAAAGTGGCTCCCTCATCTACCACATCTGTGATCCCGTCCCGGGCGGCATGTTTATGATCTCCAAATTACATGTATTCCGACAAAAAGTCAAGATCTAATCGATATGCCAGGGTTTGTACATAGTATGGTAGCCAACCGAGTTGCACAAGACCATGTTACCCGAATATGAAAGGCCTGGTGTCTGAGACTATACCTACCTTACGCCAAAGTGAACAAAAAAGGATATACGTATTTCGCTAGCAGTGGGCAAGGCCTTAAGCCGTTTGGCCGTAGGTCGCTAAAGTTGTTGCATGCAGATCTTGCATTAGCACTTCCCGTACCTGGCGATGGGTACCTTACCTGGACGCTTGGGGACTGGCGGAAAAGGAGCTGGAATCAATGCTTTTGATGTGCCAGCACGCGCTCTGCTTCCCAGACCCTCGTCACTAATCCAGTGTGCATCTCTGCACAACATCGATGACTCATGCAAACAATTGGCCATGATGGCAGTTACACAAGTGTATCAAAACAATAATTTCATGCAGAGTTTCATTGGTGCTGAATTGATCCCGTGGTGTTGCGCATAAAATGCCAGAGAAAAACCAATTTCAGACCTGCCAGCCTCGGTGAAGCTAAGGTAGAGGAGGGCCCCCCCGTTCACTCGTTGATGAGAGGTGGGGGACATCAAATGAGGTGAGCACTGCGTTGGTTCAAGCTAGCTGGCTCATGAGTGGCGCCTAAGGTCGGTAGCATGTTGTAAGCTCATTGTACAGGTAGACCGGTAGTAGTAGTAGTAGTAGTAGTAGTAGTAGTAGTAGTAGTAGTAGTACAGTCTTGCTGTCAATCTCAAAATGTCACACAATATCCCAACTGGCCTCTTTTCTGGTTCTCTTCGAGAAATGCACCCCACGTTGTCCCGGATCGCCTTTCAGTGCTGCTGCTCATGATATTGAGGAGTTCACGACCAGTCTCCGCTTTTCTTAATAGAGACGAGATCACTGGACAGTGACCTACTTTCCGCATCGGCCACCGAGCGACGCTGGCCGAGGCTGAGCTAATCTGTATTAGTCAGTAGTGCGCCGAAAGACACCCCACCAAACCAAAGCTGGTGTACCGTGTGCCTTCTACGAGGATTCGAGAAGGCTGACTGAGCATTTTGCCTATGCAACATCAAGAGCTTCCTTCAGGTTGATCGTCTTGTGACTATAACAAGAGACTCTTGATTTTGATCGCAGAGAATTTTGGAATTCTTTTGCAAACGAACTCGAGAATCGCGATCTCACCTCACGGCCACTACAAGATGGCAGACAATTCAATCACAGATGCGGCGGCAAATGTTGATGCGCCCATCGCCCCCGTAGCAATCTTCAAAAAGCGAGGTGCAAAAGCCAAGGCGAATCTTCGGAAACGACCTGCAACGCCGCCGCCTGCCAATAGCGACAGCGATGATTCAGACTACTCTTCGTCTGAGGACGAACAGGGGCAAAGAGTCAAGAGACGAAAGAAGAACCTCGTAGTTACGGCCTCGTCCAAGAATAACGTCACGTCTCAGCACGAATCCGCCACAGTCTTTTCTGCCGACCGCAATGTTCCCATCACGAGCACAAATGATGCTACGAAGCAGAGCAATTGGTACGATGAGGATGCGAACCTGTTGGGCAAGACGCGCCCAGTGCCTCAGCCGGGCTTAAATTCAGACACCTCTCGGTCGGCCCCCGACGGCACCTACAAGGGCATGGCGAATCGCACAACCTTTATCCAGAAAAATCCAAATGCCCCAAATCGGACGGTCGGGCCCATCAAGGCTGCTACCAATATTCGTACCATTACCGTCACGGACTTTGCACCAGATGTGTGCAAGGATTACAAGCAGACAGGATTCTGCGGATTTGGCGACAATTGCAAATTCCTGCACGCTCGTGAGGACTACAAACAGGGCTGGCAGCTCGATCGAGACTGGGAAAATGTGACCAAAGGAAAAAAGAACATGGGTGGAACAGTTGTCGCAAGCGCTGATCGTGACCAGACTTCCAAGGATGATGATGATGCTGTTCAGGCGGCCTTGTTGGAGAAAATCCCCTTTGCCTGCATAATCTGCAAAAAGGACTATCGTAGCCCCATCAAGACACGCTGCGGTCACTACTTCTGCGAGCCGTGTGCGCTACAACGTTATAGAAAAGACCCCAGCTGTGCAGCCTGTGGCGCGGGCACGAACGGCGTCTTCAATGCTGCCAAAGAACTCAGCAAACTCTTGGATAAGAAGAAAGTCAGAGCCGAGAGGCTGAGACAAGAAGCTATCGATGCCGGGGAAGACCCCGACAAGCTGGAAGAGGGGAAACAAAAATAGGCAATTCCTCACAGGGTTGTAATAGATATATGCACTTTTCAGTCACAGTGGTTGGCCACACAATTACACGCACAGCAGACAACCATAAGAGACATGGCCTAGTATCTTCATCAGATACCGATTGCGATCAGGCCATGAATCATTTCAAGACAAGCAAAAGTCGATACTGCGAGCCGGTGTCTCCATTCGAGATGCCTGCAATATCATGAACACTCTACGAAACCAATGTCTACTTTGGTAGCCACCCTGTCAAAAAGTGCCAAAATTCTGCTTCGATTGCCGCAGATAGGATATCCCTGGGCCAGTAGCAGTCGTCTGGCCATACAGATAGTCCACTAAAGCGTGTAGACAGGATCGTCACTCATCATCCAGCTATTCAATTATGGCCAGACAAGCAACACAATATGGTTGCCAAGAGTCTCAATGCCTAGAGAGCATACGTTCAGAAATAATATGTGCCAACTCACTGCATCATTGACAATCAAGCCCTAAAGCTACACTTGATTATGATTTGGTCCTATGACTCTGATCTGTCTACTCGAACCAGTATTTGGTGCCCGTACTTGTAGCCGATTGGTTTTAATAAGTGAGCTCATCAATTCTGGCATCAAGCACGGCGTGAAAGTCGGCGTTGATTAGAACAGCCATCAATGCCAGGTCGTCCCTTGACCGAACGTGTATATTTGGGGTTTCAGTACTCTACCATGGTACCTTTTGGCTTCAACTTCGTTTGCTGCCGGCTATAAACAGGATCAAGATGGATGACTGGGCTCCAACCCTCATCATAGGAGGCCAATCGGGCGATGGGAAGCAGGTGGCAGATGAGAGTATTTTGTAGGACAAATTCAATGGTATCCATAATTGCTATCCAAAATCTATGTTGATCTACAAGAACGCCTTTGATCGTGACTTTTTCTTTGAAACAGGAAAACCTTTGGCATATTGCACCAGGTCTCAAAAACGTATAAGCAAAGTGCACTTGGCAGTAATTTTGTGTGCACAAAGCTCTCTGGTGTTTCCCAACCAGAGTCTTTTTAACCAACCCAAACTGGCCGGCGAATCGCAACGCATCCCATATTCTCTTGGGGTTTTTCTTTTACAGCTTAGCGCTGTAGCCGGCCTCCTCGGCAATGATCTCGGCGCACCGCTCGGCGACACCGAGGACCGTGAGCATGGGGTTGATGGTAGGGATGGTGGGGAAGACACCGGCGTCGGCAATGCGCAGGCGCTTGAGGCCGGCAACGTTGAGCTTCTCGTCGACGACGGCGAGCTTGTCGCTGGCCACGTCGCCCATGCGAGTGGTGCCGCACGGGTGGTACACGGTGTGCGCGGCCTTGCGGGCGTACAGGCTGAGCTCCTCGTCCGTCTGCAGCTTGGGCCCGGGCGCGATCTCGGCCTTGATCCAGTCCTTGAAGGGGGCCTGCTCGGCAATCTTGCGGGCCGCCTTCATGCCGTGCACCAGCGTGGCGGCGTCGTAGCCCTCGGCGTCGGTGAAGTAGCGGAAGTCCAGGGCGGGCTTCTCGTTGGGGTCCGACGAGGTCAGGTACAGACGGCCGCGGGAGCGGGGACGGGGGATGTTGGGGGTCATGCAGAAGGCGTAACCGTGCTTGATCTCTGGGTAGCCCAGACGGGTGGTGTTGAGGGTGAAGGGGATTTGGTAGCAGTGCATCATGACGTCGGCAATATCGCCGTCGGGGATACCGGCGGGGTTGGAAGGGTTCTTCTTGGCGCCAGCGTTGGGTGCCTCACGTCGCAGGAAGATACCGGCATCCGAGTCCATGGTGGTCTGGTTCTCGGGAACGGGCTTCTTGAGCTCCCACATGATGATACTCTCGGGGTGGTCCTGGAGGTTCTCACCAACTCCAGGCAGATCATGCACCACGGGGATGCCGAGGGACGAGAGCTGCTCCTTGGGTCCGACACCGGACAGCATCATCAATCTCGGCGTGTCGACAGCACCGGCGCAGAGAACAGTCTCCTTTTTGGCGGTGATGGTTCGGGGCGAACCGTCCTGGAGCTTCAAGTCGACACCGTTGACCACACCGTCCTTGATGTTCAGCTTGGAAACCCATGCGTTGGTGAGCACGGTCAGGTTTGGCCGCTTCTCCTCGCCTCTGATGATGGGGTGGATATAAGCAACCGATGCGCTGGACCGGCGGCCGTCATCTGGGTTGTAGCTGACGGAGAAGAAACCAACACCCTGCTGCAGAGCGCCGGACTCGGTAATGTGCTTGTTGAAGTCGTGGAGGACGGGAATGTCCATGGCCTTGCTGCAAGAGTCGACCCAGTCCAGGCAGAGCTGGTTTCGGTGCCTCTCGTGGACGGGCTGAACAGTGTTGCGCAGCTTGTTCAAGACTCTCATAAAAGTCTCAAATGTCCATCCCTTGGCTCCCATTGATTGCCACACCTTCAGGTCATACTCAAATGGTCTGAAGGAGATGAGGGTGTTGTGAGAGGAGCAGCCACCCAGCACCTTGGCACGTGAGTGACGAATGTATGAGTTACCTACAGTCACGGTCGTGAGTTTTCTTGAGATGAGCTATCGAGATGTGGCGCGTTGCCTTAAGTTTTTACTTACCCTCGGGCTGTTCTGTTGTGCCATAGTCGTAGTCCAGCTCACCACCGAGCAGGTTAAGCCATTGCCGCAGATCCAAGACACGGTCATCCATATAATCACTGGGACCAGCCTCGATGAGGAGGATTCTCTTGTTTGGCAGGTACTCGGCGAGACGAGATGCGATCACACATCCAGCGGTACCACCGCCGACGATCACATAGTCGTATCTCTCGGAATCCGAGATGGGAAGCTGTGTAGTAGTCATTGTTTAAGATGTTCTATTACACAGATAGTATGTGAACAAATCAGGGACGGACAGGGCTGATCAAATCGACGTTGATCAGAAATAAACAGCTTTGGAAACAGGCTCTCGTCCTTGAGAATGAGCAATTTTTTTGAGTATTGCTTCTAGACTCGAAGAATCTCACACGACAAGCCGGTCGACTGACTGACAAGTTTATCTACTACTTCGTACTAGCAGCCCAGTATTTGTAGTACGTACTGACTATGGTAAGCGATTAGACGCGGCAATTATGTTCAAGGCGCCATGGACCACGATCGGTCCACTAGAAAATTTCGAGACGCCGCCAAGTGGATGCAAGGCACCGTGATCCTAGGACGGAGGTGGGGAAGACGAGATGCATAATCGAGGCAGGGCCTTTGACTCGTGTGCACGAGACAGCCACTGGCAGGCCTTGTTGCTTGCTAACTGATACGGGACAGCCAGCCTGTTGCTATCTGGCCTGTTGGGTATTCCATAGGCGAGGATGAGAGATAACGACGGTATAATTCGGTAGAGAAAACCGATCACGTTCTTTTGAACTTAGTTCTGTCACCATGGGTGTTGCCAAGAGCCTCTAAGAATCGAGACATCATTCTAGCCAGCCCGGGTCAGATCAGGCCACGGGCTCTCGATAGACGATAGACGGATGACGGTTATGTCGGCCAGTTCGGCCACCCCAGATATCTTTATCCATTCTTACCAGATCTGGCGCTTCTTGCATTTGCGTGGCTGCTGTACTACACCACATTTTGGTACCAAAGCATGCAAGATTTTTTTTATGTAGTATATGAACGGAATTGCCTTTCAAAGGTTCCGTGCCCCCCGTCTTCGGATACTCTTGTGATCCATAGCCGAATATTTGTCCCATCCAAACGGCCATCGAGAATCTCACCGCAAGATCACGATGCGAAAGTAATTAACCGGGTACTTCATTAGAAATAACAACGACTTGTCAGGTAATTGGGTAAGTCAGGCCATTTCCCGGTGACGTAGCCCCGTCAAGCCACCGACACGATCCCTGCTTTCTCCAGATCAACCGGCGTTTCTTTACCTAAAGATAACTACGAGTAGAGCACAAGTCGCTCCACTTGACAGACTTTTAGTGCTCTAGTTGCCGCATGCCTCGGATACTTTCGCCTTAACAAGGTATCGGTTTTCGCTGTCGCCGGGGTGAGCCAGTTGGAGTCAGTGGGCAAGTCTTGGGGGGCTTGGGGGGGGGGGCCTTGGGGCAAATGCCCACTGATAGCTGCCGATAAAATACATTACGCATTTTGGTTGGCGCGGGGCCAGGCGGCCTTGGGAAACTTGGTGGAGGTTCCGCTTGGTACTATCTCTCTGCCCTTCAACCTCTCCACTGTCGCCCGGAGCCGTACTGTGGTGCCGGCCTGGCGTCTTGTCGTTAAAATATCATTATTGACTCGTCTTGTCTTTGCTGGGGGAAGTGGGAAAAAAAAGATTTCCATACACACCCTTGTAGGTATCAAGTAAAATATCCCGCGGCCTCGGTTCATATCTAGGAGGCTACTGCACATGTTGGACCACTTGTTTATCACGGGTTTGATTGTGTTGAGCAAAAATCGAATGTTGTTCTGTTGTCGTTATCTCTCCTAGGTAATTAATCGTTTATCCACCACCCATCCACCTTTTGCTACCATGGCCCAGCACCACGAAGGGGACCGTCACACCTTTTACGCCGGCAAGCCGCAGCCTTCGGAGGCGGCCGGCACCTTTGATACGGTCGATCCTTCGACTGGCCGCTCACTATGCACCATTCACACATCGTCTACGGCTTCTGTCGACAAGGCCATTGAGGCGGCTCAGGCTGCCTTTCCTTCGTGGTCAGCGACGCCGCCTATTGAGCGGGCCCGCATATTGCAGCGCGCCGTTGCCCTGCTGCGTGAAAAGAATGACGAGCTGGCCAAGGTCGAAACTCTGGACACTGGAAAGGCTTACTCTGAGACTTCGACGGTGGACATCGTGACCGGAGCTGATGTTCTCGAGTATTTTGCCAATCTCGTCTCGAGCGGCGGCTTGAACGGCGAGTCCTTTCGTCTGAGGCCATCCGCCTGGGTTTACACATCAAAAGAGCCCCTGGGTGTCTGCGCTGGCATTGGCGCATGGAATTACCCCATTCAGATCGCTCTGTGGAAATCTGCGCCGTGCTTGGCTGCCGGAAACTGCATGGTCTACAAGCCGAGCGAGTTTACTCCGCTGCACGCTCAATACCTTGCCAATGTCTACAAGGAGGCCGGCCTGCCCGATGGTGTGTTCAATGTCGTCTACGGTGCCGGCGAGGTGGGAGCACACCTCACTAGCCATCCCGCCATTGCCAAGGTCAGCTTCACAGGACAGGTCAGCACAGGCAAAAAGGTTGCTGGCTCTGCTGCGGGAGGCATGAAGTATGTCACCATGGAGCTGGGTGGCAAGAGCCCGCTCATCGTCCTCCCGGATGCCGACGTGGAGCAGGCCGTCGACGGCGCCATGCTGGCAAACTTCTTCAGTACCGGGCAAGTGTGCACCAACGGTACAAGGGTCTTCATTCCCAAATCAATGAAGAAGGAGTTTGAGCGCATAATACTAGAAAAGATGCAGTACGTAAGAGCGGGGGATTTATTCGACATGGCCACCAATTTCGGTCCCCTCAGCAGCAAAAGCCATGCCGAGAAGGTCGCTAGCTACATCAAGCAAGGCATCGAAAGTGACAAGGCGACGCTCTTGTGTGGTGGTCCTGGCCAGCCTGCCGGCCTCCCAGCTTCGCTCAAGGATGGCTACTGGGTCAAGCCCACCGTCTTCACAGACTGCACCGACGACATGGCCATTGTTCAGGAGGAAATCTTTGGCCCTGTCATGTCGGTTCTTACATACGACAGTGTAGATGAGGCAGTGAAGAGAGCCAACACCACGGAGCTCGGCCTTGCAGCCGGCGTCTTTGGCAAGGATATCAACGAGTGTCACCGGGTCATCAGCCAACTCGAGGCTGGTATCACATGGGTGAACACGTGGGGTGAATCCCCGGCAGAAATGGCCGTTGGTGGATGGAAGCAGAGCGGTGTTGGAGTTGAAAACGGCCGCCGAGGACTCGAGGCTTGGGTTAGGAATAAGAGCACGCTGGTGGAAATGGGTGGCAGCGTCGGCACTGTATTTTCGAAATTGTAAATTGCCCGCCTCATATCATGTATCAAAATGCTTATAGATATCCAATCAGTAAAAATGGCACCTTTGAGAACAATACTTTGGAAACAACTATGCTAAGCGTATTTGACAATGTTCGCCCCTCCAGCAAATGAAAGAACTGGTAAAAGATCATTGCACATCCATGTGATGCCCTACTGGAACCACTGTGTCTCTGCCACAAGTCAGCTATTTTCTTGACCGTGAAGTAAAGAGGAAGTACGTTGGGCTCGGTACATAATAGGTGAATCTCCACTTAATAAATTGCGGCTCGCCCTCGGTACATCTCACTCTTGCTCTCAATAGGTATGTACTAGGACGATCAGCGCTTGAGTCTGGGGAACGGCCGTGTGAAAGATGTGTCTCGTGAAGACCTGGTAGCTGAAGTCTCTCGGACAAACTGTACGCCAGCTGAGTTAAAGTCAATATGCGAATGACTTTCTACTCCAGGGGATCTCCGAGAACCACGACAAACACTGGCTTCAAAGACTCAATAAAAATTTATCACGAAGTATCATACGGCCTTTGGGTACTGGGCTCGATATTTAGAATATGAGGGCAAGCTCAAACTGAAAATGAACCGTGCCAAAGGCGGATGACCATATTTATCAGCAGGCAGCTCCGAGTCAACAATCGAACAGCATTATATACTTCAGACACAAACATAAAAGAAAGAAAAGAAAATCATGACCTAGATAGAGAATGATGATAATTTGTTAAATAGTAATTGTATATAATATAGGCCGCTTTGGTGAAAAGGGTCCCACGAGATGGAGCGGCGGCAATGCGGCACCCGCTAAAGCACGAATATGGAAATTGGCAGGTGGACTTTGCATTAGCGCTGTGAGATTATACGCGCACCTGTACTGACGTCATTCAAATACCTCGAAGTGAATCCACAGAAACACACACAGGTCATCGAACCTGTTTTAGAGATAATCTGGAGATAATCTGTGCAGTTGGCTCGGTTCATATGAGGCCATATAATATCTGGGGGATTTTAGTTCATTCTTCATCACGGAATGCACGAGCCAATATTGTAGCATCACCGAGCTTCTGGTCTTATTGGTCTTCGTAACCGTTACATCGGCTCAAACGGCAAGGTTTAGTCACTCAATTCGGGGATAGCCAAGAACAGGCCCGCAAAGCACAGACTGGACCCGAAACTATGCATTTTCAGGAGAACGGCAGGACGATACTGCTCCGGGGCGTCAACTTGGCCGACGCAAAGTTTCCACAGGGCCGTCCAACATATCGTCTCGACTCCCTAGATGATGCGGCTAATTGTTCATACACTGGCGCGCCTTTGGGGCTAGATGAGGCACCGTCCCATCTGCGGAAGCTTCGGTATCTAGGGTTCAATATACTACGACTGCCGGTGGTGTGGGAAGCTCTCGAGCATGCTGGGCCGGGCATATACGATGATGAGTATATTGAGTATATTCGGAACCTGGTCCAAATATGCGTCGACCATGGCTTCAAGGTTCTCATCAACCCGCATCAAGACCTCTGGTCGAGACATGCTGGTGGGAGCGGCGCGCCGCTCTGGACGCTCCATGCGTGCGGACTGGACCCGGACCACTTTGGGGACACGCATGCTGCCATTCGGTACTGCGAGTGGCCGCCTGACAGCAAGGACAAAGACCCAAAGGCCATACCGCCCATGATGTGGACGACGAATCACAACCGGCTGGCGTCATCTACCCTTTTCGCCCTGTTCTTTGGCGGGAGGGACTTTGCGCCCAAGTGCCAGATTGACGGCGTGAATATCCAGGACTACTTACAGCAGCATTACTTTGCCGCGTACGCTCGACTGGCGGAGAAGTTGGGTGATTTGCCGTTTGGTTATGATAGTATGAATGAACCAGAAGCTGGATATATCGGCCTGAGTGACTTGGGCAAGATGGAACGCGATGACACGGCCAAGATTGGAAGTACCCCCTTCCCAATCGACTGTATGCGACTGGGCATGGGCATGGCGCAGGAGGTGCATGAGTACAGACTCGGCTCGACAGGACCCCACAAGACGGGAAAGATGTCTATCGAGCCGCGGACGTCTTGTTGGCTGAAGCAGGAAGACCCCAGATGGAAGTGGCAACGTTCGCCAGACTGGCCGCTCCGCACGTGCGTCTGGGGTCTTCACGGTGTCTGGAATCTCGAGACGGGCGAATTGCTCAAGCCCGACTACTTTGCTCAACTCCCCGAACGGTCGCATGCCGCAACACGGCACGAGAATGATGCAAAAGGCCAGCTTTCATTCATGTCGTCGTATTGGCAGGAATTTCACAAGCAATGGTCTACAACAATCCGTCAACACTCGTCAAGGCCTATTATATTCATCCAACCCAGCGTGTTTACGCCACCGCCACCCAAACAGGATCCTCTCACCGCTTACAGCCCGCATTTCTACGATGGGTTGACCGTGATGCAGCGACACTGGCACGAAAGATGGAACGCCGATGTGGTCGGCCTCCTCCGCGGACACTACAAGTCAAAGGTTTTCGGTCTTCGCCTCGGCAAGGATAATGTTCGGAAGATTATATCGAGCCAGCTAGGTGAGTTGCGAAACGACCTCGATCTCCCGACTCTGATTGGGGAAACTGGAATCCCTTTCAACTTGGATGATGCAAAGGCCTACCAGGACGGCGATTATACCGAACACAACAAAGCACTGGATGCGATTCTGAGCGGATGTGATGATCAGCTTCTCAATTATACGCTTTGGGCCTACTCGGCGATCAACAATAACGAATGGGGCGATCAGTGGAACGGCGAGGACCTTTCGATATATTGTCAAGAGACTGGGTCTTTCCCCAAGCATCCCATACTATGTGGGTTTCGGGCAGCGGCATCCTGGTGCCGACCATATGTGCAATCTCTTGCGGGAAATCCAGTGTCAATGTCATTTGACTTCAAGTCCAGCGCATTCGCCTTGAAAATCGAGTCGGAGGAACCGGGTGATGCGCTCATATATTTGCCATGGCTACACTACCGGCAATCTGATGAGTCCGAGGAACTGGCCCTAGACGTCAAGACCTCGTTGGGAGAATGGTCTGTCCAAGGCCAATTATTGACATGGCAGTATCCACGTGGAGGGGAAATCGAGATTAGGAGAGCTGAAAAGGCTCTGACGCCTGAGCAATTGGGCACTCTTGTGAAAAGGTGAGGGCCATATTTTTGACGATTGGTAGTTTGGTGACGAACAACCGAAGATCTTTTGATGACTTTGATATCAAGAGCGAGCTATTGTTTCATGTAACTTTGATCATAGACTTTTATATGCACAACTATAACTCCTGTCCAACTGACATGCACACATTTCATTATACTATATTGGAGCACTACTGAACAAGGGCAGTGTGAATATCATAGTTGTCCAAATGCACCAAAGCTTCCAAACAATTTCATCCCAGTCTTGCCCCAGCCAAAGCAACGTCAAAATGGCAATGGATAGCGCGGCCGATAGCAGTACAAGCCAAACAGTTGGCGATTGCACTTCCCAGTACACGAGGCACGTCATTGTCCATAGAACAACAAGGACAGCAATGCTAGCTCGAGTCCAAAGTTCTCCGTACAGCAATGGCATGGATTGTCGGCCTCTAGCTTCATCCCCCGGTATATCGGGAAGATCCTGTGCCTGGACAGTCGTGGCTACGATAACGGCAGTCAAGCCGATCCACTCATAAGGATACTTGACGGGCATGCCAATATCAGTGGTGACGCCAGCCAGGAGTATCTCAGCTGCGCCCCAGCCGAAACACGCCAGTCCAGCAGCATTTAGGATATTGCGAAAGTATGGCCCACACGATGCGCCCTCTAGGTCATTATACAGGTAAATAGCAGCCATGAGCGTCGTACTAGGAGCAGTCGCGCCAAGGAGAACACTCAGCCCGTACGCGATGGGCAGAAGATAGCGAAGGAGTAGGCTGGCCTCGGCTGCCGTGAGTCGTTTCGACGGCAACGGACGCCATGGCTCGTTCACCGCGTCCTCGAGAATCGCATCGGGCAGTCGCTGGTTGGAGACATCCTCGGCCAAGAGATGAGTCCAGATCCAGACGAGCGCCAAGGTGATGCGCAGCGCGATCTGTGGGGGACTGCCAATAAATCCCTTGCTGTAGTAGACCGAAGCAATCGCAAAGAGTGATTGCGGTAGTACCACGGTCTTGAAGTCCGACTTTGTAAACAGATAAAGGGTTTTCAGATGGAACCAAAACGTTCTCTCGTGATGCTGTAGTGAACTGTTAGCTAATAATATCTCAACATGAGTCAGACAATAGTCTCTTACTAGTTTGTTGAGCTGGCGTGAATAGGACACTGTTGTGGAGTAATTATCATCTAGTTTCGTTCTGCTTGATATAGACATCGTGAGGAATGTGAGCTGCTTAGGGCTGCATGGAGGAAGTTATCGATGCGTACACCCGCAACGTCCTGACAAAGGACTGGAATTATGAATACAACATCAGGCCTATATATGCCTAAATTACAGTAGGATAAAATGATTCTTTCACTCCATTGAGTATCTGACACAGGATACCTACTCTAGTATATCAACAACGCCAAGAGGCTTAACCCGGCGCTATGATGACGGGAATCTGATGCCCAGACTGCATGTTAACTAGGGAAGATGTGATAGTATACCCACTGTGGCACTGAAGAGATCCTGAAATTTTCCGACGACATGTCAAGATTTTTCCCTGAAGGGAAATGCCGCGAAGCTGAGCAGGGCAATGATCCGAAAGGGCCTTACCGTTAGTGCAGCCCACGTAAGCAAGTGACAGCATCAGACATCGTGGAAGACAATCGATTCACACCCAAGTGAATCATATTGAATCATCTTATACTGTGTATGAAAAAGCACGCTTAGATCTCCTACCTTGCTAGAGCTGCACTCTCAAATACAGGCATAGCGAACATCATCTCGTCAGCCCAGACCCGCCCGAAGCCAAGCCTGTGAATATGTACTGCAAGAGAAAAAGACATTCGGGTCGTATTACCACTATCTAGAGATAGAACCCTGCTATTGGTAGTGTATATGCTTTTGTTGAGAGTGCTATATGCCTGGTGATGAATGGTCACATACCACTCGTATTTTCACGAGGGTTGGATTGTGAGCCAGCCACTAGCACGATACAGTCACGAGTTGATGAAAGGAAAAAGAAAACACAGGGTGGTATAAATGCAGGCATAATTAAAAGCAACTATCCGACGTCATACGAAATACATACACCAACAGCCTACAGCCTGTATAGAATCCTGGAGCATCAACATGTCAACATGAGACGCGCCCGCTTCTGTCGCGGGACAGCCTGAAGTTTTCCTCTCGATCGTTCTTTTAAAGAATCATCAGACCAACCAATTGCTATGCGTCGCAATCAAGCAGCCTCAGCGTCACAGACTGAGAATGCGTCTTGCCGTTGGTGATACTTTTGAGTCGCCTTGATCAATAGGTGTAGGTGGGCAAGAACGACGATTCGTGCCGTCTGAAGAATCAGCCTGTCGAACGCGAGTCAAAAAGAGATTGGCGTAACTCGTCTGATGATTTGATACTTTGCCGCAACATTGTCGCAAGCACGCACGTCTGGACTGGAGCCCAAAATAGTTCTACGCACCTCACACAGCGTCTGGTGTTATAGCCGCGAGGGAGATTCTCCACACGACATGAGACGCCCCGCAGAGCAGTTGCTGGGATCCTGAAGGCCAGTTTCAGCCGCTGAGGCTCTGGACCCCACTAAACCTTGAGCTGATCACCACCCAGCGAGTGCATGCTGTCCTATCGACGATGCTTGAAACAGCGCTAGCCGTCGATCTTCCCAGTGCTCGTTCGTGTTCATTGTCCTTGGCGCTGCATCTGCATACAGGCGGGCCGGCGGCAATGCGCAGAGCGACTCGCTACAATGGCGACTCGAGGCCCGTCAAGGCGGCTGCAGAATGAAGAAAATTGATCGTGAATCACAGACAGGGCATCGTAGTTGCGAAACCGTTGTTCCCGTTGGCTCTTTGTTTCAATTCTCTGTCTGCTCTTTGACCTTTTATAACAATAGCTGGGTCCCTCAAGAGTTCAAGCATAAGCGATCGACTGCCTCAGTCATTGATCTTAAAGAAAAGAGAAAAAATATACCTACCTATCCTTTCATCAAAGCTTGTCACAACCAACCTTGGCATATAATCAACCGCATAAACCACTTACTCAACCAAACCCTACCGCATGACAATTATTTGAGATGGCACCAAAACTGGAGACTCGGGTGGACGCAGGGAGCTTTGGCGGTGCATTGGCTACCGGCGTCGTCGTCAGCATCGTCGTGGTATCCGTGATAGGAGGACTTATACTGGCGTCGGCGCTGTACTGGAGGAAGCTCGCACACAAAATCGCACCACACAAGTTCCAGACACCAGACTCGGAGAAGCCGTGGCCGAAACCACCAACAAAATCACTCGACGATGACTCCTCCTCTTCCAATCAGTCATCAGCCTCTTCCACGCCAGCCTCTTCCCGCTCAAATTCACTGCGGAAAAGCGACCCCGTCATCTGCAAGGAACTCAAACCATTAAAACGCCAAAGCACGGCCATGACGATACCGCCATTGACATTCGACAAACCCTTTACAGAAAAAGAAATGTAAAGGTCAAACAAAAGCTCATTCAGACATATTGCATTTGGTAGCGTTGCGCATTTACAATAAAGGAAAAGGATTGTTACGCCTCAACTTTTGAATAATCTTGGATATGCCTAAAGGTGTTTTCGATGCTGACCCAAGTTTCTGCTTGGGATCCATGATCTTGGATTAACATGACTATAAAACACCTACATTACCTAGACCATGGGCTAGGTTAGTGCGGCTCTGCTGGCAATGGTGGTGGGTAGCATTGAATATCCGCCTTGCATCCAGCTGGACTACTGAGACATGCCACTCACTATTAGATTTGACATTCGACCAAGGTAACCTTAGGTCAGTATCTAGGTTGTTGCACGTGGCAAGAAAGATCTTGACCAAAGCTCGCATAGGTCTCAACCAGTGATGAACTTTGAAGTGAAACCTTAGGAATGACGGCGCAACCTTGAGATCAACCAAGCTGATTGCATCATAGTGAAAGCAAGGGAGGAAGGTTGTCGCGTCGCGGTTGTAAGCGCGCCTTCTCCTCTCCTACCGCGACTGTACCAAAGAATGCAACGTAAACATCAACGAAATGCATTCGATTTCCAGAAGAGACACTTCACCTGTAAATGAAACCGAATTCCTATGCCTACGACCAAATCTACTTTATAATACTTACTTGAAATTCTTCCAAGTCTTCCTGTATAACGTAGCATCGGAAATGCGGGGATAGAGTGGAAAGCACCAATAGCGAGCCCAGCGCATCCGAGGATGACATCTAGCGTGGCAAGATTCAGCACTAATTGCTCTGCAAAGCATTCTGTTCTATTTGCCCTGATTTTAATCTATCCTTTTTTATCTTCCTCGTTTATTTCCCATCGTAATCACAGGTGACTTCAAATGATTTGGAAAAAGGCTAGAATGCGCCAATCACTACGAACCTGACGTTAGGTCGTGGCTGAGCTTATTCGTGCTCGTCAAAGAAGCGCTTGCTACAAAATCTGCAGTTGCCCATCAGTGGTTGCGCGATTGTTCCTTTGGCTTTGAAACCACAATCAATCTAGGAGGGAAGGCACAATGGTCAAGCCCAGGGATTACATCAAGCGGGAGCCTCTTGACGAGCTGCCACCACAAAATGTCACCACAATTGACAGAGGTATGCACGCATATAGATTAATTATCCTTAGGCATCAATTTTAACAATCCTCTTATTTCAATCGGCTGACGTATTGCCTTCGTTGCCTCTCCAGCCCTTGTCAAACCGACACGGGAAGATAGCGGTTCCTCTTCACCACTCGGGTCGACTCCGACTTCCGCACGTGAACGACAGCTTCAGCCTGACGGTCGCCAGCGGCAGGATCATTGCCGCATCAAGGAAGAGAACGGAAGAACGCAGCAAGTGCGACAGGGAGGGAATGCGACGCCGGTCAAGATGGAATCGGGGACGCAGGCACTGAACAGTCGCGCTCCCTTTCAATCTCGGATCAAGTCTGAGCCCAACACACCACACATCAAGTCTGAGCCTTCCTCTTCGAGAGCGACAACTACTCGCAGCGCTCCCAGGGCAGCGCCTGCCTGCCTAAATTGCAGAGCCAAGATCAAAATTAGATGCGATAAATGTCAGGCTGCTGGCTATTGTAGACAATCTTGCCTAGAAGCAGATGCGCAAAGGCACTTTGACTTTTGCGTCGGCGGTGTATACGAGGGGCAACAGGACCTAGGACCCGACGTTTGGCTTGCGTCTCGGTCAACTAGTCCCGAGCCCGCTGCTACAGCATCTACACAGAAACGGTCCTGTCTCAACTGTAGCAGCAGCTCGAAACTTCTGTCACCCTGCAGTTGCTGTTTTCGAGTCTTCTATTGCTCTTTGCACTGCGAGCAAATTGATCGACCACGGCATCGCGCCTCCATCGCAGGAGGCGTATCTGATCCTGGGGCCGGAACCAACAACACCCATAGGGATGTTAGGAGCAGCAATCTTGGTTCTGAAAGGGAAACCGACGAGTCATCGTCTATCGAACCAGACTATGACGGCGCCGGGCTGGTCGTGAACTCAGACATTGGCTTAGAACACGACACAGGCCAGTCAGGGCTCCAGCCATGGACTAACAATCCGGACACTGTAAGGCTCATTGAGCATCTGGCGAGTTTGCCCGATATTGATGTTCCACCGGCCGGTCGACAGAGAACCCCTCATGCTTTAGCTTGCGAGCTCCAGCCACATCAGAAGGTCGGCCTGACCTGGTTGATGAGACAGGAGAAGAGTATTCATAGAGGTGGCATACTTGCAGACACCATGGGTTTGGGGAAAACCATTCAAGCTCTGGCACTGATACTAGCACATCCATCCAAGGACCAAGCTCACAAGACTACCTTGATAGTCGCGCCAGTGTCCTTGCAAAGGCAGTGGAAGACCGAAATCGAAGACAAGATCAGGCCAGGTCACAAACTCAAAACCATCATTATCGACGGACGCAAGAGAAAAACTGTCACCATGGCCAGCTTGCTTTCTCATGACATTGTGCTGACCTCGTACGGTACCATCCTCTCCGAATACAGTCCACGGAAAGGCGCAAGTAACAAGAAATTGATCACCGCAGCATTGTACCATCGCATTATTCTTGATGAAGCTCACAATATCAAGAACGACAGGTCAAGGACATCTGAGGCTATCACTTCTCTGCGGGCTCGCTACAAGCTATGCTTGACAGCTACACCGCTCATGAACAATGTCCGAGAACTCTACTCCCTTGTCAGGTTTCTGCGAATTTCCCCATACGATGAATGGGCCGAATTCAACCAAACCTTTGTCAAGCCAACGAGCAGCAGATCTGACTTTGAGCGTCAGCCGGCTATGCGAGCCCTGCATACTTTCCTACAATCAATACTTCTACAGCGGACGGCCAATAGTCGCATCGATGGCCATCCAGTTTTACGTCTGCCGCCCCTCATCCATGAAACATCGACCATGGAGTTTGACGATGACCAGAGACGAGATTATAGTGCTGTAGAGCAGCGGATGCGAGACAAGTTCCAGGGCTACGTTGAGTCCAACACAGTACTGAAAAACTACTGCAATGTTTTGGTGATGATCCTTCGGCTACGTCAATTCTGCTGTCATCCACAGCTGATCACAGACCATGGTATACCAGATGGTATAAGGCTCAAGCCACGAGAAATGATCACGCTGGCGCTCAAACTGGATGAAGCGGTTGTTGAGTCGATCAAACAGCTGGAGGCTCTCCAGTGTTCGCTTTGCAATCAGACAACGGAAAACCCAGTCATCATCCATCCTTGTGGACACTTCTTGTGCAGTGTATGCTTTACTGGTTACGTGTATGTTCAAGAAGCGGCACAGATCGCTGATGACGGTGAGGATGAAGACTACCCCTTATGCCCGTCGAACAGCTGTGGCGAGATCGTCGATCCACGCAAAGTTCTGTGTTACAGTCACTTCTTGACAGCGTACGGCTTGGATAATGAAGGAGGCGCTGACGAGGAGCTCGCTGAGGAGTATTTGTCCACTGAAATGTCAGATGATTCAGAAGTCGATGAGCATGGCAATGTCAGAGGATTTGTGGCATCCGATGAAGACGAATCCTCCGCTAGCGAAGAAGAGAGCCACCTGGATAATTTAGCACAAGCCGGCCCCTCTGTCAGTCTCGAGCCTATAGAATCGATCAACTCTGATTCCGATTCCGACGAGTCCCTTCCAGAACTAGGGGTTCTGTTGCGGCGCACGAGTCCCGGCGCCTTGCCTTTTAGAAAACGTGCGAGGTCAAGCATGGGAAACTCAAGAGCCAACACAGAGGCAGAGAACAGTGCGGATATATTCGCAAAGCGGAACAACTTCTTGGACCGCCACATGGAGACTCTATCCGCCGCAAAATCAAAGAAATCAAAGACAAGTGGCTCCAATGGAAGCCATAGTTTCACATCACAGCGCCAAAAATCCTCCCGTTTTGGATACTCCGACGACGAAAGCCTTGATGAGACCGAGGAATCATCGCGGAAACGAAAAAGGTCTCATGGTAAAGGCATTGCTCGGGGAGAAGAGCCAGCAAGTCGACGACTCACAGCTTCCAACAACAACAAAGGAAAGAAGACCTTTGTTTCTCTTGCTGATCTGAAAGCTGAGAGCAATAAGAATGCTGCAGCAAAAGAAAAGTACCTGGCCAAACTGAATCAGGAGTACGAACCGAGCGTCAAGACTGAGGAAGTTATGAGAATTCTTGGCGATATTACAAAGAATAAACCAGGCGAGAAAACGTTGGTTTTCAGCGTTTTCACGTCATTCCTGGACATCCTCGAGAAGCCTATGCGAGACGAGAGGTATAATTTCCGCCGCTATGATGGTTCCATGGCCCGTCGGGCTCGCGAGGTCGCTGTACACGACTTTATGAAAAGACCAGAGGTCAAGGTTATGTTGATTGGCCTCCGGGCAGGCAACGCAGGCTTGAATCTCCAGGCAGCAAGCAATGTGATCATCCTCGACCCCTTTTGGAACCCATCTATTGAGGACCAAGCCGTTGGCCGTGCCCATCGATTTCCGCAAAACAAGCCAGTGACTGTCTACAGGGTCTTGATCAACGAGACGATCGAGGACCGCATTCTTCAGCTTCAAGAAGTCAAACGCGAATTGGTCGGCCAGGTTCTCGACAACCAGGCTGCCGGAAGCATGAGTCGTCTCTCTATCAGAGAGCTTGCAAGCCTTTTTGGCTTGAGCCTTCCTCAACGATCTCGACGAGGATTGGCAGGCCCGTTGGATGGCTAGGAAATTTATGGTGAGAGGCTTAGTATGAGAATGGAGCCTATAGCGATTATGGGACTGCTTTTGCTTTTCTACCGTTAACAGATACCCGTTGCTCTTTACATGCATTCCTTCTGGATGGAATGCAATATTGGTTTTGATGGCATTGCTTGGGCCCATTTCTGCAGTATCGAGGGGGGAAGGGCTATATGTAGTGCAGCGTCCATACGCAACGCGGCCCTTTATATTGAGACCTTATCAACCTGTCTTTAGTTTATTGTGCTTCTTTATATGGGTTGAAATGTGTGGTTCCTCGACAAATAGACCCCTGCCGAAGGAAACATGGCCAAGAGGGATGAAGTTGAATGAGCACTGGAGAAGCTCTACAGGTTGACTTTTGTGTCATAATTCCATCAACCATAAGCCGTGGAGGTTAAGTAGTCATTGGGCTCTTCATTCACACGGCGCTCGCAGAATTTTCCTTGCATTAAATCTCTTTCTGGTCGACGTAAGGCTACTTGTCAATGGCGCCGTACTGAACTCCTTCTTCCCGTCGCGCAAGAATGGAGCTTATGATGGGCAGTGCCGTCCCTAGAAACAGAAAGACCGAGGCTGCCACCAGAGCAGCCATGCCATAATCGAATTGACCAGTCGTCATGCCGTCATCCTCCCCGAGGGCCAACTGGATGTCGTGAAATGCCGTAAATGCGCAAACGGTACTCACCACCGTCATGGCAAACGTGACACACGCAATGACGGCTATAGTCACCGTCTTTCTGATGCTCGGCCGCCAAAGGGACCAGAGCCCGAGACCCAAGCCTCCGGCGCACGCCAGGGTGGCAATGGGGAGCAGCACGAGGATGCTGGTTAGTTGCGAGGTTTTGTGCGCGACCTCGTCGTCTATGGGGCTCACGCGGTACCCGTAAATATCATTCACGTCGCTGGACGCATCGTAGCCGACGCTGCGTTTTGTGCAAATGGCAAAGCCCGGCTTGAGAGCCCTGCCTTTTGTTGTGGTGCTGTTTGGCAGGTTTCAGTCACTTTCGACATTTGAGAGTAAGGGGAGAAAGGAAAGTTTTATTCTTCTTCTTCTTACAAGTCGGCGCCGACCTCGACGCAATAGCCAAAAGTTCCATAACTTACTGTCGGCCAGGCCCCGTTGTAGAGTGCAGGGTCCGTGGTTCTGACAGTGAAGATGGCGAGGCGCACAAAGGTTGGGGCCGTGAAATCGACCAGGCCGAGCAGAGCCAACGAGACTACGAGAGCCACGTTGGCCAGGTGCTTGGCAATAATCGATGATCTCATGTTTCTTTTATAATTTTTATTTCATTTGTGTGATGGGAACCGTCCGAAATAGCCACACTGCGTGTAGTAGCAGTATCGAGATCATATCGCTTTGGGGAGGCAGCCAAGCCGGGAGTGCTTTTTTTTCTTCTGGCAGTGGGAAACAATGAACGGCAGTTGAAAATACACCACTTGATAAAGGAGAATGTCGATTATTTTAGTGAGGTGGCCTGGGCGCCGCCACATAATAATGGAGCGAGATCCAGGGACCTTGCCGCTGTCCCGGGACGCAAAAAAAGCGACGGTAGAACGAGATCGGAAAAGTGGCCGATGTGTACAGATTACAATCCACTTTGTTTTTACAAGGGGGTGGAGAGAGTTCGCAACGCAGCATGTCCAACGACAGGAAGAATCAAGTTTGCGTGTGTGATCCGGGCTATGTTATGCTTACTTCTTTTTATACGAGACAACAATAGCCCTGGGGGGAAAGAAAGGAAAAAAGGATCACGAGTAATTGCACAGCCCGATTACTACCCCCAGTACCATGTGTATATTTGGAATCGCTCTTGCAACTCGAGCTGGCGCTGGATTGGATCGCTGGTATCACTAGATCGGCACTAAATACATGTGTGCTTGCTAGGTATCTAGGTAGAAAGCTGGTGATATGATGGCCCTATTCGAGTGTATTTGGTTCCATCTTAAAGGTATTGTAGAAACAATCAATTAGTGCTGACTGTATTGTTTCTTAAGACCGAGAGCCGGTTTCTTTTCATGCCGTCAAATTCAAGGTATTTACAGACAAGATGATTTATTTACGTTTGAGAAAGTCCATGACGCGTTGTCTTTGAACTTCTGCGTCAAGCCTGGATTAATGCTGCCCAATGTAAGTCTTCTGGGAATGTTTTCGCCACATGAAGCTGGTATCATAATCTAGTAACCAGTCGGTGTTTTGTTGGTGTACGTTGTAGAGTAGAGTAAAGTTTTCGCTTACCGCCCGAAGCGACAGCGATTTGATTGTTGCACAAGTACTATAGACACCTCTGGTTTGATCAGAGCGAATAAACGTCTTTTCGTATATATAATGAATTGGATATGCTTTTATGATAAATGGACTACATATTTTCGCTTCCAGAGTGACACGCAAGTGGAAACATGGTCTATTTTTTTTTTGCGGTTTGTGTCGCATCAACAGACGTTCCGAGTACAGGGTATAAGTAAGGTATAATAGCAATAGTTGCACAAAACGAGAAAAAAGAAAGTTGATGTTTCTATAATTATAGTGTAGTGATTGTCCGAGTAGCTATATACTTGTAGCTCGCGTAACATCATAAATGAGGAGTAGTATGATGGCCCAGTCGCCAAATTATAATGTCAGATACAATGCCAAGACAAAACAATACCAACTAGGATCTGGAGTTGGACATACAATTGATTGGTTCGGCTGTCTCTCTTGGGTCGCATTGCAGCAATGCACAGCGACTCTCTTACAGAAATGAGTGCAGCAGCTTTCGTTCGCAATGTATTTCCATTGAAGGTTTTGCGCGTACTTCTCATACCTGAAAGCTGTATGTAACTTGAGAATTCCGTATTCATATCTAATTCCAAATGACCTATATCTAGAATCACCAAATATAAAGAATCAACAGCTGCCAATACGCAATTGCGTATACGCCCATCAGTCTTGACATGGCACTGGGAGAGACCTGGAGGGATAAATTAATCATATCATGACAGCTCATTAGAACGCAACCCCATCCAGTCACACCATGACAGGGCGGGGAGGCTCGTCAGCCCATACTAATCGCATAAAAAGGTCACACTTCCTACGGCAATTGTCTACTCTCATTTCACTCCTACTTGCGATCTTGCTTTTGCATCATATCAGGAGTCTCCGCCGTTGCACTCCAATGTTCAAGATGCACACCCCATACGGTCTATACGTGGTTGTTTTGTCATTTTTCGTACAGATCCAGCATGTGGCATCCGTGACCAGCTCCGGAAATGCAACATATGCTATCATTGAGAAGGATGTGGTGATAATTGGTGGCGGCGCCTCAGGAGCACATGCAGCAGTCCGGTTACGAGAAGACTATGGCAAGAGTATAGTTATTGTTGAAAAGCAAGAGGACTTGGTAAAATCAATCATGGATCCATATCTTGTGCGCAGAATGTCCAGCTAACTGCTTACCCCTCCTGCCAAGGGTGGCCATGTCGAGACTTATATCGACCCAGTATCTGGGAATCCTTACGACTATGGTGTAAACTCCTACACCGAGTATGGCGGTGCCGAAGAATTCTTTACGCGATTCAATATTTCGCTTCAGACGCCAGTCCGGCCCACCTTGACGACGACATATGCCGACTTTCAGACAGGAGAGGTTCTAGACGGCTATGAAGCGCCGCCGTCTGCCAATGTGACAGCAGGCCTGCAAAAGTACTTGGAGATATGCGAGCAGTATGAGGACCTTATTCTGCCCTCATATGTGAATTTTCCAGAGACCAATGCGCCCGAAGATCTGCTTCTATCTTTTGGCGAATTTGTCACAAAATATGGGCTCGAAGCAATTGTGCCGCGAGTCTTTCAGGTCACTGGGCTGGGACTCGGGAACATCGTTGATGAACTCACCTTGTACGTGATGCAAGCATTCGGTGCCCCTATAGTACGAACATTTCTGGGCCAGAAAAACTCATGGGTGCCCACTACAAAGAGGAACCAAGACTTGTACGACAATATCGCCGCACTGTTGGGCAACGACGTGCTCTTTCGCAGCACTGTCGTAGAGTCTCAAAGGACCAACGACAGCGTCCAAGTTCTTGTCCAGGATAGCGAGGGTAAGAAGACATTAATCAAGGCAAAGCGGCTCTTGATATCTTCTTCGCCCACGGCAGAGAACTTGGCTACTTTTGATCTCGATCAAACCGAGCAAGACATCTTTGCCACATGGGGTATTGGCGCAGTGTTTGCCGGTATCGCCAATCATCCCTCTCTTCCGGTGAACTACTCGATTGTCAACTACCCAAGTTCGGTCGTCCCTGACAATTGGCTCGAGCTGCCTCAAACACCATTTATAGGGCGTTTTGAGTATCTAGGTGACTCGAACTTCCGGGTATTGGCGACAGGAACGGATCATTACGATGAGAAACAAGCGCAAGCTCTGGCACAGGCGGCATTTGAGAAGTTGGCTGCCGCCGGAACCGTGGCGGATACCCAAAGTCAGCCTCTGGAATTTCCTGCATTTGCGGCGCACATTGGTATTCACCCTCACGTTCCAGTCGAAAAGTTGCAGTCGGGCTTTTACAAACAGCTGTATGCGCTCCAGGGACGTCGATCCACCTTCTATACTGGTGGTGCTTGGGCGGCTGATTTCACCACCATTTTGTGGGAGTATAACAATCAGTATTTGCTACCAAAGCTGCTGGAGAGTTTTGTGTGAGTATAGCCACTCGCGGAGGATCAAGACGCGGATCATACAACTTTCCAAAGCAGTTATAATGAGAATGGGGTCGAGTCAGGTGTTCAGCTTTGCCATATTCGAGAGTCCAAGAACCACATTCAGAAATCTGCATGATAATCAATGCCTAGACAGTATATCCAGTAAGCATGATTATTATATTGTTCACAAGATGGTGCTAGGGAATCGTATCGCTTGATGGGAGCATAATGTAGGTACTTTCATTGATAATATAATGTCTGAATGCAGTAATCCCCAGTACCAGCATGGTTTCTGTTAGGGTTTATCTTACAGCGACTGGGTTCTGGAATGATTCCGATTGCATACAAACCTTAGGCATGCTCTCTTAGAGATGGGTTCGGATAAAGTCTTTATCTTGTTGAATCACAATTTGACTTTAATACTGCTCTGGCACATTTAGGTGGTTAGCTATGTACAGTTAATGGGGAGGGACTCTGAAAACTGGATGATCGAATGATGAAATATGTATCAGGGACCCCCTGTCCCTTCCCGCCCTCCACAACGGACAGGGCAGCAGGGACTGGCTTTAGCGCGCTTTCCCCGAAAAATCCGGCCCTGAACTTACCTGTAGCGCTGCCTAACGGAAACATAAAATTTGGGCGTGGCAGCTAGGACCTCCCCTAAGTGGCCCGGCGATTACACCCGTGAGCCACCGTACCTTCTTTGGTGTCCACCATTGCGCCAAAACGCAGCTCCAGTTTGTGGGCAACGCGCCGTTTATCCTGGGTGAATCGTGAAAAGCTTCTCGCCGTCGAACGCCTCTGTGAAGTTCTTCACTCATCCAGTATAACGGACCAAAGGCCAGTACAAAAACAAGAACAGTCACCTCTTTCCTTCTTTCTCTGTCCGACTCTTTGTCCTGCCGCCCCTTCGCTTGCTGCGGAAATCTTGACGTGACTGAGATTAGTAGTCAGTCCCGAACGTCTAGACAAACTGCATCCCACCTTATTACCCAAGCTCACCCAGAAGTTTCCACGAGAGCCTGTGAATCTGCGCCCAGCTTTGGGATTGGTCAACCTCATAACTCAGCCTCGTCGCCTTCGTTCTTTTTATATTTCCCCCATTCTTTCCCCAGCTTGACCCGCCGACAACAACAACATCTCGCAAAGCTTTTACATTCCAACAAGCAGTCATCATGGCTCTCTGCAATATGCGCCTCGCCGAGGAGAGGTATGTCCATGTCGCGAGTTGTGCGCAACTCTTTCTTGCCGGTTCACGATTTGCGCTGCGTACATAATTACTAACATGCGACACTCTAGGAAGCAATGGCGAAAGGATCACCCTTTCGGCTTCTGGGCCCGACCTGTCAAGCGGGCAGATGGCGTCATGGATTTGAAGACATGGGAGTGCGGCATCCCGGGCAAGGAGAAGACCATGTGGGAGGGTGGCCTGTTCAAGATGACCATGACTTTCCCCGATGGTAAGTCATAGGGCGTTGCCTCTGATTATGGTCCTCGGTGCTGATTGATTTCCTGTCCAGAATACCCCACGAAGCCTCCCAAGTGTAAGTTCCTACCCTATTCCAACATTCCCATGCGCACACGTTTGCGCGCAGTCGCCAGTCACGAGAGCTAATGTGTTATTGTCTCTTCCACAGGCAAGTTCACACCTCCCTTGTTCCACCCGAACGTCTACCCGTCCGGCACCGTCTGCCTATCGATTCTGAACGAAGAGGAGGGCTGGAAGCCGGCCATCACGGTGAAGCAGATTGCGCTCGGCGTCCAGGATCTTCTTGACAACCCCAACCCCGAGTCGCCTGCACAAGCCGAGGCCTACAATCTGTTTAAGAAGGACAAGGTGGAATACGAACGACGTGTCAGACGCGTTGTCAGAGAGAATGCGCCCTAAATCCGCAGCCAGCTTTTGGCTAGCTAATTTGTCAACATTTTCACGAAGACGCCGGTGGCAAGCGAGATATTTGAGAGCACGAGGACAAAAAATGACATGAGGAAATGGCGTTCAGGAAGGCGTATACCACTTGCGATGGCATCACTGGGTTCTTTTGCAGACAGCATTTCACCATGCTTCATATCTGGACAGACGAGTACTGGTGTTTCCGTGGCTTCATGCATCTCAGTTACGGAACGGAGTCTGGCATAGATGATTTACTTTTCCCTTCGGAAGACTTTGACAATCGGTGACTACTTGAAGATTTCGTTTGCTGGCAAAATTGTGATCACATATCTCTTTGAAGGTGCTCTCTGGCGTACGCGCAATACTGCGAACAGTTTTTCCCACCATTTCTATACGTAAGAGGAGCCGCAAAATGGAAGAACATCTGCCCCACGTTAAGCTTGAGGTCCCGGACCTCGAACATCAGTATCAATTGTATGTGCGTATCGTAGTGCCCCGCGATCTTCAGGCAATGAGTATACTGCCTAGGTATAGATGTATGCGGCAGCAAAATATCACCCCGTCTAAACTGGGAGGCAAGAAGAGAAAAAAGGATAGAATGGCATGATGTCAAACTCTACATGGACATGCTCGACATTGGCTCCCTCAAGGATGTTGGCCAATTCATTGCGTCCCCCCCTCTGGCTCTCGCTCTCTGTCTTTCAAGGTGCGATAAGCATCCGAGGTTGAGGTTTCGCATGCAAACATACGCCCGATATTGGCGGTCAAATCTACCTCGTGCATACGAAAAGAAATTGGAGTACAGGTCCCTTATCAGTGTATGTTCCGTCCGGAACCGCCTATGATACATTAGGTACCGTTGGCCGGCTAGTACCTTAGTCGTTGGCAGGGTCCCAAGTCCAGGTCCCCAACCCAAATCTTTTCCCGTCTCGAAATTGTCAAGCAAAACAGTCAATTCTCTACCCCAATAACCAGTCATCAGCCGAGATCGGCACTGCGAGATATGGGGACCCAAGAGTCCAAGACACCCGCACACGACTGCAAAGGCCGCAATTATGACGGCGTCAGCTAGTTTCAACGGGTCCCAGAATATTCAAAGGGAAAAAAAGAGGTCAAGCTATGAATCACACCTGTTGACTGATGACTGTTTCCCCCAACCCCTGGTCCTGTGCCCTTTTGCTGGATCTAGTTGTCCGCTAAATTTCGAGTAGATCCAGAACTTTTTTTCTCCCATTGACTCGGCTCTTCCTCCCTCCCACCTTTCTGTTCCATACATTGTGGTTCGTAGATTTCGTCACAGAGCTCAGATCCTGTAGGACAATTTTGCTTCTTGTCATTTTTTATTTTCTATTTTTCAAACAAGCTCTCGTTTTAAACCGACAAAATGTGTGGTCTTTTCGGGTGCCATCAGTAAGTTACAAGCAACCAAGCAAAAGCCGTCGAGCGCATTCGGAATCGCCCAATTCTCGCTTGCGCAGTCCGCCGCCCAATTCAGTTTTTTGGAGGGGCAGTTGCGCGACCCCGCCATAATCACATTTACCTGGTTCGCGATTGGAAAAGATCCTCAAAGCTGATTGACTTGCTTGCGCGCAGCCACCCCGACGTGCAGAAATTCAAGCCGACTGCTCTGCGACTGGCAAAGCAGTAAGTGTTCCATCCACTCTTGTATACCATTGGCGATTTTGACTTTGACACTTTTCTGTCTCATAGGATCCGCCACAGAGGCCCCGATTGGAGTGAGTCAACAACATTATACAAAAACCTATATGCGGTCTTGCCGACAAAAGGGACACGCGTTGACAGTTCATGATTTATAGGTGGAAACTTCATTTCCAACAACACAAGTACGTCGAATTATCCTTGCCGCGATACTTTCCCGCGTGACGGTAAAACTAACATGGCGTGAATCTAGTCCTGTGCCATGAGCGTCTCAGCATTGTCGGTGTTGGTAAGTTGGACAGCTTCTTCCATTTATACTCGCATAGCCATGTGCTTGTCTGGCCACCTTTTTTTACTAACGCTCACCTTTTTCAGAGTCTGGTGCTCAGCCGCTCACCAACGAGGATGACACCATCATCCTAGCCGTCAACGGCGAAATTTACAATCACAGACTGATCCGAAAGAACTTGAAGACTCCCTACCACTTCAAGACACATTCGGACTGCGAGGTCATCATTCCTCTGTACATGGAGTATGGCCTCGACGCTCCCAAATACCTGGATGGCATGTTCTCCTTCATGTTGTACGACAAGAAGCTCGACCGGACAATCGCGGCCCGCGATCCCATCGGAATCACCACCTTTTACCAGGGCTGGGACAGCAAGAACGACAACTCGGTATACTTTGCCTCTGAGCTGAAGTGCTTGCACTCTGTCTGCGACAAGATCCGGGCCTTCCCTCCTGGTCATGTCTACGACTCCAAGACTGGCGAGACCCACCGGTATTTCCAACCTTCCTGGTGGGACGGTTCCAAAATCCCGGAGACTCCTTTGGACCTCAAGGCCATCCGCACTTCCCTGGAGAAATCCGTGCGGAAGCGACTCATGGCTGAGGTGCCATATGGTGTCCTCCTGTCTGGTGGTCTTGACTCTTCTCTCGTGGCCTCCATCGCCCAGAGAGAGACTCTGAGAATGAAGGCTCTGGCTCAGGCTCAGGCTGCCCAGAACGGCGAGACCGCAGAGGAAGATGCCGACAAGGGCGAGGGTCTGGTTGGAATCGACGACCACAACGATCTTTCGACCGTCACCTACCTCCCGCAACTCAACTCCTTCTCGATCGGTCTGCCTGGCTCGCCCGATAACGAGGCTGCCCTAAAGGTCGCCAAGTTCCTCGGAACTAAGCACCACGTGATGACCTTTACCATCGAGGACGGTCTCAACGCCCTCTCCGATGTCATCTACCACCTCGAGACCTACGATGTTACCACAATTCGTGCCTCGACGCCCATGTACCTGCTCTCTCGCAAGATCAAGGCTATGGGCATCAAGATGGTGCTCAGTGGCGAGGGAAGTGACGAGATCTTTGGTGGATACTTGTACTTCCACGCCGCCCCTGACAAGAAGGAATTCCACGAGGAGACGGTGCGCCGTGTTAAGAACCTGCACCTGGCAGACTGCCTCCGTGCCAACAAATCGACATCTGCCTGGGGTCTTGAGGCTCGCGTGCCGTTCCTGGACAAGGAGGTAGGATCACAATCCCCTCACCCGACTTCCTGCATGTGTAAGCTTTGCTGACAACCTTTCTACTATTAGTTCCTGGAGACTTGCATGAACATCGACCCTGCCGAGAAGATGATCACCAAGGATCGTATTGAGAAGTACATTCTGCGCAAGGCCTTTGACACCTCGGACGAGCCCGGCGAGGCGCCTTACCTGCCCGATGAGATCCTCTGGAGACAGAAGGAGCAGTTCTCGGACGGTGTCGGATACGGATGGATCGATGCTCTCAAGGACAACGCTGAGATGAACGTGACGGACGAGATGATGAAGAACCCCAAGCCTGAGTGGGGTGACGATATCCCCGACACCAAGGAGGCATACTGGTACCGCACCATGTTCGACGAGCACTTCCCTCCTCACTGCGCCTCCACAGTCATGAGATGGACGCCAACCTGGTCGCAACAGAGCGACCCCAGTGGAAGAGCCATCTCCACCCACCAGGCCAAGTACGACAACGCTGCATAGAGAATATAGAACCAGAGAAATACCTGGTGAAGAGACAATGTTTGGCATAGAAAAGTAGATACCACATCTGGGTTATTTTTTTAAGGCGATGTGGGAGGCTTCTTTTAAGCTGGGAAATCATGAATCAATCAATACCATGAAGACATTCAAATGGAACATAATGAAGGCCTGGAACTGTGTGGATTATGACCGAGTGTCGTTTCAATATGCTCTTCTTGTGTGATTTGGGACGGGATTGTTTATGATCTTTTTTTTTTAAGCTGAAAATAAAGCTTTGTCATGTAGGTGGAAAATGGTGCGAGACTTGGTGGAATAGCCGATGATACATGGTCAATTATGCTTTGTTACCCAAAGTATAGGCAGTCCAGGAATGAGTGACATTATATAAACATCAGACCCCTGTTTGCCATGTGAGCAATATGCATAATTGATCCCAACCAGGCCACAACGCGATAGCTCCTCTGTATACTAGGTAACTCAGGAGAGGAGCACTCGAGTCCATTGCTTATGCTTTCCCCCCCATCAATTCTCCTTCTGCTCTTGTGCTACCCCCAACAGATTGAATGGGCATACATACATGGAGCAATAATGCGTCTCTTCATGGTAACATAGGCAAGACTATGCAGCTTTGGCTAGTCGGCTACCTAGACTGGGAATTCGAAGCAGAAATGCCCATCCTGCATGAATCGACCGCCCTCCCGGTAATTTCCCTTTGGGCCAGCCAGACGCGCTTGATTGGTGCACATGATCGTCGCCTGGACTGCAATTCGCCCTGACAGCCGACAGTTCTGCTGCGGCGGTGGAGTTTCCCTAAGAAAGCCCCCAGACGGCGCTAGACCTAACTGGTAGCTGGAACCCAATCGTCACTTGACAGCGTCCCGACTCGCTGCTACCCGCGGCCGCCAAAGAAAACAAATTTCATCATCCAGAACCGCCAGAAAGTCTCTCTTCGTCTCTGTTGACACCAGATTCTTTTTCTCCCTATTCCATAAACTCGAATTGCCTTTCTCCCAACTCTAATCACATCCCTCCCATCCAAACAACTCGCCCAACATGTCTGTTCCCGCCTTCTCTGACATTTCCAAGTCCGCCAACGACGTGAGTTTTCTATTCTGTCCCGGCCGCCAGCTGCTGCTGCTGCTGCACCATTGAGCTCTAAGCTTGGCCATCCACACCACCCCCAACGGTTTCCTCGCGTCTGGATCTGCAGCAACAGAAATTTCCCGCATGAGGCTATCGCGAAGAACTTTGAGAGATGCAGCAGAGGCTGCATCTATTCTTCATATTTGGCCATCTTTTGTATCAAACTGACAATTCTTAACCTGCCTATTAGTTGTTGAACAAGGACTTCTACCACCTCTCTGCTGGTACCATTGAGGTCAAGAGCAACACTCCCAACAATGTTGCTTTCAAGGTGACTGGAAAGAGCAGCCACGACAAGCACACCTCTGGCGCTGTAAGTTGATCCATTCCCCCAGCGCATGGCCATTAGTCAATTCCGGGATGACTGCAATTGCTTTCCTCTCAATTGACTGATGGCATGCTGCTGCTCTTCCATCATCCCCCTACCGTGATTGAGTCAAAAGGCTGACCATTGCCTCGTCTACTGCATACAGCTGGAGGGAAAGTACTCGGACAAGTCGCTCGGTAAATCACCCACACAAGGATCCTCATCCTCATCATCAAATTCAGTTTCCAGCAAGGACAAGATACCGAGACATAAAAGATCGAGGAAGAAACCGCCCTCGTTCTCGGTCTCGCTTGGGCGCATCATCGTGCCAGGCCCTCGCGACTATCCGCTGAATCTTGCCATCATTCTCAGCAATTCTCATCCAGCGACAGTGCTAACCTCGTTCCACCACTTAGGTCTTACCCTTACCCAGACCTGGAACACTGCCAACGCCCTCGAGTCCAAGGTTGAGCTGGCTGACAGCATCGCCAAGGGCCTGAAGGCTGAGGGTGTCTTCAGCTTCCTGCCCACCAACCAGGCCCGCGGTGCCAAGCTCAACCTGCACTTCAAGCAGAACATCTTCCACGGCCGTGCCTTCTTCGACCTCCTTAAGGGCCCCGTCGCTAACGTCGATGCCGTTGTCGGCCACGAGGGTTTCCTCGCTGGTGCCTCTGCTGGCTTTGACGTCCAGAAGGGTGCTCTCACCGGCTACAGCGCTGCCCTCGGCTACGTTGGCCGTGGCTACACCTCCTCCATCACTGCCACCGACAACCTGAGCACCTTCGCTGCCTCGTACTACCACAAGGTCAACAGCCAGGTTGAGGCTGGTGCCAAGGCTACCTGGAACTCCAAGACTGGCAACGCTGTTGGCCTCGAGGTCGCCAGCAAGTACCGCCTGGACCCCGTCTCTTTCGCCAAGGTTTGTTCTAAAGAAACATGATCCCCCACCACTTCCTTCCTGCTGACAAAGTGAAATCAGGCCAAGATCAACGACCGTGGTGTTGCCGCTGTCGCCTACAACGTCCTCCTCCGCCCTGGTGTCACCCTGGGTCTCGGTGGCTCTTTCGACACCCAGAAGCTTGACCAGGCCACCCACAAGGTTGGTGTCAGCTTCACCTTTGAGGGTTAAATTGGATGGGATGAATGATGTTACGAGTTTCGAGAAAGGGGCTTTTTTCATGGAGTCTGGGGAGCTAGACAGTACCTGGGCACAAGTCGGCAATACCCCCTTTTGTAAACCTCCCATATGTGTATCACATAAAGCATGTTAGATCTGCATTCTGGCGAAAAAATATTTCCTCTCGAATGTAGATTAGACCGTTCCAAAGAGGCATTGTATTCATCTGCGGCGCGCAATGAGGTTCTGGTGATTATGACGATTCATCTTGATTATGCAACTGTGTTTATGATAAACTGGTCAAATCCATTGGGTATCCTCAAATACGTATGCTGCAAAATGTGTGCCCTAACAGGTAGCTAATTCTCATGACCTTGCGGTCCCTTTCTTCTTTCCTCGATCTGCCCAGGACCGACTGAAGAAGTAAGGCCCCATAAAACTGATCAACAGCACTCCGCCAATGACGAAAAACATGCCTGTTGGGCCTCTGTCGGTTTCTATCTCAATGCGATCCCGGCCACCCATCCGCAGGCGCCAGCTGCGCGTTCGATGTTCTTCGGTGTTGCGCTGCGTCTTCTCGTGACTCTCGCGGTCAAAATGCGGCACATCGCCTCGGTGGCCAAATGGGTCCTGTCCCGGACCCATGCCCCCGGCACCAAAGCCGAAGCCGGCGCTGCCAGCATTCTCGTTGATCCAGGAGCCATCATTGTGATGGTCCCGGGTACGCCCCTTGCCAGATGACGCACCACCGGTGCTCTCCTCCTGGGCGGCGCTGCGCTTGGCCTCGTGGGCGCCCCAGCCGCCGCTGCGATAGAAGCTCGGGGGCGGGCCCCGGAACGCGGTACGGCGACGCGACAGGCCGGTGGCGGGTCGGCCGCCGGCCGGGTTGGTCGAGGAAAAGGAGCCGCTGGGATGGCCTGCCGAGACGCCGCGGTGCAGGCCCAAGACGTCGCGGTCGTACTTGGCGCGCTTTTCTTGCGAGGACAGCGTGCCGTAGGCCTCGGAGATGCGCATGAAGCGCTTCGAGGAGCTTGGGTCGGCTCGGTTGAGGTCCGGGTGGTGGGTCTTGGAGAGGCTGTAGAAGGATCTGTTTGTTTGGGCGGGACGTATCAGCGTGGGGTTTCCTTTCTACAAATATACTTGGCCGGGTTGCGTTTGGGGCATTGAGTCTAGGAGGAGTAAAGGGAAAAACGTACTTTTTGATCTCGGCCGGGGAGGCGCCGGGCGCGAGGTTCAAGGTCTCGTAATGATTCCTCGAACTGTCAATTGCGGCCGCATCATGGCGGAGGTGCGAGGTCGTGTGGAAGCCCTGCTTCTGATGATGTTGCCGGGAGGTGGAAGAACGGTTGAGGAGGGCCAGGCGAACGCCCGTGGGGAGGGAAGAGCAGCGGACTGGCATCCCTCATCCCGAATGGCTAGCTCATGCGTGATTGGTTTCTTTCTTTTCAGTGAGAGCGAGTTCCCATGCCTTCTTCAATTCCTCGCGAAATAATGGGAGCGGCGGCTAATTTGTATATAAAGGGATTGAGGATGAGGCTAGAACAGAGGATGCGCAAGCTAGGTGACAATCTATGATTTCGATATCGGATCTGGCCTGCGGCCGGCGTTGGTGACGACATCACATAGATTATCTACGATAGCATAGCCGCGCACCTGGCAGCCAGCTGCGCGAGATCCGGACCGATAGGCTAGGGGTGGATGTCCGGCCTGACTCGGGGCGGGACCGGGGACCCAATACACCTCCTAAGTCGGCTTCATTTGTCGATATACACCTCTTGGTCTCAGACCATACTTATGACTTGTCCATGTATTAGTCTTGTTGGGAAATGATCGTAATAATAAAGCTGGGTGGAGGGGCCTCAATCTGCTCACCGTTGTGGCCGACGTGGTTCTTTTTTTTTTTTTTTCCCTTTTACTCTCTGCCCTATATTCGGCCCTTTATGGAAGATCATGTCCATCGGCCGTGTCTAAATTTATAGGCAGCACAAGAAACAGAGGCTTTTGCATTTCCTAAATCGGCGGCAAGCTCGAGCACTGGATACGTCGCTTTCGAAATGACCAAAGCGGTCCCCTTTCGTGCTTTGGAGAACTGTCATGTTGTTGGGATGGAAACTGAGAATTCCATTCATTGCTTATTTGCAACTCTTATGGGGCCATCACAAAGACGAATTCCATATGAATCTATGTTTTGAAACGTTTCGATGTACTATCATGCTCAGCCCGACACTTTATCTGGCGTATTATGCTGACTTAATACATTCTTTGTATTAGAAGTGTCTGCTCCTCGTGATCGTCGGGTTCTCAAACATACCAATTTCCCAACACCTGCTGGCTGGACTGTCGTCTTCCTCTCTAAATACCTATGATGATTCTTGTACATCTTTCTGAACTCTGCTACGTAGTGCTCGTTTCAGTCCCCTCTTGACAGAGTTAATCACTCGTTCCAACAGGGCTGGCTTATGTTTCTTTGGCGCTGCATCTTGGTCGGCGCTATTTCTGTTGTCCGCAGGTCGTGATGTATCGTCATATTGATCGAGCGTGTCTGCTTCTTGGACTCGTGGTTTGAAATATTCGAAATGGACGGAGATAGATGAAGGATTTCTGGGACGAACTTGAGCAAGAGCGGCTATCCCTACGGTTGAAACACCCATGCGACTTCTGGATCGGGATCTACTTCTTGACATGGACACAGGGCGATGTACATATGCTCTGCGAAGATCTATGGTGGCTTCTGGAGCTTAATCTGCCGTATTGTCGTCTACACCGACCTGGACTGTCTTGGAAGATCTCGTGCTATCATCCGAGTGAGAAGAGGGTGGTAAGCTAGAGTTTTCGTTGCAAGACTTTGGATTCATCTCCATGGTTCACTCAGCTCAGCCAAGCACCACGACAAGAGAAGTTTTTGGTCTTTTTTCTTTTTCTTTTTTTTTTTTCTTCAGAAAGATCTTGTTGATCAATCTTGAAGATGTGGCCAGTTTGCTTATGGATTATCAACTTCTCAGTTTAGTGGGTGGTAAGCCGTTGGGATCCCAGTGAGTCAGCCCAACGTCCATGCTCAGCCTTCCTCACCTCACTTCTCAACGACATAATTAGACTGTCACGCCTTTCCTGTTTTTCAATGACACAACATATTGTTGTGGGCCGTTAACGTGTCAGAAAAATATCTAAAAACAAATATTCAAAGACTGTTCTCAACCAAAAGTTATACACGTAGCAGTTGGGAGTGCTTGATCACAATATGAGCGAGCCAGGACCGAAGCAAGTACCTGTTGATATTACACGAGAAGATTTCCAGCGGAAGCCATGGAAATATGCTGGTTATGGAGCGTATTCTGGTGTAGTCTCTTTGGACGACTTTCTGATTCTGCGTAGGTTTGATGTTCTGAACGCCAGGGTAGCACTGCTCCTCCAAGACAAGGTAGTTGAGTTGGAGACGCAGCTTGAGAAGCTAGACGACTTTTACAGCAGACAGGCGACGCAGGATCTGGATAATGGCACCTTTAGAGGCGATCTCCAGAATCGTTCTGAACTTCTGGAGAAGATTGCGGTTGCTCTGAAGAGATATAGTGAGTGTCCAGGGCTTGTTTGATGTTCATTTAACTGAATCCATAGACGACTGGCTACTTCAGCAATCTGATTTACGGAAACTGGCACCTGCTCCGGCCCATGACATCAAACAGCTCCAGAAATGGCATGAAAACCATCAATTTGTGGCTATAGAAAAACAAGAATTTCGATACTTAGAAAGGAAGGACGACCTCGTCAGACTAGTGCCCGAGAATAAAACAAATGTGCGCCGTTTGATTGTTAAGTCCAATTACCTCAGCACCCTTTCAATCTGGAGGAAAAGAAAGGAACATGACTCGGAATGCAACGATCAGAGTATCCAATATTACTCCGAGAAGAGGCTCAACAATTTTGCATCTGGCATTATTGTCACCGTCGGTGTCATCATGTTGATTACTCCCTTGTGGATCTTGAAATATCTCGATTCACCCGTATCAAAGTTGGTGGTGATCACCGTCTTCAACTCCGTCTTTCTTCTCGTCATGTCATTCCTCATGGTGGCCAAGCCTTTCGAGGCTTTGGGAGCCACAGCGGCGTAAGGTTTACTTCAAATAATCCATGATGAGCCTTCTCGCTAATTCTTCTGACAGTTATGCCGCTGTTTTGATGGTGTTCATGCAGGTTGGCACTTCATAAGCATTGTTCAAGCGTCTCTTACGACGGTCACGATGTCGCTGTTCATATAACGTGAAGAAGAAGAGTACATGGCACATGTGGGCGAGTCTGAAAGCGTCAGAATCAGTCAACCCATGTCAATAGACGAGTTGGAACCACTCAAGACTTTATGGTAGTAGTTTTTTGGGGAAGAACAGAGTCAATTCTGAAGCTCTCGGGTCAGCAGACGCTACAGTCTAGTCGGACATGTTTCTTATCACTGGTCTACATTCTTCTACACCACATATGACGCCATGCAAGATCCACAACTCATTGTCTACTCTCCTTGACGATATATGCATGTTTATCTACGCCATCGGTCACGACCTTGACCTCGACAGTAGACCTGCCTGCCCTAGCAAGGCACCTTGCCACCTCGACTTCCAGTTCATGTGCACGTTTGGCCAAGGTCGTGCAAAGGGGCTTCAAGGGACTCCAGGGCCCCAAGCTCGCCGTGATGCATTCATGATACCATTTACAAAAAAACTTGGGAGAGGCTGGTGAGTTGTCTTGTCTGTCGATCTTTTGAATGAAACCACACGAGTCCGCCTCATCGCCATAAAAGTAACAACAACCTTTGCATCGGATTACCAAAATTATCTCCTTTAACGAGGACATATTCGCTAGAGTGATAATATCTGTTTTGTCCCAGTGTACCCAAGCTTTTGCCGGCCCTGCTATATTGACGTAAAAGGCAAGTCTTTGTATCTTGGTAGCCCAATGGTTGCCTTGGAATGTTGCCGGTTGTTGACGATGGACATCGCGCGACAGCAAATGCAGTCTTTCTCGGGATTCGAGACGAATATCATCAATGAAGAAAATGTCCTTCTCAAAGTTGACCCAGGCATGTGCTGTTCGACAGTAATCTCCGGCATAATCGGCGCCGGGGTCGTCAAAATAACTCTGAGCGTAGGGGAACATGGCACCACGGGATATCGTGGGTTGAGCAAAGTTGATCTTGTTGGTGAAGCGGATCTGGTGATATATGGGATCTACATGATCGCCCAAGGCAGCCTCTGCAGACATCCAAGATTGGGTACCACAGTCGAACGCGACGTATTCCGTGCCGGACGCACCGAGCATGAAGTGATGGCGGACTGGAGGAGCATCCTCTCTCCAAGCTTCCCAGATCGAGAGCTGGATCTCGGTGGGAAGCCTGGAGAAGCAGTGAAATTCGCAAAGCGGCTCTTTCATATTGATGGTGCAGGAAAATATGGGGGAAATAGTCCTTTTAACAGGCTGGTACGGGATGGATACATCTTCTCTGGTTTTCTTTGCGATGTGCGGATATTACAGAAATTGTATCTTGGGCAGCGGGGGAACTACATTGCTTTATAGATGGCTACATCAAGGTTCTTGTCAACTGACCCCAAGGCACACCTGCAGAATGGTTACAAGTTTTTCACATAGTTTCCCGGAAACCTTTTCCATCTTACGGACTTGACATATCCATGCTTTCGGAGGATAAATAAAAGTGATGCACTAAATGAGCGTTCATCGTGTTGATACAATCTTATTCGTCGCGTTGTGTAGGTCGGCCGGAATCGATGAAAGCCGGAATCCCAGTCAAGCCCGAAACGCAACTCTATAAATGAAGCCGAAATTGACAAAACAAACTTGCTCAATTCCAACTTTGCAGCCCAGAAGACTATGATATTGACCCTCTATTTTCTGGACAGTGGACGGACGATGTCATTGGAATGATGCAGGGTCTAGAGACACGCTAGTCTAGTTGACACATTCCAAGCTATCATGTATATACATGATTCTTTACCAACGTGAATATAAGACCACGCCGCAAGAGAAATATTGTTACCAACCTCTACAACTCTCACTCCCTACAAACACTACAGACACATTCAAATATCATATCAAAGCGGTGTACTATGTCAGCATCTTCGGCCTCCCCAGAGACACTTGTGGTGCACGTCATCAAGACTTGGCTCTCATCGAGCCACCAAAGGATCGAAAGCTTCTGGGTAGGGGCACAATGGGAGAAGTGGGCACGCTATGAGCTCTTCATGGCTCTCGAAGAGGCTCTCGGCTCGCAATGTCTCGTGGTCCACAGCATGTCCGACTTCTTCGAAGACAGCGACGAGGAGCTCGACATTCTGATTGAGCCGCGCGAAAACGACCAGGCAGTTATTGCCATCAAATTGCGGTGCGAAAAGGTCAACGAGAACGAAGGGAGCTACGAGAGGTTCCGCGACCAGATGGATGCCGACATGACCAAGATACAAGGCCTCGGAGGGGTGCAGAGCGGCTTTGAGGGCGCAAAGTTGCTGCTTGTTGGGTTTGGGGGCGAGCCGAGTGCCGAAGATGCCGATTTTAGGACCCAGTCTCAGCCTGAGCATCTTGTCGAGGGAGAAGTACACTGTTGGATCATGAAGAAGGAATATCCATTGGAAACATGACATGCGGTTGCCAAAAGGCAGCAGACGCAGCCGAGAAAATGGTATTAGGCAAAGACAATTCATGGGTATCTGTGAGGTCTTGATAGTATTTCCTAGGTACTGGAGACAAGACGGAATGGCAAAATATCATGAAATGATTGTCGCTGCGTGTCATGGTTGAGTTTCTCTTGAGGTAGATATGAGAATCACCATCAGTGCAAAATTCTATAATCCTCCCGATACGGTAATAAGCCCCAGTGAAGAGTTGCGGTATGATATACCCCCACAGGCGGTAGGCAGGTGTTTGTATGACAAAGGCGAACAGCAGTTTCGGCAGGGTGGGACGGAGTTATGGGGGGTATGAGCTCATACCCGCTGCACACCTAGAGATAGCTCATCGGTGACAGCTTGTCCGACGGCTTACATTGATTCGGCGTCTTACCATTTTGTTCTTCACAGGCTTCCTTCCATTCAAGGGCGAGGAACGTTGTCACGACCACCCAAAAAGCAAGTCTTTGCTTTAGACACAACGGGGCAGGGATGTATTCGTGACAAATTTCTCAAGTGGCTTTACACGTTTCTGCGCAAATCCAGTGTTTCCCATCATTTGCTACAGCAAGCCCCCACAGAAATTTAATGATACAACTTCACACAGCACCACGATGAGTTCTCTTGCGAAACTCGGCCTCGGGCTGTCCCTGGTAACGAAACCTATTCCGAGCGGCACACGAGGTATACACATATCCACGAGACCGCAGCGACTTTGGTCTCTGCCTAGGATACCGAGGCGATCCGTTCCCGTCTACCCGCGCATATCACAGCAACCAGCCCGAACGTTCTTCCACACGGCGCGACAGCAATGGCAACGACACGACCCCAACGAGGCGCTCCGGAACGCAAAGCCGCTCTTTACGAATAGCGGGATGCGGAGAGTCGCGCGCTCGCCCTCGACGCACACGGTGATTGTGGTGGCCATGCTCGGCGCCGTGGCCTTTTACATGTGGAACCTACAAACGGTCCCCGTGAGCGGACGGCGGCGGTTCAACTGCTACTCGCCATCGACCGTCGAGGCCGTGTCGGGCGAACAATACAAGCGCATTATCTACGACGTGGAGCGACAGGGCGGGCGCTTCCTGAGCGACTGGGACCCGCGCACGCAAATGGTGAAGCGCGTCATGCGGCGGCTCATACCCGTCAGCGGCATGGAGGACTCGGCGTGGGAGGTGCGCGTCATTGACGACCCCAACCAAGCCAACGCCTTTGTGCTGCCCGGCGGCAAGGTCTTTGTCTTTAGCGGCATCATCCCCATTGCGCGCACCGAGGACGGCCTGGCTGCCGTCCTGGGCCACGAGATTGCGCACAACCTCGCCGAGCACATTGGCGAGCGCATGAGCGGGCAGATTGGAGTCAATATCCTGCTGGGCAGCGTCGTGTTGCTGACGGCCCTGTGGGGTGGCGCTCTGCTGGGCACGCAGCTCTTTGGTGGCACGTTGCTAGACCTCCTCTTTTCCCGACCAATGGGCCGCAGACAAGAGTCCGAGGCAGATTATATTGGACTCATGATGATGGCCGAAGCATGTTATGATCCGGAAGCCGCCTTGACGTTTTGGCAGAGGATGGAGGCGCACAGTCAAGGGTCGCCGCCAGAGTGGATGAGCACACATCCTTCTGTGAGTGAAACCATGCCAACTCTACGAATATAATTTACTGACTAGTCTCATTAGAATAACAACAGAATAGAAAAGATCAAGGAATGGCTTCCAAAAGCCATGGAGAAGAGGTACGAGAGTGATTGTCAGGGCACAGCCAATTGGGCAGACATGTTCAGGCAGGCAATGAGTCAGGGCTACAGGCTGGAGTGATATCCCTTTCTTTTGGTCAATCGTGTCTGCATATTCAGCGGAGACTTAGCATTTGAAGCACGTGCAAGAGTATAGAGGTCAAATGAACCGGGGCAATGAGGAATTTCATCTGCCATTATTGGGAGTTACGGGTCATTGATATGGGTTCAAACCTTTTTGCATAGCCATGGAGTAAATAGTGTGTGTAATTCGTAAATCTCAAGCAGTAACTCTTTTCACCGAGATGATTCACCTTTAATCGATATAACCCTTGAATTGGCACATGACCGGGGTTCGAGTGTAGAGACATTGACAGTAGTATACAGTCCGTGACAAGCCGCTCGCAGCATACTGATTACAATTGCACCTCGGGTCTAGGGTGCGAGCAAGAAGCGCCGTGATTAGCTAGCGAGGATTTCAGGAAGTTGGGGTGAGCCCAGAATGACGCGGGGCGACCACGACGGATCCCTGTCGGGTTTCGTGCCGAGGTCTTCTTCTCCATGAGTCGTCCTCGTACAAGTTCAGGTGAACCTGCCTCGAAAACACCGGTGACCCATTTCTAGCCTCGAGCAATACAAACCTGCGATAGAGTAGACCTTCATTTCTGGAGACTGCATTCTTTCAGCGATTTTGGCAACATACTTTGCATCATACATAAACATAAACTAGACTGAAAGAGCCAGCCAGCGCAGACCATCATGTCCAAGTCATTTTCAAAGAAGGAGGTCGCGGATCACAAGACCGAGGCTGACGGCATTTACATCATTGTCGACGACGGTGTCTACGACGTTACAAGTGAGTTGGAATATCTGCGCATCGGCATCCGGGGTTGTTGTCTGGCCCCATGATCGCTCGCTCGCTGTCCACCAAATGATGGGATTGCTAATGTCCTGCTCCCCCCCGTACAGAGTTCATCGACGAGCACCCAGGCGGCTCCAAGATCCTCAAGCGCATGGCCGGAAAGGACTCGACGAAGCAGTTCTGGAAATACCACGGGAAGAATGTCCTCGAAAAGTACGGGCCGAAGCTGAAGATTGGAACGGTCAAGGAGGAAGCTAAGCTGTGAGAGGCGGTGAGGTGAATGAAGCGGAGCGAGCGTTTTGCGATTTGAGCGAGCCCAGTTCGTGTAGTGTGTGAGGTGTGTAGATATGCCGATACACGGAAGGAGAAACGAGAACCACGAAGAAGCATTTGAGGAGGGATACCTATTAAATGCGCTTCCAATGCAATGACATTACAACTTATGGTTTCGCGGCTCGAGTTGATTCCCCAAAGGTTATGCTTGTCTTGTCCTCTGGTCTGATAGGTGAAAAATGGTGCGGTCGTGGAGTAATGCGCACCTCCATCTTTCGACACCAAGCGCACTGTTTAGCTTTGCTATGAGGGAGGGTCCTTCATAAAAATCAGCACAGCTGTGCTGCTGCATGGTGCTGGGTAAGCAGAATGAATTAGTGCTTTCAGGGAAAAAGTAAACAGGATCCTCTTCTACCTTACTCATACCCTGATAGTAAGAACAAGAAGAAGATCTATACGGGGTTTCACAAATGAGATCTTGCTGGATGTTTCAAAACATTTGAGCAAGACAACCATGAAGCATCGACGTTGCCAAGACTGGGGATTGGGTCGATGGGCAGAAAAAAAACCTGGGGCACCAACGAGCTTTGCTCAGCAGTGGCCGGCGTCCACGAAGAGCGAATTGTAGGTGGTGCAAAGGTCAGGTGTCCTAGTTGCATCCCATTGGTCAAAAGCCAAAGCCATCGGCCCAAGTGGTGGTAAGGCAAAAAGCCAAGCAAAGCAGCCACCACAGCCAAGTCCGGCACTCAGAGAACTGACCCCCCGAATGACATTTGATGTGGGGGCTTTTGGCTCGATTGTTTTTGCTTGGCGATGCAGGTGCTTGTGCGCCTTGTGCAGCACTGGCAGACGCTGTGACGTGCTTGATAGGCGACGAGGTCAATGTAGTAGTAGTACGCAGCTTGATAGGCCGGGTCGGCTTGTATCGCCAGACATCATCCAAGACGATGCCGAGAAACTCGACTCAGGAGCCCTCACCGAAGAGACTTGTCGTGTCAGTTCCTCACGCTCCAGGCCTACGGTGGTGGGGAGGGAATTGGCGGCAAAGTCAGATATAAGTGAAGAAAAGAGAGAAAACGAACAGATAAATCCCGCGATCTGTCGCTCGCTAGTTCATGCAGAGCTCCCGCCAATGCATACATAACCCACAAGCACTTTGAGGCAAGACGAATTGTGTAGTACACACCTCCTAAAGTGTTCTATCTAATGTAGGAATCTCCAAGCGGGAGAAAACTCGCCAATCGGCCTCCTTGAATGCCTGCCCATAGCAAAACAGTGAGAGAGAGAGAGAAAAATCTGAAAAGAGGAATACCTCGGAGGTGGACGGGGTCATGCCTGGCATCCCCGAGCGCCCTGAGAGGAACCTACATTAAGGATCCATCCAAGGCACTATCAGGTTCATGGGTACCCGCTGGACAGGCTTCTTGATCGAGCGAGTTCAGGTACCGCCAGCCGACCCGAGAGCACTAAGCTTGGATCGCAATGCTGCCCCAACTAATAAATGTAGCGTCATCAGGACATGGATCCCGAGCAGAATCCACCTGTCGATAAACATCAAAGGTACTCCGCAATCTCGACGGTACTGTCCAGTCAGTGTCTGCCTCTTTGAACAACGAGAATTGATCCTTCCACAGGTAATAATATTGGCGACCCTCACCACTCGGACCAGAAAACCACCCTGTCTCTCTCTTCCTCGTCTCGAGTTCTTGCTTTCTTGAATTCCTCCTCGCGAAGCCTCATTCGCACTGTTCGCACCTCACCGACCCTCCTCTGACCTAGAGCTAGGTAAGCTACCTACGTGTAGACGCACAGGTCGCGCGCTCTTTTTTTGTCTCTAATATTGTAAGTCGTACTGCCATTAGGCTATTACTGTTTAATCGTTTTTCCCATGTTGTTGATGGGCTACATTCCTACCTACTACCTGATTACATGACTACTGCTGTGTACTGTACCACATTGTTATCCACTCACCAACACATATCTTACCTATGTTATGACGGGCATTGGGAATATCTCTCATCTAGTACCTGCATCAGCTGCGTACCAATACCCCGTCCCAGTGTGATGTTTATCTCCGGGGGCTCCAGGCTCAAATTCCCGCCGCCTTCATTATTTCGCTGACCCATGACATCCTGAGAGCAAAACCCACTCGCCGATCTAGCAAATCCCTGCCATGGATTTTCTATTGTTCGACTGGGCTGGTGCTTGCTTGCAAACCTGGGCGAGTGTGGGAAAATTCGCGCAGACCGAAGAAGCGAGCGAGAGACGAGACTATTATGTGACCTAGCAACAACTTGGTGAGAGAGAAAAAAAAAGAGTACATGCGCGCACATACATCCACACATACACAACAGAGGTTGCTAGGTTGCCCACTGGGCTTGCTTGGGCTGGTGGCCTGGGGGCCCTGTTGCCGCCTTCCCGCCGTAGCCAAGCTTTTTTTTCCTCACTCCCTCTCGTCACTCTCGTTTTTTCTTTCGTCTCTGCGCGGCTTGACTAAGGTAGTGCTGCACCTTGAGTCCTTGACCGTGGGCAGTCTCCACTTCGCTAGCTACCTTTGCCCATAATACGTACACTGCAGCCGGCAGTACATATTCTGCTTCGCCTGCCGAGACATTCACCCTTCTTCCCTTCTTTTCTCCTCTAGCACGCCCGTCTTGAACGAAGCCCATCTTCCTCCCGCTCAATCCTCCAGAGATCCTGTTCTAGGCGTGTGTTGTTCGTCAACCTGAGTCTGATCATCCTATAAACCAGAGCCTAGCTCCCAGAAGAGAAACCCACGCGACTAGCTTCTCTTTCTTGTTTATAATCCGATTTCCTTCAAACCTACAGGTTCGCCTTCAATAAAAAGGTATGCCGGAATTCCTATATTGTCCTCGATACACCTTCAATTGGTCGCGAAGCACGTCCACTCCTACAGAGGCCCTCGCAATTCTTCCTTTCAGAGCCATTGGAGTCTTGACCGGTGACTCCGGACCCAGCTCGTAACTGACGATAGCTCGTCTGCTGCGGCTTTTTCCCCAATTCATGACAATGGGCAATTGCTGCTCGATGGTGCACATGTCGCCTGTTTCTACATGAAACTCAGCCATCATCCTCACGTTGCGCCTATTGTAACTCTGGTTCTAACTCTGGATCTTGCCTAGACTCAAAATGCCTGCCATCAACACTGCCATCGTCGCTCGCGACACCTTCACCCACATCGCCAAGCGCGAGAACTGGGCCGCCAAGGAGGCCGGTGTCGTCGTTGTTTTCGCCATCGTTTTCGTCGTCGCTGTCGGTCTGATCGCACTTTTCATCCACAAGAAGGTGAGTCTTTCCCTCGCGTTATGATTTCCGTGTTGCTCTGCAGTTGTATGATCTCAATCTGCGACCGTACTGCGCATGGGTATCTCCTTAGGGACCGCGAACTAGAGCCATATTCTCTACAATCCAATCAGAAATTGCAGCTAACAGGTCCTGTCTATAGTGCGCCGCCCGCAAGGCTCGCAAGGCCAACGCATAAGTCGCCATGGAGCAGACTTGGGGGTGTTAGTATTGGGGGTGGAGGATATACCAAGGAAGAGACAGGCGTGTTGCGAGAAATGCGATACCTGCGTTCGTTTTCGTCAGTCAAACGACTCTTCGCGACTTAACTTTCGAACTGGGATGTCCCGTCGAACGTTTAGTCGTGCCGACCCTACGTTGTGCAAGCCCTTATACTGGGATCACAGCGTAGGCATAGTACATTGTCGGATTACTTTAAAGAGTCTTTTGTGGAGGGTTGTCTGAGCGGAAGGAACTCGATCGACGCCAAAGCAGACTGTACTCTAATACCCTAATGATACCATCGTTAATCAGTTACAAATAAGTCCCTGTGCGAGCTTGATACAGGTTGAACTGTGTTTGATTCAGTGGCTTGAATATAATCCCGATTTCTCCTATAAGATGTGGAAGAAACGGTCGCATGACAGTTTACTCCTCGCGTATACTAGCACCACTCTGGCTGCGTGGTTTGTAGTAAACTACACAGTATTCCGAGGTCATCCGGCACCCACATTGGATAGGGGTAATACTCAATAGTCTTATCCTCTCACGTTGAAAGAACCCGCATAGTCGTTATGGAGTGGAACTCGACCCCAGATATCTGTCTCCTCCAAGCTGGGGACCGTTTTAACTATATCCAGGAAGATTTTCCCCGTTGTGCTTGCTTCATATGAGCATGCTACAAAACTGGACGCGGAACACCGACTACAAAGTCTGTAGCATATTGTTGGCAATGAACATGACTAGCTTTGATCAAGAATCCAAAAACGACATCTTCTCAGTATGTATCAATCCATTTGCTGGCTGCGGGAGAATTCCAAGTTAGCTCATTTCCGCTTTGAAGGTTCTTTTGTCCTTCTGGTAGAGCAGAAGCGCTGGTGAGACTCACTGGAATATACTGCCGAAGCCGTACTCCGGCACTGCGGAAAATCTCGGCGGTATCCTGATCCATGTGATACCCTTGGCTGTAGACTACCTCGCTGATACCAATCTGGACAATTTTGATGCTGCAAGTGAGGCAGGGGCAGGTATCGCAGTACAGGATGCTGCCCTCGCGGATGCGCTCGCGGCCGGCCTCGAGCAAGGCGTTCTCCTCGGCGTGCAGGCACAGGCAGGTGGAGAGGGCGGCGCCCGAGGACTCGCCGGCGTTGCAGCGCGGACAGCCGCCCTCGCTGCAGTTGCGCACGCCGCGCGGGGTGCCATTGTACCCCGTGCTCACGACGCGCCGCGACGGCCCGACGACCACGCAGCCCACGCGCCGCTTCATGCAGTTGGATCGCTGCGCCGCCAGCGACGCCAGCGACATGAAGTAGGCGTCCCATGACGGCCGGAGCCGGTCCGGGTTCGTCAGGTCTAGCTTTCCGAGCGTCGCGTATAGGTGTGCCAAGTCTGATGATGTGTTGAGGAGGCTATAGTTGCGCATTAGTTTTCTCTCTCCTGTAGATATCTCTTCTGGGCTGGGCAAATCCTTTTCGAAATTCCCCCCGGGCAACACTTACCGCACGGCTGCTCGGGACATCATGGTCATGGCCCCATTCACAGGTGAATACAAGTTCTCGTCCGACTCGTTCACAAACTCCTCCAGCGTGGTGGGCTGCGCCGAGCGGGACTGATGGCGCTCCCAGCGCACCGTCAACGGCGCGTCGACCGAGAAGAGGATGAAGAAGGGCCGTCTCGAGAGGGCTTCCAGGACCGCCTCGGACGGAATGGAGGTGATGACCCAGCGAGACCGCCAAGACTTTGTGACAAAGTCCAAGAGGGTTGTCACATTGTCAAAGGCGTGTGCCGGCTGTGAGATCCGGGCATGAGATAATGATGGCTGCTTTGCTGGTGAGGATGAGGTGACAGGTGATGATGCTGTTGCTCCATTGGTGACAGCATTCTGTTGGGAATTTTCCGTACTCAAGTGCACCCTCTTGAAGCCGTGGTGCTCTACCAGATATTGAGCCACAGTGGCCTTGCCGGCACATTTAGCTGTTTGGTTGTTTTAGTATTCGAGGTCACCATGTATGTATATGAGGGGAGGAATATCTCTTACAACCAACTATTCCGATCAGCATTTTAGCAATCGTACGGCAATAAAGTCTTCAATTGTGTGGTGTTGCTTATAGTAGCAGGAATCCCAAGCTATGTCTACTGTCCTGATTGATACGTCTCGATATATGAGCCTGTCTGGTGGAACGTTGCAACGGGACCCTGAATGGGAAATTTCAATTCAATTCTGTTAAAAGACGCGACAGGGACCCTCGGACGCGTTTGGGGGTCGGGACGAACCACTAGCGAACCCTTGACTAGACGGTCTCCAGGTGTGTAGGTATGGAGACCCGTCTATGGCAACAGATCAGGACCTGAACCTCGGCGCTCTAAGAGCTCGCCCTAGGCAGGGTTCTAGACTTATATTAGCTATGCGCACGATTGATGGAGATATGCAGTAGAGACGTGCATAAATAGGCGACCCAACGAATACATTTGATGTTATAGCAGCGGTATTTGATATAGAAAGACAGACAGCGAAAAAGAACAATAAGAGACATTCTTTTTCTGCGGATTTGGATTACCAGGAAGTAAATATGACAAGAGCAAAGTTTTAGTCCTCTTGCTCTTGAACTGTAAACTTTCCTACACAGGTATTTTCGTACAACAGTGATATGATTTCTTATTCAGTAATAACAATGAATTTTTCATTTCCGGAGCAGCCGCGCCCAAGATGTCGTTGCATTATTTGAATATTTGCACATTGGAACAGTGAGTCACGTCGGATAACGGGCTTATACTATGTACAATTACCTGCTAGCACCTACAGGCATCACTTCCAAGACGATTCTCGAATTCTGCGATAGACTCCAGTGCTAGGTAGCGGGACAAAAAAAAATGCGCAACAAGGCAGGAAGCTCTATTACCTTGAAGTGACTTTATTCTTGCCCGTAGATTCAAGATGGGCAACGAACATCGAACAATATTTTGCACATTGGCATTAGTAGCAATTCTTGAACCCTGTTCGCTATTACCAAGCTTTACTCGGTGCTGCCCAACGCGCCTTGCATGGGTTAATGAATGTGAAAGATCTTACAAATTGACAATACTCCTCAGGACAGGTCAAATCTGCGTGAGCAAACACCGCTGACATCACTGAAAACTCACGACTACCAAGAGATAGCCACTGCTCTTTGTAATATGCCAGCCGGATTTATTACATGCTTCTACCAATGATCGGATGGCGCTGTTGACGGCAGCGGGAGCAGCAGGTACAACAAATCTCAGCCCAGCCATGAGTCCAAGGGCCTGGCTACTGAAATAGGCAATTTTTAGGCGGGCGGGATAAATGGGGCCGCTGGTTGGGCTTTGAGGTTGCATCATATGAACTGCCTTGTAGAGGAGAGCTGCAGCTGATCTGTCAGCTCACGGATGACTCGATTTGGAGTTCACGAGGACAAATGCCTGACTGCCTGGGTGACATCCGGCGACAGTGTCTCAAAATCTTATATTGTGCCCTGAACGCCATTGCATGGACTGGGCATCTTTTAAGAAAAAGCCACCTTCACAATAGTAGTAATTAACATCATCATTGTTGATACGAAAAAGTATCAATCATTGCTCTCGAATTGCAACTGTGGTGCGCCATCGCGACTGCCCCGCACTTCACGCTGTTGAAGCTCTCCCGATTGTGCCCCGCGATTAGGTACCTGCCTGCTTGCTGTGCTGATCTGAACGTTCCCGACCACCTCGAACAACCACTGAAAACATCCCGCGCACTCTTGAATTCCAAGCGCTCGTCGCAAACGCTTCTACCGCCTTTACAAAGACCTGCGACTCCGTCCCTCGAGTTCAACCCGACCGGATTTCCGACTTGCACCACCTCAACAGATACTCGTTCCGATAAGCCGCCGACGACCGCCGACGGCACAAGCAAATCATGGCCGCAGCTTCGGGGTCGGGGTCCGCAAAGGACGGCGTCGCTCTCAAGTTTGCGACTTTCTCGTCTGAGATTGAGCTTCCCTTCTACTCGGCACTATTTTCATCGAAACTCGAGCATGATAAGCTAAGCGACTCGGCGCGACCAGTCCTGGGACTGTACGAGCCAAGACCTGGCGTCGCAGCCGACGATTCAGTCAAGATGCAGGTTCTTGGTAGTGCTCTGACTAGTCATCAGTGAGTCACTCTGATTGTTGGGGAGCTTGAGATGCAAGCACTTTGCTTGTCGCTCTCGTTTGCTTGCCAAAATACTGACTTGGGATTTCTACCAGTGTCCCAGCTGGTACCGTCCGAGCAGAAGGCATCATCCGAAACCTCAACACATTGGATGCGTTTAAGAGTGTGGATAAGGCCGAGGTCATTCACAATGCTGCAAGACAGGTTTGTCTCCCTATTCTGGATGACGATGGATGGGTACTAAACAATTTATGTACCACAGATATGGGATGCCATCAAAGATGGTACCATCTACTCAGTACCGTCACTATTGGCTTCATACGTGATTCTTTCGTACGCCGACCTTAAGAAATACAGAATGACATACTGGTTCTGCTTCCCAACACTTCCTTCAGACCCCCAGTGGAAGAGAACAGGCGACATTGGTCGTTTTACCGCAGACGAGAGTACTGCCTTGGTTGACCGCGTCGGCACTTGGCGTTATAGTGTCGATAACCGGGAATACGGCTTCTTCCTGGCCAAAAAGGTCCGAGGAAAAGATGCAGAAGCCCTGAGATCCTCGCTCGATAACCCCGACGAAGAGAACATCGGCTTTAAGTGGGAAGTTGGTTCACTTCGAGACTTCGAGACAGGTTTCTTCAACAGTATCCCGGAGGAGGATCGATATGTGTCTTTTGTCGATGCCTCGAATTACGAGGAGCACCCAGCCTGGCCTTTGCGCAATCTTTTGGTTCTTGTGCGACAGCGCTTCCATCTATCGAAAGTTCAGATACTCTGCTATCGAGATATCCAGTCCCGGAGACACGAAGCCCGCAGCCTTGTCCTCCCTCTGGCCATGGACGCTGTAGACTCGATGGACACTGCCGACATGCCGAAACCTACTGGCTGGGAGCGTAATCCTGCCGGTAAAGTTGCCCCGCGATCAGTCAGTCTGGCAGAATCCATGGATCCGACGAGAATCGCCGACCAGTCTGTGGATCTGAATCTTAAGCTGATGAAGTGGCGCATATCTCCTGAGCTCAATTTGGATATCATCAAGGATACCAAGTGCCTTCTCTTGGGAGCAGGTACTCTTGGAAGCTATGTTTCTAGAAATTTGATGGGCTGGGGCGTTCGAAAGATCACTTTTGTGGATTACGGCGCAGTTTCCTTCTCGAATCCTGTCCGCCAACCTCTATTTGCTTACAAGGACTGTTTGAATGGAGGAGCACCCAAGGCTACCCGAGCAGCTGAAGCAATCAAGGAGATCTATCCCGGAGTCGAAAGCGAAGGTCACGTGCTGTCAGTCCCCATGCTTGGCCACCCAGTCACCGATAAGACCCAAGGTGACTTTGAGAAGCTCAAGGCATTGATCGAAGCACACGACGCCATATTCCTCCTAATGGACAGCCGAGAATCACGATGGCTGCCTACAGTCATGGGCAAGGCTGCTGGAAAGATTGTCATGAATGCGGCACTAGGATTCGACACGTACGTGGTCATGAGACATGGCCCAGAGCCCCGCGAGGAGGGAGAGAAGACTCTTGGATGTTACTTCTGCAACGACGTAGTGGCTCCGGGCGATTCTCAGAAGGATTTGACTCTTGATCAACAATGTACAGTCACGAGACCAGGTGTAGCCGCTATTGCATCCGCCTTACTCGTTGAATTGATGACGAGCATATTGCAGCATCCCAAGGGTGCTTACGCTCCGGCTCCAATCGCAGCAGATGGTGCTGGAAAGTCATACCAACGAGACCCGCCCAACCATGCTCTGGGTCTAGTTCCCCATCAAGTGCGCGGTTTTCTGGCAGACTTCAACAATATGGTCATCAAGGGCGAATCCTATCCCTGTTGCAGTGCGTGCAGCAAGCCCATTTTGGACGCATACAGGAACGATGGCTGGGCATTCTTGAAGCATGCACTCGAGAATAAGGAGTATGTGACCGAGCTCAGCGGTCTTGCTGAAGTTCAACGACAGGCAGCAGCGATGGAGAATGACCTTGATTGGGATGAGGAGGATGAGTCTGCCAAGGACGGCGACGATGAAGCAGTACTGCTCTAGTCCAGCCTGCTCTCGGTATTGACCCTCAGTCATTAGAATCGACGGAAGCGACTGAGAAAAACTCGATTGGATCGCTACAAATTCTGGAAGCGCCCGAGATGGGACAATTGGAGTTGGAGTTCGGTTGGGGCCACACGGAGGGCCCATGAGAGATATCCTGGCTATTCGCCGTGCTTGACACCAACATCACCAGGAACGGCTGCAACGAGCGGCACGACCCCCTCACTGGAAGGCGACACATACTCATCCAGACCTCTCGAACTCGATGGTATTTCTACCTGTTCAGTGATTTCTCTCGAGATGGCATTGCGTTGGGGGCCGGAGCTTTGTAAGTACCGGAATGGGTATTCGTCGCAGAATGGATTGTGAAATGACCTGGCTCGGCCTGTAAATGACATTTTGTTTTTGTTGTCTACTGGGGAGATGAAGCGCATTCGACTTGTACATGGTGGCGTCAGGCTGTTTTCTTCAGGAAAAAAGAGAGACAACTCTCTTGGAATCAAGGCAATCTTGCAGCAGGTTCAGAAAGGCGTTGAATCGTTTTTTGAGTTCTATGGCGTTTGGTTGCATAGGGGCCCAGTCACGCAGTGTAAATATTTACATGCAAACAGACTTATAAATGGCATTTGATCTGACTATGTTTGGTGTATATGATATTTGAAGTGCAAATCGGGCGTCACTCCTTAGTCTATCCAAGCTGGTATGAGCCATGGATTGACATTGAAAAAGGTTCTCCTTGCGAGGGGGAACATGGCATGCTCTTCCTCCATGATCAGGGCCGCCATCGCATGTTCATTATCCCTCTTGTCTTGATTCCTTGGGCTAGGACCAGATAGTAAGCCAAAGAAGCATGTGGCCCCAATTGAGAAGTCTCGGATCATCAAGTGATGAACGACACGGGGGGCCTTGCATAATCGGGCCGTGGGGGTTTACAGTGGAATCCCCACACAACGAGATCGCCTGAACGGCCTGGAGCGGAGTGCTGACCTGGTCAGTTTCAGCGCGGCTGAGCCGGCAATAGTAGTCTAGTCGGACTCTCTGGCCGGCCCGTCACATCCATGGATCATGCTGTTCTTTAGCTCTGACACGTTTTTTTCTTCCTACGTATCAGCATCTCCTTTTCCTTCCATCTTGTACATGTACACAAACTCTTTGTCTTAATCTCTCGTACGGGCCTACTGAGGACAACACTGACTACAATAAATTACAGCCACAAAAGTTGTACAGCTTAACACTCACCATTTGTCCCAACTCGTGGCGTCATTAGGTACAGCTGGAGCCGCCCAGAGCTTCTGGAACAACAAGCACGCCCTGTCTGGCGTTGCCAATTCCCCCGCAAACCGCTAAACTCATCTTTGGGGCAACCCCCCGGTTCTCTCCATAGAGAACAAAGACCCCCTTCGGTCCAACACTGGGGTTTCCCAATAAAGCGAGAGAGGGTGTCTGTGTGTGTCTGTCTCACTCTACATCATTCGCGTGGCCTGTCTCGTCAGACAATTGTCTTGCACGGTTCTTTCTGCACCTGGAGAGCTTTTATAGCCGGTTCTGCACCATTCTTTGCTTCTTTCTTTCTCTTGGGACATTTAGTGCCGGTTTTCTTCGTAAAAGAAAAAGCAATCTCACGGTTGCCTCATTCAAGAAGTTGCGTCGTATGCGCCGCGCACTCCCGAGAAACGATCTTGAGAGAAGGGGGGGAGAGAGAAGTTCGCGTTGTTGCTTCTAGAGGGGTTTGCTTCATGATGGGGCTATCCAATTTGTTTGCTTCTCGTCTCCTAGGCGGGCGCACCGAGTCTGTTCACGACTATGCCGGCGTGCTCGTGTCGCTGGAGGAGGCCCACCTGCACTCACACTCTGCGAGGACTGGCAAGTGCGAGTTTGAGGAGGTCCGCGAAGACGACGAGGAGCAGGAGAGCGACAGACTGGTTGACGAGGAGGGCGCTGCCAAGGATGGCGAGCACGAGGACAATGAGGAGGGTGCCGGCATGTTGCAGATGAGCGCGGCCGAGTATAGTATTGAGGGCTTGAGGAGAGCAGTGCGCAAGGACGAGAGAGGCCAAAAGGCTACCGAATATGAATGTAAGTTCTGAAATCCTAAAGTGGCTCCTAGTCAAAGGGAAATACCATAATACAGATCGAAATGCTAACACCTAGGTAGTAAAATCAAAGCTCATTAACAAGGCTATACAAGATATCGGAATGGGAAAGTATAATTGGCAATTGTTTGTGTTGTGTGGATTTGGATGGTTTGCCGACAAGTGAGTTAATGAGAGACGAATCGTGTTCAAAAATCGATTGCTGACATGGATTTCTTAGCCTTTGGATGCAAGTAAGTCATTCTCGTTGATATTTTCATCTTGAGGATGCAAGCATGTTGAAACTTTTTCAAGAGGGCTGGGGCTAACACTCGAGTAGGGCATATCATTGACATTGCCATCTCTGTCACAAGAGTTTGATATTTCCGAGAAACGCGTAAGGTATACAACCAGCGCGCTATTTGTTGGCTTATGTATAGGAAGTTTCTTCTGGGGTCTTGGAGCCGATATATTGGGCCGCAGGGTGGCTTTCAATCTCACATTACTCATTACTAGCATCTTCGGCACCTGGGCGGCTTATGGATCAAGCTGGGGTTGGACCTGTGTCCTCTTTGCCTGTATGGGCACCGGCGTAGGAGGAAATCTGCCTGTCGATGGCGCTCTCTTCTTGGAATTCCTGCCGGATGCCTCAAGTGCCTTGCTGACACTGCTTTCTGTCTGGTGGCCCGTTGGCCAATTGGCCTCATCACTGGCGGCCTGGTATTTTATTACGACGAGACCTGTGGATGAGGGCTGGCGATCTTTCGTCTTTGCCATAGGAGTCGTCACTTTTGTCATGTTTCTCATACGTTTCTTCATCTTCCATCTTTTGGAATCTCCAAAATATCTCCTATCGAAGGGGCGTCAGGCAGAGGCCGTGGCGGTAGTTCATGCCATTGCCTACCGTAATGGAGCCAAAACCTGGTTGACGGAAGAGATACTTGACGCCGTAGCAGAAACAGAAGCTACCGCCGAGCCAGTCACCCGACTCTCGACTCGCAACATCATTAGGCAAAACCTATCAGCTTTCTCCGGCGATCACCTGCGACCTCTCTTCAATAATCGCAAACTCGGCATGGCCACTATTTTAATATGGTTTTGCTGGGCAACTATTGGATTGGGCTATCCTCTATTCAACGCATTTCTACCTCAGTATCTTTCCCACGGTGGTGCTTCTCCGCCGTCTGATACTGACAGTACCGTTGCGGGTGCTGATAGCGCGACGACATATCGAAACTATGCCATTATATCCATGGTCGGCGTGCCTGGCTCGCTTCTGGCGGCATACACAGTGGATCACAAATCGCCGTATCTGGGACGCAAGGGAACCCTCGCAATTGCCACACTGGTGTCTGCCATTTTTCTCTTCTTCTTTGTCACCTTTGGCACTACACCAAACAGCCAGCTCTTCTTCACTTGTGTTGAAGCATTTACGCAAAATATCATGTATGGTGTATTGTACGCTTTTACGCCCGAGATATTCCCAGCCCCAGTCAGAGGAGCCGGGACGGGTGTTGCCAGCTTCCTCAACCGCATGACCGGGCTCGTGGCGCCTGTTCTTGCCGCGACTATCCCTGGCGATGGGACGAAGCTGCCGATTTATCTAAGTGCAATCTTGATCTTGGCTGCCTTTGGAGGAATGTGCTTGATACCCATCGAGACTAGAGGGAGGCAGAGATTATAGGAACCTTACCATAGCCAGGTGTATATAAAACGCATGAAGAACATATAGGCTCCGCGAGATAACTGGTATCAGTCTTGCACGTACTAGATGCATGTATTCCCATGAATACACATTCAGTTGCTTTTCAAGACACGAAAACATCTTGTGTATAAATGTTTCAAGTGAAAATGACTATTCAGGGCATAAAAATGGCACCCTAGCACCGCGATACTTTACCGCGTCCCTCTGGCTCCGGCCGGGGCATCTACTCTTCTCTTCTGCAGACCCCTGCCCAAAGCATCCCTAACCATGGGATCGGATTTGATGGTATTCTGTATGAGCCACTCCTTCAGCTTGCTCCTCATACTGTTGACCAGCTCCGGGTCGCCAACATATGGAGCCATTTCCAGGTCCATTAAGCGTCCGGCATCTGTATCAATCATTCTTGAGGCCTGCTCCAGTCTGTCCAAGCTTTGCCGCAGCACCTTGTCCGACGCATCTCCCGGTTTGACACCTTGCTGACCCGGGGGCTGCAGTAGCGGTCCAATCTGGCTGAAGGCTATGTAGAGCGTTATACTACACTTGCGGGCGAGAGTGATGACCTGAAAAGGCAAGTAAGGGGCGTGATCGGTCCAGGCGGTCAGCAGCGGGTTGACGACTCTCTCCACCAGGGGCGGGAACCCGGGGCGCATAACGGTGTGCAGCTCAAAGACGCAGAGGGCAACGAGGGTGTACCAGCGCCAGTAGCGGCCCCATTCGAGGTAGCCAAACAGGCCGAGGCCGTACATGACGGCGGCGGCCACGGCGTAGTAGGGCAGCAGGACCTGGCAGCCGCGCAAGACGTAGTCGCGGATCGTGACGCAGTGGCGCCAGCCAATCACATCGGGGCCAAAGCGCTCATAGGCGAAGCGGCGGGCCGGGTCAGTCAGTGTATCGCTGGCCGTCTTGAGGTGCATAAACACCTCGCCGCCGTCGCCGCCGTCGGCCGTCGACGAGGCGCCCGCCTTGTCCGGGTGGTGCAGGGCCGCGAGGCGGCGGAACCGCGACTTGATGTCGCGCTCCGAGGCGCCAAAGGGCACGCCCAGGTCGGCGTAAAAGTTGGACGCGCGCGTCAGCTCGTGGTCCGTCTCGTATAAAGTGTAGAGCAGGTAGGCCGAGACGACAAGGATGTGGATGCGGCGCCGGTGCTCGTTGAAGCGCGGGCTGTTGGGCGCGGGCTTGGGGTCGCCTGCCCGTATCGTCACCGAGTAGTATATCGACTGGATCCACGAGGTGGCGAGCTGTGTAGGGACATATTCGGTCAGCTAGGTCTCGCCATTTGCGAAGCTATATACAGGCTTCTACAACGTCTTGGACGATGGGGGGGCGCATCATACGTTTGGGAGGAACGACCACCCCAGGAGGGAGAGGAGGTTATTTGACATTGTCGCAAGCAGTCGTGAACAAGCAGTTGGTGGCCCTCAGATCATGATATGCGTAGAAATCTGGGCCAGATCTGAGGAGCAGAAAGAACTGGATCTAGAGTCTAGAGGCTAAGCACGCCGACGAAAAGTGTACAAAGAACGAGGGTACGAAATATGGAAATCGTCAAGGTAAAAGACATTCTTGAGCTACCCTAGATGTGACAGGTGTCGTTACTTAGTGGCTGCTTCTTCGCAAGGGTTCCTGCAGCCCAGGCATCTAAACTGAGATTAGCGGCTTTGAGCTCGGCAGACTAACGTAAAAATAGGTCCCTGGGGGTATCCATTAGTGGTCTGATGTCGAGCAGAGAGACACAACGACGTGAGTTGATCAATTCAAAAGCTAAATGCATTGCTTCATTCAACATTGACATGGAAAATACACCCTCACTCGTGATAATATTTCTAGAATGACTTGTTCTATGACCAATCAATAATCAGCCTTTTGTTGTCCCTGCTCTCAGTCCAGCGCCGTGTTTGCACTTTCATCATGGCTCAACGGGGCAGTCTTACTCCCAAGGTAAAGAAGAATGCAATATCTCCCCTCCTGTTCATTGACCACAGCATCAAGCTGACTGTGATGCTAATTTTCTTCGCAAGACCGTCATGGCTCCCATGGCCGCGTTTACCATGGCATGTCTGTTATTCACGTAAGGGGATTGTGCAAACATGTGCTCATGGCTCTGGCGCTGATCTATCTCTACAGCTATGTTCGTTCATCAATCAAGGAGGCCAGGCGCAGTGCTGTATGTTTATTGTATCCGTATCGATACAGATCATATCGTTGACGATTGCTCTCATTTTATAGCAACATGAACGCCAGGGCCAGCGGGCCAGCCCTTATCCACGCGAGGGAAAGTAAAAGTGTATCAAGGCAGGAAGAGTTGAATCAGAATGCGCAATGAATGTCTACCACGGCATTACATGAGGTGCAGATGGTCCAGTGGAACCATAATATGTCAAAAGCTTGTTGTCCTATTTTACGATTTTCGTTGAAGCAATTTCTGTTGGGCAAATATGCCCAGTCTTGAAGACGAGTTCCACTCAATTGCCCTAGGCATGGTTACCGGGAGCCGTGCATATATTTACGAACACATTTGTCCTTGTCAGTCCCCTGGAGGACTTGTATTGAGATATATCAGCTATTCAGAGTCAAGAAATCCTCATTTCTACATTGCAGTTGTTGGTCCATGGCTTCGCGTCGTGACATGCATCGCATTAGAGTTTGGAAGATGAAGGAGAAGAAAGACATGGAAATATGCTGGAGGCAGTATCCGCCGCGAGAAGCATGAACGAGATATGCGCTGAAAATTGAGGGCCGCGGTCGAATCACCAAAGCTGGCTTGGGATACACATTGTGCACATTTTCACCTAAAACTCATAATAACAGAGCAAATTAAATATGCCCATGAGATGCTGGACCAGTTGCATGATTTTGGAGGGATTTGTTTCTCACGCCATTTCCGCCGGGACGCCGAGCGAATTTGCCATATTTAAGTCATAATGAGCGAAGCTTCTTGGGATACAAAGCAACCCACTTCTATGTGTGACTGTTGGACGAGGATATTCACTGTACTAAGATGAAAACTACTTGGACAGATCTCATCGTGAAAACACAAATCAGGACACTTGTGATGCACGGCTGGTCAAAGATTGAACACGACATGACATATAAGCCACCTGAGCCACGGATAATTTCCGAGGGCCAAGTTTGCCTTCATGACCTTATCAGTAGTACCGTTACAACAGGCGAGCCAGCCTTGCGGCAACTTGAGGCAATTACGGAAAGACGTCGCAATCAGTACGCAAAAGACAAAGAAGCATTTGCGATGAGTGGCCATGGATTCGGATGTTGGCTGGAAAAGTACGGAGTGGAGGCCAATCATGTAAAGATTGAAGGTGATTGGGATTATCTCACTCAGCTATTCGCGATCTTGAAACATGCTCGAGATCATCAACTTGACAAGATCCAGCAAATTCTTGAAGCAATCGAGTTCAAGGGAGCAATCGCCGATATCCTTTTCGACCATGCCCGTTTCTGGGCCACGCAGTCAATGTATAGCCTAGACATGGTCGCATTCCTCGGTGTTACGTGAGAACTCCTTAATGTCGAAAGAATCCCACCACGGCCGCAAATTGCGGATATACTTAATATTATTCATCCTACAAAGTACTTCACCATCTTCCAGAACCCGATATTTCTAGTGTGTGGCTCTCCAGTTGCGCAGGGTCCAACCGAAAGACTCGAATAGACTCACCGTCAGCGAGGATGTGTATCCATATTTCTCCATAACATCAACAGTAAAAGGACCGATAGATCGATAACTAGTAAATCGTTGGCCTCTTATCGATGAGGTCTCGAGGCTGGCACAGAGTAAATTCTTGAAATGCTCCTGTTCGCGTTCAGCGCAGGCATGAAGGAGTCAAGGCTGCCATAAGAGATGGGTACTTAGTAAGTATGATGAGAGGCCATGAATATTGGGGCCCGTGCCGAAAGAGTATAGTCTGGATGTCAGAGTGGCGGTCTGCATACCTTTAACACGAGTTTATTGGTGTTGTCGCATTGACTCAGCTGTGGTTCTAACAAGTCATGACAGCCTCGAATGGAGCATACAATTTGCAGAATATCTTCTTGAGGCTCTCCACAAAGGACTCGACTCTCGTGGTAAACAAATGACCTGTCCGTCATCAAATACACATTGTCACTGTTCATTCCGTCATGCGCTAGATAGCTTGTGTTGTGTGACATGATCGAAATTAGCATAAACATTATCTAGCAAATAAATCAAGACAAAGCTGATATCGCAATTGAGATCTTCCCGATCGTCTTTCCAAGGATCTCCGTCGTAAAGGCTAATGCAAAGCATCTTCGTCGTGGGTATCTGTATGTCTAATACGAATTGATGATGCAAGTCCCAATGAGATCAAGTTTGTGGCTTCCCAGGCCCCAGCTATACTTCGTGAATAAAAGTCTTGATCGCCGCCACAATTCCCTTCGCGCTGTCCACAAATCCCATAATTTCACCAACCAAGAAAATGTCGTGCAAGGCATCGTCGACCTGGTCGATAACAACCTTGTTCCCATCAATCTGCTTCATTTCCCCTGCCCATTGTTGCACGGCATCTTGAAAGATCTCTGCAGTTCCGACGGTGGCGAATATGGGCACAGACGTCGCAAAAGGATTGCCCAACGGTGTGATGTATTTGTTTGAAGGAGGCAAGTCTCCTGCATATGTGTGCGCGCCCCAGCTGAGGAGAGACTTTGGCAGGAAATCTTGGTTATAGTTGTTCAATTTCGTCGTCTCATACTCGAACGGCGCAACCCATGGCGATACGACAGCCATACACTTCGGTAGGCCAATATTCAGCTGGGTTCCGAATTCCTCAATGTAGCGCAACAAGGCAGTCATGAGGTTACCGCCGGCACTGTCGCCACAGAGAACAATGTTCTTGGACGGGATTCCGAGCTCGCGGGTAAGGTACAGGTAACCGGTCAGGGCATCTTGCAACGCTGCCGGGAATGGAGACTGGCCAGCCCAGCCGGACAAGCGGTACTGCAAGGAGAAGACCAAGTCGGCGGCGCCGCCCTCGATCATGTTGTTTCCGGCAAAGTCAGCCAAACCGTCTCTGCCGTCTCCGATGACGAATGCTCCACCGTGGGCAAAGAAGATGACAGTCTTTGAAGCGAGATCCGAAGTAGGAGGGCGGGCCGGATACCATTTCCCGCCTACAGCTTCCGGGCGCACTGGGGACTCCAAGGGCCCAATGTAGTTGCTCGAAGGCGAGGGCTCAATAACCTGGAAGCGGTCGCCGTCCTTGCCCGCCTTCAGCGTGAGCTTCTGTGTGATGCCGGTGCGCGACTGAAAGTCAAACAACGCGTAGGCGACCCGGGACATCAAAGCCTGCTTCGCCGTCCAGTTGGGATGCGGCCTGAAGGGTCGCACAAAGGCCACCACAAACCACAGTGGGAGACGAATAACCACTGTTCCGGCGTATGCCAACTGAAACAGAAGCCTCAAGGGCTGGTAAGAAATCACTGGGTGACCTGCTGGGCCTGCCATGTTGCAGTCTCGTATGGGGTTGTATCAAGAAAAAGTATATCGCGATCAATATGGATGTCCAGGCAAGAATACCGACTGACTTGAAACAGACATTTATATAAACCACTATGTATTCCGACTGTTTCTCTTGTAACAAAAACCGTTGCGGCCAAGCCCAAGGCCCCGCGCCGCGTCGAGCTACGTGTCACACGTGGATAACCGTTTATATTTGCCCGGTGACCCTGGTCCTTGTACTTGAGGCTGTCGTTTCAACAAATGGCAAGCAGTTCCTAGCTCCGCACTCTCCGCTGCTGCGATGCGGGCGAGCGGGAACGGGTGCGGCATTATGGAGACGGCGACTGTGAGCCAACATTCGGGGCCTCGAGGGGTTCTCCCTGCTCTTGTCCATTTTCCCAAAATCACCATGAAATCACGATGGGCAAATATTTTGTGCGTTCTTACTCAGGTGGGTGTATCGGCGGATCTTGACCAGATACGGGTATATATAAAAGTGACGGCCCTCAAAAGTTCAGACTACATGGAGGCCCGTCCCTCGAGTTGGCCGGCGTCGGGAAACTATCGCGGGGGCTAAGCCACTGAGAATCCAGCGTTTCACAACCCCCGCGCTTCCAATGTCTTTCTGTCTTGGTAGTAGTTCACTGTAGATCGGCCGGCAAACTCCGCCAACACACCCCATCATGTATGATATGATAAGCCTGTATTATATAATCTTTCAGCTGGGCGGCTGGCTGGGGACGAGGCACTCAAAGCATTTATAGGGGCAAAATGGAGTCGACGATAGAGCTATAGTCACACTGAACCAGAAGGACCGAGCCCTGGTTAGCGTGAACTCTATTTGTGCGCTCCGGAGATGAGCCAGTCTCCTAACTTACGCATACCACGGCGGCGACAACATAGCTGAACCTGGCCAAGTCTGGGTTAAGCGATGGCTAGCTGCGATCGTGATCGAGTCAGTACCTGTCCAGGGCACTAACCTACCTGACTTGTCGAGACAAAAATACTATATGCTTGAATAGTCAGCAGTATTTGATATCTATATTCTTGACTTTCCGGTTTTCTTGTTTCATATTTCGATCTTTTCGCTTACCCACAGTCAACTCCCACTTATCAGAGTGAACCCAAACGCCATCATCCAGCTGTTCAACGTTTGAAGCTGGACTAGGACGCTACCGACAATATTGGGGGAAGGGAAATAGACCATGTCTTCTTCGGAATCGGATTCCTCGGTGGACTATTCGAATGATGGCCCCGGTGCCTTGATTGGCTGTGCGATTTTGGGTTTTATCACCACGGTTATTGTGGGCTGCAGATTCTGGGCAAGGCGACTGGTCTCGACAACTTGGGGACAAGACGACTGGTTGACAGTGGTGGCGCTCGTGGCACACCATGGAGTACTGATTGCCTTTGGAGTCATGATCGTGGATGGAGGTCTTGGCAAAGATATTGCAGTCGTTGCGACGGTCCCAGGCGCAGTGACAGCTTTGTACAAGGTAAGCAATGGCCACTCTCAACCAAATAGGAAACTATTTCCAACTCGAATCTTTTCTAGTCCCTCTTTGCAGCAGAACTTGCCTATGGTATGAGCTCGTCTCTGGCCAAGCTGTCTCTGCTGGCCTTTTATAACCGCGTCTTCCCTACCCAACGAGTACGAATCAGCTGCATAGTCCTCGGGTCAATATGCATCATGTGGACAGTCGCCATTCAAATAACCAATGTGCTCCAATGCCGACCTCTTAGAGCATTTTGGGATCCGGCCTTGCAAGCCGCATCCACCACAAAATGCATCGACACGATACTTTTCTTCCTCGGCAACTCGATTGTCAACTGTGTAATAGATCTCGCAACCCTGGCTCTCCCTATTCAAGAAATCTTGAAGTTGCACACGACCAAGAAGAAGAAGGCCGGTATTGCTGGTGTTTTCCTTCTCGGCAGCATGTATGTGTTATTGCGATGAAGCAAATAGTGACATCTGGCTAATGAAACATTAGTGCATTCGCGGCCAGTCTTGTTCGCACAATATTCACTGCCACCATGTATAACGAAGGCACTACAAACTTTACGAGTACGTCGTGTTGGGAATTTCACTACAGCGGGCCGAAAGAAAACATGGCTAACATGACTTGACAGAGCAATTCGTCGTTTCGGGTGTGGCAACGGTGGTCGAAGTGTACGTGGGCATCATTAGCGGTTGCCTTCCCATCATGGTGCCCGTGTACCGACGTATTCGCTACGGCAACGCACTCAAGTCTACCACACGCACAGGGTCCGAAGGGTACTACCTGAGCAACAGCGGCAATGCCTTGGCAAAGAGCAACGCGAGAAGCAAGACGAACCGGTCGAGAGGCGAGGGCCCGTTTGAGAGACTGGACACCAACAAGGACGACTTTGCATCGAGCGAATTTTCGAGCGATCGTCACATCATGGTGTCGAGTGCCGCAGTACGGGACGGTGACGTGGACCACAAGAGCAACGACAGCATCCCACTTGATGGAATTGTCGTGCGGTCAGACGTTCAGTGGAAGGTTTCGGCAAAATCTCATGCATAGGTTGGGAATATGGAATGGTCACCGGCACTATCAAGTCAGGGCACGACACTCGGTTTCTTTTGTCAAAAAAGCGTATACGAAGCACACTCTCAGTATTGCAATGATTTACAGAGCACTCACCACATACACACGCGCACACACGCACACACACGTATCGCGTGTCCTCCACCCCCCATATTGGGGAAGTTGATGGAATTGTGAACTCGGCCGGGAATTCCGCATACTGCGTACCCTAGCGATCGGACTTTTTGGGAACCACCAGCGGAGATCTGCGACGACCTGGACCACGAGCTGGAATCTTTTTCTGAATTTTCTAGTGTCGACCGGAGGAGAAAGACTCATCCGCTACTATCATGTTGAACCCTGGCCCGGGAGAGGTTCCCGAGCAGGGAGATGCCTGTGCCAAAACCCGACACCCTGGCCAAGCTAATGAATAATCCAGATTTGGGGCCTGGGTTTGCATTAGTATACGCGAGTCATGATTGTGGGCTGACGCTGGCAGCCAGCCCCACCTATAGTCATCAACTATCGACCACCAGCTACCCCATCTGAACGCCCATCAGCAACAGCGGCGTTTTGTATTGTTGGGTAGGTAGCGTATCTAATAATATTAATACGATTTGAACTGCGATAATTGCAGCGCAAGTACATTACTCGACCATGCAGGAGACCAAGTAATCTCACCAATGACGGTATATCTATTCAGCCAATTGGCTTTTACCTATATCACATCATGACGGCCACTCGACCAAAAAAAAAAAAAAAAAAAGTAGGCGTTGTCGGATCGACTGCATTACCTGAACTCTCACTTGTCATGTACCTAGCGTCTCTGCATAGGATCGACACAGCAAAAAGAATGCCTAGCCCGCCAAGCACAATACTGAGGCTGCCAGGGCTGAGGACTAGATTGAAAGGTTACAGGAGTAGAGACACATGATGGCGGTAAGGAGGGGTGATCACCATGTAAATGATTAGAAGCTGGCGGATGGTGCACTGCTACTGCGACAACACAGCAGACATGTTCTTTCTGGAGGCACAAGCAGCAGATGGATGCCGGCAGCAAGAATTGAAATAAGGCTGTGCCGATGATAAGCGATGAGAATGGTTCGTGCCATGAAAGGACGAGGCTTGCATGTTCAAGGGTCTCGCATTTGAGATGAAGGAATGGATGTAATGAAAGTTGTATGTGTGCGATTGATGCTTTTTGCTTTGGCATATTGTTGAATGGTCTCTATGCCCTGATTGTGGATAGTTTCAAGAGATGGACTGAAGCTGTCTCGATAGTAGTCTTGGCAGACTACTATTTCTGACTCGTGGAATCAAGACATTGACCTGACACAAACTATTTTGATTATCATAGTGGCCGTTCGGGAGCTCAACTTTATTTCCACCTCTAAGTGAAGATAAAGAGCACGGAGTCAAGACCTCATCTCGCTTACTCCTTTTTAGCTCGATGTAAGCTTCCATAAACTCCCACCATATATCATCAACCCGCAGAGCGAACTTGGCCTGTGCAAAGCGACCAATATTGTCCAAAGGATGATAGCTCATGAATATATTGGCAATATTCACCTGGTTAATTCTTGATTCCCATCTCTTTTTCAATAGTTGACCCCCTTTTGGTTCTTTCGACTAGTAATCTAGGCCAACGCGGAAATAAAACCAACAACAATGCTAGTAGCCACGGTGTATCATTCGTAGATATTCGAAATGTCAGCCCTAGCTACAGGGCTGAACTCCATATCGAGTCATGTATTTTAGCAAGACGAGATTTTAGATTCCATCACCTGCTTGGTCCTCCTCCCGATACCCATCGGCATCACCTTCCGGCTTGCCCCAAGCACCGCCGCCAGGGGTGTTGATCTGCATCTTCTCCCCGGGATTCAGAACGACGACGGCTTTGCCACCCAAATTGATTTGCTCAAAGCCAGTACCCTCCTGGTTGAATTTGAAAACATAGTTTTGGCCCCTGTGCCCAGCCTCTCCACCCTCCATTCCATATGGGCGGTATACTCTGCGATCCGAGAGGATGCTAAACTTGAGCGGGATCCGTGCCTGAATCTCTCGAGTCACACCGTCTCCTCCTCGCCATTGGCCGCGGCCTCCACTGCCCTTGCGCACGGCATACTTTGTGACCAGGACCGCCGTCCGCTTCTCCACGACCTCGGGATCCGTGTTGCGCGTGTTTGTCGAGTGCACATTGATGGCGCTCTCGCCGTGGTAGCCAGGGAGGGCACCTACGCCGCCGCCCAGCGACTCGCCATAGTTCCATCCGGGAAGCACCTTGCCCGTCTCGGGATCCCGCCCGCCCATGCCCCAGCTAAAGGAGCTGGCGCAGCCCTGCGATGCCGCGCAGCGACGAAAGGCGCGCAGAATGGTGTCAATGACGCGCTGACTGGCCAAGGTCGACCCGCAAATGGCAACCGCGGGCGAAGGGTTGAGCATGCTGCCATACGGCACACGAATGTCAATGGGCGTCAGACAGCCCTCGTTGAGGGGAATGTCCACGTCGACAAGGCATCGGAGGGTGTAAATGATGGCCGAGTGCGTGATTGATATCGGACAGTTGTAGTTTCCCCATTGTTGGGGTCCTGTGCCGCTAAAGTCGTAGACGGCACCGCCAGTCTCTGGGTCAATAATGATCTTGATTTTTATGGGCGTGCCGTCGTCAAAGTAGTCAATAGCAGTGAGTGGCTCGGGGTGTTTCTTGGCAAGCTGTTTGAGGAATCGGCGCACTGCGAACTCGGCATTGGCCTGGATCCCCTCCATGTATGTGCATACCACTGGCAGTGTGAACTCTTCGCAGAGATTGCCGAGCAAGATAATGCCTCGCTGGTTTGAGGCTATTTGTGCCTTGAGATCTGATAAATTGTCTGCGATTCTCCTGGTCGGGCTACAGCCCGGGAACGAGCCCGCCTTGTCAAATGCAGCCCGAATTTCATCCTCGAGGAACTCGCCGCCAGAAACAATCTTCATGGTCTTGATACTGATGCCCTCCTCCCACAGCTCCTTGGACTCGGGCATCATGGCCGCTATGCCCTTGCCACCAATATCCGTATGATGACCGCGGGAGGCGACGTAAAAGGCAACGTCGCCATTGACGAAAACGGGGCTGACGACCGTCAAGTCGGGCAAATGAGTGCCTCCCGAAAGAGGGTGATTCGTGACCAGAGCATCTCCGGGCTTCAGCTTGCCTTTCCAGGCCTCGTGTTGGTAGCGGATGGCCATTTGCATACTGCCCAGATGAATAGGGATATGGGGTGCATTGGCCACGAGCTTGCCCTCGCGGGAGAAGATTGCGCAGGAAAAATCAAGTCGTTCCTTGATGCTGCTTGACACTGATGTTCGCTGCAGGGTGTTGCCCATTTGTTCCGCAATAGACATGAAACGGTGCGCAAACACGGACAGCAAGAGAGGGTTGATTTCCTCTGCCGACACGGCTTGTCTCGTGACGGTGTCTTCAACGTTACTTTCTTCAAGAATGACATGGTCAGGAAGAATGTAAGCATTGAAGCGTGGCTCGACAAAGATTGTTTGCGTCTTGTCGATAATCATGGCAGGTCCGCTGACAGCGCAACCCTTGGAAAGTTGGTCGAGCCGATATATAGGCACCTTTCTCCAGGATCCATTGATATAGACCTTCTGTTCTTCTGTGGTCTGGGCGGTCGTGGCCACCGACTTGACCCGAGCCAGAGCTTTGAGCGGAGGCTCTTCGGTCGCCAGGGTCACGGCGCTGCCAGTACCTCTGACATTGACAGAGTCGATTACAATCTTGCGGTTCAGCTTGAAGGCAAATTCTCTCAGGTGCAGAGCTTCAAAAGCCGCTCCATAGTCAAGGTCGTCTGGAGTGGTCACCGTGATGGTTGTGTCGGTTCCGAAATATTTCATGACCAGAGACTCGTCGAATCGCAACGTGGATTCCTGAGCGCCTTGAGCAAGTAGTCCAGCAGCGACTTTCTCTCTGAGCAATGATAAACGCTCCTTGATGAATCCATTTAGGTCCATGCCAAAGTCTAGCGAGAGAGGCTCAAATGATTCGTATTGCAAATCAGCCTGAGATATGCCATGCGCCGAGAGGAGTGATGACCATTTGTGAATCAATACTCTCTTGATACCGAGCTTACTCGCAATGGCGCATGCGTGCTGACCACCAGCACCACCGAAACTGACAAGATTGTGTTTTTCTGGTGCAAAGCCCCTGGCTTCCGTGGTGTTTCGGATTGGTCTGCTCATGGCCTCGTTGGCAACATCGAGGAAACCGAGGGCGACCTCTTCTGCCGTCAAGTTCTGCGATGTCTGGCTGTTGAAGTCGGCGGTGATTTCCTGAAACTTGGCGGTAACCACATCTTGATCAAGAGGCTGGTCGGCGTTTTCACCAAAGATGGAAGGAAAGGATGAGACGACCAGACGCCCAAGGAAGAGGTTGGCATCCGTCACGGTTAGGGGCCCACCCTTTCGATAACATGCCGGACCGGGATGTGCTCCAGCGCTCTCGGGTCCTACGACGAGGAGTCCGCTCCGCGCAAACAGGATGGATCCGCCTCCGGCAGCAACGGTAGATATATTGAGCATGGGCATTGAGATTGTCCTGTCGGCGATGACGGTCTCGGAAAGATAGTCATACTTGCCATCGAACCTTGAAACGTCGGTACTCGTGCCTCCCATGTCGAATCCAATGATTGGTATTTTCTGTTCGACATCGTAACAAGATGTTGCAATGCCCACGACTCCACCGGCAGGACCGCTGAGGAGAGCTTCATTGCCTCTGAACTTTTGAGATTGTTTCAGACCGCCATCGGAGCACATGAAATCGACTCGTCGCGGCAAGACTCGGAAACCCGACTCAAAGTTCTCAATGTATCTCCGGATAACTGGGTAAAGGCAGGCTTCGGAGCAGCATGAAGTACTGCGGTTCAAATACTTGAGCACAGGTCTAGTCTCTGCCGAGGTCGTCACGTATGTGAAGCCTACTTCGCGGGCAATCTTTGCCACCTGGTCCTCATGATCGGGGAAGATGTATGAATGCATGAAAGAGATGGCGACGGAATTGTAGCCGGCATCGCGCAAAGCCAGGAGCTGCTCGCGGACAGTTTCCTCGTTGACGCGAGCCAATATGCGAATGATTTCCCCGCTCGGCGTCCGTACGAGATCTGGGTCATTGAGCGAGGCCGACTTGTCCAAAGGATATGGGTTCAAGTCATAATCCTCGATCGTCACCCGCTCATCGACCCCGATGACGGTGTCATGAAGGGCCTCGGCTTTCTTCACCTTCAAGTCAAACAGCTTCGGCCTTGATTGATCTCCAATGACGCACACATCTTCGAAACCTGTAACAAAAGTTAGTGACTCCCTTCTGTGATGGACAACATTAAACAGGAAAATTACCTTTGGTCGTCACAAGTGCAAACTTTTCATACTTCCCCTCTAATAAAGCATTTGTAGCGACGGTGGTGCCCAGGCGACACGATGCTAGAGAGCTCTGTTAGCAACACATTCATTCCCCGCAGTCTGCAGGCAAAATAATCCCTAATACGCACCAATTCTAGTTCCGTCCAGCTTTTCTCCCACTGGGATCTTTTTGCCCTCTACAATCTCCAGCACTCTTCTGATGCCTTCAGTGGGAGCATCTTGATAGTTTGCGGGGTCTACCGAAAGAAGCTTGAAGATGATTGGCTCGCGCCCTTCAACGTGCGCAATAACGTCGCAGAATGTGCCGCCTCGATCGATTGAGACACGGATATCGGCAGTCATGGTTTTTTTTTAATGCGTGGCTGCTTATTTTTTCCAGTTTGCCGACAAAAACGTATGAAACTGGGAGGGATGGGAAAAAAATAAAATAATAATAAATTTCAAATAAGTATATAATTGACTCCGAATTCGTTCATTGTATGAATTGCATCCGTTATTAGAGGTAATGAGAATAGATCTCTGATCGGATTTGATTGCGGTAAGTTTCGTCGGGGCGACCCCGACCCACGAATCCACTTGACACCATCGCCATGGTCTATGAATGGCTGGCTATACTATGGTGGATAACAAAAGAAGATACGCCCGTATTTGGAAAAACTTCTTACATCGGACCCTTTCTATACAGATTCGCGCCACCTACCGATTCATAGAGGTGTTGTGAGTTTGTCATGATTGATCCTTCTCATGTTGTGGCTCTTGTTATGTTTAATTTTATTATTTGTTTTTTTTTTCCCCTAACAAAGTGCACATCATCTATAACGCCAATCCAGAAACGTGATATTCGCTTCCTGTTGCTGCTTGCAATCAATTTGCCATGTTTTAGAAATGCGCGAGGAGGATATCAGCTCGTAAATCCAATTGCCAAAGCACAAGCAATGGGGCCAATGTCGATAATCCATTGCAAGATTGTGTGGTCTACTTCTCAAGATGGCTTCGGATCTTCTTGACCACCAGGTCGTTCTTCTCGACATGAACGCTGTGGTTGGCATTCTCAACCAAGAAGAGTTCAGCGTCCTTGATCTCCTTTGCTATGAATTTTGAGTTTTCTGGCACCCCATTGTCGATCAGTAGCTAGCCCCCAACGTAGCTCAGGAGAATGGAAGCTTATTTACCTGGAGGGCAGATCCAGTCCTTGTCGCCCACAACGACCAAAGTTTTGGCCGTGATTCGGTGCAGATCTTTGGTGTAATCAAAGTATTTCTCCTTTTCCGAGTACAGATCATCTGCAATTTTGCAGCTTAGTTTTGTGTCTAGGACTTGGACATTGAGAGATTGGCCTTACTATGCGACTCTGCGTTATAGACATTGTTTAGACAGCTCTGCAATGCGGCGTTTGCATCAAACGATTCACTGTACAGCGGGGACATGACCAGGTGCACCATGCGGAACTCGAGGTCACTATCAAAGGCTCCAAAAACCTTGTCTTTCAGCATTTCAATGCTGAAGCTGGGCACCTTGGACAGCCTCTGCTCGAGTGTCTTTATGGCACCTTCCTCGTCTATCCACCATGTATGTTAGTGTACCAAGGTAGGTTTGTCTGCGCACCCTGGAGATGTAGGGGACGTGAACGTACGGTGATGTGACGGTGCTGTACCCCGAAGAATCAGATGCGACACGTGGGAGGCATACTTGATGGCATACTGTTGTGCAAGGAATCCACCAAAACTTCCACCCAGTATGATGACTTGTTTTTCAGGTCCAGCGAAACGAGCCCTCATACCATCAATGTCGTCGACGATCTGTTCAAACGTGTAAGGCTTGGTGCGGCTGCTTTGGCCATGACCCCGATAATCAAAGGACAGTATACGATAGCTGTCACCGAGCGGACTGAACGCCTTGAAATCAGACTGATGGTTGCCTATACCGTAGATGCGAGAGAATTAGACGTCCATCAATAGTCAACGTCTTTTGATACATGGTGGACTAGACTGACCCATGCCCCGGCCGCCGTGCAGGGTAATAACGAGGGGAGCATCTTCTGGTCCGCAGATTCGGTACGCTAGCTGAGCTCCATTTATTTCCACGAATTCGACCATGGTTGTCATTGTTGGTGTCGTTGATAGGTAGTCAAGGATTTATTTTGCCCTTTATGAATTAATTGCACTTGTAAGGTGTCTAAGTATCCAAGAACGTATTTGAGCCCCATGGGTGCACTGTAGATAGGCACTCCGTACTCTAGGGCGGGCGACTAACTCCTATGATCGGATCGGGCCGGACCCGACACAGATTCCCTGATTTGATACACCCCCACCCGGCCCTGACTCCTATCAACGGCGATGTTGCACCGCTCTATCATTTCACGCCGTAGAATGAAGAGCTGTTGACTCGAGATGACACATAATATCGACCGAGTCCACGACATGATGTGCTCGGCACCTAGGATGTCGTAAATCGGTAGTTTGAATGGCCATGTTCGAGATTTTCTGAAAGAATATAACGCGCCTCAATAAAGACGGGCTGGATCGAGCTTGAAAAGAATCGGCTGTCGCTCTAGTTTTGGCCAAGGTCTGCTTCACTTCTCCAAAACACCTCTCTTCGCCAGCGGGAACGTAGGAGCAAGGTCAATCTCACAATGTCGGGGCCTGCCCTGGAAGTCGCAGCCGCCAAAACGGCCGAGCAGGGTCAAGTTCCCGTCCTCGCCGCTGCCGTTCGGGGCGACACCAAAGTATCCGGCGACTCCATCCACGCCGCCACGACCGCTGTATCGGATGGAGACAATCAGAGCAGTACCATGTCGGGCAAGACAGCGGCTGGTGATGCCACTTCACCAGCCTCGGGCTCGGGCTCAGGTGGCTGGTTTCATTGGCACGAGCCTGGTACGAGCAAGGCCGAAAAGAAGCTGATCTTTAAGCTGGATTGGTTTCTGCTGTCTTACTCGTGCCTGTGCTTCTTCATCAAGCAGTTGGACGGCAACAACGTGACCAATGCGTACGCGTCTGGCATGCAGGAGCAGCTGGGATTCGGACCGGGCAATGAGCTGTCGTGGATGAACACGTATTTCAACATTGGCCAGATCATCGGTGCCCCTTTTGCCAACATGATTATAACCGTAGTGCGCCCGCGCTACTGGCTGCCCGCCTGCCTCATGACCTGGTCAGCGTTCGTGCTGGGCATGTACCGATGCGAAACAGCTGCTCAGTTCTACGTCCTCCGCTTCTTCATTGGCTTGTTCGAGGGCGCCGCTTGGCCCGGTATCACCTATACTCTGGGTTGTTGGTATCGCAAGAGCGAAATGGCGCGCCGATCTGCCCTGTTTGTCATGTCCGGCGTGTTGGGTCAAATGTTTTCGGGTTATTTGCAGGCTGCCTTGTATACGGGCATGGATGGCAAAGGAGGTCTCGCGGCGTGGAGATGGTTGTTCATCTTTGACTTTATTCTCGCCGTACCTATCGCCATCTATGGGTTGGTAAGTCGGGCCCACTATCTGTGTCTATCTCATCTTGCTCACAATGCATATCTAGTTTTGCTTCCCTGATACTCCACACAAGACGTCGGCTTGGTATCTCAATTCCTGGGAGCGTGAGAAGGCAGTGGAGCGCATCGACTCCGAGGGCCGCAAGCCCATTGGCAAGCTAGACTTGTCCGTCTTCAAGCGCATTTTCACGTCATGGCAGGTTTATGCCTTTACGCTGGGCTACGCACTATGGTCGCTCACGGTTGGTTCCTACGTGATGCAATATTTCACCTTGTATCTCAAGGCGACCAAGGAGTACACGATACCGCAGATCAACAATATTCCCACGGCCCTGGGCGCCGTCAATTTTGTCACCATGTTGACGACCGGCTTCGTGTCCGACAAGATTGGTCGCCGAGGCCCTGTGTGCCTGGCTGTCGGTTGCGTCCTCATCTTCACCTATTCCATATTTACCGCGTGGAACGTACCGCATCGCCTGCTCATGGCCGTCTTTATCCTCAACGGTGTATACGGCTGCTATACGCCACTGCTAGCTGGCTGGGTCAATGAGTGCTGCGGGGGCGACCAACAGAAGCGAGCGTTTATCCTGGGCTTGATGACCTCGGTCGGTGGCGCCGTGGTCATTCCCTTTCAACAGCTCCAATTCCCCAGTTCACAGGCGCCACAGTTCAAACAAACTCATGGCTGGCCGAGCGCACTGGCTTTTGTGATTGCCTTGACGTGCTGGACGGGACTGGGTATACCCCTCTTACAGCGCAGAATGGAGAAGCAAGCCAAGAGAAATGAAGCAGAGCATGAAGCTTGAAAGGAAAACCTACTCCACGCTGCCAGGGGCACGCTCTATATAGAGTAATTATTACAAGTGCTAGTCACGTAATCTGGTGTATAGCATTTGGTTTAGATTTTTACATTTCATGTCATTTATCTATGCATTTGTCAATGGGCAAGCAATGGTGATCTTTGGGACTGCCTCATTATAGACCATGTGCCTTGTGGCCTATTATGATCAAAGCTCAAGTCCTATTGATACGAGTCTCGGTCCCCATCGATACAAGTCTCGATGGGTACACCCCCTTGGCCTGTCTACCTACACGCGTTGCTCAGCAACCCACTCTTTGTTATAATCCTCTAATGTTGGCCTTTTGACTAAGTAGGTATGCAAATTTGTCTTCCCAAATTCCACCTGCATTCACGGATGCGAAGGTGCCAAGAAATGCACCTAAAATGCATACACGCGGTCGATTAAAAGCGTGGTAATGACTGAGGCAGGCAAGCGCACGCAAACCATGGTCAAACATGTTTGTATATCGCCATCTCGCAAAGCTGGCCGCGCTTGTTCTGTAGCCATTCGATTGTTCCTCCAGCCTCCTCGAGGACTTGTTTGTGGTAAACCTACAGCGTCTTGGCGCCTTAATCATCCCGCCCTCCCGCTCTTATGCACTGTACCGCATGGCCGGCCAGCGGCTCGGCGGCCCCAGGTCGATAACGCCGTGGCGACAACAGCGCTGCTAAGTAACGTCGTACCCAGATGTCTGGGTAGGCCTACCACGTTTGCAGACCTTTGAGTCATGGCCAGGATGACCGTCATTGCTCGTTCATAATGCGATGCATGCTGGTTCATCTTTCTTCCCAACCACTCAAGCATAGTACAAAGGCTGGCGCAGAATTCAACCGACAGAGCAGAAGCCACTCCATGGTGTACAGTAGCACCAGGTGCTTTCTGACTATGCACCCCATGCGCAAGCGAGAACTTGCCTCAATTGTGCGTGTCACCTTCACGGCACCATCGTTTAGAGGATCTGATGGTATGCATTGCAAATTGAGCGAATCATCATACACATGCCCAGCCGACAACCTGTTCTCAGTCCATGTCACTACAAGTCTCTATGATTGCCTTTTCCGCCCCGACTCTCCCATCTACGCACGACAGGTGGACGAACCGCGATGTCGTTGATGCACACGCCGAATCTTGGCTGGACAACGATATCCTCGAACATGCGATTGGCCAAAACAAAACCATAAGCAGTTCTTGGAAGAAAGATGTTGTGCCAGCTTATACACATGGACTTGCGCAATGTAGTGGCGCCAATAGTCAATAGTCTCGAAGAGGTGTAGGACGACTGTATCCCAGGTTCAACCCGAGCCAGATCGAAAAAGCCGCCCAAATCTTATTGGCTGCTCGGTGTTGGAATCTCCATGCTCGTCAAGTGACTCTCCAAAGCCGAACGTTGCTTGGCGTCCTGCACGCGGCTGGCTGGGCGCCCCGGAGAGCAACACGCTACCCGTTTTCGCGTTGTAGCAGCTATTGACAGGTAAAAGCGCCCATATTTTGCTCAAATTGTGGAACAGAATGAATGATCGCAACTTGCCACCCAATTGCCGACTAGCTTGCATCATAGACTTGGCCCATGGTTGTCGGTCCCGTAGTCTATAGTGCTCTCTCTCTCACACGTCAGCATTCCACTTGTATACCAAAGCACAACGTCCCACGAGACCATGATAACCATATAGATGGTTGCGTTTTTCTTGCCGTGGAGTTGAATCATCATTCTGTTGTGCAATGCCAAAAGTCGGCGTTTCTTTTTGTTTTGGTTTAATAGAGTTTTCTAGTGCATATCACCGAAAAAGCTTGGCATAAATACCCTTGGATATGCCTGTTTTGCCTGGGGGATCAAGGTTGTGTCTCACGCTACCAAGGTGAACCCCAGGAAAGAGCGACATTTGCTCCAACTTCCACCAGACAATGTTTTCATGGAGCCAGCCATATCTGCAAGCCTCAAAGGGTTGGGATCGTTTTGAATGCGCGCAGTCGTCGTCAGCTGTTTTCCTGCGAGCGTGAAAACGCAGAGGTCGACAATGGATCTGCCCACAATGAGGTGGTCAACTTGTGAGCTTTGCATGGCATTGATGCTCGCATATGTCTCTACCGGCCGCGATCTCCCAGCTGCTGCATTGCAGCCTCGCTTTGTGGGGATTTTGGCAGGCAGGAGTTCAGAGGACGAGCCCTTTTCAGGGTCACTAACTGTCATTGTGGCGTTGCGGCAATTCTCGTTCAACACTGAGGATGCTGCCAGATTTGGACGAGCTCCAACGATTTATGCAACCCTCGGTTTTGAATTTCTCAGGGACATGGGGTCCATTTTTCTTTCCACCATCAAAACCAGTAGTCAATGAGTTGTACTCTCTTTAAGGTGCTTTACTCGGCTCATTGTCTGCTAATGGTAGAACTGGCGCTACGAACTTCACGAGAGTCACGAGACGACGGGTGGCTTTGAGGAGGATGAGCATGAGGCTTACATGAAGTGGAGATGGCTATGGTATAGACTGTGAGAATGAGCGCCGTTTTCAACGTTGAAACGATTATTTGTCTATCAGTATAGACTTTATCGAGTCGTTCCCCTCTTTCGGGTCGTCTTTGAACAGTTTTCTCGACCTGGCTAGTGCCATTTACCTACGCAATGTCCTGGGATAACTGACACACTATACGGCGGAGTTCCGACGACACATCCCAGCTTTGATTCATCGATTGCAGAACCACCTGCTCATTCACTTGACCAGCCATGCCTGCTCTCAGCCTCTGCAGGTTCTGCCGAATACGGTATGCTGCATGTTCTTCGCCAACGCCGAAGTATGCTATGCATGTCCAAACGGCAGCATGGATGTCGATTCAGATGTAAAAGTTCTGTGGCATGGCATCCTTACGGTATATGCTCGTGTCGTAGCCAATCTGCGTTTTATAAATCTCCGCTGCATCCTCTCTTAGTGTCTATTTCTATACTCGCGATACCATTCCTCGTGCCATTTATATTCGGGGGCTATCGTCTTGCCTCTTGAGTTTCTTGGCATAGTCTATCGCTCCAACTATTGCTTCCACTCGTCATCATGTGGACAGCCAGGCTCAGCTCTATAGCGGTGTTGACACAGGTTGTTGGCACATGGGCCGATACGATCACCCTCAACTGGGAAATAACCTGGGTCAATGCCGCTCCAGATGGCTTTCACAGACCAGTCATTGGCGTCAACGGTAAATGGCCCTGTCCACCAATTCACGCCACCGTCGGCGATACAGTAGTGATCAACATGAAGAACAGCCTCGGCAATCAGACGACGGGACTTCACTTCCACGGCATAAACCAACTTGATACAAACTATATGGATGGAGCCTCCATGGTGAACTCTTGTCCAGTTGTCCCTGGAAGCTCAATGACATATTCATTCACCGCCGACGAACCTGGCACTTACTGGTACCATTCCCACAACATGGCACAGTACCCCGACGGACTGCGCGGTCCTCTCATCATTCACGACGACAACGACCCTTTCGACGGAGAATTCGACAATGAGGTGATACTCACTATATCCGACTGGTATCACCAACAAACCCTGACACTGGTGCAAAATATGTTGGTCTCAAGCAATGACCAATGGCGCCCACCACTCCCTGACGGTATGATCGTCAATGAGGGCGGGAACACGGATATTGAGCTTGACATTGGTACAACCACTCGCGTCAGGATTCTGAATTTTGGAGCTCTTACAGCTTTCATGCTCCGATTCGGCTCTCGCGACATGGATGTCATCATGACTGATGCGTCCTATGTCCAGAGGGAGACAATCCATCAGCTGCGCATTGCTCCAGGACAACGATATGACGTCCTGGTCTCTGCGACTAAGAAGGATAAGGGGAAAAACATACCCTACCTGATTAGCATGGATCTGAACCGCGATTTCACCGTATCTGGTACGTGGACCTTCAACCAGACGGGCTACCTCATTACCGATGCGAAGGCGCCCTGCACCGCAAAAGAGGTTGTCCAGCAGTGGCGTCCCTTTGATGAAGCCCTGTTCACTCCCCTCGATGAGATGCCGCTATTGGGTCCGTTGGACAGGACGTGGACATTGAACTTTGCACTTTGCAAGGACATGAACAATATTCCTCGGTGAGTACTCGCAATCATGAGTCTGACATAGAGAATCATGCTAACCTGTGAACTCTTCAGCATGTGTTTCAACGATCAGACATACGTCATGCAGAAGACACCGACCTTATATACTGCGGCTACTGTTGGCAATGCAAATACAGACCCCAGCGTCTATGGCGCTGTCCTGCCGTTTATCATTGAGTATGGTGACGTTCTGGAAATTGTCATCAACAACCTCGACCCTGCAATCCACCCCTTCCATCTACACGGGCACCAGTTCCAGGTCGTCGAAAGACCAGAGAGTGGCTCTGGCTCGTTCGATGGATCTTCTACTGCGAACCCGGTGCCGCCCCGACGAGATGTCATTAGCATCAACGGCGGGTCTTATGCCAGACTGCGCATAACCGCCGATAACCCGGGCGTGTTCCTATTTCATTGCCATATCGAATGGCATGTCGAAATGGGCCTTACCGCTACCCTCATTGAGGCGCCCGAGATGCTCGATGGTTACGATATCCCGCAAGCAATGATCGATTCGTGCAAGGCTCAGGGATATCCCGTCGCGGGTAATGCTGCTGGCGATACAATTAATGTCTGGGATGACTCGGGGTACCTTACTGATCCACCTTCGACTTACTCTGGCTCCCAGTGGCCTGTTCCCAAGGGTGGCAACAGCCAAAAGAGTCGACCGAGGCGAAAGCCGAGTGGCCAGTCGTCTCAAACTAGACAGATCAGCAACATGTCAGGTGAATTCCAGCACAGGATCACCTGGTAGATCTGAATGTTGTTCAAAGTTTCTGTTCTTGCTTGGGTGATCTTCAGCTTTGATTTTCGGGATTTGGACAGACATGTGAGGGTGACGGTTCTATTTTCTGATTTCGTTTCAGTTGAATTATATCGCCTGTATGAGATTGGATGATCTATGAAGGTTCATGAATGTAGTCAAGGTGTTGGTGTTAAAACTTTCAAGCCAGCGTACATAGCGGTTATCAGGAGGAAGACGAAACTGTTATTATTTTTGGAAACACTGGGGATAATATGCTAAGATAGACATGAATAAGATATCACCACATAACTCTTATCTCCACCGGGGTTTTCCATTCTTCATAACATCATGTGTTGTTTGTGATCAGAAATTACGTCCGCACCTATGCCCGGACATGCCTTGAGCTGAGCTTCACACAAATGCAGGTCCACTCGAGGAACTATTTCCGTTGGGCGGGACTAGAACCATTAGAGAGGCGGCACGTTCAAGGCCAAAAATGCAGATGCTTTGGCGTATACTTTGGAAATAAGGTGCTGCAGACGGCGGCTCTGCTTCATGTGAAATGTACGTAGATCCTTGAGCCCCTCGCTTTGCTTCGAGTCATGTGAAATTGATATACATGGCGATCACAGGCCCTAGAACAAATCAGAAGCCATGTGCTCAGTGCAGGTTACATGGCTTCTGGGCTGATGTTGTGATTGAGATTGGCGCAAACAGTCCCATTGAATTCTTTGTTGAAGGCAGATCTTTCCTGTTTGTTGAACTACTGCCAAAGCAAGCCACGATAGAATTCTGTATCCAACGCAAGCCAAGCCTCGTGGCGAAAATACCTGATCAGTCCATGATGAGAATTGCCAAGCACCCCAGTATCCTGTCTCTCGGTATCCTCGACGTCAAAATTTACGCTAAGACGAAAATCCTCAGCGTCTAGATGTCACAAGAGGGTTACAGTTACGGCTCAGCCTTGAGTGGAATCCCATCCCGCTGAGGCTGCGGCAAAGCCGCCCCCATGGCAACGGAGCTTTCCCCATGTATGTATCATAGACGCTTGGGGCTGAGTCTGGATCCAGTCACATTGAGAGTAATCAACATCAAGTCAACAAAAGAACAAGGGGAATAATTCGATCTTGCACATGCATTAAGTTCAGGTTGTCAGACTTAAGCTTGATTGCCAAAAAAAGAATAATGGGGGATTACAATATATCGTCACGTTGAATTTTTGGCGCCGATCTGGAGTGCAAGTTTTTCCTCGGACCGAATGATACGATGATTATTATGGCATCAAGCACTTCTACATGGCGCTTAGTCTCGTAGCTATATGCAAGATCGTGCTGTTTACTCAGGGCTGGCAAACCATGATGTGTTCGAGATCACAGGCCAGAAATGTAAGTGTTTTCTTAATTCCGGGCTGAAAGCAGTGTTATCAGATCTGTCAGGACAGTGTGCTTGTCTAATGAAAATCGAATGACCCCTTGAGACAAGTAGGAGGGAAAATAAAATAGAAAAAAGAAATAGAGAGAATGCAATTAGACACCAGGCGTGCATGTATACGCCTTGAGCTTCCCATCCACACACCAACAGAAATGGGATGTAACATGAGTAAGCTCTTGCTCCAAAAGGCATGGATAGATATCGATCCATCGTAACAATTGAGTGTTCCGGGTCACAATCAAGGGTTCGCTTCTACTATTGGTGAATGTTGCATCTATCAGCCTTCGCGAAGGATTCCTCTCATCATCCTCGCTACACCCTTCCAATCGCAACTTCTATCGCGGCCGGATGTCCGAAGGGAGACATATAGACTGCCTGCACATGTAAGAGTTGGCGGCGCTTGCACACACACACACACACACACACACACACACAGACACAGGCCCGCCCTCGCACGACAGGCCAATTGGGGGTGGGCCAACTTGTGCTCCAAATGTTCACAAATGAATGACCATTAGATGATACCAAATTCTGACATTGAACCCAATCATAGTGGTTGTTGCTGTGGTGAGTGAAAATGTGGAACTCGCAGCTGACGCCGTGGCTGGGGGGAAAGGGGGGCTCGTCATCAAGACAAACCCAACGTACGTCGACAGACGGCGGTAACGACCAAAAAAAAAAAAAGAGACACCAGGGCCCGGCCCCAACGTGTATGTCAGAACAAGGAAGGGCGTCGAGACACTGTATGAGGTGGTTGCTGTTCCGACACAACCGTCACCCGCCTTGTCATTCGGCTGTGACCCAACTTTAGCTGTGTTGAGAGAGTTGCGGCGGCTGCTTTGGGGCCCCGAATAAGGTTGACAAGGCAAAGGCACTCTAACTATAGAGCCTCGGTAACATGTTCAGATCTGTAATCGACAATTGAGCCTGGGTTGCGTTCTTGCGTGTTAGGAAGGAAATGAAGGGAGAAAAAGGAATTTTCTTGTCAAAACCGGTCAGAACTCCGGTCTATCAAAGTCGGTGAGGATATCGTCTTTTCGAGAATACGAGGTCGTCAAAAGTGGACGCAGGTCTATAGGCGAGGAAATATACTCGATACATATCAGTACGGTGGAACTTGGCTAGCGTGGGGAGTACTGCAATGAGCTGGATAGTATATCCGCAGCACAGGACGGCCGCTATAACTCCAGCGGTTAGCAGGGTCTTTCTAGCGAAACCACAACGCTGGAGGCTACGTTTTAGCGCCCTGACGGTACCGAACTCAGCCGGTCGAACGGTTTCTCCACACCCGTCTGGGAGCTCCCACAGCGCCTTCCTCTCCATCTCCTTGCCGTCTTGGTTTGCAGGACAAGGCAAGAACATCAGCTCAGGGCATTGGCATTGGCCCGGCAGGGCAACATTTAGAAAAGTCCCAGGGAAGCAAAAGGACCACCACCCCCTGTGCACATGCTTGGGCTTTGAGGAGATGACGATGAACCCACAAGTGCTCACCATGGGAATTTGTCACCCACATGCCAATATGGCTTTCTTATTTTTGTTTTTTTTTTCCATTTATATGCTCAACTCTAAATATTATTGCGACATCATAGTACGTACCGACCGACCGCTCAGCTCAGCACATGCGCCATCCAATATGAGCATGAGACAAGATTGCAGTAGCGCCATCAGGGCTTGAGGCTCTCTCTCTCTCTCTGTTGCGCGCTCATTCACTCATGCTCGCTCACTCATTCCCTTCCTGCCCTTCCTTCCGGCTAGTCAACCTTCCGAGGCGTGTGAAGAAGCAGTAAGTGAGTGAGTTAGTGAGCAACTGAGGATCAAAGTAAAAGGCACTACAGTGCCTTACCTACCTACATACCTTGCTCGAGTATACGACGACAACGCGTGGAATATGCGCTGCAGCTGCTACGGATGCATTTGCCATACCCCTGAACCCATGAGCATAATCAATGCTTGGTAGTCACTTTGATGGAAGACTTCTTCGGATGAAAAAGAAGAAGAAAAACAAGAATCTGCTATCAAACGCCAGCTCATCCCACCGCTGTTCGGTCTCTCGACGCCTCGCTTGTGCCTGTCCCAAAATCCTGTTCATTTTGAGAATATGTTACTACCACTATGATCTCATACAATTGGCATGAGTAAGGCTTGATTACACACGCGGCCGTCTCTTCCAGGCAGGACGCCGTCGAAGCCGTCGAGAACGTTCCTGCATCGCGATCGAAGCATTTTGCAGATCATCCAATTCTTGCACACCTGTACGTAACAGCAGCTCTGGACCATCATGGATAAGTTTTAGTTGGGCTCATCTCTCGACGACGGCAAGTTTGTCGGTACGAAAGGCTATTCATCTCATCTCCACTGTTGAGCGAGGTAGGCTGCCGCCACGCCACGAGCCCTTACCGAGGCTTGTTCTGCTGCTCATCATGGTCCAGCCGCATCTGACAAAGATAGTACGGAGGCAGGAACCCAGAGTTGCAAGAGGAAACCCAGCCCTCAGTCTTGCCAGGCACGCGCATCAAAGATGAAAAGTCCACAACAAACATATTCCAGCCGCGCTCATCTGCTGCGCCAATGTGGCAAGAGATGAGACTATCGGTATTCTCTGCATAGTAGGATGCGCCGGCGAACCAAATGTTCGGACTCACAAAGCTAGTACGGCTCGTCCCACATGCGACTGATGGCGCAGAACCAATTCAGCAACCTGCAACCAACGTGTCAACTGGGATCGTGGCTAAAAGAATAAATCATCACCTTAATCTTTTTTTTATTCTGCTTCTTTACACTGTTCCAGTTGTTCCCTGCGCACGGGGGGCGGGGGCGCAGTGAATACGGGTGTACTATCTTCGTTTATCGTTGTCTAGGCGGAAAGTCTCTGCGCTGCGGCCCTTCGCGGAGTTCCCCAACGGCACGCGCGACCCACCCGCCGGCGCGCTTGCGAGTAACGAGCACCACGATCGGCGTGAAATCATGAGCAATGTGGTCGACTGTTCAATCTCGTCTGGACTGTGCGCCGTTTCAGGTAGCCTATGTTCTCAGTATCAGTCAATCTGATACTGGCTTTCCACCAAGCGTTGGTGGTCCTGAGCCTGGGTCTAAGTGCTCAGGTTTGGACCATGATCTAAGGGCACACACGGCATGTCTGGCGTGCTCACCAGACGTGTGATATTCCCGCCTCATCCGGTGGATATGCATACTCTAGACACCGGACAGGGGTCATGGATCTCTGAGGTTCTCGCCGTGATGTGTAGCCATGATTTCACGACGCCTGTTCCCTGGCGGCCGGACAACGCTTCGCACGGCATAGGGAGCCACGCCTTAGCTTCAGGTGGTAGCCTTATCGTACAGACTCACCGTCCTAAAGCGGAAAAACCACTATGATCGTCCCAGGAGGCTTTCGGTCGCCGAAGAAGACGCAAGACCAACAAGATCTGCCACCCGGTACTTAGGGATGGATACGTCTGAGGGGGTGTGTCTGTTCACCGTGTGCGCTTCCGCATACACACCCTTCGTTAAGCTTTGTCGTCTGAGTAGATGATCCAAGGGCTATATCGAGATACCACCTGTGGCAGGACGCCACTAGTGTATGTTATATTTGGTACACGCTCCTGTATTATATCGACGTGAGCTTGATATATAAGGTCATTCTGCCCTCCTGCCTCCAACTTAGTCTTGGGGGATCATTATCCGACTTCACTCAGATACTGAGCCGCGCCTTACATAATGGCGGAACAGATGTCTTATCTCCTTTTTGGAGACCAGTCTCTTGACACACACGGCTTTTTGGCCGATTTTTACAGACAAGGGAATCCGAGCATTCTCGCCAAGACGTTTCTCCAGCGAGCGGGAGATTCTTTGAGAGACGAGATCGATAGACTTCCCCGATGCCAAAGAGACCGAATTCCCCAGTTCAGGACTCTGCAACAGCTAAACGAAAGATACCATCAACAAACGATCAAATTTCCAGGAATTGACAGTGCCCTGCTCTGTATAACACAACTGGCCCATTATATTGAGTAGGTAGCCCAATGTGGACAGTGGACAGAGGTCTACTCCATGATTGGCCAAGACTGCCACTAACACGATTATAGTCGATCGGAAAAAGAGCACCAGGATGTCACTGCGGCCGAAAACACATACCTCTCCGGTCTCTGCACTGGTCTTTTCGCCGCCACGGCGATCGCGTCGAGCCCGTCACTCTCCTCGCTGCTCCCGATAGCAGTTCAAGTTTCTTTGATGGCATATAGAGTTGGATCACATGTCGCGTCTCTTGCAGAACGGCTGAGTCCTTCAGACGAAAGATCCGAAAGCTGGACATATGTTGTCCCTGGAGCAAAAGAAACAGATGCAAAGCCTATCCTTGCAGAATTCCACGAGACAGAGGTATGCCCCGCAACACATCGTTTTACCCTTTACATTTTGTTAATAACCTTGTACAGGGAATCTCGCCTGCCGCTCAAGCTTATGTCAGCGCCGTGTCTGCCAGTAATATTGCGATTTCGGGTCCTCCTGCGACATTGAAGTCCCTTTTCAGCAAAGATCTATTCGAGTCGAGGCCGACAGCCATCCCTGTGTACGGGCCATACCATGCACCGCATCTTCATGCTGCTGCAAATCTCGATAAGATCTTGAGGCTGGATGATGAGGCTGTTACCGCCGCATTCGACGGGTCCAAGCCTCGCAGTCACATCGTCTCTTGCGTGACAGGGCAGTCTTTTCCTGAGACAGACACCAAATCCCTTTTGAAGGCAGTCGTTCACGAGATTCTGAACGAGCCGCTGTTGTTCCACAAGGCACTCAAGGGAAGCCTCAATAGTGCAAAGGAGTTCAAGGGCTCCAGGGTCCTGGTGATCCCATATGGTCCCACACAAGCGGCCAGCACACTTGCCAACTTGTTGAAGGCACAGACAAAACTCGAAGTTGTCCTACGGACGCCGCCTCAGGTGTCACGTGAAAGCAACGGCGCAAGCATTGGTAACCATGGATCTTCGGGCAAGTGCAAACTTGCCATTGTGGGCATGGCCGGCCGGTTCCCCGATGCTGCCAGCCACGAAAAGCTCTGGGAGTTACTGGAGAAGGGTATTGACGCTCACCGCGTCGTGCCCGCTGACCGGTTTCCGGTCGAGACACACGTCGACCCCACTGGCAAAGCCATCAACACGAGCCACACGCCCTATGGGTGCTGGATTGAAAACCCCGGTCTCTTTGACCCCAGATTTTTCAATATGTCGCCGCGTGAAGCATTCCAGACAGATCCCATGCAGCGCATGGCGTTGACGACCGCCTATGAGGCTCTTGAGATGTCCGGCTATGTGCCCAATCGGACACCCTCCACGCGCCTAGACCGTATTGGTACCTTTTATGGTCAGACTTCCGATGATTGGCGTGAGATCAACGCCGCCCAGGAAGTGGACACCTACTATATTACGGGTGGTGTCCGTGCATTCGGCCCAGGCCGAATTAATTACCACTTTGGCTTCAGCGGCCCGAGCTTGAATATCGACACAGCCTGCTCATCCTCTGCCGCTGCTCTGCAAGTGGCTTGCACATCACTTTGGGCGAAGGAATGCGATACGGCCATTGTGGGAGGTCTCTCCTGCATGACAAATTCCGACATTTTTGCCGGATTGAGTCGCGGCCAATTCCTTTCCAAGAAGGGCAATTGCAACACATTTGACAATGATGCCGACGGCTACTGTCGCGCTGACGCGTGCGCTTCCGTCATCGTGAAGCGTCTCGACGATGCACTGGCAGACAAGGACAATATCCTCGCTGTTGTTCTTGGCACATCAACGAACCACTCTGCTGATGCTATTTCCATCACACATCCCCATGGCCCTACCCAATCTGTGCTGTCCAGAGCTATTCTGGATGAAGCTGGTGTTGATCCTTTGGATGTCGACTATGTTGAGATGCACGGCACAGGTACCCAGGCGGGTGATGGCACAGAGATGGTGTCCGTCACTGACGTGTTCGCTCCTGCAAATCGTCACCGAGCCTCTGATCGGCCCTTGTACCTGGGAGCCATCAAGTCCAACGTTGGGCACGGTGAAGCTGCATCCGGCATCACTGCTCTTAGCAAGGTTCTGTTAATGATGAAGAAGAATTCTATCCCCCCGCACGTTGGCATCAAGGGCGAGATCAATAAGACATTCCCCAAGGACCTTGGTGCAAGAGGTGTCAACATTGCCTTCCACAAGACACCCTTCCAGCGCAAGGACGGAAAGCCTCGTCGCATTTTTGTCAACAACTTCAGTGCTGCTGGCGGTAACACTGGTCTGCTCCTTGAAGATGGGCCCCGCTACAAGACGGCTGAGGCCGACCCTCGTAGTGTCCACGTCGTCACTGTCACTGCCAAGTCGAAATCAGCCATGATCCGAAATGCCGAGGGTCTTGTCCAGTGGATGGAGCAGAATCCATCAACGCCTGTCAGTGATGTTGCCTACACTACCACGGCACGCAAGATCCAACACTACTGGCGCATGAACGTTGCTGCTGGTTCACTGCCAGAGGCCATTCAGGCTATCAAGGAGCGTCTGAAGTCCACCTTTGTTCCTGTCTCGCCAGAACAACCCAAGGTTGCCTTCATGTTCACGGGACAAGGCTCGCACTACGCTGGCCTTGGAAAGGAGCTCTATGCCCACTATGCCATCTTCCGCGATGCCATCGATGAGTACGATCAGCTTGCAGGAATCCATGGCTTCCCATCCTTCTTGCCACTCATCGACGGTAGCGAGCCAGATGTTCAGAACCTGTCTCCTGTCGTTGTCCAACTGGGTCTATGCTCCTTTGAAATGGCCCTTGCCAGGCTCTGGCAGTCCTGGGGCATCCAACCAGGTGCTGTACTCGGCCACAGCCTGGGCGAATACGCGGCTTTGCATGTCGCCGGTGTACTCTCTGCTAGTGACACCATTTACCTTGTGGGTGCTCGTGCTCAGCTCCTGGTCAACAAGTGTACCGCCGGAACACATGCCATGCTTGCTGTTCAGGGGTCTGTTGAAACAGTCAAGGAGGCTCTCGGCGCTCGTGCTGAGTCTACCAATGTCGCTTGTATCAATGGTCCCCGCGAGACTGTCTTGAGCGGTGCATCCAGCGAAGTTGCTGAGATTGCTGAACAGCTTGGTGGCGCAGGCTTCAAGTGCACCCAGCTCAAGGTTCCTTTTGCCTTCCATTCGGCTCAGGTCGAGCCCATTCTGGATGACTTTGAGTCCTTGGCCCGCTCTGTGCGCTTTGAGACACCCAAGGTGCCGGTTATTTCACCACTCCTTGGCAAGCTCGTAGATAACGAGCCAATCAACCCTGCCTATCTTCGCAACCATGCTCGCGAGGCTGTCAACTTTTTGGGAGGACTTGTTTCCGCTCAGCAGTCTGGCATGATTGATGAAAAGACCGTCTGGCTCGAGGTTGGCCCTCACCCTGTGTGTGCCAACATGGTGAAGGCAGCATTCGGTGCCACCACCATTGCTGTTCCAACTTTGCGCCGCAATGAGGCCACTTACAAGACGCTCAGCAGCAGTCTCTGCACCTTGCACTCGGCTGGTCTGAACTTGGACTGGAACGAATTCCACCGAGATTTCGATGCCTCCGTCCGCCTGCTGGACCTACCTAGCTATGCGTTTGATTACAAGAACTACTGGCTACAGTACACTGGCGATTGGAGTTTGACCAAGAACCGTGGTGCACTCCCAGCATCCACCAAGGCCATCGAGGCTCCCAAGCCCAAGCTTTCAACTACCACCGTGCAAAAGGTAGTCAGGGAAGAGGTCAAGGGCGACATTGCTATCCTTGAAACCGAGTCAGAAATGACTCGTGATGACCTGCGACTGGTTTGCTCGGGCCATATGGTCAACGGCACTGCGTTGACGCCATCTTCCCTCTACGGTGACATGGCCATCACTGCCTGCGAGTACGCGTATAAGTTGCTTCGTCCTGATGCCAAGAACATTGGCTGCAACGTCAGCCACATGGAAGTTCCCAAGACTTTGATCTTCAATGGTAAAGCGAAGAGTCAGGTCCTGCGCATGTCTGTCAAGGCCAATGCCGCAGAAGGCTTCGCCGACCTGTCCTGGACCAGTGGTGAAGGTGCCCAGAAGACCGAGCATGCCAACTGCAAGGTCTTCTTTGGGGACAACGAAGAGTGGCTCGGTGAATTTGAACGGGTCAACTACTTGATCAAGTCTCGAATCGACGCTCTCCGGGCTGCAGAGCAACGTGGTGATGCTTCCAAGATCGGACGTGGTCTGGCTTATAAGCTGTTTGCTGCACTTGTTGACTACGATCGCCGCTATCGTGGTATGGAATCAGTCATCCTTGATAGTGAGACATGCGAGGCTACTGCCAAGGTTGTTTTCCAAACAAGCCCCGAAGACGGCACGTTCCACACTGCTCCCTACTGGATCGACAGTGTCTGCCATATTTCAGGTTTCATTCTGAACGGCTCCGATGCTATCGATTCGCGCGAACAAGTCTTCATCTCTCACGGCTGGGGATCAATGCGTTTTGCCGAGCGTCTTTCTGCCGAGAAGACTTACCAGACCTACATTCGCATGCAGAACGTCAAGGGCAGCAAAATGATGTCTGGCGATGCCTATATTTTTGATGGCGACAAGTTGATCGGCATTGCTGGCGATGTTCGCTTCCAAGCAATCCCACGCAAGGTGCTCAATGTCGTACTTCCTCCCCAGGGTGCTGCGGCTGCTGGTTCGGCACCCGCTCGTGCACCAGCCGCTGCTGCGAAGCCAGCTGCAAAGGCCGCCCCCAAGGAGAAGAAGCAGGTCACCTCAGCTAATCTTCCAGCTGTCAACAAGAGTCTCACCAAGAACTCTGTTGTTGCTCAGGTTATGGAAATCATTGCCAAGGAGACTGGAGTTAGCCATGACGAATTGGCAGACAATATTGCCTTTTCCGATCTTGGTGTCGACTCTCTGATGGGTCTCACCATTAGCGGCAGGCTTCGCGAGGAGCTTGAGCTGAATGTCGATTCTCATGCCTTCAATGACCATGCTACCGTTGGTGCCTTCAAGGCCTTCCTGGCTCAATTTGAAAGTGCTGACGCAGCAATGGTTGAGGAGAATGCGCACTCCAGCGCATCTTCTGACAGTGCTGACATGGAGACTGAATCCAACTTCACCACTCCCTCTGACGATAGTGAGAAGGACGAGGTCAAGGGCGACGCACCTGCTGCCGATGGCAATGTCAGCGAGCTTCAAGACATTGTACGCTCTACCATCAGTGCAGAGATGGGAGTCGAGGTTGAAGAGGTCATTGCGGCCCCAGACCTAGCAGCACTTGGCATGGACTCTCTTATGAGTTTGTCCATCTTGGGTATCCTGCGTGAGAAGACTGGCTTGAACATTCCTTCTGACCTTCTTGGACACAACCCTTCGCTCAAAGACATTGAGAAGGCTCTCGGAATTGAGGACAAGCCCAAGCGTGCTGCTCCCAAGTCAGCTAAGCAGGAGCCTGCAAAGCCGGAGCCAAAGGTCCAAGGCGAGGCAAAGGCTCATACCAACCCTGTCGATAACTACCCACACCGCAAGGCAACATCTGTCCTGCTTCAGGGCAACCACCGTACCGCGAAGAAGCAGCTGTTCATGATTCCTGATGGCAGTGGTAGCGCTACTTCGTACACGGAGATTTCAGAGGTTGGCTCTGACGTTGCCGTATGGGGCCTCTTCTCGCCATTCATGAAGACTCCCGACGAGTACAACTGCGGTGTCTACGGCATGGCTACAAAGTTTATCCAAGAGATGAAACGCCGTCAACCTGAGGGACCCTATGCTGTGGCCGGATGGAGTGCAGGCGGAGTTATTGCCTACGAGATCGTCAACCAACTGACAAAGGCGAATGAGGAGGTGTCTAATCTCCTCATCATTGACGCTCCGTGCCCAATTACGATTGAGCCTCTCCCGGCTGGTCTCCACGCCTGGTTTGCATCCATTGGTCTGCTCGGTGAGGGCGACGATGCCGAGGCCAAGAAGATTCCAGAGTGGTTGCTTCCCCACTTTGCGGCTTCCGTTACTGCCCTGTCCAACTATGACGCCGAGCCTATCCCGGCCGACAAGTGCCCCAAGGTCACTGTCATCTGGTGCGAGGACGGTGTTTGCAAGCTCCCTACCGATCCCCGACCTGACCCCTACCCGACTGGTCACGCCCTCTTCCTTCTTGACAACCGGTCCGACTTTGGCCCCAACCGATGGGATGAATATCTTGACAGCAAAAAGATGACATTCCATCACATGCCGGGCAACCACTTCTCCATGATGCACGGTCCCTTGGCCAAGCAACTTGGCGGCTTCATGCGTGATGGCATGAAATCATGAGTCCTGTTGATTGGACTTCTCTCCTTTGCATTTACATTATAAACCAGCATCTGTACATAGGAGGAATGGACACGCTCCTTGTATAATTTCCAAGATTTAGCTTTTTCCATCAGCGGGACTACAGCGAAATTAATGTGTGGGAAACTCGGATTCGGGAATGAGAGGATATATGGTGTGGACAGGTTTTCTTCATGATCTAATATGAAATTGCTATAGACTACAGTACCAAATTGGCGCATTGAATTTAGGCATTTTAATTTAAACCCCATGACTTGAATACGACTTTTCTCATCAAACATTTTGATTGCAATAATCTTGAACAACTCAGCTGAAGCTGGCGCTGGCTAGAGTGTCGTGGCTCCCCCACCTTGTCAGAGGCCGCGGCAGCTGCCTGGGATTTTTGGGGCTCTCTCCATCACCATCCCCTTCATTCAGCTGTATTTTCGGGATTTGATCGTCACAATAGAGCTGCTGTCCATCTTTACGGGCAATTGATTCCGTCATGGTCTCCTCGTCCTATTGCCTATTTTGTCTGCCATTTGCTGCAGATGTTGTGCTCTGTCACAAATCCACGTGCCCACAAGTGATGATTCAAGACCTTCTCGGACGGGACCTGCCGTCGTCATCGCTCCTCGCGAGCGTACCTATATCGAGGCTGAGGTCAATGCGCGTGGCAGGTGTAACACACCTAACCCACGACGCACGCTGTCAAGGCAGGTAGGGACCATTTCCCAAGCAGGGAACGCAGAGGCGTTATTTAGCTACTGCTCTCCACATACATATTTCAACGTCACACGGGAAGCTACGGAGACAATAGCCTATGCATGTGTAACGACACATCATGAATACAGTCATTACCTGAAATGCGATCACGCAAGACATGAAAAGAGGACGGAGCCCGCTTGCCTGACGAAGACTGGTTTGTTGGATTGTCTGGGCGAGAAACACCAAGACAAAAATGGTCGCAGGCTCCTCCCCTTGGAGGATAATGGCAAGGAAAGGGCACGCGCCAGTGTTTTCGTTAATGGTCAAGAGACGAACCATGGCAGATGATGAAAGGAAAGCAAGAGTTTCCCGACTTTCAAGGTGTCAAAATGTCTTTTTCCTCTATGTGAGCAGTGGGGCAGCAACAACCACCCATACGCTCCATGATGAGGGAATGTGGTAGCACAGTCGCCAGGGGCATCAGCTGCTCACCTGAGGTGTGTACCAGTAGAAAGAGCACGTATCTCTTCAAATTACGGTGTCGATTCTGCTTGTCACGAGAAAGTTTTGCACATGGTCACATGATTTATTAATTACTGCCCTAACGTCTTGTCCAAGAGCGTTGAAGGTAGGTGGTTGACGATGGAGGGAGGCTTCCGCGTCCACATAACCGAGCCTATGGACGAGAGAGCTTTTGGATGACTTATTCCCATGGTCACTTCTCTACATTACTCAAGACTCAACAATTTGCAATCGCTTGGTCTACCTCCGCTCAACAAAAATGGCCAGAGCTCGCGTGTCAATATTGGCAACTGGGAACCACTGGGCACCACTGGGCACCACTGGGCACCACTGGGCACCACTGGGCACCACTGGGCACTGGAGGAAGGGGGGAGCAGCGAGGAGCAGCGGGGAGCAGAGGGAGGATGGGGATCTCAACTTTCGTGAGGCTCAAAGCCCGTCAGGAAGGCCCGGGGGACCGCTTCGCAGTCGCTCTCTGGACTCAGATACTACAAACAACAGCCAGATTGTAGAAGCACGTCCGATGTGTACATAAAACAAGCTGATAGGAGCAGGCCCAGTACTCTGGACTCACACCTCCCCTTCCTCATTCTCTCCCAAAGCAAGAGAGGACCTGACGGGTAGCTAGGAACTGACGACATAGCTTCCTCAGAGGCCGTATTCACTTCCGCTCCTGCCCCAGAAGCCTCCGGGATGAATCACTTGTACTAGGAAGCAAAGAGGAGAGGCGTACTAGCTGCATTCTACTCGGAGGTTATTCCGGAGCGAAGATGCACGTAGCAATTTTCGACAATCACCAGAGCACCAGTGTTTTGATACTTTCCAAGGTTTGCTCGTAATTGATGCCTTGAAGAATACTTTAGGCATAGCTTTTGCTCCAAGGGACTTGCTATCATTGGACGCTTCTAGACAAAGATCGAGATCAGATCTTACTTCCAGATCCCTTGTAGAATGAGGTACTCTCTTGTACTGTGAGTTCTAGGTACTTGGACAGTCGACTTTGTTGTTGGGTGTCCTTGGGGAAGGAAATTCTATTCCAGTGGTACCACACGCTGTAGCCTATGTACCTAGGTATATGGGTACGTGAAGTATCCTTCGCTCCCGCTTGGGGTACAAAATGGCAATACTTCTGCTTGGTCCATCCAGTAGCCCACAGTCGCACGGTAGCACGGTAGCGAAGAGCAAAGAAGCCCGCCCCGCTCTTATTTTTTTCTCTCTTCCCTTGCCCACTTTGCTCACGTCGGACTTGTCGCATCTTTGATGACTAAGGATCGTACGTGGTACCACATTCAGTGCTATGGCCATGAGAAATTCGTAGATCCAGTCTAGAAACCTTTGAACTCGGCAGACTTTTGCCCAAAAAATGGGTATTTTTAGTCTCACTCGGACGACACACACTCTGGCGTAACGACTTCTTACCAGACTCACAGCCAAGCTATTCCCAAACACACCTGTACTTGATGGAAAGGCCTGGCAGGCCGGAATATTCACTACCTTAGGGATGCCGACGATCGAAGTAGCCCCTCGTGAGCTTCATCGCCTGTCACGTTACAGTCAAGACTTTCGCGTCTGCAGGGTTCTATCGAATTACTGATGATAAAATGTATGAGCGGCACCTTGGTTTACATTTTCAAACTCAATTCTGCCAAATTGCGAATATTGGCCTGGTATAGGGATGATATGGTTATGGTTACATCGCTAGAATGACCAGGCTAGGGATTATTGGCCCGATTATCATGCGGGAGGTGAGTGTCACTGGTGTATGGACAAAGTATCTAGACTGACGCTCCTGGATACCGGCGCTTGGCGAAAAAGTATATTTATAGCTTCGTTTTCGCAATTTTTCACGTTCTCGGTGCCAGGTACGCCGAAGTGTTTTTCCCTCTTCCTTTTCCCTTTTTTTTTTTTTGTTTTGGTCCTTTGTGGGTCACGCTTTTCCAATCGAGGTCTCGGAGGGAATTTCCAACAACAACTATTGTATTTCAATTGTCCCTCGAACTCTGTACGAATCCAGTGGCGACATGGTACTTTCGAGTTTCCCATGTTTTCTGCAATGGTAAGAAGGACAAGAACATGGCGGGGGAGCATATCCTTAGGTGGGAGAAAGAGGGGTCGGGGCGAGACGCAGGAAATATGATAATTCTGCAGGGTTCCAAGTAATAGGAAGCTCCTGGGCTACAATAATGTGCTTGGTGAATTCCGCGTATATGCGAGGTGCGGCAAATGCATAAAGGACACAACAAGCAGCAAAATGAAGCGCCAGTGCTGCATCGAGCTGTTCATGAATAACGTTTGGAGGAGAGGGGCCCCTGTGTGAGTAAAATGAAGATCCGGACATCGTGTAGAGGCCAGTAAGAAGAGGCGCATTTGAGCCTCATTTAGTCCATGTCATTGAAATGTAATTGTGCTGCATCTGGTTGCCTTGTTTGCCATGAGTGGGTTTGACAGTGTGGTGGCTCGCCGGGGCGGCTCTGCATATGTGCGGCATCTGTTGGAGCATGCCCACGTGGACACTGGAATGAAGACTCACAGTGAGTTTCATTACAAGCTGTGTGGTGATGTTTGCACCCCCCTCCAATTCAGAATTGATGAGAGCGCGAATGGTCCTGATATTCATGCCATGAGCATGGACGAATCAGAACAGTAGCTGAGGACTGAGAAATTCTTGTCGACTTTTTGTCTAGCAAACGCCCATCAGGCAAAAAGTGACCAAAGTCAGAATTTCCAGCTCTTAATCATAATTTGCCTCGAAAAACACAGCAAGCTTTGTGAAAAGATATGATAGGTATGGGTAATAGTTGATGTATTAGTTGAGTTGTTCACATCCAACAGAGGTTGGATGGTCAAAGATATATACATGTGTGGAGAAGCGCTCCACTTATTCCTACATTTTGACAAGCTTTTCGTGTGAAAGGTCAATGGACGAGGCTTAGACGACGAAGCAACGAAAGCGAGTGGATATACACTCTCTCGGCCCCCCTGCCCTCTACGTACGGTTTGTGTGCAAGAATCACGCCATTTTACCCTCTTTGGCGACAGCTTCCGTACGTCGCATTTAGATGCAAGTCTGCTGGATAGAAAATTAATTCTGAAGCTCACTCGCTGTGCTTGCAAATGATATCACACTCAGCAGCCGGCCAGGATTATTGGTGAGCAAATCAGTACGAGAGGGGATATCAAGTATCTCATTCTCTCTGGTGGGTGTGTGGATGTGTTCTTGAGTGCTCCAATTTTAACCTCCCCTTTTTTTCTTTCTTCTTTCATTGAAATACGGCATTCCTTCAAAGATACGGATCACAAGCTATCCGACTACAATGATTGGTGAAATCGATAGCAACTGGGAAGTAACTCGGCGCCACTAAATATCATATTCGTCAAGTACGACTGATTTGATTGGTAGAACTATTGGCCACAACTCTGAAACCGCAGTCCCCCTCAGATGACAATGGTAATCGGGTAAAAACTTTTGTCCACATGCTTTTTGTTGAGGACGGATCGCGTCCAATGGGGCCAAAGGACACCTCACCGCCCTGTACTTTTTTCAGCATGATCAATTGCTAAAAAGGAGTACTTCTGTTGCAAGTAAAATAAAGACTTCAAGCTGATGAGACCAAACAAACCACAGGCTTGACCCTGCTCTGTAAGCTTTTTGCTGACTTTCTATGTCCGACAGCGGTCCTCTGTTGCTTGATGCCTGGATTCCTAGTCTTCCTGGACGCTGGCGAGAATTTTTGCTAGGAACGGCTACGAAGGTTCAAGGGCTCAGCCCTACAGCCAAGCAGGAAAGCTTGCCTTTCTCTCTCATAAAAATACTCTTGACAGGTGACTGTCAATTTGAATGGGCAGGCTCCCGCTTTCGCTCATCTCACGACTTGGGACAGAATGCGCCCTCCATCAGGGAATCGGCAAGCTAGGCTAGAGGGGTTCACTTTTCCTCCTGGATGAAAAGTCAAATTTTGAGAAGACTTGGACAATGGAAAGCGTTAAAAATGAGAAATTGTCTGTTTTTCCGTTTCCGTTGTCATGAAATAAAGGCATTTTTCAAACGCTATCATCTACGTGCTACCTTGCAGACTACAGACATTTCCAGAAAAATGTCTATTGAGACAGGTGCGAGTGAGCAAGTTGTGGGAGGTGTTGATTTTCATTGGCAAAAGTGAGCCCACGCTTGAACTTCACGAAAACCTCTGTTATATTTCATGTCAATATATTCCTGTCTTATAAAAACGTATAAAAACATACGTAAATTCATTTTATGCAGACTCTCACTATAAGAAAAAAATCACGTGTCCAATGCGTTTTATCGTGCCCTTCTTGCATTTCAAGTCACGAGAGGCCTCTAGACATGACAAAACAGCCCTGCAATAAAGGGGATTTGAAATCGAGGAGAGCTGAAAAAAATTGTCCTTATAAATTCGGTCGCGCAGAAGTTCTCAAGAACACTTCATGATAATATTCTACAAGTGCTGTCATCCCTTTGCGCTCTAGGCTCTCTTCAGCATTTATGAAATAGTAATGAACTTTCCGGTCCCTGGGTACATGCAGCTTAGCATTAACATAAATTGCGTCGCGACGACCCTTAAAAAAAAGCTCATTCGCACATAAGAGGCATGCGTAGTATGATGTCATAATATTTTGGTGAGATATCCGATGAGTTACAGTTGGCACTGTGGAAAAGAAAAGTAGATAGATACCTAATCATGACAATCTGTCGGTAGGTGGCAGCGAAATGGGCCAGACATGGTAGGCAGCCCTGGGGCAGGTAGATGAGGTAAGCTGGGTGTTCCTCCCTTAGCGCTGGTCCCGCAGAGCCACACAAAGTAGGCGGTGCGTAGGGCGTAGGCATCTGGCATTTCCCTTGTGAAGAGAGTGCTCAAAGCTCGGAGTTTCCCAGGACGGTAAAACAATGGACGTGATAATATTCTCTGGCGCAGGTGAATGGGACCCAATGGACACGGGTATAAGCCCCAGCTAAAAAAGAAACGGTGATGTATTTTCTCGGCGGAATGCACAGTGTGATTGCACAGCGACATTCCATGACTCACCAGGCCATCGTGGTTGCGTGGTTGTATGGTTTGGGAGTGAGCAGGACGAGGTAGGGCTCTTGTTATCTGCTAAGTTTTCATAATGTGTGTATGTGCATGCGCATTAGCTCGCCCTAGAACTTGGAAAGGGCCTCGAGGGTTTGTTGGCAAGCGGGGACGTACAGTGAGGAAGGGAGGGAGGAAGGAAGGAAGGAACATTGAGGAAGGAAGGAGGAATTTGCTCACGTCTAGCGAACCAGAAACTACCAAACTGCCTAACAAATGGTCGGCCAATCAATAAAGGGTTTCGCGCCCAATTCAGTAATGGATCATTGCTTTCTTTTTTTTTTTTTTTTTTTTTTTTCCGTGAGTCCTCCTGAGAGGCAAGCAGACCAGTCACATTGAGTGGCGCGCCGTTGAGTTATAGAGAGAATCGTGCAATTCAGAGTGACCAGCCTTATGCACAAACATACGTGGTGAAGAGGTCTCCTCCTCTTCCTACTCCAGTCTAGAGTTATGCATGGTTCGACTGACCATCATTTGTGTAAAGATACATTATATGCACCTAGGTACCAATGTGCCAACTTTGATCCTAGTGTGGAACTGGAGTATTTGGAGGTCGCAAAGCGGATGTTTTACCCGCTCCAGTGGGCGATTTCTGCAGTCTACATACACTAGATTGCCGCCCCTGGTCTATCCGCTAACCAGCCCGATCTGGAGGGAACCGAGAGGGAAGTAATGTAGTATCCCGGATCCCAAGGATCTGGCACGGCTTCTGCAAAAGAGGCCCCCAGTACTAGTTCTAAAAAGCATGCACTGTATCAATACCTAGTACCTACCTGGGTAAGTACATTAGCAGGTGTACCCAAAAGACCAGTCTAATCACAGTTTTATGTACCACTGGGACCAAGAGGAAGAGAGACCAAGGCCGGGGGTCTAGTTGTGTGTGTGCGCGTGTGTGTGTCTGCGCGCGCACGCAGCTGAGGTGAGAACAGGATCGATTGGGTTGACTGCAGACACAATGATTCCCATACAAAAATACAATAATACCCCTTCAGCTCGCACTCACATATCCTGATGAAAGGGAGGAGGGGCCAGAGGTGAGACTAGAGCGCACGCCCCACCTATTGCGCTTTCCCCAGCTATTTGCACTACGGATGTCCGACATGACATTCATTTTGGATTTGGCGCTAGAATGGAATGGGCCCTGGGCTGGGGTCCTCCATGATCCACTCCTTGGGCCCATTTCCCCCATGGCCTGTCTGTGGTGATGTTTTGGTCCCAAGCGTCTAGTATACGTTTCTTCTCACATGAATTACAACAAGCAGTTAATATATGTGACAAAGAAATTATTATACGGCAGGCCTTTTTGGCCGCATGATCAAAGAATTTGCTGTGGATTTACAACAGGGATCCCGTCAAATCTGGGCGGGGAGAAAAGGAGCCCTTGCCGTCATCCGATGCTGTGCAGGGAGAGAGGATACCATCTGGTCTCTTAAGCCACATCAACTGCTTGGCTTCACCTTGGGCTGATGCCCCTCGCTCCTGTTCCTATGGTAATGCTTTTATAGGCGATTTTGCATCCGTCATGGTCTGGTAAGTATCATCTTTCTCTAGTGCTAGCTACATTAGTCGGACCTCGTTCTATTTCTGTCCTTGACGCGGCCGTTCCCTTTTGGAATCCCAATTTACAGTCTATGGCCTTAGCTGCTGACTTGGATTTGTGCAAAGCTTGGATAATCACTATCTATCTACTAGCTGGGCTCCATTCTCGGTGAGGGCTTTCAATGATGTCGTTGCGCTCCCTGTAACAGACTGTGGAAGTCAGTCCAACCTGTCGACTTCCCGCTTGTCACTTTTTTTTTTTGGCAACCCGAGAGATCTCCTATTGCAGCTGCCAGATATGTGTCCAAAACTCAATGGCAGTCATAAAGCATCAGAAGACTTTCTCGAGGAATACGGTGAATAACAAGGTTGTGTCTTGTGACCTTCTTCTTCTGCCTGAAAGAGCAGAGAGGTACGGAGGCAGATAATGTACATAGAGAGCCAGGTCAAGTTTGGCTGCATTAGCAGACGTATGTATTGAAATGGGTCAAACTTGAAATTTTCCCTAGGGCACATTCGAATTTCTCGAGAATTATATGGCAGGACCAGAAGCCAATGGAACAAACCTCGGGGACCAGGTCTAGGTACCGAGTCAACAGAAAATTGAACTGCTCGCAGAGTGCTTTCGACACGGGCGCGGTGCTTCCATCCGATGGTAATTATATGGGAACTCGCACTTACTGGGTGTGTGTGTGTGTCTCGACTTTCCACTCCCGTGCATAGTGGAATGATTTGCAGCCGTGTTTTTGACATGTCTACCCATAGAGATGCCACGAGAATTATCTCGATTTTACCTGCAATAGATCTCTATAGACTTTTTATCAACCTTTAGTCGCGTTGAAGGGTCCAATTTGGGGCTGATTAAATTTCCCCCCCGCCCAGCTACGCGGCCACGGGGTTTTTTACTTTGTAGTTTAAAAAAAAAAACCAGCAGCAGGGCAGGCCAGCAGCTGCGCGTCTTATCAACGGCCCG